TGTCCTGAAATTGCTAGAAACTCATCTAAAATTATTACTATCAGTAGTCAGAAATGAACCAATGCAAATTGATAATGCTCATATTATTGTCACTATAGTTTGCATCAGTTAGAGAGCTGTCCGACTTTTCTTGAATTGGAATAGGTTAGAGAAAGTTCCAATCTTTTAATACCTAGGATGAAATTAACCATGCTAGGTGAAATAGGTTCCAAGTCCATCAACAAAGTTGCGCCTCGTCGTCGAAGCTCAGCCGCAACCTAACAACATTGCGCTTTGCATTGGTTTTCCAACTGATACTGGACGTTTTTTAACATCCCAGCTCTACCCCTTTAGTCCGTCTTCAGGCCTCTACAATTCATGTATCTGTTCATTTCTGCGTTAAGTTCAAAGCTGTACTAAATTGTTTAAAGCATAGATGGAAAGAGTAAGGAAGAGCAATTGATAGTCAGAGGAAAGCAAGAAGAGCCTAACAAAACCGCCAATCATTCGGAAAAAAATCAATCCAAAAGCAAATTATTTCATAGAAACTATAAACAGGAAATTTTTCAGTCGAAAATCGAACCTTCCTTTGAGAAGGCAAATGACGAAGGGCACTTTTTTAAAGTGTTAAATAAAGGAACAAGAACAAAGAAAAGTGTTACAAAGTTAACAAAGAAGTCAAGATGTCAATGAAATATTTGACTGATGTTGACTTTAATAACTTACTTTAATAAGTCCCTGATTTTATGTGTATTTTATGTGTATGTTGTACTTCAATTTGACCGCCTTGGTTAATTTTTTTCCCTCTGTTTCAATCTCATTACCATATATTACCATACCAGAAGTGTTTTTTTAAATCTTAACACGCAAGAAGTTGAGAAACTTTTTCTTGCGACATATTACCCTTCACCATAGTAATTCAAACACGGTTAAGCCCCCGGTACGGTCAAACCCACTGGAGTTATCGAGTTAGAAACAGTCCAGAAATTTACTGAAATTGATCGAAAGGAAGAAAAATTCGCCTTGCCGACACCTGTGGGAGGCTAACACCTCAGTGACCTCTCACCTTGCGTTGCTTAGCATGTGCACCTTGGGCAGATGGTATGTCACGTTTTCCCCAGAAGCAAATTTATATCGAACATATAACCGATCTTTGCGTTTAATTTAGCAAGTAAACATGAGAAATTTATACAGATGTCGCCCTCGTATTTGAAGTCTAGATTTGACAAAGACGAAAACGTATACATGCTGCAGTAATTATAAATCAGATAAATCAGAGGTTAGATACGAATTTTACAAAAACTCTAAAATATTAAGCGGACAAAAAAAATCGTACAATCTGTTGGCTTCCTACCACAGCTCACCCCCTAGTACATTCGGCGAAGCCTTCTCGCGGGAGACCTGGTTTTACAACAAACTGAATGCGCGATCCCAGAGTACCCGTTATATTTGGCGGAATTTCATGGCGCCAAAACGTAGTTTCTGAAAGAAACTAAGTATTTTTCCTAATAGTCATATTTCTATTAACAATTGGCAGAATCATTTCCAACTTTTTAATAAAAGAATAAAAGCCACATCAAGAGCATAAACTGGGGTCAGTCGCTTTATGATGCTTTAGCCGTTAAAATGTATTGAGGCAATTTAGTTCACTTTGTTACCCCAGCGGGAGTTACACTGACCTTACCGGTGCGTTGTTGCCAGCGTTAAGAGACCCGGGAAAAATAAATGGCTACCCCTCGACTACCTCACTTATGGCTAAGGGGCAGTTAAGGTTAATGTTAATGAGATGATGTAGGCGGAAATAATCTTAGTTTTACCTATCCTTACCTTCAATAATGATCTCAACCTTACACTCAAACAGCACTGCTCACTATAAATCTAAAGTTAACTGAACAACATTTATAAACCCTGTTTTGCATTGCAATTAGTAATGCCACCCATCAATCAAACAATACAAACAGGAAGAAAGCAAACAAAACTAATAACCACACATTGTTTTAAGTGTAAAGCGAAATGTGAGCGCAAACAAACCTATGACTTTTTCGCACCTTATACACCTACGAGGATGAAGTTGAAGTATAGCTCTATTGTAAAGTGAATTCTTTTGTCCTGTTTTACATTTCCATGAAAATTCCCCAAAGACAATTTCACCCTTCGAAGATCGGTTAGACGCAAAAAGTTGGTCCTCGGCGTGGCAAAAAAAATTTCCCACTGATTGCTGGTGCAACCGCTGGCAGCTATTAACGACTATCTTGCTTCTATCAATTTTGGTCAGCGAGCGTGCGTGAGCGTTTTACGAATAATTAGCCGGTCGATTCTAAAGTGGAGAAATTTTTTGAATGTATAAATATTTCGTTTTAATTACCGATTTAAGGTATTTTTTATACCTGCATTTGCGGTCAGCCTTCACGCTATTGTATGCAGTTTCGCCCTCCCTTGCTGTAGCTACTAATTTAACAAAAAGGTTTTTGCTAAGAATTCATACAATAAATGTGACTCTTATCAATCTTGTTTGGCACTTTTGTCATTTATAGATAGCATGTCGTGACTAATTTTGATTTTGATTTTGTGAAAGTGAAGTCAGTCGATGCAGTGTATCATGCGAGCCGAGTTTTAGCTCAGGAGTGAACATTACAGGAAATAATACATATTTAGATCCATTGATTTCACCAAGGGTTCCGTTTCGTCTCTTAGTTTTTGAAACCTAACTAAATGAGAACGATTCTCTCTCATTTTTATTCATTCATTCATTCATTCAATCATTCATTCATTCATTCATTCATTCATCCATCCATCCATCCATCCATCCATCCATCCATCCATCCATCCACCCATTCATTCATTCATTCGTTCGTTCGTTCGTTCGTTCGTTCGTTCGTTCATTCATTCATTCATTTATTTTGCCTTTAACCTCATAAAATTACAATACTCGACAATTTAATATGCTCTAACAAGAGAGGATGAAGGGGGCTTGACTCTAAATAATTCATGTTATAATATTAACAAGGGTAATGGAAAGAAATCCTATATAGGAGCCGGAGGCTTATGAACTATAGGATTCCTGAGAATATGGGATACACCTTATCAAATTGAGGGTGCTGAATGAAAAAAACGAGAAGACACTGAGAGAGGATCTTTAGTTATTTTCGTTCTCTGTTGAAATTTCATTCTCCTCTCCCTTTTTCGCCACGGAGAGATCTTTGTTTTAAGACAGTTGAAAGTAGTCTTGAGTCGCAACTGATTTGCTCTCGTTTACAACTTACGAATGAATTTAATACATTTGTTCCCAGACAAAACCTCAGTAGTTGTTGCTCTTACAAAGAAACTTTTATGATTTAGGGGTTTACTTAACATCCCCTTATATTATGAGGCTCTGTCGTGCCAAGAGAAGATGGCCTAACTCAGTGGCCCGTAGAGTTCTTGTTCGAGTGGGAATTCCGAGGGGTGAGTATGGGCATATTACAACAAACAACACTATACAAGGACGTCGCTGAGTATAACTGTTTGTTCGTTGGCTAGCGGAAGGGCAAGGGCCAAGAAGCTCCCAGTCGTTTTGGCAATTGGCATTTTAAAAAAATAAATTAAAATTTTAATCATGCGTACCATGCAGAATTTGATTTAGGGGCCGTCGCTTATCGGCCAAGGAATAAATTGTAAACTTTAATCTTCAGTTCTTACATGGAACCATTTTATTTAATGTAAGTTACTAGCACTTTTTATCAATATCAATGGTTTATCTACCAAAACTGTGTGTTTATCTCGGCAAACTACGAACTATTTAGTCCCCATAATACTGAGCTACAATCCTGGGCAAAAGTCCTTGGGACAGTACTGCAATATTCATATATTTCTGTCATTTCTCGGTTCCCTCTTAAAACATTGTATCCTTTTCAAAATTTTCTTGCAGTTCTCCTTCCCCCCACCCTATACAAAGTTGAAACTCGGAAAAAATTCTGGATAAACGCGTCCAACATTGTTTGTAGGCTGAGGGGAGGGGTTGGACCTGTGTGAATTGGAATTGTCCCAAGACTTTTGTCCATGATTGTAAATTGTAAGCGTGTGGTAAATGCAATACACTCTCACGTAAGTCAAAAACATAACTCCCAAACGGCACCGTGTTTATTTAGAACTAACCTGAGATCAGGCCCAATTTGAGCGGTTCTCATACATTCTCTCTAACGGAACAAGTTAGCGTCTTCCTGAAGTTTTATTAAAAATTGAGTACTATTAGGAAAAATCGTTAACACAGAATTGCGTGATTAGGTTTGGGTAATCAATGTACTTTAACGGGTAGTTCAGCTCTTAACAGACAATTTAGGTTGTGCAAATAACTTTCTCAAACTCATTAATATTTTATAAAGAAAATACAAAGGAAATTAAATTTTTGGAAATGAGATGAAAAACTGCTCATTTTTGCATCCTTAATTACTCCTTCTTAAATCATTTTGTTTGAGAAGTAATATCAAGACACAGTGTTTCATCACCAGATGAAACACCTCGAAGTTCGTCAAAAATACTCCGCTGCGCGTCGAATTTTCAACGCTCTTCTCAGTGCTTCATGTAATATATCAAACATGAGACGCAGTGTTTCATCACCAGATGAAACACCGAGAAGAGAGTTGAAAATACGACGCGCAGCGGAGTATTTTTGACGAACTTCGAAGTGTTTCATCTGGTGATGAAACACTGTGTCGAATGTTTGATATTTCTTCTCAAACAAAATCATTTTTGAAGGAGAAATTAAGGATGCAAATACTGAGCAGTTTTTCATCCGATTTCCAAACACTCATTAAACATTAATTTTCTTTGTATTTTCTTTATGAATTATTAATGAGTTTGAGAACTGCTGATGAAACACTACGTCTTCATGCTTGATATATTACCTGAACTATTTACCCCACACCCTTTCTCACGGCACATACTTATATATCTAGAGTACCAGCCCTGTCGGCGGTTAAAAGTTTCCCATCCCCATTTCATGCCAGAAGAACACTGCGATGAACCGTTTCCCCAATAAGAAGCTAACCAAAGAGTGGAGAAATTTGTGGAAGGCAGCAGTTGTGTTCCACATGAACTGTCTTTACTTCCGGTTCTTGACCAACAGGGTATTGTTTATCTCCTGGTTTTACGAGTAGACGAATTGTGTCCGATTTCACGTCCACGTCTGCTTTATCCTTTGTAGCTGTGATTGATAATACACCGGCTTTGTGTTCTACCTGACAAAAAATTTTTTATATTCTTACGGGCCTAACAAGGAAACATTTTTCGTTAGATCCATAACTCTTCTAAGCCAGTAGCCTGAGAAAATAGCCTACATTTCGCGACGGAACGATTGCAGGAAGCTGCAGGAATTCCATACTGATTCGATGAAGTGTGTCTTCCCATATCTTAGTTGCGCTTCTGATAGGTTGAGGCAAATTTCCCTAGCAGCAGGACCAATCAGAAGCACTTTCCAGATCTGGCTAGTGACACGTCATGTAAGTATGCAATTTCTGCGCTCGTTCCTCGGACGTCGTTTCGCGGGGAAACCAGTGGAAGACAGCGAAATAACGGATGATTTCTCAGGCTACTTAGCAAGGGGCATATCGTGACTAAACCCATGAGCATCTCCTACTTATCCAGGCTGCAGATATGATGACATCATCTTTAAAAAGACCTTTCTCACACTACACCCGTCATCTTTGCAAGGGCCGAGTAAGGATTGGTGGGATGGTTTCCAGGGGGGCAAACGGCGACTGACAAAATCAGTTGCCAATACACCTTTCCCGCATTACACTCCGGTGAGCAAACACAAAGAAATGAGGTCGAGGCTCGGGTGGACAATTTCATACAACTCACTGTATTTTGTCCACCAGTGCCTCGAGTTGGTGCCTTTGTTCACATGAATGCGGAAACGGTCTGTAAAAGAAATCATGGCCATTTTTTACTCCATTAAAGGGAACCTCCACTTCAACAAAAAGATAACTTTAAATCACAGGAAATAACTGTTACAGTCAAGTCAATCTAAAATATTTTTAAAGAAAGCGTTTTTATCCGAAAGAAATAACTTTTAGATTCGCCTATTTTTGTTTTCAAATTTTGCGGGCGTCGCCATCTTGAATAATTGTGAAGTGTTACGGTTGCCCTATTGTTATTAAACAAAAGCTCTTTGTGTCAGAACAATAGAGCAACCGTAACACGTCACAATTATTCAAGATGGCGGCGCCCGCGAAATTTGAAAGTGAAAATAAGCGATTTTAAAATTCACTTTTCCTGATATAAACACTTTTTTTAAGGACAAATTTCGAACAAATTTGTTTATCAACATAATTTTATTCGATTTAAACTTATTCTGTAGTAAGAGTGGAGGTTCCCTTTAAAATCAAGGAAACAAGTTAAGGGCGCTTTCCATTTGTCAGAACTAACTGGCCAGTCCATTTCCTTTGCAATGAGAATCTCACTTTTAATCAAAACTATCCAGTCAGATCAATCAAATCTTAAATAGTATGTAGGAAGGAGATGGGTTTTCATAAAAAAAACCGTGGAAAAACGCCATTTGATTGTCAAAATGACTGGTTTGGTCATAATCCGGCCGGCCAGAGGTAGAGGTAGAGGTAGCCCATCCCCATAGTTGTTCTTCGTCTACCATTCCTGAATTTGGAAATGTTCATGGTTTTTTAGGAGAGAAATCGGAGTACCCGGAGAGAAACCTCTCGGAGCAAGGGACAGCGTGACCAACAACAAACTCAACTCACATATGGCGTCGACGCCGGGATGTGTACCCTGACCGAAAGTCCTGTCACCACTGCGCCATCCTTTTTCTCCCCAAAGAAATAACAAACTGACAAAGACAGCCGAAGCGTGACAATCCCAACCCTTACCTGTCAAATTTTGCTTGTAAAAAGGGCTATGTTAAAGTCTAAGGTCTTTTAATATGACAACGTAAAAAAATGAGGCTGATTCAGTAACAAGGTTTCAAAATTCAGTTTTAAAAAGTAAAAACAAAAATAAAAAACTGCGAATTTTCCCACGGCCCTTCCACGACCCAGCCCGCCCGCGCGTTTTCGCCAATTTAAACTGATTGGTACCTACTAAAGAATATACCTTATAATACCTGAAAATGTGGTTTCTGAAAAGTGCTGCTATCCTCTGGTATAGGGGAAGATTGTACCGCTAATATGTGTACTAAAGCGATGAGGGTACAAAAAGAAGCAACAATAGCTTCGAACTTCAAAGAACGGTGCTGACAGAGAATCGTTGCCATCGGGAGAACTTGTAGGAGATGGGTGACAAAATAATTGAATTGGAAGGGGTCAATGAGATAGTTAAACAACCTGTCCTTAACATAAATATTGAAACAGAAAAAGCATCAATGTCTTCGATTCGCAGATATAGTTTGACTTTTACCATCACGTTTTTATATGTTTCACTAAGTTTGTGTTGGTAGGTTATGTTTTTACATTCCTTAAAAAATAATAACGATAATATTATTGCAAGCTGTTGGTCAGTGAAGTGTGAAAATGCCGAGAAAAACTAAACAAACATACAGTGGAGTGAAAGAGTTTACATCGGCCAAAACGTAGCCTCTGCTCGCAGGGTATGATTCACGAAGTTAAGCTTGCCTGTTTAGTCGCTTGCAATTAAAGAATTGACATCTTAAAGTGGTCTATAGAAATGAAGCAAGATGAGGGCAGAAACATGTGAATAAAAACACATCTTAACAGCGAGCACCAGTCAAAACCTCGGCTGGTGGTTAAAACATTTATAAGTTCATTTGATAAAACTTCGTTCAAAAAATTCAAATCTTGTTCTATCACACGATATCAAGCACCTCAAATTGAACTAAGTTTATACGCAGTGTAACTACTCCTTTACTACAGTTCTTCAAGCTTAAGGAATCTGTTGTTAAATCGTGGTGATCTTTCAAAGCACAGATAACTAAAATAAATTATTTATCAGCGTTTTGCAAACAAAAGTATTAGCTCCGCCTTCAAATATTGCTTTTGGAGCACTTCGCTCAGCCACCCAAGATGAACAAATTTCATGGAATATTTTCTCTGTGTACTGCTTGCAAGACTCTAAAGACTCTTGCAGTTTTCATGCCGCTTTTCTTGTCTACAACATTTTCCGCTGACAGCACAGGCCAAAAGGCGCATTTTCAAGTTGAGGATAAATCTGGGGATTTAAAAATCTCAGCAACAAAAGATCTTGCGAAAGTGACAGCACAAGCGGACTCGGTCCAAGTTGTTGTCAAACCAGGCACGGCTGATTACCCAGTTCTCAAGTCAGACAAACCAATCGTACACGTAACACAACCCGGATGGCACACCATAAGTTTTAAAAAATCTGCTATCCTCAAAACAAAAAACGGCAAAACCAGGAGAAATTGGAAGAAGAGGATATCTCATTCAAAAAGCTTACATTGGTTGAAACTGAGAAACAGAAGGAGAAAGATGTTTAAAAAGAATGGCTCTTCTCTTCTACGTTTAAAAAAGAAGAAGATCTTTTCTGGAAGTCATCAGAAGGATCTAACAGGAAATAAAAAATCAGAAGTGAAATACAGTGGATTTCACGTGGCTGGAAATGCCGGAAAACTTAAAATGCATGTGACTAAAGACGAAACAACACTAAGCAGCGAATCAGGGGGAGTCGACATATCTTTGAATAAACCTTCCTCCCCATCATCATCGTCATCGTCTTCATCAAACCAGAGAAGTTTCAAAGCGCAGTCCCAGCAATTTACAGGGGAGACTAGTAACAAGACCATTCACTTTGCCTCTGAAATTGAAAACAATATGTTCTTTATCGGCTTGAGAAAATCTGTTGTAACCGGACTCAAAGATCAAGAACCAGAATGGGACTAAATCGCCAAATCAGAGAAATATGTATATTTAGGAAAGCAAAATTCAAGTTCCTTTTTTCCCTTATAGACGACATCATTTAAGAACTGGTGATTTAAAAATGATACGGTTCACTTGATCTGTCAACTCAACACCAGACGGTGTTGGGCCGGGATCAGTTTCCTTTGAAAAATGGCGGCGGAGTCACGGTTGAGCGCGGTTTATAAAAGTAACCTGTGCGCGTCTGTAACTACGATGGATTAGCACTTCAACCACTGGTAATAGCAACGCAGCTGGTGAAAATAACCACTTTTCTGTCCTGGCCGTACAGTACACACATTCACTCGCGAGCCCGTTATTTCTTGCGCCCATATCACTTACAAGCGCCTGTTATGCAGGCTATAAATTACTCTGTACACTAGCGATATTACCTTTACGTTCATAGTTCAGGAAATGATGATTGAGAGAAAAGGAAACTAACTGACGTTTGAATAACGGGGATGGAAATAGAAATATTGCAACTACTCAATAATTTCTCAAATCTTTGCACATGTTAACATATTATTAAACGCTATATACACCTTATTGCAATAATGCTGTCAAAGAAAAAATGCAAAAAGGAAAAAAGGAAAATGTAAAAAGCCAAGTAGGAATTAATTTAGGCTCACTAACAAACTACTCAACGATTCATCAATTTGCAACATTTGCAAGTTTTTTTAGTAAGCCTAGTTAATTCCTATTTGGCTTTTTCCTTTTTTCATTTTTCCTTATCATTTAAACGCATTGTACCTGCGCTTTCATACAGAGAAGCTCTTCATTTTCTTAAGTTACCTAGATTAGACTAAAGACGCTGTGAACTATGCGTGAGCACTTTCGGTTTTCAAAAAGATTTCAAAAGGGGGACCACCCTCTAAACATCTTCCTAAGACGAGGGTTTGAGTGCATCACCATTATACGAGAAATGCAGAGAACTATATGATGCCCATATACAGGACTGAAAGACTAACAATTATTCGTAGTTTCTTTCCAAGTGCAATCTTAACTTTAACTCATTAGTCTGCATAGATCAAATAGTTGCATGTATGAAAATTTTCTTTTTTCATATAATATTTATTATTATATTAGAAATCGTTTTGGAATTGTTTGTAATTCGATATTATCATCATTATTGTAACCCAGTCCCTGTTTTTAAAAGATTTGCTTGTGATCTTACCGGTAGGTTTTAGAATTCTTGTAGTTAACAACATTGTATAATTCATTAATTTGCGATGATGTTCAGATTAAACCTTACTATAACATTTTTCCCAGACAACGTTATTGCAATTAGGTGTAGAAGCTAGACCAGTAGGTAGGAACGTTACTGATACAATTAACTACTCTTTAGCTTCTTTAAACGAGTAGGTAGTTTTCTCTTGGTAAAAAGCATTTTATTATTACAAAAAATTAAACACAACTTGTCATAATATATTTAAACCTATGCAGCAAATTATGAGTTTCTGATCTATTATTTAATTCATAACATTATGAATGATCAATAGATACTTCAATACATGTGCAGGAAATGAATTAACCATCCATCATTTCAACAGTGGATCTATGAGTTTCTTCCAGTCCTCCACAGTCCAACTAGCTGACGCTTCACTGACAAAAATATCATTTATAAAAAAGAATGGAGTGCCAGAGACTGTCCCTAAAATAATACAGACAGGACTTTGTTATATAAAATTAAGCAACAAATAACAACAAACACCTTTAGCACTCAGCAAGAAACAAAAGCCACCCTACAGGAGCATGGCTTAAACTTAAAACATTTACATATTTTAATTCTTCTACAGCTGATTTAAATTCAAAATACACCCCAACTTTAAAAATACATTAATAAAAAAAATATTGTTGTTATATGCTGGTTGTGCGAGTGCTTAAGATGATAAGATGATGCAAATCCTTTGTTCTGATTGGTTAGCCAATCAGGGAAGATGGGTTTATCTTGCCACTCTGGACCTCAGAGATATATTTTACTTTTGGCCATAAAATATATCCTATATTGACCTAAATTGTTTGGACAAGGTAGCTGAATATTAAATAATTAAATATTCAGCCATTCCTTATTTTGGAATTGCCTTGTTCTTTTTTCGTTTTTCTTTGACAAAGAATATGAGGCCAATATTTACCCATTTTGGTCAATGAATGCATACAAATAACACGCTATGTCCCCACTCCTCTTTAGAGAAACTTGCATGACTTTTGTTTGTTTTGGAGGCTACAACAATCTATCAAATAATGCTACGCAAATTTAAAAGCATACTCACTTGAACAGCCATGTTTCCATGAAATTCTTGCACTCTCGTCAAATTTAGTATTGGAAAGACCATCCTTGATGACTGATTTGTCAATTTTAAGCTTACTTCCCAGATCAGAAATAATGCTAAAATAGGATAAACAGGTACAGTGTACAGAAACATATTTTCACTCACTCACTCATTCAATATGTAACATTCATTCAAAAAGATACATGTTCCTTACTAAAGCACTCAACAGTATAAATAATATCAATAAACTTGTGCCCCTGGCCCTGGCAATATTTTCAAAAACTGTATTAGATACCTATGTAAAGTTCTTTTTTGTTAAGATTGTAGGATAACGGAAACTCAGTCCCCATATTCAGGGCACGCAACCTTTTAAGTCACTTAAAGGCTTGACTGTCATTCAAAAGCTGAAATTGACAAACGTTTGGATAGTGGCCAGGGTAACCATTATTACACCTTAATATTACCGGTAATCATTTTGTACCTTGATGGAAAACATAGGGTAAAGTTGGAGAAATTCAGGGCCAGAGAGGAAGGGCTTTGACAATATATGTGTGAGTCATTTGTGTTTAATTTGCTGTCGCAGTTGCCACTTTTAAATGGCAGGGTGTTTGATATTATGACAATCAACCTCATTCCCAGCCTTCTCTGTCTTCTCTCCTGCCTGTCCGTGCAGAACAAAGTAGGAGACAGCCCTTGAAATAAGGTTGTATGACAGTGAGGTAGTTTTTTTTGGGAGTGGGGAATCGAAATAAAACAACTCAAACTTTTAAAGTTCAAATGCCCAAGGAGTTGCCTGCTGAAGGGGAGAGGGCAAAGACTGGGCAGGGGGGGGGGGAGGCCATAGAAAGTTTTATTATTAACAATTAACCAGTTACATAAGGGTTTTAATAACTAATTTATGTTAAATTGTCAGTTGGTTAAATGACCCAAGAATTTGATTATGCTTACTTGATTACATCATATCTGTCTTTGTCCATTGTCTGAAAATTGTACAGTTGTTCTTGGTTATCAAATATGACATCCATCCAGCTGATAACAAGAGATGAATTAAAGGCTTCCACCGCATAAACACTCTGAAAGCACGATCATGAAAAGGCCTTTTATTAGTGAATCAAGTAGAGAAAAAAAAAAGGTTTTTTTCCAAAGCTTCCAAGACTAAGAAGAAAGCTGAATACAAAAATGGCATAGTTTTCTCAAGGAACAGTTACTGGAATGGGACAACTTTTTGCATACTTGTGAGGTTTTGCTCTCAATAAACTCCACAAGTACAGTGTTATGCTTAACAGTTGGTCAGTCCTCATTCTGCATTTTGAACCCATGTTTACCCTGCATTTTACTCTCAGTGTGCAGTCTGCATTCAGTCTTCAATTTTGCCCTTAGTCTGCAGTCTGCATTCCGTAGTCCACAATCCAGTTAAGTCTTCATTGTACACTGACTTGATCATTTTAAAGCAATGACCAGTAAGAAGGATTCACAAGTTAGAATCATCTTTTAGACCCCATTGACACGTGCAAAAAAATCTGGAGGACACCCTTAGGTTTAATTGGTTTTTCGTTACCTGGGAACGGTGCCAATCTTCCATTGGCACCTCTTTCGTTCTATTTGTATCTTTACTGGAAATGGCCAAAAAATTAAAACTGTGATTCCGTACTGTAAGATTGTTAGTTCATGTCATGACCATGTACATCACCAACATAACCGCTATTTATGTCATAACGAAACTATCTCTGTGAGGGAGTCTCAGCAACCCCAAAAGCTGGGGTACTGACCGGGGGTACTGATGCATTTACACGTTGGTAATTGCGAGTGCTGTGCCCAAAACTTGCAGGCACAGTGCCAAAAATGAGTGGTGCCATGCAGAATTTTTTGCATGCAAATGGGGTTAATTAACACATAAATGACTACTCGCAATAAAAATGACCAGGCCTGTCTTTGCTTCTATAAGTACAGTACTTTACTGCGGGTATTGCTCATTCAAGAAACGCCTTAAGTAAGAACATTATTGAAGTAGGGATTACGTAATTTACATTTCCAAGAAAGTGACTGGGGCTGAATTGGGCTTTACCTCAGAGTAGGCAGGTATCTCCACAGGAATTGTTTCATCCACAGAAATGTACCATGTACATAGCTGCCAAGCAAACTCGTGTAGGCAGTCGGCATATAAATTTTTTGCAGCATCGATTGTTATTTGACAGGGACGGGATTTCAAGTCAAAAGCGTAAACTCACCTGAGCAGCGATAAATGCATTTGTGTGATATGGTAGCGGAAAGAGCTGCAACGTAAACTGCACAACTTTAGGCCCGTACATATCTGCTATCTTTTTTACCGTCGGCCATGCCTGTTTGGAGTCTGGACAGGTCAGATCAACAAACGCTGTGAGATGAATGGGAGCGCTGGACTCACCTCCGTGGTAAACAAAACCCAATGGATGTTTGGGCAGCGGAATTTGTGATCTTACAGCAGAGATAAGTGCTGCAGAAAGCAACAAATGCCAGGCAAAAGCAAAACGGTCTCGTTCCATGTCACCGTGGCCTTCAATAAGAATACACTCACTTTGCGTTTGTTGCTTTCATTTATATGCAAATAACAACATCACGCGCGAGTCATGCCCATGACTCGACTTGAGTCAGCATCATCGCGGCTTGTTTTGGGCCACGGAGACCCAAGGTAGCTAATCACGGGATAGTTTTATCTCCTCGGAGTATTAAATTGCAGAATACCCGTCCACCTCATACCACTTCATTTACGTGCGTTGGACCTTATGCCTCATTTAACAGATTTTTTTAGCGTTGTAAACAGCAGAGCTGGGTTAAGAGAACTGTGACGTCACGAATAATCAAATTATGGGATTGGGCAAAAATATAGAGGGGAGGCATGGAGAGTTTTTTTTTTTTTGGAGCGGGGGGGAGGTCTATTGAAATTTCTGCCAATGTGACTGAAGGTATAAGGGGCAGGGGACATCAAAAACGTTTCGATTCAATCAACACCGCCCCTGTGTTCCTCTCTCTTCCACTGGGATCACGCTTTGTACCACGAGGCTGGGGAGAGGGAGAAAGGGAAGGGAAGAACGACCGCGCCTTTTTTGAAAATGGGATACATTAAAGTTCTTCGGCGCCTGCATGGGTTTTGTTTTGTTTTTCACCCTGGAAGCCCAGGGTGAAGTTGACTTAGTACAGTGCTGGTTTGTGCTGGCTCGGCCACTTCGGAACAAATATTTTCGGCCATTTTTGGTTTCTCTTCTTCGAGTTGTTAGGTTCGTTACGCTTGTTGCCTAAGTTTCATTGGTTTCCATATCTGGGGCAGTCCAATTTCTAACAGCCTAGCGTGTTTAATTATCAGTTGGAATTTTTTTTTTGTGGGGGGGGGGGGGAGCAGCGATGGCGGCTTAGAGTTTATCTCGTGACACCTACCCTGATATTTTATTGTATGGAGGGTGAATTTGAGCAAATTATCATGAAACTTTGTGTGAGCATTAAGGAAAACAACAAGAGTAAGAGTAAGTGTCAGTGACTTTTATTTCCTACAGATTTTAGGAGCGCAACTTTACCCCATACAAACACGGTAATTTTACAGGAATCGACCAGTGGCACTATCACAGAGCCTGGGTTACCTTTGCGAAAATGGCCGCGTAGTGTTTCAGTTTCTATAGAAACTGTAAACGCAGTAACGGAAGACAAGAAAATGAACAATACCCACTCAAAAAAACAATATAAAAGCGAAGAAAACTTTCTGCAACGCAACGGTGTTCTGTACCGTAATCGGCGAGAGCAAAACAATGCAAACGGCTAGGAATCCTGCAGTTCAGACCACGGTTAAGCTTCTTCCTCTCTTGTTCAAGGCATCCAAGTTTTATACGGCCTGTAATGATAACGATGGCAATGATTTCGTTCGTGGATCTGATATTCCTTCCCGATTAGTTGCTCTTTGGTCACCTTTATAGGTCGCCGAGAAGCAGGGAGCTTTTTTGGAATAGCCACCACAAGCAAACTACACAGACTTTATAGACATGCGACCGTTCAACCATCCCCAGGTTGGTCACCGTTTTGAACAGGATAATGGTCATACTGATGTCAAACGAAAATATCGTTAACGTTCATAATAATGGTAGCATATGATGATTCATGATTTAGCATAAGCCGCCAGAGCGCCCCCAATAACACTTTGAAGAGTGCATCTCATTTTTTAGTCCGCTTGCTTGAATAGCTGGTAGAGGTAGGTAATTGTAACTGTTAAAAGCTGTATAATTCGCCAGACTTTGATGCCTGTTAACATTGGTAATACATCTCTGTTGGAAGATCTGTTGGCGATATCGTGAGCGTTATACGAAGTTGCAGAGTCTATAGTGCGAACTACCACTTCAGTGTACACAAAGATTATGATCAAACGAAGGTAAAGAGGACGGAAACCTCTGTAAATTCTTGGTTCTTCTTCGCACAATGTGCTGCATTCTTCATCCTTAAACAAAATACGAAACTGTCATCAGTATCAAACCGACTGGTTTGTGACGAAGTAACTTTTAGCAGCAGTACGTATAGTTGATGCACCTTTCAATCGCTTTGAACAGGTTATTACAAGGGAGAATGAGCTATTCTCTCTTGGTTATTATTTTCAAAACATTGAGGATTTATTTTCAAAACATTGAGGATAAGGTCACTGAACTGGAGCAAGAAGTTACTATCGGGAATGATGACTAACTGTTTCAGTTCAGTGAATTAAACAATGACTAGCTAGTTCTAAAACAATAGAGGTGCATTCAATCAGAAAAAGCCTTCGCTCCTCTCCTCGATCATCTTCAAAGTAATGACCTTGAGCTACAATCCTAGACAAAAGTCCCTGAGACAGTACTGTAATATTCATATTTTTTGGTCATTTCTCGGTTCCCTGTTAAAACAGTGCATTCTTTTCGAAATTTTCTTGCAGTTCTCCCTCCCCCAACCCTATACAGAGTTGAAACTCGGAAAAAAATTCTGGATGCACGCGTCCAACATGGTTTGTGGTGTGAGGGGAGGGGTTGGACCTGTGTGAATTAGAAAACGCCCCAGAAACGCAAAAGTGTGCCAAGACTTTTGTCCATGATTTTACGTGCTCGGTCATTAGGGAACTTAAAGCTACGGTAAAACAGACAAGAAACACGTGCAACTTTGCTGCAAAATGAGTTGAAGAGCAACGACGCACGTTTCACCACACATGTTCAACCTGTCTTACAATTGTTGCAAGACACATGAATATGACTTTTGATTGGATAAAATTACGCGGAAGTCACGACAAACACGTGGGTTACAACACTTCCTGAAAAACAAGTTTGCCTTAGGCCGGTAAAACGCGCAACATGGGCTGACAGATTTTGTTGCAAAAAGTAAACTACTCTCTTCTTCCTGCAACAACGTTTCGCAACCTGCATTAACCAGATTTGTTGCAAGACCGGTTTGATCGTGGGTGGTAAAACGCGCAACATCGCTATTCAACTCGTTTTGCAGCAATGTTGCAAAACAAGTTGCACGTTTTTGCTGCCCGTTTTACCACACCCTAAGAAACGACGACGACGACGGCGACGGCAACGAGAACGTCAAAAAAGCAGACGGAAGTCTCAAAGGAGTTTTCCCAGGCCTTTACGACTATGCATTTCGGTTTCGTATCCGAAGGAACAAGCCGGGCAATCAGAGGGACTGGGTATTAACCGAAAATTTACACGCAATTACAAACTACAACAGACTCGAGTGGAAATAACCCATTTTTTTCAAAATACTGTTAAGATCATTTTGGCTGTGATTAAGGTCTTGCTTTCGTTCAGCTTATCGCGTCACTGGGCGCTGTCGTTAAGCCGTTTTCCTCCCTCACGAAACTGATTTTTCCGTTTCTCTTTCTCTTCGATTTTTCGCAACACAACCTATTTAGTGAAGAAGAACGGCGAGAAAAACAATCAGTTAAAGACACTCGACTAAAGATCGCGCTATAGCATATGGGTGGAATGCTGTAAAACTATTAACTCTTTGAACGTAATCATTATTCATTTTCACACAGTTTTATACCTTCTGAGAGTAGGAAAGTTGAACGGCTGCTACCAAAGCAAGAACACTTGCGACTCTCACCAAAGCAAACAGTAGACATGTGGGTGATAGGAAAATAGATATTATCCTTTGAGCACGGGACATGTGTTCTACAAAAAAAATTACCTGTATTAGCTTCTGAAATGAATGAAAGCCTCTTAACTCCGCTCCAAGCAAAGTTGCAATGAGATCAGTGACTGCATCCTTTAAAAAGAACATCTTGACGGTCTTTTCGCCCCGGTTATTTAAGCAGCCCCCTAAGTAACCTTTAACATCGCTTCAAGAACGAAATGTATTACACATTTAAATGACTAGAAAATAAGGGGCTAAGTAACTGGGGTGAAATGACCCTTTACCGTTTCAGGAGTTTCGGTACAAACTGTAAGTGCTGCAATGGGTAGAATAAGTTACTTTTTGCAAGTAATACTGCAACTTATGTATGAAGGTTTTGGCTTTCTGGAGGTTACCGGTCGTTTCGACTGTGCAAGTCGTTCCGATACAAGTTTATTCAGTCAAGGTGTAAAATACTGAGTTCCCCGTTCTTGGCTTAAAGAACGAAAAATATTCACCCACAACTTTCACGCGCAAACTGTACTTGAAGTGAACGAATTTTTCTGCAATGTATGCTCGATCAGGAGAGGTGATCGCACATCGGGCGGTTCATCTGTACAATGGAGCATACCAAATCATGCACATGAACCATCTCAAACAAAAACAAGGACCATACACGATTGAACTAAAAATCAATTAAAAGCTCAACAGAGTACTTACCTAAGCTCGCTGTGGCCATTGACAGAAACAGACTAAGGAATGAACGGTTGCCCGTGAATGAACTGGTTTAAAAATAAAAATGAAAGAAAATCGTTATTATTTTTAGGAACCACTGTTAATTGGAATGAATGATCGTGAACTAAAGTCCCCCAATTTTTCCTCTTTAAGCTTCGACTCGTGTCAATTTATTTTCACTGCAAAATGAAAACTTCTTGTAGGCACACTGATTTCCTCTCTATAACATATTGCTTTTCTTTCTGCTGAACGCCAATTTTTTAAATTTTTACCTTATTTTGAACGGGATCCCGTTAAGTTGGGAACAGACAGACAGACGCCAGAAAGTTTTTAAAGTAATGTTCTATTTCAAATTTCATTTGCACTTTCAATATAAAGGTCATTAATTTCAGTTAGATTGAATTTTATCAATACAAGGTTCAGTGCGCATAAGCTTTGGGAGTGAATGGAAACCATTCTCTTGAGATCGAATTTTGTCAGGTGATCGTATTCAACCTGTCCTGGTAAAGGGCTGGAGGAAGGATTTTGTAACAGCGTGCCTCCTGGGTAAATATTTGTTTGATAGTGATATAAAATGTGGATTTACTTACTAAAGCCATTGTGTTGGTGCATCCAGGGAATTTTCTTGCATTAACCTTTCTTGCTTTATTGCCCAAGATATAAACATCATAACAAGACTAATGACTGCAGCATCAGAGATAATTCCTACAAGGAATACTTAATAATCAAATAAAACAATAAACATTATTTGACCACACCCTCCCCACCCGAAAAAAAAAATCACAAAAATCTATTAATTAATTGCTTCATACCAACGTTTTATTAGAAAGCACTGATCACCATGCTTTTGTCCACACTAAAAAATTAAATCATGGAGTTAATCAAATTCAGATATAAAATATTGAGATACCCGGCAGGCAATGCTTTATATAGCTGTCCATGTTGAAGGTATGTATAATAGTTAGAGTGGACTAATTTCCTGCAAACTACAAAAGATTCATACCTTCCTCCCTCTGCAAACAAATGAAAAACACAAGAACAGACAGTACAACTGCAATTCCTCCTACCCTGCAATAGAGTATATTGATGTAACAGAGTACATTAATTTTCATAAATATGCCTGCAAGAAATTGAGTGATAAAACAAAAAAAAATGTCGATGATGAACTCATTTTGACCAATAAAATGATTAACAGTAGAATGTGCACGTTTGCCCTTATGGCATACTTTCCGCATACTTTCCTGAGAAAATAGAAGAAAAATATATTAACCAAAAGAAAGCTCTGCCTATTGCCTACAGTCGCTGTATTTCTGGTTTGTGCCATAGTGTTTGCCTTCATTGTATTGGTTCAACTATTTCACAATAATTTTTCTTTTTGATTGATTTTTGCATGTTAACTTACCGGTAAGTTTAAAACGTGAAAATCAATCAAAAAGGAAAATTACTGTGAAGAAGTTGAACCCGTGAAGGCAAACACTATGGCACAAACTAGAAATACAGCAGCTGGTGTCAGCAATAGGCAGAGCTTTCTAGTGGTTATATTTTTCTTCTATTCTCTCAGGAAAGTATGCAAGGGTCGCATTCATGTTAGCCACGGAAATTACCCAGTCCCCAGCCCTTGGCCCTTAATGGCAACCCTGAACAGAACAAGAAGTTTCATTGTTCTTCAATAGGCCAGTTTTGAATTCTCAAAATTCATTCTTGGCTCTGAGGCTGAGGAGTAAAGCAAAAAATGGGCTAGTCACCATTCTCACATTGACCAAAATGCATCTTGTTTACCCCCCAAAATTTCTCTTGAGATGACTGTAATACCCAGGGGGAATTGAAAACAATTCCTATGTAAAATTTTCGGGGGTAGACAAGGTGCATAATGGTCTCAATTAAATTCCAGGTTTAATAATTCACCTCTTTTGTTCAAATCCCTTCGGCCTCAGAGCCAAGGTTTTAGCCAGAAGGGTGTCCAGCTATCCTATGGACGCCCATTTTTGGAAGAAATAGGAGGAAAATTCACCTAATCTCTTATAATTTTATGGGAAAACAGGCCTCTGCACAACCAGTTTTCAATGTCTGGCTAAAAGCCTGCTCAGAGCCAAGAATGAATTTTGATAATAATTTAAAACTGAACTATATTGATTGGCTCCTAATGTGTTAATTCTAAATGTATGCGTGGTTATTGCAAACACCATTCATAAGTGAAAAAAAATCTGAGAGTCAGAGACTTTCTTACCAGGCTTCCATATCTGTGGTGTGAATATCAGCAAACAGATTGTAACCAAGGAACATTGACAGAAAATATGCAACTCCTGAGATGGTTAGGATACTAGACTACGCAAAAAAAAAAAATTACTAAAACTGACGTTTTTTTCTAAATTAAACAATAACATTTATTTTTAGAATATAAATTACTTCAGTGCAGGCATGACATGTCAGTAGACTGTAGTGCAAATGCAGCTTCATGACAAATTAACAAAAGCTTTCATCCAAATAAATGCATTGTGGTCTTTCCAGCTTGGGTTTTGTTTATCCATTTCAGACCATGTAAAGAACAGCAAAATTACGTAGACCACATGGCATTTACTAATGTATCAAAGGTTTTCTGTTTGAAGGTAATAATATTTATAACTTATCTTTTAAAACCTTTTTTATTGTTATCCTGGATATTCATCTAACATAGGTTCCACAAAAAATTTTTAAAAATATTTGTGCATAAAAGTTGATACATACTGATACTGCCTCGAGGATGGCGGTTGGCCTTCACTAGTGTAGTTACCCATTGGGAAATAATAAAAAGATCATCGGCCAATCAGAGTGCACACTTTACTTCCTATGTTACCTTTTACCTTGACTAAAACTGGGTGTTCTTCAATCTCATTCACAATAGACTGGCTTACAAACATCACCACCAACACTGACAACACAGCTTCAGTCAGCAAAAAAGCAGACTCTGACAGATGAAGAATCTTCTGATAACTCCAGACAATCAAATGTGGAGTCACGTTGAATGGAAGAAGCAGAAGGGTAACAAACAACAACAACTGCAGCATTGGTAAAGCAGATTTCTGTCAAGTTAAGGTTATTTATTGATGCTTAACAGTGGCACTGATATTGTACTAAAGTTAGTTAAAACCCACGTGTAAGAACCTAGTGGTTAAATAACGTGCTGGCAGAGATCGAGATGGTAGGCGAACCTACTTGTTACCTGTTTCAATCCTGGGGCACCCGATTGATGGAAATAGATGATCGGAAAACCAAACGATCAATCCATATCAATCGATAAAATTAATTATTAATTGGTATGGATTGGTATTGGTCAATGATGATCAATCAATAACCACACAAAAACGTTTCATTGATTACTATTGATTAACATGGCAACCTCGCACAGACGTCTCGCACGCTACCTGTCCAATCATCCGCTATTTCTAGGAAGACCTGGGGAAGAAATTGGTATACAATTCTGACCCAGTCATCTCAATGCAAAGAATATACCCCGTTGCACAAGTACTTGAATCACCCACTTGCCCGTCACTGCCTTTCCATGTCATCATGTCTACCCAAGAAGTCCGGGAAGAGGCTTTACTGAATATAAGGTGCATCGTCAGAGGCTATCACCTTTGCCGTTTTGAGGTGAACGCCGGCAAAGTGTTTACTGCTAACAAGAGGAGGGGAGAACGCGGAAACGCCTTTTAAGTTGTTAACCATCGTGGACAGCTCGGCCGCCTACAGTCCGAGCTTGTGGATCCCCTTTGGCCAGTACTTGCAAATATTTCTGTGTCAATCTGCAACCAATAGATACCAATTTATTTATCGATTGTTATTGAAAATCGACACCAATCGATAACCCGACGAATCTTAGCCATCGACTGGTCATCAATTATCAAAATCAATCGATTTACTGATATCGATTGGTATTGATTGATTTCGACTGTCATCGATTATCGATTTTATCGATCGGATACCCGGGGTTTCTTCTATCATAATAACTATAACATAGAAGGAACTGTAAAAGCACAGGAATGGAAACTTGAACAGTCCAAAATTTCTTCCCGAAGGTTTCCTGAAGGGCATATTAAAGTTTCAGGCCGACCAGTTTAAGAGTTAGCTTACTTTACTATGAATAGGAGGGGTACTACTTCTGGCTACCTAAAATTTAAAAACCGCCGGACGGGAATATAATACTCACCAAAACCCTTGGTATTGCCGCAAGTAGGACAGAATGTAAACAAAGAAGCAAAGAAAATCTTGTTGCTGCTTCGGAACCAAAATATGAAAAGTACAAAGGCAAAGATAACCCTCCAGTTATCAGTAAAATCAAGTTGCTTGCCGCAAAGCAAGAGAGACAACTCAACGCCATTTTGGATTTCCCGCCGACCCGTGCGGCGCTCGAACAGGCTAGAGTCCAGTCCCCGCTGTCCCAATGTCACCCTGATAGGGTACTGGGTAGTAGAGCGAGCGAAACGAGAGCGCGCGTGAAAATTACCCCACGCGAGAAAGGCGAGACGCGGTGGGGTGATTTACACGCGCGCTAGTCTAATAAATTTTGATCTTTATACTACTACATGAGAAATTTCTGCAATTTGATTAGCTTAGAGCAGTGGTATTTCAGCTTAATTTGGAGTACCTACACGTGAAAATTACAAAGTGTTTGCGGGTAGTAGAAAAACAAATAATATCATGAATTGTACGTAATATTTGGCATAAATACCAATCGTGATATTTCAAAATTGTATCAAATTACATTCGCCTAACAGCTTGTGAAACTACGTGTAACAATTTCGAAATATAACTCGTAGTATTTATGCCAAATATCACTACAAATCATGCTTTTACCTATACTTATCCAATACAGCTGTGGTGGTAATTTTTTCTAGTCTTTGTTAAGGGCGACGTAGTTCATGCTCAAACTTGGGAGGTATTGACCCTGAAAAACCCTTCCGAGCAACCTTATTGTCTCCTGGGTATTGCAGTCGTCCAAACAGAAATTGAAGACAATGGTTATATGGGAGATGTGCAAATGGCGAATAGATGAGTGTGAACAGTTTATAGGCTACCCAAAAAGAAGATGGGCGCTAAACGTGGGTTTCCCCCATCGGGGATTGTTACTTCAATTCACTTAAGTTCAGGTCTTAAGACAGGTTACTTTTCGTTCATTGTCTTTTAGGGATTATTTAAGTATTAACTCCTTTAAAGTATATATCGTAAAATTCCGAAAATAAGCCCCGGGGCTTATATTTTTTAAAGGCCCTTTTTGAGGGGCTTATTTTTGGAGGGGCTTATGTTCGGAGAGGCTTATCTACGGACGGAAATTTGCGTTTCAAAATCGATTAGGCTAGCCTTATAGTTGGAAGTAAATTTGCGGTTTTTGCTTTGTTTTACTTTGTATTTGAGGGCAGTTTTCCGAGTACAAGCCCCCGGGGGACTTATATTTGGAGGGGCGATTTAACGGAAGGTTTTTTGCGTTACCGGATCGGGGGGCTTATATTTGGAGGGGCTTATTTTCGGAATTTTACGGTATTTAGATGCAGGTCCTTACATGAGAATTGAACCAAAACAACCACGAATAAGTTTATTCAGAAAAGAGATATGCTAAAGCTACAAGAGAGCATGGTATTACTTGACTTGAATAGAATGTGCTTATCTCACTAATTCACATAATTTTGTTAGTCAGAAACATTATAATAAAAATGAATTTTCTTTAAAAAGTGTCTCCTAGTTCAAATTTACTGCCACATGGGTGTACTTAAGATACTCCTCCAAAACAAAACCTCACCTAATGCCAAGAAACAAATTCTTGGAATTGCTGATGATCTCAAAAAATTACTCCTTGTTGTTAAGAGTCGTCAACAATGAAGTTTCCCCCCGGTGATCTTATTTTCAAAACTTTTGATTATATACTAGTGCATCGGAGAAACTAGAAGCTGATTTGCCTAAGCACTGCCTTCAGTCAAAGAAACAGATATTTAAAGAGCACTTTTCCAGATCACATGAAACTTTTAACCATAGTAGGACAGTCTTTCAGTATGCTTCCCATTTATCCAGTCACCTCACCACCAAACCATCTCGCTACAAACGGAATGGCCATCAAGGAGTAGACTCGTCACCAAGACACAGTCTACTCACCTCGTAGATCTCAGATGATAACCCCCGTTAACCAGTTGATTGTTATGCCTGGGCGGGATACTTGACTTGCTCCTTATTTTCGAAGGCTACACAGCTGGTGGCTAGTTGGTTGGTGGTGAAATATTCTGATGGCGAGATGACCGTAAACCTTCCCATTTGATGGGGAAGATGGGGTGTGGAGAGAAGAGGTGGAACAATCAAATATTGAAATTAAATGGAAACTCTTTGAGATTCATGCTCCTATTTCCTGACTACTAAGGTGTTCACTGTAAAACAAATGATTTGTTTTTAAAACAGCAGAGTGGGATAAGAGTTCCTGAAATAGGTTGCTTACTTTTCAGCCAGTTCTAACACATCTGCTTTGTCCTCTAGGTCCCCAGTACTCACGTAAATTGATCAAATAACATGATGAAATGGATTGAATCAGTAATATGTTTCTTTGACCTCTTAATTTTTTAAAGTGAAACCAAGTGTTCTTGACACGGGCCACTTATATTTTCACCTAGTTTAACAGCAACTGCTATTAGAAGTGAGTCAAATTTCCCAGTAGCTCCTCTTTGATTGTTAAAGTGCAAAAAGGAAACAAGGTGAACGTGTCAAAAGTTAGTTAATACACTATATTTCACATCACTAACAAAAGCATCGAACTGACCAACAAGACTATACCTGAACAAAATGAAAAAGAAAATTTTCAAATAGCTCTTAAAATCTTCTGTCCTCTTACATCCACAAAAGCAACCTTTCTACCTACTATTCACTCCTTTTAGAAACTAGAAGGGAACTGGGCCAAGTTCACTTTCCCAAAGGCTTCTGGGACTGTAATTAGAAGCAGGGGAAAAAATTGGCCAATGCCTGACCGGCATGTCACCAGTAACTATACCAGAAACAATTGCAGGGCACTTTTAAGCCGAGTCCTGTTCCCTTCTCATCTGAAAGTGGCAAGAAAGCCCTTTGCAGCTAGCCATTCATGTGGTACAAAACCCCCATGCTGGAGAGCAAGACAAACAAAGGACATTACCATTTAAAATAAATTATGTATGTTTTTTGTTTGTCTTGTCCCAGTATGATTTTTGCTCTCCAGCATGGCGGTTTTGTACCACATGAATCGCTAGGTCCAAAAGGTCTATTCCCTATTAGAACTTTCAAACTTCTAAGCAATAATAAGAGAGACTGTTTAAGTTAAGAATATATTGTGAAAATGTAAACAAAAGAAATAATATTTTTGACAATAACTAGCACATCGACACTACTTACAGTAAATTTATTATAACAGCATTCAAAAAGGTATAAGAAAGCTGGCTGGAACTGAATCTAAGAGGAAACTACACTTTATAAAGTCATCAGTTGCAGCCACTGAAACTAACCAAACACAATATTCAATACAGCCTAATATCTGCAATTCCCTAACACAAGTGATTAAAAGTACAGGCAGATCATCAAAGTCAATCAGATTATGACCTGTTTATATGCACAAAACTTGTCCCACGTAGAAGGGTCACTTGCCTACTTGAGCTACCCTGGACAAGCCAACTTTTATTTCCGTAGGAGCCTTGACAAACTGTTTACACGAGAAACATAAAGTTGGATGGGTGACCTGCCTAGCCGGCTCTCCCATTTGTGAACTCGAGGTAGGGTGACCTTCCTAGCCAGGCCAACCTTTCTCCAAATAAACACTTTGGCTTGCCCAGCCAGGTCAACTAGGTCAAGACGAGACAATCAGAGCATGCATGAGCACTCTTTTAGACAATCACAGCATGCGCGACTACTACTGGCTTAGGCAAAGGGGTCAACTTTTTTCTCATATAAATGCTTGCTAAATTTGACTCAGCTGTGAGGGTGATTCTTCTACCCAGGACAACTTTTCTCCATGTAAATGGGGCCTTACTCACCAGTATGCTGTGCCTGACTAAATCTATTACAGACTAGACTGAAAACTACTATTAATAATACTGGGCAAGGTTGTTCGAAGCTGGGTTAAGGTAATCCTTGGTTATTTGTGTGAAATTTGAACTCAGATATGAGAGATTAAAAAGCAAATTCAGTTAGATTCTCTTTGCCTACAATTTGATGATTGGATACTGTAAAAAGAATAGAGAAAACTATCCCAGAGAGTGCTTTTGATAAAAAGAAAACGATCCCCAGGTTAAAATTTAACTGTGGGTTTGCGCTAACTGGCGTTCGAACAACTGGGCCCTGGATGTCAAAGATGGATTTAAGCAGTGTATATCAGAGATTACATCAAAGCTAGATTTTAACTGTAGACTGGTCTTAGAATAAGAAGGCAAATTCAAAAAGATGTTCAGTCAGCAGGTCTTTTTTCAGCATATTTCTTTGTGAATTCTTCAGCAGTCTTATTAAACTTTTTTCTATCCTTGATGTACTCCTCAGCTAGGTCTCCACGGAGTGGGTGTTCTGGTTCAGGATCATGTATGAGAGCCACAAGAGCTTGAATCACTGAAACAAGAAAGAAGTTTGTAAATAGAGGATATAGTCGACTCTCTCTTAACGGACACCTCTATAAGACGGACACCTCTGTAAAACGGACACCTAGAGTTGGTCCATGCCTTTCTTTACTCCTTTTATTTGACTCTCTATAAGACAGACACCTCTCTAAGACGGACACTTAGTGCCGGTCCCAAAGGTGTCTGTCTTAGAGAGAGTTGACTGTAATTCATGCCCGCATGGAGATACAAAATTTCTCTTCAGGTGTTGAAAAATACACGTATTTCACTTGTTTGCTGTTCACTTTTCAACACTCAAAGAGAAATCTCATATCTACAAGCAGCCATGTAATATTCTATTCATAATATAAACACCAATGACATACCAAACCATTTCACTTTAATAGTTTCTTGTAAAAGATGCAATTTATTATGTAGCCATAGCAATGGTGATCTTTTCACATGTGAAACTAATGTGTTATTTCCACAATTGAAGATATCATGTTTTTGCCCGAAAGTTTACCTGGTATTTCACTGATGTTTATATAATAAATAACAATACTAAGGAGAGGCTGAGTAACCAATGCAGAGCCCAGTGTAAAAATAACGAGTAATTTAACTAGCCAACCTGAGTGCACACATGTTTATTCACGAGTAATAACACCTTGCTTTCAAGCTAGATATTGGTTGTAATACCTAAAATTTGAGTTGCAGATCCATCAAGCTTGTGAAATGAAAAAATCAAAATGTTCACTTTAGCGATTTTCTTATTTTGTTAATAACTAATAGGTGTGTAAATTGCAAGTAAATGAGTAAACTTTTTAGCTATTACCAATACCTTTTTTGATTGTCTTGGCTTTAAAGTGATGTACATTGATGACCAGTTCAGTTGAGCAAGGTCAAATAACAATACATCCGAACCCTGCTTTATGGACACCCACTTAATACAGACATCCTCATTATTGCAGACAGTTTTCTTTGTCCCTGGAGAAAGCCCTTACTTTTTCTCTAAATTTGACCTGCTTATATGGACGCCCGTTAAAGCAGATAATGACCACTTTTTTCTCCTCCAATCAACAGATTCTCATAGAAAGCCACCCTCGTTAATGTCCTTAATGCGGACACCTCAGCCAAATGGAAATTTCATCGAACTCAATTTTCTACAAGTAACATGAAACTCTTGGCTGATTTTTAGGATGGATTAGTTTTAGTATCATGTTGCTTGCAAGTTCCATGTCCTGAGAATCAAGACATGTACATATGTTTGCTTTGCTTTGTATTTAGCCTAACCAGGTTTGAAACTTAGGGCACTAACCCACCTTTATCAGTCCTAATGGCAGGTTTCCAGTTTTCAGGGCTGATGATAGGCAAGCATACCTGGCCCTTTTCATCAATGTTAGGATGATAAATCTTTGTCTTAAAAGTGATCTGAAAGATAATCATTAACAATAACAGTTTGCTTAACAATAATTCATTACTGATAAGTACAGATTTTAGTAAAAAAAAAAAAAAAGGAAAATAATAATAATAACTACAACAGGCAAGATATCATAACTTCATGACCAAGGCTAGACCACTAAGATTTTAAGTTACTGGGAAACAGTAATACAACAAGAAAATGGGAAATCAAACAGCAAGGAATTTCTTTTGGTTCTATTTTTCTTTTATTTCTCTACAAAAGTAGCTGGGGGTCACTCTCATAGTAGCCAGGGAAAATCCCTGGCCCCACGCCCTAAATGACCGCCCTGCATAACACAATACAGCATAGCTTAAATCACCTGTTCTTACTGGGGTGCTTTCCTAATCAAAATGGTTAGTATTCTTAAATATTAGCTAAACTCAGGGTTATTGTCATTAGTAGGTTGAATATGATTGACCAGGTGAGTGTAGTCCACTCCTGGATAGTCCTGACTGTTGGTGAGACAAAACTGTTGTTTTGATAACCTCAATTTGAAGGTTATTAAACTTCAGTGTTATAGACCTGAGTCCAATGCAATTAAGAAGTAGACAGACTCACCTTTGGTGGCTTAAAAGGATATTCTGCAGGGAAATTTATCTCTATTTTAAAAGCACCCTTGCTGTAGGGTGCATTTTCCTGTTGAAGAAAAGGGCCATAAAGTTACATATAGCATTAAGTTGGCACATAATACCAACCAAATGGTACATGCAGCCATTACCAAAGAAAATGACCAGACAATGATGAAGACAAAGAGAAAGTTCCTTCCCTACAGGACATTCTTGTATCAGTCCATTACAGTAAATTTATCTGTATTTCTTCTGTAATCCCCTCTTAACAGGTGCTTAAAATAATATGTACACCAAAGCCTCCAATGAGCTCTCCCTCACCTTGAAAATAATTTCATTGTGACACATTATCCAATACTCAATATGTACCCTACAAATGACATTTTTCAAATCAACGTTGCAATTCAGTATTGACATTTTGCTCCAGATGAATAAGATTCAAGAATGCACACATAATTTTATGATTATCCTAACCCATTCACCCCGGAGCTGCCAATAACTGCCCAAGCAGATCCACATCCCTTCCACCGCTTGTGATGTGTCAAGGACAACTTTGTCATCTAACTTGTGAAGGGGGAAGAGATCTTTCAAACCATACCAGAACTAACACAATTCAGTCAAGAAGGCCAAACAAAGAGCAAAAAAAAAACATAAACTTGACCCCAAAATTTTTGTACAAATCTTTTTTAACCACCTTGCCACACTTCCTTTAATCAAATCTCATGATCCTAAAAGTTTTCCCAAAAGCTTTTTCCACTGGAATGAAGCCTAGTAAATGCCCAGCATTAACTAGGCTTTGGCAATGTTCGGAAGTCTTCAGAAAGTTGTCACCAGTACGTTTCCGGAAAACCCAGTCATGACAAGGTGAAAATCTCTCGCATTTGAGTCAGAAAAAGTTGGCAGGTATACAACTAGACAACTGGACTTACATATGGACAAGTAAAACTAGAAGAGCACTTAACAGCTGGACAAGTGAATGTCAATCCTTTTCTGTACCATGGTTGCAAAATGAACACCTTCACCGATAATGAAATATTTCTTCAGAGAAAAACAGTGAACAAGGGTCACAGAATATTCTCTTTCAAGTAGCTTAAGTATGAGCGAGGCTGAAAGAACAATTGGTCCCAATCACAGTTGGTTTCCCATAATCACATAAAAGACAACTTATTCCAAACTGCGAAAAATTTTTCCTCAGTTGGCATGATGTCGAAGAATATCATCCGAAACAGGAACTAGAGCAAGCCCTTCGCAAAATAACACAATCTATATGCAGTCTGCGAGTTTAACTTACCGGCACAATTAATCCTTGCCAATTTAAAATACTTTGCTCATCTACTTCAATATTTCGAAATATTTTGATCCCAGACGCTCTGATGTCGTTCAGTTCCTGGAAGAATGGGAAGATCAGGTCACCAACACACATGCACTGCGAATATCATGATGCAAGTCTAATCATCACAAAAAATAAAGCTTACGGATCTGCAAACGGTAAGTAAATTCAGCGTAGGGCATTTCACTTAATGTGTCTCGAGAATAAAAAAAAATTATTAAGATAAAACAAGACCATTTCAGTTAACTTTCAGGCAACTAAAGAGTAAACTAAACAAGACAGCTGCATTTTGAAACTAAGGACAAATGAGATCAAATCTAAAATTGTTAGTCATGGAGTTGCCCAACAATCTGAGCGACATTTGTCAAAATACATCCATGTTTGAAGGCATAAATATAAAAAGTCTTTTCTGAAACTTTTACTTAAAAAGTTTTTGTTCGAATAGGGTTCGTTTTCGGTAAAATCACAAAGAGTTTCGCTTTAAATAATCCCTTACCTTGCTCAATCTTCGTGTAGCCGCCATGCTCGTAGGAACTTGTCGCCGTCTCGTCGTCTCTGCGCAGCAATGTATACCCACAGTTCATGGCGAAATGTTTCCCATTAGGGCGTGGTCTGTTGTGCTCTGTATGGTAACGTGCGTTTCCTTTTCCACCGACTTTCTTCCGCGTTCCAAAGTCTGCTAAGAACTGTACGAGGTAAACTTCTGTGTCAGTGTAGGTCAGTTCAGGTACCAATAACCCCGAACAAGTAACTTTCATGTGGTCTTATCCCAGCACAGATTGGTCTGTCACAGCTATTGCTCCATTCTTTCAAAGAAATTCATTACAACTGCAAGAAACCGTGGACGAAGATCTTGCTGGTTGTCAACGATGGATCCGAAGAAAAGAGATCTAATCAGCCAAACATATTTAAAAAAAGGAGATGTCCAAAGACTTTTGTAAAGCTAAGTAACAAGGCTTAAACTTTCTCAAACGTTATTTTGGCTGGCCAGACCGAGCCTTGAAGTCATCATTGAAAACTTGTAACGCTATAAAAATTATTTGCCGTCATTTTCGTGTTTACACGTAAAACATCTTATTATTCAGAGGTATTATCTCCAAGTTTCGTTTTCACGTAAAATGAAACACTGTAACTAACAATGCTTTTGAGATGTACAGAAATGTTAGCTATTGTTGTCCACGAAAATATATATAGACGATACGTCTGAGGAATAAATAGCTGTCACTTCATGATACACGAAATTTCCAACAAAAAAATAGCGTTTTGGAGTCCTCATTATATATATATATATTGCGTTACAAATTTTCAGTGATCCTGAAACTTTGGGGTCATATAAAACGGCGAGTAATCATAGAGCATATCGTATTTTTTTAAAAAATCCTTCAAGGCGGGGTTTCAAAATTATTCACTCATCTGTTTGCTGAGACCTAAATGGAGTTACAGGTAGAACACTTCAAATCCTTCTTTCTAGCTATCGGCTAAAGTTATCCCTGTGATCTTTCTCTACGTTTTTAAAAAGAATGAAACTACTATGAGGTGAAATTGCCGTCATAAGCGCTTGCTTCGTTTTGAAAAGATAACAGCCGAACATCAAGATTGTCCAGTTTTCACCGTATTTCTTACCATAAAAAATTCATACCAAATATCTCGAAAACGCTCCAAGAGATTTTGCTAAAACCTAACGAACGTTGGGACAGGCATTGAAGAAAAAGCTCCCGTGAGCGATTGTGGAAAAAATCTCCTAGTGCCGAGAAACAAGGCTCCAATTAAAAGATAATGGCGTCATTTTGTTGCTATGACGACCCTGGTGTCAACATATAAACATAACAAAAGGTTCACCCGGATGATCAAACTCAACCTTTTGAAATGACTCCTGGGTTCAAACCTTTCACGGATCTAAACATAACATTGCAAACCATCTTTGTCTGATAAAGCTGTGATAATCATGTTTCCATATCTTTATTACATGTAATGGTGACGTAGATAATGCGCAAACTTAGGAGGTATTGCTTAGAAAAATCCGTCGAACCACCTTAACATTCAAATGCTTGAGGGGATTTCCATGTCCCCACTAATGTTTTTTAAAGAGTAATAGTCCCTAAACTTAGAACTGAGAGTGGGCGAAAGGCTTTTCACAGAAATGGATCGAAACTTTTTAACAATATATATTCTAAGGGAGATGAAGGTGTATAAATCAATTATGATTATTAAAAACCATATTTTGGAATTCTATCGGATCGCAAGCTTTTTATTTACTTTTCAAGTTTTATTAGTTAAGCTTATTTTTGAAATGTGCTACAGTTAAACCTCCATGTGCCACCAAATCTCGTAAGCGACCACATCCCATAAGCGACCGCCAATCCAAAACACCAAAACTTTCCCTTTCAAAGCCTCACAGTTGCAACCTCTAGTAATCGACCACCCTGTAAGCGACCACGAACACTTTTTGGGCCTGACAGTTACTGATTTTCCATTCTTTTAACCCCTTGTAAGCGACCACTTGGCGCATTCTCTGATCTCTATTTTCGCTATTTTCAGTACGCTAGTTACATGTAGTTAGAATATACGAAGAACTTAAGTGACAACATGGAACTACACATATCCTAACTTAGACATTGGATGCAATCAATTATCTTCCATAAAGTAGATGTACCTGGACCTCTTCTCGGAAGAGACCCCCTGTGGTTCGATTGTTAATTGTAAAGGACCACCTCCCGTAAGTGACCACTCAGTCTTTGCATTTTGGGTGGTCGCTAAGTCGCTTACGGGGGAGGTTCGACAGTACTAGACAGTACTGGGTTACTACAGTAACCTATTTTTAAGTTAGTCCTTCTGATTTTCCCAGACCCTAATGGCCCTCATGATATCAGCACCTTGTGCTCGTATTATAATAAATAATAATAATAAATAATAATAATAATAATAACCAGTAACCCTCGAGGCCGTTTGGAGACTGGAAATGATGCTTCTAGTTACACAATATGATACCATACATAACGTGCAGAATCAAACGTGCACTTTCCAAAATGGCCTCGTCTTTTTTAAATTTTTCTTCCAAATTAATGGGGAATCTCTGCACGAGAAAAGTGTCATAAAAAAGTGAAAGTATGAGGTATGCGCAGTTGGTAATGGGACCCGCTGGAAGCGGTAAGGTAGGTATAGTGAAAAATATGGGTAGTCGTTTGTGCTGCAGCAAGATTGTGCTGGCTCTGTATGTTCGGGGGCCTGTTTTAATTGTTAAAGATCGGTGTGCGACAAATGTAGACTTGCAGACTGGCAGAACAAGGAAAACCTTGTTGTGGAATGCTTTTACTTAGTCCCTATGCCTAAAAGTTTAAGTCATTTAAAAGTCTACAACAATCAAATGTTTACTTCTTTTACCTGCCAGTCTGCAGTCCGCGTTTGTCCCACACACTGGTTAAAGATCCTGAGCTCATCACTCTGTGATTCTAAGGTTGGTTTCAATCATCTCAAAATTTCAAGAACATTTTGCTAAAACTTAGGTGGAACACTTTGGTCACTGTATAAACATTTTCAGGAAAAAGTGGCCCTCATATCTGAAGGTGGCCCACTTTGACATGACTGCTTGAACCAAAACCAGTCCCACAGCACTGAAGTTTTGAAGTAACCAGAATTTTGGTCAAAACATGACGGGTTGCTTTGATCTGAGTTGATTGGAAATTTCTTTCAGTTGAAAAAATGTCATTGAAATTTTCCTTGGTTAGTTCCACTGGTATCCACTTTGCAGAGATGTCCATTAATGGATTTTTTAAGGTCTTTCTTATCTTTCCTTACCATTTTTTGGTGTTTAAGAACGGAGGTAAGGGCAGCCTGAGAAAACAGCCGGCATTTTGCGACACCACCAGTGGTTTCTTCGCCAAATGACCTGTGAACACAGGCATGCCCTGATTTCAATAACAACAACTGCCATGCAAATAGAGAGTGATCTCTCTGTGGTCTGAGGAACGAGTGCCGAAATTTTACATGGTTGACCTGTCACTATCCAGATCTGGATAGTGTTTCTGACTGGTTGAAGCAAATTTTCCTTGCCACACAACCAACCAGAAGCACTAGGTACCTTGATCTGCATTCTGGGTGGTTCACATCATCAGTATGGAATTTCCTGCAGGCGTTTCTCAGACAGACATCATTTCGCGAGGAAGCCGGAAAAAAAATGAAATGTTGGTTTTTTTCTCAGGCTAGGGTATGGGTTGTTGGAGTAATTTTCTTATTAGAGTAATATGGGTTTCAAGGAAGAAAATATTGTGAAGAGGAAAAGAACTTTGCCTTTTTGGGAGTACAATAATGATTATTTCAACACTCTAGATTTTAAATAAATTTACCACCACCAGCCTCTTGGATTATCAGTCAGACTGTTACCACATTATGTAACTTTATAATATTTACTGAATTGTTTTTTAAATTGCATGTTGCACACTGTATTTGCATGCATCTGCATAGTCAGTAGTGAAGAAGCTGTAGTTGCCTTGGTGAAAATTTGAAGTTTCTTGTGCTAATGCATTTACAAAGAAGTAAACAAACGTGGTTATAAAGATAGTTTTTCTTGGATATTATCTTGATGAGAATTTATGTCTGGCTATATATGGCCCTGTGCAAGTGCTTTGCAGTGCTCTCCTAGTTGAGGCCATTTTGTTGTTTTCAGTCAACTTATTGTACTACAATTCTGCAACACTGCGAAAATGTACAAAGATCAGTTCATGTGGTTAACCTTGATCCAGCTGCTGAACACTTTGGTTATCCGGTTTTAGCAGGTGAGTTCATTATTAATATTTTTCAGTTTGTTGCTTTATTTCATTTTCATGCACTGTCTGTGATAATCAGCATGACTATGAAGTTCAAAGAAACTTCAGCATTATTTTGGTGATTAAAAATGCAACCATACGTAAAATTATATATTTAAGGTACACTTGTTCATGCATAGGAAAACTAATTGCTAATGAAAATAATTAATGTGATTAGGTAGGGTTTTTCAGAAACTTTAAGTGGAAGAAATTTAAGTACATCTTGTTGGCAACAAAGTTGATCAAAAGGCATGGATTGGCTCACAGCCACCATGATGTGGGGGTAGAGGGAGGATCAGGGGGGCTTCCTTGGTGAATTTTAAATCTGAGGATGCTGAAAAAGTGCATTTGACTGATGGACTGGTGATACAAAATATTAATTTTAAACCTGTGGATGGCACCCTTATTTACCCACATATTTGCTTTATTTTATATCATTTATAAATGGGTATAGTTATTTGTATAAGGGAAACTCAAGATTTTAGAAACAAATTAATGTGGTGAATTTATTCCTGCGCTTGAAAAATGTTATTAATTTTTCTGTGAGTAGCAGCCTTTTCGTGTCAACTAGGCAGTGAGTGAGCATTTCCCTGATTGTTGTAGCTTTCTCAGAATCTTGGATTGCTTGCAAAAATTATACCAAATAAGAATTAGTTTAAGATTCTGCAGTGTGACCTATTTATTTTATGTGTACTTCCAAATAGAAGTGTAGTTTTTTACTTCACCCTTTATAGTCAACACTGTACATGTATGTATCTTGTTGCTTATTTCTTGTTTATTGTGGCCTCATAGATGTGAGGGAGCTGGTGGAGCTAGAAGATGTTATGGAAGCTGAGGATTTGAAACTTGGACCAAATGGAGGGCTGGTTTTCTGCATGGAGTAAGAGAAAAAATACCTTAAAAAATTTTTATTTTTATTACGGAGTACTTCCTCTTAGTCCAGAAATTTATTTTTTTTTTAAACCAGGCAAATGTTGTGCTCCTGTCAGTTAAGAAACTTTTCATTTGTATAATTAACATCTGGCACAGGAGTGTAGCTATACTTTTACCATACTTGGTGTGCACAGGGAGGTAGTTTGAGCACTGAGGGGACAAGACTAATGACAGTGGGTTTGTGGGCACAAACTGTGACAGGTGTTCTAGATGTGCCAATTCTGTGTCACTGTCCTTTACTGCAATGTATTTTTCACAACTGATAGTGTTAAAAGGGAAATAATAATAATAATGATGTGATAATAATAATAATAATAATAAATAATGATATTAATTTGATACAATTTACTCTACTAAATTTCCTTTGCCTCCGAGCCCTAATTCATGAATAATTAAGGAGAGGAGATGGATGAAATTGAGAATCAACCTGAATTTAATTTTGACTTGTAACATATATGTTGTGGTTCAATTTTATCCTTGGTTTAATTTTTATTTTCCTTTGTTTCAAACTCATTATCATATATTACCATGCCCAAAAACAAAGGAAAATAAAAATTAAATCAAGGATAAAATTGAACCACAACATATACGTGTAATAGTCGTTAATCAGGCTGCTTGCAGTGCAGCTACTTCGTTTCTCTTTTGATCAGCACGTCTTTTGTTTGTTTGTTTTTTGTTGTTTTTCATTCATCCTCTGCTGTTTTTTAGTTGTGTGTAATAATATTGTATGTGCACTCTGGCATTCAGGTTGCCAAACCCCTGTTGATTTGTTATATGTCCATTACGTGACTGATTATATGTTTGGTCAAAGATTTTCTAGGAAGTGAGGGAGCCTCTGGTGATCCTGCTTGCCCAAAGGCTGCAGGCTATTGTTGTCTTTATTTGTTTACAAATAAAACTTTCACCGTTTCTAAACAAAGGTTAGGGAGTGTGGGCGAGATCAATCGCAGTTTGCAGCAATTCAACGTTGTGTAAGTGTCATGTGATACAGTGTATAAGGTCAAAACTGCATGTAATCAGGAGTGATAGAAGGTCCAAAAATTGATCAGATTGTGTTCTATGCACTGCATTCATTCTTATTGGAAGTCCTAACCAACACTGGCCATGCTGTGCATATATAATTAGCAACCTGGAGATTAGGAATGTGGGTCTTCTAGCTGATTAAATTAGCTGTAACAATCATTTCTCGATTGTAAAGCAGCCTTGAGCATTGCATCAATTTGGTTTTATCTGAGTTTGCAGTTATTTCAAAATAAAAGTAAAGGGAGTCAAGTAATGAGCAATATAAAAGAATTAATTAACCACTGTACACATACACAAAATTATATAACAAGGAAGCTTTTATACTGTGTAACTGACAGAGTATATTATTGTTATTGTGGGCGACAAGAGGAACCTGCAATCCGAATCTCCAGGTTTTTATTACGCATGTGTCGCACGTATGTAGCCAGCATTTGTTTGCAGTTCCACTAAGAATGAATGGAATGTAGACAGGGTGCAAAGAAAATCATTTTTACAGCTTGCCATTTGGGCAAGCTGAAGCTAGCAGAATTGATTTCACAGTTCTTCTATTATTCGAATTCTTCAAAAAACATCACTTGCCCGTTGGTCAAGTTAAAAACAGAACTCACTAGGCAAGCCTGATAGCAAAATCCATTAGCCCCGGGCTATCAGGCACTACTTTCGTTGCACGCTGTGCAGAGAACACCATTCAAACATGCGCGTTTGGACCTTCTATCACTCGTAATCTGATTACAAGTGTTTTGAGTATCTGTCTTGTGAAACTTACACAAAGCACAGTGATGGAGCAAAAGTGTTTTGACCTTCGATCGTTTATCACCCCCACTCTGTAACCTTTGGTTATTACTAGTGTACTGTTTTAAGTAATAGCATTAAAAGATACATACAATTTCATGTTTAAGATAAATTAATGTGCATTTATAATGCATTACAGATACCTAGTACAAAATTTTGATTGGTTGGAAGAAAAATTGGGAGACGTTGATGATGACTACATTCTGTTTGACTGTCCAGGTACCATAAAATAATAATTTATTGGGATTTAATCACAGTGACAACAATGTACAAGTATTGAACTTCTGTCAAACTCAAGAATGTCAGGGGTTTATTTACTGTAGTTCAATTTTATCCTTGGTTTAAATTGTATTTTTGTAAGGCTCTTTACTCTTTTAATATATAGGGAGCTTAAATAAAAAGCCACAATGGTGACAGCAGTGATCATGTTACTTAAAACTTGCATTTGCATTGTTTCAAACTGCATTGCGACTATTCTACATGCTTGTTCAATTTGTACCTATGTTGGCGAATTTTTCTGATGAAGTTGAGTTCTAAATGACTCTATGAAAATTCAGAAAGTGAAAATGAAAATCGTTGTTTTGAGTTGATCACAAAATAATGGGACTTTTCCTGTCATAGTCGTGCAAGAATAAAACAAAAATAAGCATGATGCATGCAACGGGAATGTAGGTAAGGAATGGCCATGCTGGCTTTTTTAGTCAAGCAGGTTTTTTTTTCTGAATTGCGCCTTCAAAATTCCTCCGTGTCTTTGTTTTGCATGGCAATTTGAGCTGGTGGTAAACTCTTCTTCAACCAGTAAAATTACATGGCTGGCAGCCAGCTCTCAGTGACCAACCTGGTGCAAAGTCATTGTTTTGCTTTATAATCTAAACCTAGATTCCTTTTTTTGTCTCATTGCCTTTGCCATCATTATTGCTTAAGCTCTTTATAAAGAATAAGGGCAATAGAAACGAGTTTAACAACAACAACATCTTTATTTCTTACATTAAATATACAAATATCACACCACCTGCAAATAGCAAGGCTAATCGAGGCAGGTGGTGTGTAGACGGCTTAAGATTTCTTACGAAAAGTTGAAGTGAAAAAGAACCATATTTATAATAAAAAAGGTCAGTCACGAGAGAAATTGAGATAAGAAAATCGAGGCAGCTATTTAGATAAGCGGGGGCTAATATTTTTTAAAATCGGAGATTATCGTGTTTAGGTCAGCATATCTATCCTGAACTTCAAAATATTTTCAACAGAATTGTATGAACTTTTTCCTTAAAGAGAGATTTTGAAGAATTTCGTAAATTTTCAGGTATACTATTCCAAATTTTGGCTCCCATAATAGAAAAGGAATCATTTTTCTGATTTAGTCTAGAGTGGCTAATGTAATAATTTCCAGAAGAGGAGGAGCGAGTGCTGTAAGAGTGGATTTGTTGAGTAGGAATAAAGAGATGTGAAATATTATGAGGGGCAGTGTTATTGTAAACATCAAACATTAACATCGAGTTTGCACCTCCAGCAACCATAATGATACTTCCACATTCACAAGTGGATATAAGATACAAGATTTAAGAATAAAAATCAACGATAAAAATTTTGAATGACGTTTCGATGATTCGCTCATCATTTTCAAATTCTAAAAAATTAGATTGCATTCTTAATATATAAAGAACTTTTAACAATCTAATTTTTTAGAATTTGAAAATGATGAGCGAATCATCGAAACGTCATTCAAAATTTTTATCGTTGATTTTTATTCTTAAATGTTTATCGAAAGCGTCTGTTAATAGGATATAAGATACAAGATTTAATGAAAAGGCTCTAAGTGACTCCTGACCAAAGATCAAATTCTCCTTGTTATTGACAAACATCCAGCCAACTGGAAGAAGAATTTAGCATTACTCAGAAGTCATGTCACTAAGGGCTTTATTGTGAAGGCACCCCCTCTACTACTCCAACTGCAGACCTTAGGTTGTGTCTCTGTTGCAATTTCAAGGTCAGATTGAACTGTACACACACATGCCAGTCATGCGGCAGTTGGTAGAGACCCTCCATCAGTGGGATTTCCGAGTATGTGGTGTCTTCCTGATTGACTCTCAGTTTATGGTGGACTGCAGCAAGTTCTTTGCCGGTGTCTTGACGGCACTGTCTGCTATGATTCAGCTAGAGGTTCCTCACATTAATGTCATGAGTAAAATGGACTTGCTGAACAAGAAGCAATTAAAGGACGTAGATAGGTGAGTTCATATTTTGCAGACTGCTGCATGTTCAAGTTTAAAAAGCACGACTGAAAAGGACTTTTCTGATGATCTGCCAGGATGAAGTGAGCTTTTACAGTGTATCCAGCTAACTCAAGGTGCTATGCAGTATCTACCTTTTTAACATCCACCAGTACATGCTTGTGAGAAATTAATTTTTTGATTGTTGTTTCAACAACCATCTCATTCTAAAATTGGTGGTAATTTTACTTAATTTCTCTTTATTATATAGTTAGCCCTCTTTGCCTCAATTGCATCTGCAGAATTCAAAAGAACTTTTACCTTGAAATGAATTCTGTCTGGAACTTTTAAATTTTGAGATGACCTGAAAACCCGGCTAATATTATTATATTTGTTAGGTTTTTAGATCCTGATCCACAACAACTTGCTGAAGAGCTTAAAGAAAGTACAAGCAAGAGATACAAAAAGCTCAATAAAGCTTTGGCCCAGTTGGTAAGTTGTCACATAATCTATCTCACCAACAAGTCTCATCTTCACAAAAAACAATACAACTACGTAAACTGCTGATTTTCTTCAATCTTTTTCAGGAAACTGCTTTTCTTGTCTAAGAATCTATTTTTGCAAAGTCGCAAAGAAAAGAATGAAGCTCATTCAGTTGAGACATGTTCCCAGAACTTGCTATTTTAAGATTTTTAGCTTTGAAATATTTGCAATATATTAATTTTACAGTGAGGGGGTAGCTTGTATGAGGATTCATTTTTTCTCTGCTGGCTCCATTTTTGCACTCATGCTTGTTTTTACCATCTATTTTTAGGCAAATAAAGTTGTTATAAATAAATAAGAGGAAAAGTTAGATTTGTTTAGCTGCAAGGAATATTAGGGTCCATCTGCACTAGCTAAAAAAGCTGTTTATTTAGACAAATTGTTTGTCATCACCAATGTTTAACAAATGCAGATGCATATGGTTTGTGGCAATTTTACAAAGTTTGTCCCGGTTAAAAACTGGACAAAATTAAACAAGAATGTGTTTTTTCTTGTCAGTCATTGTTGAAAAGCCATTGTTCTTTCCATTAAGTAATGACAAAGGGTTTCTTAGAAAGTGGGTGCTTGTGACAACCTAGTAAACAGTCACAAGTGCCAGTTTTTCTAGGAAACCCTTCATTATTAATTGTTTTATTTTTTAATGTGAGAGCCTGTTGAAAGTAAATACAATGTAGTTTCCAGTGCAGATAAGGTTTTTAAAAAACAAAAATAATTGTCACCATACAATTTTGGTTTAGATGTTTCAAAGACAACTCCAAATTAATTTAATGTCTGCTAGAGCAGATGAGACCTTAGTATGTTTCTGCCTTGTTCATTTTGTATGTCACCTTTAGTATTAATATTATTACTTTGTATTAGATTGATGATTACAGCATGGTGTCGTTTTTACCTCTCAACCCCTGTGATGAAGATTCTATCACAAATTTGCTTCTTCAAATTGACAATGCTATTCAATATGGAGAAGATTTGGATGTCCGTGAAATGAAGGTGACTAACTCTAACTCTTGTTCATTAATTTTCCTTAGTTTAATGGGCAGCAGGTCTTTTGGAGAACTGTTAGCCCTTTAAGCCCCCATATCCACATACAAATTCTCCAAACTGATCTCCATATATTTCCTTTCAGAATTAGTTGAGAGAATTTCATGGCATATCAAAGCATTTTCTCTTTAGTGATCATTTCATAAATTCTCATAACTTAGTCTCTTGACAAGGTATGAATATTGTTCGGAGAAAATTGATGTTGGTCACCATTGGGACTTAAAGGGTTAGTGCTGGTTGGTTAGGTCCATTAAAAGGGGGCCTCTAAGGGGAGTCATGTCCATTGAACTTTTCTTTTATATATTCCTTCAATATCTATAGGATGATGAACAGGATGAAGAGAATCCCAATGGATTCATAGATGAAAGCTGACAGTTTCTTGGTGCTGAGGAATATGCAGCAGTATAAACTAATGGACACGTAGATCAAAAGATCAAACTATCCAGCATCTGAACAACCGAATTCACCGTCAGCACCCTGCTTGTGGAGCCTTTCACTCACTCAATTTTGGCGTATATTGAACTCTAGAAAGACTCTGCATGAGACAAGTAAAATCTTTGTTGAGTATGTGCTAGGATATGGTTTTGAACCCAGGTCTGATAGCCCTGCACTTGGTCCAGCAGGCTTGAAGTCATGGCCATTGGTTTATCAATAAATGGATGCGCTCACACTTAGAAAACCAGTTTGATGATAGAGAGCAAGATGGAATAGTCCCAAAGTTTGGACTTCAATGACTTCAAAAGCCTCACACAATTCAGGCAGAGCCTTCTCTTCTGTGCCTTACTCAAGAAGGCAAAAGGAGGTTTTCCTTGCGCAGTGCACCACCAACAATAATTGTTGACACCTTGTGAAAGATACAATGCTGTGGAGCATAATTATGATTAGCCTGCGTATCATGGCAGTTTTGGTTGGGAGCGCTAAGTAGTAAAGGATGGCAAGGGCAGAGAAACCGCGAGGAGATTTTTTTCTTTCTCGCGGCCCGCAGCATCGCTGCTCGTGGGCTCGGCTCAACAAAACTGCCATGCCACGCAGGCTAAATTATGATGAAAATTTCACAGGGGAAGTAAAGGAAGTGACAAAGGGAAGGTGAATAGAGTGCCTGATATTACTGCTATAACTGCAGTTCCAGCTATTACCAAACCAAACTTCAACTGGATAATCAGTACATGACTGTCATATCTCTTTGTCATTTTTTATTTTTTTTTACATTAAGCTGACTCTTTTATTGTCAAAAGAGTTCAAAATTAAAATAGAAAACAACAACCTTTATAGAGTCCCTGCTTTTCTCAATTCAGAGTCTTTAAATAAATTGGCTTTAAATACATTGGCTTTTTCAATAAATTGGCTATAAGACTAGTTATAATGGTATTTCGTACTGTTATGCTCAAAATATTCGTATTTTTGTCCTTTTTGCATATGTAAGTGACAGAAGTTTTCCTTTTATTTATGGAAAATTGCCTGTCAACCTGTTAACAGACCTGTTTAGAATACAGTCAGCTCTCTTTTAGTGGACACCTAATATAAGATGGTCCCTAATGCCTAGTTTCTTTACTCCTTTTGATCGACTCTCTATAAGATTGACATTTTTTTATTAATAATGGACTGTAGACTGACTGTCATGCATGTATACAAAATGTACAGTTTTATTACAAGATCACAAAAAATGCTTGCTTGCTCAAATCTTAGTCTTTTTCTATTTTCTTTGAGTAATAGAAGTCTGAGGGTATATATTGTTTGGTACTTGATAAAGTGACAAATACTTTATCTTCCTTGACTTGAACCTGATGTATTCTCTGAACAGCTCCCTTGGAACAAAGTTTGGGTGGTTTTTTCAGGTCTTTAGGATCAATGGAGAAGTGTAAACCCTCGCCAGTATCCAGAGTGATTTTTTGTTTGTGATAAGGACAAATGATACACCATCTTCCACTAATGTCCTGTTTAAATGGGTACAAAAGTATGATCAGTAATGTATCTGGGGGAAAATGGGAGTCAAGGGGGGTCCAGACCTTCTTTAAATTCCATCAGGCTTGAACTTTCTTGAAATAATTAACTGAGTGATTCAAACTGAAGTGAAGGACTGCTTTACGATTGAAATTCAGTGGAAAATAATGACAAAGTGACTTTATAGGGTTGGAATAATGAACTGTGAATTAGTTTTAAAAATCAGGGCATGGAACCTCCCTTATCAGAAATTCCTGGATCTGTCCTTGAACCAGGGTTCTCAAAGTAGGCGGCAATAGATTTTTATCGAAAGGTACTCAGGTAGGTATGGAAAGGAGGGATCACCACACCCATTCCAGAAGCCCGTCAAATCCAGTGTTAACTCTCAGGAGTCATAATATATACCGGTATTATAAATTATAGTGGCCAAAGAAATATTTAGAACTTAGTTACCTCTATGTCTCCTTTCTCCAAAGGACCTCCAGCATCTAATGGATTCAAAATAGTAATGCACATCTTAAGTATTCTCAATAATGTTAATATTTTAAAATAATAATGACTAGTTTCCTATATTTAGAGCAGAAGATTAATGCACATTATTAACTAAGGGTGCTTTAAAATTTTATGATAATAATTAAACCATAGGAAATTTTAAGCTGTATTGGAAAAATACTGGAAAAAAGCTAGCCTGTTCTAGACATGATCCAGATTAGTGCACAGCACCCTGAATGCTAGAGGCAGGCTAGATTAAGGTACCGTAAAATTCCGAAAATAAGCCCCGGGGCTTATATTTTTCAAAGGCTCTTTTTGAGGGGCTTATTTTTGGAGGAGCTTATATTCGGAGGGGCTTATCTACAGAGGGAAATTTGCGTTTCAAAATCGATAGAGCTAGCCGAACAGTTGGAAGTAAATTTACTGTTTTTCCTTTGTTTCACTTTGTATTTGAGGGCAATTTCCAAGTACACTCCCCCAGGGGGGCTTATATTTGGAGGGGCGATTTAACTGAGGGTTTTTTCCGTTACGAGTTTTGGGGGCTTATATTTGGAGGGGGTTATGCATGAAGGGGCTTATTTTCAGAATTTTATGGTATTTCATAAGACAAAACAAGATTGTACATTTTGTATACTTTATTCAGGGAGTACAACGAAGACATACATGGATGAGTTTGGGTTGGGATGTGTATTAAATATGTGTCAGGAAATCCTTGACTAGTATTTCAGACCTTCAATAGTCCCGAATAGTTAAAATCCATACCCAGTTACAGACAAAAGGGCGTCAAAATCTTTTAGTAACATACCCTTTGCACCAAATGTCCACAGAGAAGGGAATACATGTACACCCTTGGATCTAAGAGGGATTTTTGTGAACAGCAGAGCAGGGAGGACGATGGCTTCTCAACTTTTTACGAGAATGAAATGTTTAACATAACAATGTATCTTGTGAATGTCATTATAATATTGTAAAGAGTGAATATGTTTTCTTCCTTCTCCGGTGAAAACGTGTTTCCTGACTCAGAGTAAACTAGGTTTACAGTATAAAATAGCCATAACCCACCCCTCTGCCCCACCCATAGCCTGCAGCACAGGCATTTTCTTCATGTGTGCAAATGTTTTTGCTCGCAAAAGTGCCATGTTGACCATGTCTACGATCCCCAATCTTCCTGTCCTAAAATCAAAGACGGCCACTCCAGCAATATCAACATAAACAACCAGGTTTTGCCCGGCCAAAATTCTGCCCCCCCCCATTTCCCGCCAACAGAGAGGGTGACAGAAATTCAGATGAGAGGGTGATCAGAAGAAGGCAATTTCTAAGGTAGTGGGGGTGGCCTCTCAAAGTCTCTTTTCCAGGGACTATTATGGTGAGTTAAAAAAATTACAGCTTCTTAGTAGAGCAACCTATCAGTTATTTTAGTGTTAATCAGTGTTTCAAAACTTGTTTTCATCATTGATGATCTTTTCTTTACAGTCAGCTGAATGTTTTTTTCACACCTCAAAGGGGGCGAATCCAGGATTTTTTTTAGGAGGAGGTGCACTTGTCTCTTGCTCTACTTCAACACTAACAAACCACATAGTTTTTTTTTGCAGAATACCAGTTGTCTTAGAAAACCCAGGTCATCTTGGGTGGGGGGGGGGGGGTGTGCACCCCCTGCACCCTCCCCCTAGATCTGCCCCTGCCTCATGTATAGGTCTTCCATGTCATCTGATCATGAATAAACTTCCAGTTGTCTAGCTGTCACTGTGTTACACAGTGGTATCACAAGCACTCTCTTGAATAGAAATTCCAGGGGGTGAGGGGTCTTAAGCAAATTAGTGCCCTCTAGGACGGCATTGAAATTTTCTAGAACTACGCAGTTCCTCAGTCAAAACACCTGGACTCCATAAGTCCTTTTTGCAGATATTTTTAGGTGCATGACAACTCTTAAGGAGAAGGAGATTAGGACAAAACATTCAACTAGTGGTCAATGGGTGGGGAAGGGAGGATGTTAACCCCTCCCCCGCACCCTTTTAAGAAACAACTGTGGTACTGTCCTGCCTGTGCAATGGATTTCAACAAACTAATGTTAACATGAAATACATAATTTTTGTTTCTGCCTATTATCATTTTTAAGACTTGATGAAAACTCAAAAAACCCCTTTAAAAAACAGGGTTTCCTCAAACCTGGTCTTTCAAAGGGATTCCCATACCACTCCACCCTCTCTCTCCATTGTAGTTACTAAAACAAGGAATGACCTACAATGACCTACAATGACCTACAATGATCTACAATGACCTTCAATGATCTACAATGATCTACGATGAGCTTACGAGCTACAATGAGCTACTACGAGCTAAAATGAGTTAAAATAAGCCCTACAATGAGCTACAAAATGACAGACAATGATGTTTGTCGTGTGACACGCTTGGACGTGACACTAGGTTTATAGTATTAAATTGCCAAGCACATTTTGAAAAGGCAAAACAAAAATTGTGCTTGATCTCAGGTGACTTGAGAAAGTTGAAAATAGATTATTGCAATCGCGTTTTTACCGGTATAGCACTATTACACCCTGTATTGACGGAAGTCATGCAGGCACTCCCTTAGTATGGGCCGCTGAGCAGGATATGGATTTTACTACTTAGTGTTACAAACAGAGCATCCTGTTGGACCGAAAGCCATTTAAAGGGTCTTATGATGTCTTATACAGGCCAGGGTACTTGAAAAAAAAATGAACAATTTTTCTTTTGAACAGGGTCAGAATTTGAAGCCCTCCTTTGTTCATCTCTACCCTTACGTCCCATGAAGATCCCCCCGGATCGACTGTTGGGGTGACTGTGTTTGTTCAATTTGTTTGAAAAAAAGACAAGACAAAATAAAACTAATGCGAAAGGTTGCAAGGGATGGTTTGGACAAAAGTCACAGTATCATCATACATGTATCATTACACTGTAAATTTATCTCCAAGCGAAATAATTAGAGATGCTGTCATCGTTACATGGGCTGTCATGCAGTAGACTAAACGCGTTACGTTTACGCACACATGCCCCCTGATCTTTTTTTTTTGTCTTTTTCTAAAATCTTCATTTTAGCTGATTACAGGGATTACACGTTCGGTCATAGTAGCTCATTGTAGGTTATTGTAGATCATTGTAGATCATTGTAGGCCGTTGTAGGCCATTGTGGGCCATTGTAGGCCATTGTAGGCCATTGTAGATCATTGTAGGTCATTGTAGGTCATTCCTTGTTTTAGTAACTACGCTCTCTCCGTCCATTGACATTAGAATACCAGTAAATTCCCATTGCTGTTTTATTTACTTTATCGATTGCTAGTGCTACTGAACAATGAGAATCTAGTAAATTTTGTGTAAATATAAGTGCACTCTTCCAATACTTACGGTAACACCGCTGATCCATGGCATGAAAGTTACCGTTGAGGTAAAATATGACGATATCCCTTCCATTTACATTGTATTTAGTTTTTCTGTTTCTCACCAACTCCTGCCTATAACCTACAAAAACTGATTCGGAAGAGCTGCATTCTTCACTGGGAAGCTCTGAAAGTTCGGACATAACTGAACTCAATGGCACAAAATCGCAAAATGCAGGCTGTGTATAAAAGTGGGACGGGGACAAGGGGACAAGGACATCGGGACGCGTGTGTGGGGACTTGGGACGTGGGGACGCGAGACGAGGGACTTGAGGACATCAACTATGGGACTCGGGGACGTGAGGGACGGGGACGCGGGGACGTCAAATACAGGGACGCAGGGGAGGCGGGATGTGAATGATCATTGCAAAAGTCGCAGGTAAATGCGATATCAGTCACTTTCCTCGTGAATATGTTTTGGTGAAAGGAAACCCACCCTGCCCTCCTTAGGGTTCCTCCATGCCTGTTTACGAAGAGAAGACTCGGCGAAGACCCCCTGCATTAAAGAAAGTGAAACCGTTGTCCTAGTCTTCTTGCTGATGGAATATTAGAGCCAGTAGGGTAGGGTGGGTTGCGGTCGCCAAAAATTATGTAGAATAACAGCATTCGATTCCAAATAAATAAAAATTAAGTGGCATTAGCGAGCTTCGAATCCCGAAGTTCTAACTCCGAAATCCATCGCCTGTACCACTAAACCACGAGGGATTCAACTATTGCAGCAATATTTATTTTGTTCTACATTTTTAGTGGCAAACCTAACAGTAAATGCTTGCTAACAGTACTTAAAGGTTGATTTCCACCGACGCGTTTTTGGCTATGCACGTTAACGTAAGTAAATTTTAATCACGTAAATAAGATAGGCAAGATATAAATTGTCGAGATTAAACTTGAAGTTGAGCGAGATTCTACTTTTACGCTTACGTGCGGCCTTTCAGACATTGCCTCTATTTTATGTGCGAACGTAAATTTTACGCACGTAGGCATGAAAAAATTACGCGACAGTGGAAATCAACCCTAAACCTGATCACGATAGTCAGTGGGCTTTTAATACTTCGATTATAAAGAAATATGTTGTGTAAACATCATAAGGTGTCCAATGTGGTTTTGGAAGATGGAATCTAATGTTGACCATAAATAACACATTTCCACGAAGAAAGAGATATCGCATTTACCTCCGACTTTTGCAATAATCATTAACATCCCGGGTTCCCTGCGTCCTAGTTTTTGACGTCCCCGCGTCCCCGCGTCCCCGCGTCCCATACTTGACGTCCCCAAGTCCCTCGTCTCGCGTCTCCAAGTCCCAAGTCCCCACACACGCGTCCCGATGTCCCCGTCCCCCTGTCCCCGTCCCACTTTTATACACAGCCCAAAATGCACACTTTTGCACCAGGCCCCCTTCTTATCTGACGGAGGAGGTCTGGTGATCGACGAAATTCAAGATGGCGGCTCTCCGTACCGCAAAATCGCTGCATTTTCCGAGATAATTGGACCGTTAGGGCAGTTTGGTAAATGCAGCGAGGCCTATGGGCGTCCCTGCGTTCATTTAGAGGTATAAAGAGACATGGTTTTACCCGTTTAATTTCAAGCACGTTGGATAACACAGGAACAGACTTAACCAAATTCAAGATGCACAAGGGAGGTAAGGAAGAGAAACTATGAAAACTGAGAAAGAAAGAAAAACAACTCATCCTTGGTAGGAAATGATTTCTAGTGCCTTGTTTAAGGGGTGTGTGATGAGGAAAAGGTCCCACATACGGCTATCTGCATAAAAATTGATCCATGAAAAGTAGCTGATTTTAATTAAACTCACTTCCTGTAAGCACATCAATGCGTTGAGTCAATTTTTGCCAGTGGTGGATCTAGAGGAGGGACCCAGTCCCCCACCTAACTTTTGGGTTAAACTTAGGCCAACAAGGCCAAGAAAAATTTTTTCAAGGCAAGCCGGGAGTGAATTCACCCAGCCCTCCTACCCCCAGTTACTTACAGATCTTACTCTTAGGGGTCCATATTCATTTTTTCTCAGAGTCGTCAGCTGGGCAAGAAAGCCTGATGGCATACTTGCCTGGTTACAAGTAGGGTTGCCCAGACAAAATTGCAGAATTATAAAAGAATGGTGAAAAAATTGTGTGCAACTTGAACATTTCTCTTGCTATACCATTATATTTCTGTTATTGTTAGTAAGAAAAGTTTTTAACTTAACTGTTACGTACAACCAGCTACAGGCCTAGGCTAACACAGTTTATTAACATTTTACAAGTAGTCATGGTCAGTCAGTTTGCCATGAAGGCAAGAGTGTGCGTTTACGTTTTCCCCCGTATAAGACAGCCGCTCCTGCGTCACCTTTTTTTTCCATTAAGGCAGTGAATCTTCTTCTAAAAATGTCCCATCTTGATATGTATAAGGCACTGGCTTCTGCTTCACCTTTTTTAACTGCCGAAGGTGACGAAACGCCTTCTAAAAATGCCTCATCTTGATGAGTGCTCTGAGTGAGTGTTTTCTATGAATAGCCTCTGAACGCAGTACTTCACAAAAAACTGAGCCTACGATTGATCATTTTGTGGAAAATACTGCACCATCAAAGGTGGCTCCCAATTTTATGATTTCATTGCAGATAAAAGCGGGTTGTTATTATCCATTATTCTAAAAGTTTTAAGTGGATGAGAAGTAATCAGAACACAGGGAAAATGTATAATTTAAACATCTAAGAATTTTTCCAGAGATTTTGTGGTTAAGCAAAACCTCACTCGTCCGAAGTGTGACTTTTGAAGTTATCTTAATCGTCCGTAGGGAATTGTAGTCGTCTGGTACGACTGGGCGACTGGGAATATGGATCTTGTAACTCTGCCACTGTTTGGATCAAATCAAAATTTAAGATGTCGAAGTCTCCTATTAAGTAAATATTATTTTGTATTTCAAGAAGAGTATTCTTCGATGGCAGAAGACAGATATTCAAGAAAATCTTCTGCCCTGTTAAGTTGCCTTTGTACCAATCTAGTTCAGGTCGTAAATGCTTTTTGTTTCTCTTTAATTAATTAGAGGTTAATAGTACCAAGATAATCACCTCGATGCAAGCTAGCCAATCAGAGTGTCTATGAAAAACTATCTGCTTGTGTGTTGTGTTCTAATAATAATATTTTATATTCCTCTATACTATGTGGCACTTATTTGAGATTATTCTTATTTATAGATAGTTATTTTTAAGTGAAATCAACAACTAGTCAGTCAACTTCATTTTTATATTGTAATGTTAACTTTTTAAAACAATTAATAAATTTCTTTAATATCATTATATGTAGGTATTCGTAATCAGTCTGAATTTTCAAGAGGTGGAGGTAGGAGAGGTGGGCGAGGTCGCCATCCTTCAGGGCTGTCAGGAAAACAGATTGGCTTGTGGTATGCTGCAAAAGGCAAGAGGAATAGGAAAGACAGAGAACTGAAGCAGGTTTGACAGTAACCAGAACAATTCTTGCATTGTTGTCTTTGTCCTATTTTTGAGCCAAGAAAGCCCTTTACACAGTTTGATCTCAAGGCTTTTATTTGTAGTTGGAATTTCTGATTTCTTATCTCTTGATTTTGTGTCTTCCTGGAAGGAAATTATGCGTTTAGTTTAAGGAATATTATTTTTCTGAAGGTCATTAATAGGCCAACATTTCTTCAACAAATAAAGGCAGTCTTACTTTTTAAAAGGTACTCTTAAAGTTAAAGTGAAAAATAAGTTCTAATTATTCTACATTGAAACAAACAAAGAAACAAACAAACAAAAGATGACTTGACTTGCCAAGCACAAGGAGCGAGTTGGCAGCCTACATGCAGTTTAATATTGAGAAGGTTTCACTGTTGAAAGGACATGTTTTGTTTCTTTCGTATAAGTACCAAAATACTTCAATACCCACATTGTTTCTCTTCCCAGGCTGGTAAAATCCTGGTATAATTTGTTTGTATGTTAGGATGACTGAAATGTTAATAAGATATACTGGTCTGAGCAAAGTAAAATGAAAAAAGGTTTTTGCCCTTCATTGCACCTAACTCTTCATATTATTTTATTATGTTTATATCTTTTTGTACAATGGCGTTATTTAGGTTAACTAACAGTATGTAAGTATAAAATTTTATTTTATTATTGTTGTACGTGTTATTTGCAGCGGGCATATGTTACCATGGAGAGCCATCATGAAGAGAAAATAACTGAGCTCTTGGGTAAAATAAGGGCAGATGAAAGTAGTGATTTAAATGATGGTGGAGCTGAGCCAGGGCCATCATTCCCTAGGGGACAGTCTGATATATCGCTAAAAGGGTCATATCAAGGACCTGAGATGTACACAAGTAACTATGGTCGCACTGATCCAGGACCATCAAGCCAAACAGATTGGTATGACTCTGCTCAAGAAAGCTACCAAGGAAATGAACTAAATGTGGGCTATGATGGTTAGTAAGTTTAACTGTGGTTGTCTGTGGGTACGTTTTGCAGGAAAATAAACACAATGCACTCATAAGCCATTGTTACTTTGTATAGGTTTGGGGTTTAAAAGTGGCATTGCCCCCTCAACTTTAACCTGTAATGTCCCCTCTTCATTTGCTTTTCTTGTCTTTGTTTTTGTCTTTTGCTGGCCATTTACTAAGCTTAATGTTAGGGGGAAAGTTTTTTGCAAAACTTTTAGGATCGTAGAATTAGGTGGAACAAGTTTTTCATTGGAATTTTCAGGTCAAATTTTCATGCTTTTTTTGTGTTTGTTTTCCTCTTGTCTGTCTGACTGTATCATACTCATTTGGGTTTGGTTTTGATTTGAAAGATCTCTTCTCCTTACTCAAGTCAGATTGAAGTCAAAGGTGTCTTTTACCATCAAAAATGACGTCACAAGCAGTACAAGGGATGTGGATCTGCATGGGTGGCTGCAGACAGTTCAAGGGTGAATGAGGCCCTGCCAGGGGGGGCTCCCATGTCGCTCGTCTGAATTTTAAAACGTCTCGTGTTGGCGTTTATTAATGCTTCACGTCGCTGTCGGAAATTGAACGAAAATTCTTTGTCTTTGTCTGAATTTTAGAAAGGGGGGATAGCGATGGGTTTTAAAGAAACCATTACAGTTGAGCAATTTCTCTGTTAACCTTTCGTGTATAGAACACCTATACATCGCCATTCACAATTAAGGGTGTGTTCCTTTCGTTGAATCCAGAAACGGATCTGGATCTTAAAACGGATTTCACGTTCCTTTCGGCAAATCCAAATTCGGATTTTTGATCTGGTGAATCCTTTTTGAAAAAGGATTCACATTGGAATTGAAATCCGAAGAATCCGAATCCAGATTAACGGATTAGTCATCTACGCTGTTCCATTCACAGTGGATTCGAAATTAGTAAGATGATCCAGCTGTACTTCCAGTTGAAGTATTCCCGTAGAGTTTCCTAATTGCTGCCATTTGCCGTAAAACATCTGAAAACATAAAAGAAGATTGTTCATGGTGGTACAGTAAAATGTCCATGTGCTGACCATTTGTCGCTAAAGATTGCTTAAAAACACAAATAAGTAAAAGGGACAAATAACTGCTATCTTTCTACAAACTCGCTCTTGGACGCGATAGGCACTCGATCGTGTTACATAGAAAACCGAGCTACGAAACTAGATCAAACTGAGCCGACAACCTTTAGATAATTTTCAACTTTAACACGCTACTTTCTTGATCTGTTTATGTTCCATCGTCGTTATTCGAACTGCCGACCACAAAATTCTGCACGGTATAATCGCATAATTTGTCAAACAGTAGAAAACATGTTATTTCTTGAGAGGCTCAGGCTGTCATGCATATTGCATGCGTTTGCGAAAGGTTACCAAGGTCACAAATCCAATTTCGGATTTCACGTTCCTTTCGACCGCGAAATCCGGCAAATCTCGGATCAGAAATCCGTTTTTGGATTCGCTTAAAGGAACACTGTCAGCACACCCTAGGAGATCCACGTTCAACATTTTAAGACTAACTGACCTGATAAATCGTACGTGAAGGCCGGTTAACGGTGGTCTACGCTGTGCGGCGTTTAAGTTACCTGGTCCCTGGTCTCTCCACCGTTGTCATCGTCCGACAGAGGTCGACAAGGATATGAGAAGTTCAGAAACAAGCAAAGTATTCACCATTTTCACATAGACGATAATTCACCTTGTTTACCCCCCAAAACTTTGCATAACCATTGTTTTCGACGACTGTAATACCCTGGAGAATTTGGAAACATTGGTTATGCAAAATTCTGAGGGGGAAAACAAGGTGCGTCATAGCCTATATGAAAGTAGTGATTACAAGAGAAGTAAAGCGAGCGTAAATTAAGCTATTTGACGGACAACTTAACCTAGTCCCAAGGTCTCCCAGGAGTTGTGCGGGGTTGCGTAAATGAAGACTACGCGACGGGTCAACGCAACGCGCTCAGGAGGGTCTACTGAAACTCCCTGACGAGAGAATTAGCCAAACCACCGTTCTTTGTCGCATATTCTCGGCTTTGCCGTCACTGTCGCAATTTGGCAGCAGGAGGTTGTCGCTTGTCGCCATTTCATTTTAGGCTCTGTCGCTACTTTTTGGGTCATGTCGCTTGTCGGAATTTACCCTGGCAGGGCCTCGTGAATCAGTTAAAGAAAAATTAAAAGCTGCTGTTAAAGGCACTAGCCCATGGTTAGAGCAAATGCGTTACATAACCCTTAATGTTACATGCATATGCTGGTTATGGCATTTAAACATGTCTTGGGATATTAATATTGTTTTTCTGTAGTTGCAGGATGTGCAACGAATACTGTAGCATTTGGAAATCAGTTTACAGATGAAGCAGAACAAGTGCATTTCCAATGTCCTGATGAAATGTTTCAATCTAATGATGGCAGTTTTAATCAGTCACAGACCAGCCATGGATTCTTGCAGCAAGATCCTGCTTTGGATCACTACTTGAAAGATGACCAAGAAAGAAAACTTCTCTCAGGAACAACAAGATACAAAGATATGCAGGTACTCAGAGAACGGTTGACTTTGAATCGTAATTTTGAGTTCTGGGTCAATCATGTTCAATGTTATAAAATTGTTTTTTTAAGTTCTACCATGATTGTATAGGATTTCCCAACTTTAGATTAGGTGGTATGTGTACTGTAACAAATAGTGTGTCCATGAGCAAGATAGCCATAAGTACAATGGTGACTGAAACAGTAATTTTTTTACAATTTACTGATGATATTTTTAATAATAAAAATTGTTGTTTCCCTCCAATTGTTTTATTAGGAATTCCGTAAAAGACTGCCAGCTCATGACAAGAAAGAGGTATTGCATAGAATGATAAAGGACAAAATAAATGTCAGGTTAATAAGGAAATATAATAAATATTGCTGAGCAATAATGAGAAGCTTGACAATGCTTTTCACTCTTGTTGTGATGAGAGGCTGAATGAAATAAAGAGCCAGAGGTCTAGTGATGGTTTCATTGGTGGCATATCACAGGACTTAATCTGAGGTTCTATTGTCTACTGTCTATTAGCTTTTTTATATTAATTTTTTTTGAAGCTTTTAGACACTTACAGACTATGTAAAGGTGGAGAATTCCAACATTGCTTTACATGTTTGCATTTGATTCATAATTTGTGTTCACTAACACTCCTGTTTCTTTGCACTTGAGTTACTTTCTTGGTTTCTTTAATCGTATAATGTTTTTGGAAAAAAACTCATGACCCATTCCTTCATTCTTGTGATTGATTGCAAAACTTGAAAATGCAGAGACTTGGGTCATGTTCTTTTGGGCACGAGCACATTGTTTCCTCACCCATTGTTATTGACTGAAAACTGTCACTACAGTTACTGTAACAAAGCTGTCAAATCTGATCAATTTTTACCATCCCAGGGCTGTCAATGAGGGCCAGTAGCCGGCCAAAACCACCAGCTAGTTAGCCATCCTTAGCCGGCTACTTTCATCTCCTCCTAAGCACAATCGAATAAGATTGTAAAGCATCCATTTCCCAGTTTTGAATGACATTGAACACATATTTAAACAGGTTTAGATCGATGTGAAATGTTTGAATCGTGTGATTTTGTGGAACACCTGGGACGTTTCGACGGCATTCTTCCCAGTCTTGCGTGTATTCTGATGCAACAGCATGGCATCTGCGGTGGAAAGTACCTCCTGAAAACGCCTGGAAAAACCATTTCAAATTGTCCCTAGATGCCTCGGCCCTAAAGAACTTGTGCCTTTCATGCAAGTTCCAAAGCCGCCTACTACTCATTATCAGACATAAGACTGGTTCTTAAAATCTTTTTGACAGCCTGCATCCTTGGTCATGCTAAGTAATCAGTTATAGGGCTCAGTATGTACTGGGAATATTTGACCTCAGGCTACTCTGAGCAGATAGAAAACAAGCCACTGATAACCCTATCCAACAGAACTGCACAGATTGTGTCTTTTTTTATTTACACTAACTGTGACAGTCTGACAGTCACATTTCTTAGATTCCTAAATCAGCGTGCAAAGAAAATCAGTTTTACAGCTTGCCATTAGGGCAAGCTAGCATGTACCAACTCAAAGTCATTTTAATTAGCCTAATAAAAGTTTTGATGAGCAGTATTGATTACAGTTCCTTTGTAAAGTGAATTTCTAAAAAAAAATTCATTTGCCCATCAGGCAAGTTGAGAACAGAATTCACTAGCCTGGTTACGCAATCCACTAATCCTGGGGTATCGGACATGACTTTCTTTGCACACTGTAAATATATCATAACTCTCATCTTTCTTTATTATTACTCAAAGCTTCATCTGTCATAGTTCTCTTTAATTATAATACACAATAAGTACAATATTAAACTGTAATGCACTGAGTAATGATCCTTAACGGAACTCCATAAACATTCACATATTTAGATAATTTACAGAGCTGTCACTACAGCTCAGAGGCTGCAGAATTAATGCATACCTATTAGACATCATCATGTGAGCCCCAGCTGTACTTTGGTACAAAATAACACATTTACAACACAAGAAACTCCCCCCCCAGGCAGCTACTGTTGCTATTTCCCCTCCTACCAAAGTGACCCTCTGATTTTATACATGTACAGTCAATGTCGAACTGAAGCCCTTGTAAAATAATAAAAATCCAAACAGCATGGTGTTACAACAAAAGTATAAATATAGATAATACATGCAAAGGAACAATTCAATCTCATAGAGACAGTAAACTGCAAAACAGTCCGTATTTTTGAGTATTCAAGTATTAAAGTGCGAGCAGTCAAACAAGAGATCTGGAATGAGGCTGAAAACGGAAAATAAAAATTACCTGAGATAAAAAATTAACAACAACATATACTTAGAACTTCCCGTATTGAACAGAGCGGTTTTCACTTGACTGTCGAAAGGGATTGGTTTTGGTTTTGGTTTTGGTTTTACTACGCCCTTTGGTTGGCTAGTGTATTTACTTTGGTTTTGGTTTTACGACAGTCAAGTGAAAACCGCTCTAATGTGTAATTTCCTTTTTGTAAACTGCGTAGTGTTGATGACTCACTTCAGCCGTGGTATTACAAAGGCTACAAAGGATACAGCAGCTGTGATAATCGTCATAAAAATCTTCATTGCTAGTTCAACCGTAATACGTATTCCCAGGATTTTGAGACCCATATCTTTCTCAGACCATGCAATGCATTGGTATAACTGCATATCTTCTAAGGGAAGATGTGTTGATGTGGTTGTCATGTGGCATCTCTTTGCAGCCTGCACAACTATGCGATGTGAAGCAGCTGCCACTATAGCTGGAGGGTAGAGCTTTACAATGATACTTATTAGGTCGTAAATAACAGTACCAATATATTGCCATATAGGATAATCACTCCCAAAGTCAGAATTGAAGTATGCGAAACTGAAAATGATCAAGTCTAACGCATGGTATGCTAAAGCTAGTGAGATTATCAAACTAAAATCCTTTTGTGTTCTTTCCAGTGAAGTTAGTAACTGGCTGTGTTTCTGTACAATGTATGTTGATCTGCATTCTCTTGACTTCATTTCATCTACGACAGTATCAATATGCAGGCTATGAACATGGCAAACAAAGCCGTATATGCTCAACCATGTTCCCCACCAGCCTGCAATGTATAGAATAACGGGTATGTACACTGCATAGTGCCAGGATTTGGAGAAGAATGGAAACCAGTGCACCATGAAAAAGGCAGCGCAAGTAACCCAAAGACAAACGGACATCAGAGTGTACCATCTTGAAATTCGGCTCAGTTTTCTGTGCCAGTCGTCTGAAATACACTGGACGCTGAAAACAAGCTGAACAAACTGGCCTTGGTTGAAGTAATACACGGTAAATACGTATGGGCACAAGAAAACCAAACACGTACAAGCACTGTTCATGATTTCTCGAACATGAATCTTGTCTTTCTGTAAGCCATAGTGGACAAAATCCAGACACATTATTGCAACAAGGCATTCTAGCCAAAGGACGTAAACAATTCGGCGATAAACTCGCCAGATAAATTTGAATTTCCCATCGTTAGGTTTCCACACGCCAAGGATCTGCAGAATGTAGTAACATGGTCTTACAGCTTCCGATGAGTGTGGTCCGTGATCAACTGGACCTGGAAGAAGGCGATTTCTTTCCTCGTACGAGTTGTATGAATAGCTCAGTTCTCTTTCGTTCTCTGAGTTTATTGCCGTGTTTTGCAATTCTTTGGTCGCTGCCATATTGTTGCAGCCCAGAAAAAGAAATGTTTCCACTCCGTTCCGTCGAAACTGAAAGGCAGTTTTTAACTTCCGCTGTGCATGATAATGAACAATAAACTCGTTCCCATTTCTCCCCTTTTGTCGCGATTATACTTTCCCTGTGGATTCCGGTACAGAAAAAGTTGATTTTTCGAGAAAAAATACATCCTTCTTGTGATTTCTTTATTGTAAGCAGCTGCTTGGTTTGCAAGAAGGCACCTACAGTAAACATTTGTTCGTGAAGGGGGATCGCGTTTCCCTAATTTTTCAGTTAAATATCATTGGTTAATGTACAAACCATTTCCGGTTTTCGCTATTTCTGGTTTTTGCGGTACTTGCCCAATTAACTTGGTCAGTTTTGCAATCATGTTATAGAGTTTCCTTTGAAGGAAAACATGCGCTCAGAGAGCTAATCCTTTTGATATTTCGTTTCGCAACTCTCTTAAGGCGTGTTACCACAGAGCGGCGTAAAAGGTGGTCAACGTTTGCTAACGGGACTCAGTGTAGGAGATATTTCGTAAACATGCCAGTGGCGAAGGTCTGTGAAAATGGGGACATCAACTCCAAATACAGAAAACTAAGTTCATCATTTAACTCTTACGAGGAAGGCAGTCGGCTTCTTCCAGCTCGAGCTCATTTCGGGCCACGCTCACCGGAAGTTGTACGACCATGCTACTACGTCTTGCAGATTCTTGGCATGTGGAAACCTAGAGATGGCAAATTTGAGTTCATTTGGCGTTTGTATCGTGCTTTTGTGTGCGTCTTATGGTTCGGATGTCTTGCAGCCATCATGTGTCTTGATTTTGTGCACCATGGTTTTGACAAAGAAGAGTTTCGCTTTGGAGAAATAATGAACAGCGTTCCAACATGCCTTAACTTACTATGCCCTTTCATATTTACTGTTTACTATTTGAAACAAGGCCAGTTTGTGGAGCTTATTTTCACTGTGCAGAACGTGTCATCTGATTGGCATCAAAAGTTGAGGCGCATTGCAAGATGGTACACTTTCATGTCTGTTTTTCTTTGGGCATTTGGAGCTGTGTTTTTCACAGTTCACTGGATTCCATTTTTGTCCAAACCGTGGCACTACATTCTTTATATCCCCTCTGTTGTATATTCAACAGGCTGGTGGGGAACATGGCTGAGCATCTATGGGTTTGTATGCCATGTCCACAGCTTGCAAATTGACACTGTTGTGGATGACATGAAATCAAATGAAACCAGGCCTGTTGCCATCATGCAAAAGTTCTCCCAGTTACAAAACTCACTGGAAAGAACTCAAACAGATTTCAACATCATTATTTCTTTTGCTTTAGCATATCATGCAGCAGATATAATCATCTTTAGCTTTGCTTATTTTAATTCTTCATTTGGCAGTACTTATGAATTATGGCAATATGTTGGTGGGGTACTTTTTGATCTAATTAGCATTATTGTGAAGCTGTACCCTCCAGCTATTGTGGCAGCTGCAGCACATCGCATAGTTTTGCAGGCAGCAAGACGATACCAGTTACAAGTGACACCTCTGTCCACTGAACTGCCTCTTGAGGATATGCAGTTATTTCAGTACATTGCATTGTGCGAGTCAGATATGGGTCTTAAGATTTTAGGGTTACGTATTACTGTAGAACGAGCAATGAAGATATTTATGACCATTGTCACAGCTGCAGTATCTTTTGTAGCTTTTGTTGTACCACGTTTGAAGTAAGGGAATATCTGAGGTACATGTAATTCAAATCCAGATTCTAGATTTTTGTAACACGGGTAAAGTAAGGGTGCAGTTCCTAGAGAAACATGTATTTCAAATCCGGTTTATAGAATCCACTAAAAGCATTTGCTTTTCTTTACTTAAATAATCCATAGAAATCCATACTCTTAGCAGATTCATAAGATGAATGCAAAAATGATCTAAAACTGAATTTTAAGGATTCATTATTTAATCACCTGTATTTAATCTCTTGGGCTTGGATACAAAAAGGATACACTTGGTCCCAGTTGTCAAAAGGTGGATGGCACTATCAACTGGATAAATCGCTATCCACTAGATAGCCCAATAAGTTTCCCTCATATTTATCTACTGGATAGCGACTTATCCGGTGGTTAGCGCTATCCAGCTTTTGAACAACTGGGGCCTGACAAACAGTTTTTATGGCCAGTATAATAAAAAGGAATATTTTTTGGAGTTTTCATTTGTGTTGTCATACTGTTCTCAAAAAAAAAAACAAATCTTGGACTCTGCAACAAAAACACCCTGTAAGTTTAGCTGCCAGCTTCTGTTGGTGTTTTACAATGCACATTTTTGGACCTACTACTGCAGATATCATATCTGATGCTTGAAAAGTCACTATAACATCCTTCAGACTGTGTGTAATTTTGCAGCTGAAGGACAGAAACTGTTAACCCCATCTTGTTCTGTAATAACTTAAGAATTTGCACCCCTTTTTATCTTTAATGCTAGCTAAAGTAGTATCCTTGCCATATGCAGTGTTTAGTATTTAAGTGTTAAAGTGCACAGGTAGGATGTAAAAGTAAGTGCCTTGGCAATCAAGTACTGTGGGCAATTTGAGGCTTTCACTCTCTCACTTTACCCATTTTCCCCAAAAAGTAGATGGCTCACTCCTCAAATTGGCCAGTTTTTTAGCCAGTTACAGGCACTTAATGAGTACCCTGCTTATGCATATATCCTCACATATATCTGCATACATCCACGCAATGGTTGCCGCCTTTAATTGTGGATTAATAAAGTAAAAGTATATCTTGACGCTATTGACATAAAGAGGATAAATATCAATGGTTTTCTGGGCAAATGTGGTGCTTCCTTCGCCCTTCCCACCCTCCTCCCTGTTTTGGTTTATTTGCTCCTTTAATTTTTGCCCAATACTGTTGCCAATGTTCCATGCTTCTCCTGCTTGGCCTCTGGAATTGCGAGCAACTGTTATACAGGCTAGTGTGTTTTTCTGGCTGTGGCCATGTCAGGCCTTTACAGCCTCCTGAAATTGTTTTTCTATTCTTAGTCCATCCCTTAAGCTCTGTGGTGGTTTGGTCTGCCCATAAGCCTCATGCAATCTCACTTAGGAAGAAGAGTCCACCAAGACCTGAAGGTCTGGCCAGTATTGGCTGTGCACCATGTCTCAGTGGTCCATTGTTTTTTAACGTGATGGGTGATTTATCCATTACCCTATCGTTTGCATAATTGTGTATCAATAGTTTCATCATAATCTGTCATGGTCACTTTTTATCACTTTTGAAAAATATTATTGTACGTTGACTAGTATTATGTCAAGTTTACATAAAAATGTGAAAGTTCACAATGTGTATCACTGCTGTTTGTGTTTTTACTTTAGAGGCCTGATGCTGAGATTTTTGTAAGGTCTCTAAGGGCCCCCAGCCCTTTAAGACATCTGACTTGCTACTTTTACTTGGTATCTCAGAAGCGTTTTTGTATCTCAGACCTAGGGTTGTCTGCAGTGCAGGCGTTTTCTTCCTCCTACACCAATGTTTTTGCTCAAGCTTGGCATTTCTTTATGGATGGAAATTTTCTAAATAAAGAGAGGAGGAAACCACTAAACTTGACAACTCAAGGGTTACTTCAAATTCTTTTCTGACAACCCCCTGTTTTCGTCCGAAAATGCCATGTTGAAATAAAATGGGACAAAGATGGCAGTTAATCTTCCTCCACATAAAATCAAATACGAACATAAACATAAACAAGCAGTCTTTGCCCACCCAAAATATGCCAGCACTGCAGACTACCTCAGATCTGGGTTCTTGCAAGGATGGCTCTCAAAGTCAATAAGACTCAAGCTGGCAAGGTGTTAAGTCATTTTGCAATAGTCAAAGATGCATTTTTTTTATCCTTCAGGAGTTACTTCAGCTCATCAACTCTGAGCAAGTGTTGGTTATCAGTGGTGAGACGGGCTGTGGAAAAACAACTCAGGTCTGGACTGTATAGTTTTGGCTCATTTGCTTCATATTCATCTCTGGTCAATGTTTTGGGGGTGTCCTTATACAATGTACTATATGGTTTCTTTTTAAGGGTTGTAGTATGTTCTAAACACTGATTACTTCAATGGTTATATATATTTCTTTCAGGTCGCACAGTTTATACTGGATGATGCTATTGAACAAGGTCATGGATCATTGTGTCGAATCATCTGCACACAACCTAGAAGAATAAGTGCTATTTCGGTGTGTTTTCTGTCGGTCCCACACCTTTTGATTTACGTCACACTGCAGGCAAGGTTTTGGCAATAATAACCCGGTATTTTTTTAAATTGACTACAGGTTGCAGAAAGAGTTGCAGCTGAGAGAGATGAAAGTTGTGGCGGAAAGAGCAGCGTGGGTTTTCAGATCAGATTGGAAAGGTGTGTACATGTATACTTATAAAGCTGCCTTTACTCTCTGGCATCCTACTCCTGTCATTGCAAACTTTGCAAAAACGTACCCGTAATAGTGGTTGAGTTTATTATTATGGCCTGGTACAACAAGGGGATTTTTGTTGAAGTGAGTTCTTGCTTACTGATCACAATTTTAACTTCTGTCTGGGATTAATGTCACCCTGTCTGGTGAATGAAGCTTGTAGGATGCAATACGACCCACGAGTTGCCTTTAGGGGCAACACCCTTCCCCCAACTCAATACAGCATTCAAAATTGGTTCAAGGAGCAGGAAGGCCAGAAAAAGGATAGTCCCTGGCTCTTTTATAGGGTGGGGCTTTGGTTTTGGCTTACCCCTTCCCTTTCGAATGCTAGCCACTCAGGCTATTAAATTGGGGATCGGAAGAAAATGTAAAAATGGCAATCCGATCATGCAAGTGTCCCTCTCATCTACTTTTATATGAATCAATCAATTCCAGCAGCAGTGGTTATGATCATCCTTATCAACAATCAACTTGATATATTTTTTCCCTCGACTTTTTCATTTGCAGCAAGCTTCCCCGAGAACAGGGATCCATTCTGTACTGTACAACAGGAATTCTACTTAGATGGCTTGTTTCTGATCCGTAAGTAAATTGATGTTTTAAAAGTTACTTAGGAGGGCCTACATTTAGAGCAAATTTTAGCTTACATTTCTCACATTCTGCTGATAACTGCGGCTTTTGCAATAAGCGAGTACACAAGTATACTTAAAACTTTATAATAGTGGTTGGAAGTCGTGTCAATTTTTCTGCTAATCTGACATTTTACAGACTACTTATTGGTACGAGTCACATCATACTTGATGAAATTCATGAACGAGACGTGTTATCAGATTTCCTGATCATCATTGTCAGAGATCTTCTACCTAAAAGGTAAGAGTTTTACTTAATTCAATATTTTTTAAATTAATTTTTATATATCCAACACCAGAAGTCATTGCGTTTATTTTAGTTGAAGGTTAAACGGGAAATTATTATCCTCAGCCCGATATCACGTTTCATAGAAATGATCAGATGATGAGTACTTACATATTGCTGAATAGTATTCTAATCTTTTTCAACTGACTGACCAATAGAAATGCCCCATTAACTTATTAAGTCACAATGTGTGATCCAAGTCAACAAAAGATTTTGCACAGTCAGGGAAACTCTAGCCTGAATTTCACCCGATTGCTTCGAGTCGTTTTCTCCTCTCAGCAACATAAACTGCAGCACTACGATTTTTTCTTTAATCTTTGCCTTTTTTCATAATCCGTCTTCAGATCCTCTAGTATTTAAACTAAAACATTATTGTAGACCATGACATCAGCAGCACCGCTTGTTTTTCCGTCTTGTGCTGCCATCCTTGCTGCTCAGGTCCTGCAGTTTTGCCGTTTGCCGAATGTGTGTCTTCAGGTCCTGCGTGGTTTTGAAAGGAAGGGGCCGTTTGCCGAGAATGTGTCGCCCTCCCCTTCCCTTCCCCTTCCCTTTCAACGCCGGAGCTAATAACGATTGTCTTTGTCATTGTAATCTGTCATTATTAACAGGCCTGACTTGAAACTGATCCTGATGAGTGCAACGTTGAATTCACAGATGTTCTCTGCCTATTTTGGTTTGTAACTCTTAAAATTGACTTCATTATAGACAGTAACTGTACATTAGGACTTAAATTTTTAAACTAGTGTATCAGGGGCACCCAACGAGGATATAGTTCAAAACCACTTAACATAGCATTGTTGAACGTATTTTAGTATTCAAACTATAGGCATATTTTTATTCCCTAAAAACTTTTTATCTGTTCGGATTTCCTAGCTGAAAGTCCAGTGATCCGAAAATTATAGGAATAAAAACTTACCTTCTCGAAAATTCCAGCCAGGAAAATCGAAAATTTTATCTTTTTAGGGTCAAAATAATTTACCATTTTGAGACGTTTTAGGAGAGGCAGGCAAGCAAGAAATCTTACAACAAATGCTCCGAAAATTCTAGATCTCAAATCGTCTTTCGAACAGATATTTTCCCGAAAATTGACGTTGCGTGCCCCTGGTGTATGCTGCACCACGGCTATAGGGGTATGAAGGACTCAGACAGTAGCTTGCATGGGAGATCTGAAAATAGCCTGCGAATAAAGTCGTCTCTTCGTGCAACCTCCCCGCTTGGGACGTAAAGGGTTTAGAGGTTGGGTGTGCAAGAAAGTCTGTCATTCACAATCTTATACGCCCTTTGTGAATGCTAACATGATTGTTATTTCAGACCTTGTCTACCCCTCTTATCTCAAGGTTTGAATCTACCATTATGTGTATATGTTTTGTTAGGAACAAATAAATAGGGAGCTAAAAGCAACGACGAGGACGACAACAACGACAATGTCATGAAAACAATTGGTTTTATTAGCAAAACAACAATTTTACACGTGCATCACGATCTTGAGTACATTTCTTTAACGTCCACTGCTCGACTACGAAGTGAAACCAATGCGACGTTTTTCGGGGGACGTGAACATACCACGACTTATTTTCGTTTGACCTAGATTAAGTCCTTAAGAATTCAACTCCAGGAAAAATCGCTTACCTTCTTAGCGGGTCCAAATAGACGCGACAAAGTTTGAAAGGAATCGTGAAAGTAGGCATTTTCACGTCGACGTTTGCAGTGTCGTCGCCGCCGCCGTGATGCACCTGCAAAATTGTTGTTTTGGTTATTAAATATTGCTTTTTTTAGTAGGCCGTCGCCGTTAGCATCGACGATGGTGACGGCAGTGAAAACGTCACTTTTAAAATGAATTGGCGTTGTTTCGACCTTTGTCGCGTTTATTCCAATTTGCTTAAAATGTCAAATGCAAGGGAATTTCCCTGGAGTTGATTTCTTGGAAAACCGCCCTCAAGTTTAGAAACAGAAAGAAAAATTAGTCCTCGCTTGTTTTCGTCTTCCATAAATTAGGCATTTTCACGTCGTAGTCGTGCAGTGACGGCAAAGAAATGTACAAAAACGCGTGATGCACGTGCAAAGTTGTTGTTTCGCTTAATAAAACTATTGCTTTTGACGTTCTCGTTGCATGGTAACTAACCGACAAATGTTTTACGCATGCTTCTGTCGAACTAATTGTCATTTTATGTTTTTTTTTCTGAAGGAAATTGTAAGATGTGTCATATTCCTGGCTTCACTTATCCTGTCCAGGAGTTTTTTCTTGAGGAAATTATTGAAAAAACAGGGTAAGAAAACAACTGCACAGCCATGAGGAAACAAGTTCATAACTTTTTACTCAACGTGCATACGTCCGGCCATAGGCTACGCTTTTCTAGATTACAACCATCGACAGTGTACATTGGGGAGGCTGGACGAAGGGTGATTTCATGGATTACATTTAGCGTAACTTTATTATTTGTATTTGTGTGTAAAGTCTTATTCAATTAAACTCTAGAGCTGTGATTTTAAAGCTTCAATAAACTACCGACCTATCTATGTACTTCGTATCCTGATTACCACTGAGAAGGCCACATCTTTTCTTTGTAACGCGGTTTCCACCAAAGAAAACCTTCTGAGCCCAGTTGTTCGAAAGCCGATTAGCGCTTAACCCGGGTTTCTTTTTCTGGCGTTCAAAAACATTTTGTCGGGTAATTTTCTCTGTTATTTTTAGAGCTTCCAATCGTCAACTAGTAGACAAAAAGAATTAAAACTGAAATGCTTTTTAAGCTTTCAAATCTGAATTCAAATCTCGCACTAACCCTGGGTTATCTTAACCCAGCTTTGAACAACTCGGCCCAGATAGTAAAACGTCTAGAATAGAGTGAGTTTTGTTTTTCAGAAAACATTTTGGAAGCTTTTGCTTTCCATTTTTCAAAAGAAAAGGGATAAAATTGACTTGCCGTTCCAGACAGTATTGCAGGTTCAAGATTAGCATTACATTTCGAGAGAACTTGTTTCCCCACTTTTGAACACTTGTTTGTCTTCTTTAGGGGGTCTGATTTCAGAGTTTTTGACCAAATGTTTTTCACTTCTCTTTTGCAGTTATCACGTGGCAGAACGAAGCCAGGGCTTTAACAAAAGACAACCCAAATGGATGAAATATAGAGGAAGAAAAAGTATTGCAAAAGACAGGAGATTAGAAAAATCCAATGCATGGCTAGCAGAGAGCGGCAGCCAAGAGGATGACGAAGAAATTGTTTGGCAGGAGTATTTACACTCAATCAGAGATAGGTTAGACATAGAGACTCTGTTATACAATGATTATATGCGGTCCCTAGATGAAAAACGGAGTGAATGTTCTTATTGCAATGCCACTTAGTGGTTGCGAACCGATTTATATAGATTTATATAGTGTAGTACCGAGTAGCCTGGTTTCCTTATGATCGTCCAAGTCGTTTCAAATAATGTTCAGGCGATCGGGACGATCGAAACGACCCGGACGACTGAGACGACCTCGATCACTTGGATAGAAGTGAGTTCTATCCGGACGAGTGGGACGATGGTGGAAAATTTGAAGCGATCATAATTATGAAAACGCTCTCAGACGACCGAGACGAACGAAACGATCAAAGCTATCCCAGAAATCATCACTGCTATTCTAGTAATCGGGGGAAAATGCGGCCTGGATGCCTCTGAAGTATGAAAAGATAATACAAAATGTTCGCACCGAGTATGGGCGATATTTTAAGAAGAGGAAGTTCTGGACGTGATACTATGTCTTCGTGGAACTCTTCTAGCTTGTCTACGCCGAAAAATTGAGAGGAAAAGTAGATAGCAGGCCACGAGGTTCGCTCTCTGATTAAAATCCGCCATTAAGTTTGGCTTGTTTGCGAGACACGAGCAAAAATTCCGTTGTCTGACCAAGAAACATCGTAGGCGACTACGCGTCTCTTGTCTTTGAGGCGATCGTCCTGATCGTATCGAAAGTTTTTGAAACGACTGGGGCGATCCGGACGATCATATGGAAACCAGGCTTTAAAGTTTGTTTTGGGAAATTTCCCGACAAAGCACGAGTTTTAAGCTCAAACTTTCACGTATAATGGCCTTTGGCGTAGAATGAATCCTTGTTCAGAGTGGATTCATCGGTTCATTTGATCTACCATGATCCTAGTGATCTCGGATCACTGATCCTGATCCGGATCATCTCAAAGGAACGCACCCTTAGATCACTTGCTGGTATGTACTCTTTACTCTTATCTGAAAGGCCCGTTGTTCAAGGTCATAACGGTCATTACGGTTTCAAGTACAGATTATGTTTATCTCTGTCTTGACAGATTTTCACCCGGTACTATCACCACCCTCCAAAACATGGATTTAGAGAAGATTGACTTGGGGCTTCTCGTTAGAGTAATCAAACACATCTCTCTTCAGATGGAGGTACATAATGAGAACAGTTAACTTCTAAACCCAAACTTCAACATCTTATAGTATAAACAAAGTGTTTACACAACAATATTTGTTTTTATCTCTTGTTTTGATCGTCTCCTGTATTCTTTTGAGCTCTACTCACGTGTGCCTTTGGTGCCTGCCATCCGCCTCGAAGGACCATTTTTTTCCATTCAACTGTTGAGAGTTGTAATGTATTTAATATTCGGGTGGCTTAAACCTTTGTTACATAATTAATGGCACGTTCATTGGTGTTGAGAATATTTCTCACAGTATAATTTTATTTTTCTCTAGGACGGGGCTATTCTTGTTTTCCTTCCTGGTTGGGACGATATCAGCAAACTTCATGACAACTTGAAGAAGGAAACGCTTTTCTCTTCAGGTATCTTGTGGGGATAACATTTCGGGGATGTGGCTATTTAAGGTAACTAAACATCGGTGGTTGAATCCTCGAGCAGGCAAGGTGAAGCGAATCCTGTGTTGCGATTGGCTATTCGAGCGGGCAAGATGGGCCCCGCTCGGGTCCCGGAAGAAAACGTTCTCTTTTTGACAATATAATAAGTCTTTTGTTGACCTTGTGTGAAGTCAAGATGGCTGGTTGTTGGCCTTTTTTGGCGTTTTTGTTGGCCTCGGCGCGGTCTCGGTCTATAAAATACGCAACAAATCACCTGGCCAATATTCAGCCCTTTTGAACTCACGCCTGGTCAATAACGCATATATATATTAAGAACAGTGGGAAGAATTTTAGTTTCTGTGTTTTTTTGAGGATTCAGCCGGGACGAAAGAGGTCTATACACGCCATTTTTATTTTTTTTTCTTGTAGATAAATTCCTCATTATTCCGTTACATTCTATGATGCCATCAGCCAGCCAAAGAGAGGTAGCTAATGCTGTGTTTACTTCTTTTAGTTTTACCGACTTGAGTTTTTGTTGAGAACACTTGTTAACTGAATTACAAAACTTCGTTAACCCAATAATTTTACTACAGAATTCCGAGGATAGAAAAATGACGCAGTCTATGTGAATGTTAGAAATAAAAATTGATTCTTTAGGTTATTTTAGAGGCGTTAAATAGAGACTTGTGATGATTGTAAAACCCCCTTCCTCGCTTAACAATGAATCCGACATTCCAATTCAGTATTCACGGGTTTACTGACATGAGGAGCAGGGCTAAAAAAAACCCTCCGGTAGTCCGGGATTTTCTTGCTGCAAGCAAGCAATGGTCCGTGGCAAGCAAAATGTAAGAGCTGCTTGCTGAGGAGGGGATGATCAAATAAACAACGGAAAAAAATTCCAAAAATTCGGAGGATACGATCCGATTCGGTTTTATTAAGTATGACTTATTGCCCAAAGGCGTCGCATCAGTTTTCTGGCACGGATCTTAGTTCACTACTGTTGTTCCTTAGGTGTTTGATCGTCCACCAAAAGGCGTGAGAAAGATTATTATCGCCACCAATATCGCAGAAACCAGGTTAGTAAATCACAAGACACAAGAATAACATTTATAACAGCCTACAGTCAACAATTTGAACTAAAGGAAAAAGTCCTTATTTCACGTCGGTAACTCGTAACAGTAGTCATTTGATTGACAAACTGCGGCCGGCAATGGTGCGCCCATTTTACCCCCCCCGCCCCCCTCACCATCGTTGCTCTGTTTTACATGGATTTAAAGCTACTATAGCTACACGGAAAGGACTAAGTCGGAACAAGGATTTGAGATAACACTTGAGGATCGAACTCGGGGCCTCGGCTCGCACAGAAGGCTGTACTCTGACCGACTGTGTTAATCCTTGCTCATACAAGGTATACCTCATTAAAACGTCATTTATTTTTCCCTTTGATTTACTGTAGCATCACTATTGATGATGTGGTTTTTGTCGTGGATGCTGGCAAAGTAAAGGAAAAGGTAGGGCGATTCATTGTTTTCCACTAAAGTAGACTCTTCGCGATCTGAGTGGTTTTCCAAAGAGAACCCTGGATGCATTCAAAGCCAAAAAGATTTCGAATCCTCAACCTGTTAATTGCAAAGAATAGACCCTTTCTATTTTAGTAAAGAGAAGTAAGCGAATATCCATCAACACCGAAAAAATTTTATGTCGACACGGAAAGCCATCCAGAATAGTATGACCGGCGCGGCAACGAACTGGGACTGGAACAACTCTTTTACACGCATGCGCAGCAACACATCGTGAGGAGCGGTTTTGTGACGGTTAGTCGGAAGGGTTTGGTACACTAAATCCCAGCCTCACTCTTGAATATTTACTTCCGTCTCTGTGGGTTCTAGTCCTCGCACCTTACTCATTTCCGCTACGGTTCGAATACCCGTTCACCCTGCGCCAAAATTGGCACAGAACCTTTTTCGAGTTCAGCCCGGCACAGCTTCGCGCTGTAACATAAATCGCGCCATCACTTTCCTCATGTGTTGACAGAGGCCCTTTCGGCCATCCGGTATTGTTTCGGTGCGGCTCATGGTATTCGCTGTTCCTTTGTTACCTGTACAAATAAGTTTGATTGTATGCTTAAGGAAGTCATCCACAAGTTCACTAATTTGGTGTAATACACCACTCTCAGCACCGCAGGAAAACGCTGCTCAGTAGGTTTTATTGCAATGGATATGATTTTGGATTTCATAGACGTCGATTACGGTGGATTCTCGACTATTCGAACCAGCAAGGGAAAACCAAATTGGTTTGAATTATCGGGAGGTTTGCAAAATCGTGGGTAACATTATAGTATTTGACTGGTGAAGGGAAGCCAGGACTGGACTGAATTATCGGGAATTTCGAAGAACCGAGGATTCGAGAAATTGGGATTCTACTGTATGTTTTTTAAAAAAAAAACAATCTGAGTTAAACAGGCGCAGTATAGTCCCTCATTTCTAGGGGACAGTAAAGCGCGCGAGGAAAGGAAAGGCAGCACTAGGCGGGGAGAGAGAGAAACTTGCTGTACTATCCCTAGGGAAAATAATATAGAAGGAGTACTTGTTGAGTACTGTACATGATCAATTATTGGATTTCTTTTTCACTAGACGTACGATGTGAACAATAAAATTGCTTGTTTACAGCCAGTGTGGATCAGCAAAGCTTCCTCGCTTCAAAGAAGAGGTCGCGCAGGAAGGTAAGTGTAACCACAAGCTACAGGCCACTTCCGAATTAACTGCCCAAAGCCTCTTTATCAAAACTATTTGAATAGGTAGTCTTTGGAACACCGCCAGTTGAACCAAGTTCGATTTTATGAACTGTAAGCAACTGGAAAGTTGATACGAGCAAGATGTTTTTTTCAGTCAGTGACACGGGTAGGCTCCTCGGGTGGGGAGGGGTGGGGAGTATCGCGGGCGCATCGAGATACCCAAGGCTGGAGACTGAGCCTATTACACAGGCGGCACGGAAGAAAAAAATCAAAGTACTCCCAACAAAAGTTGAACCTATGACCTTCTAGTTACCAGGCCAGATGTTCTACCATAGAGCTACGAGGGACTCTGACAACTAAACAAAGGGCGCTTTCCATTTGTCAAAACTGACCGGCCAGCCCAGGCCATTCCCATCGTAATGAGGATTTCACTTTTAATGAAAACTAACCACTCAAATCAGTCAAATCCTAAATATTATACACAACGGAGATGATTTTTCAGCAAAACCTCTTGGAAAAAGCCTAATTCATTGCCAAAATGTCTGGTCCGGCCGCCCAGTTCTGACTTTTGGAAAGCGCCCTAAGCGTTAATGTACTCCGTTCATTAACAGAGCTTTGGTTTGCTTGTCTCTAATTGGTCAGTTTCTTTCTAAAGTAATCCACATATGGTACCTCGTTCATGACCATTTTACTGCAAGTCGTTTTCATGTTTCCTGAAATATTCGATCTTATCTCGTAGCCCTGCACTGTTTTTCCTTTGAACGGTTGAGTCAGAAAGTTACCCTCCTGTAAACACGCCTTTTTCACCGCTTCTTTTTTCCTCGTAAAAAGCGCGAGATCTTCGGCGAAATCCGGACCTTCTCTTTCTATCATTTGCCACAACGTTTGGTTAAACACGTCGTACAATAGTACATCACCCGAATTCCATTTCTGAATCTGCTCTCTCGCTTGATTCGTGAGTTCTTGTTTGTCTTTGTTCGTCCTTTCATTGAGTTTAAAATACAAAATGTCCTCGATTTCCCAACAAAAGCGTCGTTTTAGGAGTACAAGTGACTCATCAAAGTATTCCATTAACAACACAAGTTGAAACTCTTGCTGCAACTGGCGAATGTAGTCTTGCACCGCGGTGACATTTTCGTGATATTTTTGGTCAAGTCCAAGATCGAACAATGCTGGGTTTTTTATTAAGTTTGAGTATCGTGTATTATGAAATTTCATGTGCTCCATATTAAATGTTGCATTCACCAGAAAGTTCTCTAGTGGTGAGATATTGTCTCTTTTGTTTGTAAAATTCTGTGGAAGTAAACCGTAATAGTTGAAGATAGATTCCATCTGTGCAGAAGGCTCCCTCAACATTGTGATGTAGTTTGTCTTGTCCTTCGGGAAAATCTCGTTCATTGAGGGTTTGTTGTACCTAGCATGATTATTTAGAATATTTGGTGTCCTGCCAAATGTGTTTACGTAGCTAATTTGGAAAGGTCGAGGCCAGAAAAAGTCGTAACCTTTAGTAGGCAAGGCGACGGTTAGGTTTCTTTTATCCCCATAGCGATTTAGGATATTGGTCAATGTACTTGTACCAGATTTGTGCGTCTTCAAAAATAAAATATTATTCACTGGCTGACACGGGGTGGCCGTTTTTTTTGTGGTATCATCCTTCCAGTGTGTACTGCACTGGTCCTCATGAAACCTAAAATTAGTCGGAAAGTACACTTTGTGAGGCACATGATTTTTGTTATAATACGTTCAAATTTTTATAACACACAGTACAGTATCAGTTAACCCTTTAACTCCCACAATCTGATTAGTAATTGTCCCTTCTGGCTGCTATAAATTTTATTGAATGCTCTAAATAGGAGAATTTGTGGTTTTATTAATGTAACATCCTCTTGCTGGTAAATTTGCATATTCCCACTACCTATCTGTTGGACAATGTATTGGATATTTTAAGGAGAAGTTACATGCCCATCACTTCTGGGCCCAGTAGTTCGAACGCCGGTTAGCGCTAACCCGGGGTTAAATTTTAACCAGGGCTTATTTTTTTTTTCATCAAAAACACTCTCTCAGATGATTTTCTATATTTTTTTAGAGTATCCAACCATCAAATTGTAGGCAAAGAGAATTAAACTGAATTTGCTTTTTACGCTCTCATATCTGAGTTCAAATTTCGCGCTAACCCTGGGTTATCTTAACCCACCTTCGAACAACCTGACCCTGGGTGTTAAATAGTTAACTCAAAGGTGTAAACTGAGTTGAGTTGTGCAACAACTGGTCCCACTCAGGGCTACACATACTTTGATCAACTTAAATCTCTTTATGACAGCAGGCGCTGTACGCTCGTACGTTACGCGAGTCAGCAAAGTATATGTGTGTGTACTTTATACGTGTCACTCTAGTTGTAAGATAGGGTTTTAGCGACACTTCCCAAGAAAAGCCTTATTTGTTTTCAAAATGCTGATAAGGTGAGCTAGCTGTGACATAAGTGGACATTTTGCAAGCTTATCTTACTGTAAGTGCTTCAATACATTCTTTGAATCATAAATCGTTTAATATAAAGCGTGAAAATCATCTTCTCCAGCCAGTGTGGTAAAAAAAATCACATTTTTAAGTGTCAATGTATTTAGAAGCAATTCGTCATTTAGACTACGAGTAGTCCCCCATTTTTCCTCAGGGATAGTAGACCGTGCGAAACGCGAGCGCGCGTGAAAATCACCCCACGCGAGAAAAGGCGACACGCGGCGGCTGTTTTTTCTTCCCCTAAGGGTCCGGAGAACTCCAGTAGCATCGGTTACCGTTTTCTACTTCTTCTGTTTTTATATATAGGTCAGTTCTGTGCTATACTCTTAACTTAGTTCCTTTACCCGTACGCAAAATGCTCCTGCAGAGAATCTGCAGAGTTATAAAGAAGATACCGTAAAATCCCGAAAATAAGCCCCTCCATGTATAAGCCCCTCCAAATACAGGTCCCCCAATCCAGTAACGCAAAAGACCCTCTGTTAAATCGCCCCTCCAAATATATACCTCCCGGGGGCTTGTACTTGCAAAATTGCCCTCAAATACAAAGTAAAACAAAGTAAAAATGGTAAATGTACTTCCAACTATAAGGCTAGCCGAACGATCTTGAAACGCAAATTTCCTTCCGTAGATAAGCCCCTCCGAATATAAGTTCCTCCAAAAATAAGCCCCTCAAAAAGGGCCTTTGAAAAAGATAAGTCTCGGGGCTTATTTTCGGAATTTTACGGTATACTAACAAATTTAATAAATATAGGGAGCACTAACCATAATAATTTTTTGGTGATTTTTGTAGGCATAGCATTAGAACCGCCAATTTTAAAGATTATGGTTATTGGGTTATAAATCGCGAAGAAATCATTGTCCTCTCATTTGTATTTTTTTCACCAGACGAATTACGTTTTAACATGCTGAAGATTTTTTTTGCCAGGGTGGCACTTGGACAAATATCGAACATCTTGACGTTTCTTAGACTTGTTTACTTCATGCAAATATCCTTTGTTCCAATATTAGCGTTAACGTAGCTTTTTCCACGTTATTAACTGCGTATTCTGCCAGTTCCAGAATTCAATGTATTTCAAGGGAGTTTTTTTTGAGGTTGTAAAGTTTTCACATTTGTCAATTTCCTAATTTTACAGTTTTTTTGTTTTGTACACAATATTTTAGAAAGCAAGCGTTTAATATTAAACACCTACACGCCGTTTTGAATATTGTTCAAGTGGTAGGGTCAACGTTTTGGGATGTTTCAAGTGGTAGGATATTGCTGATCTTTGCTTTCGACCCTTTAGTTTGCTTTAAAAGTGAGTCGTAGTTCTTGTCCAGCAACTGCAGCGAATTCGAAAAACTCTTCGATCTTCTTACAAATTCACCTGGGGCGCTTTCCATTTAGGAAAAAAACCCGGAAATTTCGGTGGGAGCAAAAGTGGAATTTCCGATTGGTAAAAAGTGGTTCCATTTGGTCGTAAACCCCCGGTACGTGGCTGTACCCGACCGTGGACATAGTGGAACTGGTACAAACTACGAGAAACGTGCAAACAGAAAACGAAGTTCCGTTCGGAAATCCCAACCGGGAAAACAGGCCCATCTTTTTAAATTTTCCACTTTTTCTGGGAATTTTCCAGTGGACGAACCGACGAACGAAACGTGTTCCATTTACCGCCGAACCCGAAATTCCGGAAATTTTGTCTAAATGGAAAGCGCCCCTGGTGATTAACACGATTTCGATGAGAATCAATTTTTTTATTTCGTCGGCACTGAACATTGTGATAATTACGTAAAAAAGACTACACATGAAAATATTAGCCTGCGTAGCGTGCTACTTCGAGGTGCCGCTATTTATCTAAAACAAAAAAGGTTCTGTTCTCATTGGCAGCGGGGACTGTATCTCAAACAACATGATTCTGATTTAATGTAGACGCGGTTCTTGAATTTCATCTTCATCATCATCCTAACTTTCGGCTGTCGCTGTGTCGGGTTCGCCGTGAAACCTCTTCGAAGTTGTTTGGTCAGACTCTGTGGACCTTCGAGCGCGTCTGAAATTTTATGGGGGAGGATTTCATCTTTCCGCTTCAGAAATCGTGCCGCCCTAAACCAAATCCACGCATGCTCTCCTAAATGTACCGTGGAAAGGTCTTGTCGATTTTATTTAACTTCCTGGCAGTATATTAGAAAGGACAGTTAGGCCTTGCACAAACAAAATAGCCCGATCGAAGTCAGCCTTGCATGCAATTCAAGTAAGAGTCTATATAGCATTTATTCATTTAATATAAAAGGTAATCGTACTTACTGTTCTTTGACACGGCTTGGAACTGTTTCTGCCCAAGGTAAGAAATGACTAAAACTATTAATGATTACAATGAAGGCTGTTAGAGTACAAGTTGATAAAATAACAAACGTTTTGAGAACGCGTGGGATACGAACCATCATAAAGTAACAAGGGTAAGATTTCGCCCAACTAATCCTTCAATCAAAGCCCCTTTTGACGCTAACCAACTGCCAGCAATGTTCTTAACTATCCTTCTGTTGTTAACAGCGACGAGTACGTGAACCAATCGTAAAAGCAATATATTTAAGCCATTAAAGCAAAACACTTTACTTAAAATTCATTTCTTTTGTTTTATCCCCCCAAAGCCTTGGAGCAAGTTTTTTTTTTTTTCCTTTTTTTAATAACATTTATTTGGTTACAACACTTCTAATGATAATACTTACATTTATATGGAGGAAAAATAAAAACAACGTACAAGAGATAAAGGAAAAATACAATATTACAGCATTTACATTTACTCGGAGCAAGTTAGGCCAACTACGATTTTTAACATATTAAAGTTGGGTCTATTGTCGTGAATTCAATTTCCTGCGAGCTGAGGTCTCTCATGACGAGGCAAGTTTGCCTCGTCTTGAGAGACCTCTGCTAGCAGGCAGTGAATTCAATTTCCCGCTTGATTGATTGCTGGTTTATCCGCCTTTTCTTTCCAGAACTTGCAGTTTGAGAGAATTTGTAGAGTTTCTCGCTTCTCAGCGCTCATAACATACAAAACTTTTATTAAATTTCACTTCGCACGATTTCTACGCAGCTCATACTTTTGATTCTTCACAGCGTAACGTTTTCTTCATTGTGAATATAGCATTTTGTAAGCCCCAAAGTAATAAAGTTATCAATGTCCTTTTTTTATTGTAAACCTCAAAGTCTCGCAGGCGATTATGAATTTGAATCCACTGAAACTTCTCTTTTTACATTAAATTAAACGTTACTAAGATACCGACTGGTCTTGTAAACAGCCAAGAGAAACACACAGGCTTTTTGCACATTATACTGGCATGTCTTCGAGCATTTTAGTGAGGCAAACGCATTAAGCATTATTCGAGTATTTTAAAGGCATTTTCCCGAAAAATTGCTATTTTTGATCAGAGAAAATGTAAATTGTAATTAATGTCTTTGCTCTAAATGTAAAAGATATATATTTCAATTTCACCTCAATACAGCCATGTAGAGGATCATTTTTCTCTGTATTAAAACTCTCAACTTGTCATACCTACATTTTTGTGCTCTTAAACCCTCTTAAAACTGAATTGGGATTGATAACGAAAATTCTCTCTATAATGAACATTTTTCGAGCATTTTCTTAAATGCCATTTTTGGGTCAATCCTTTAACCGCCAGGAGGGACAAACATCTACTTTGTTATGTGAAGAGGGGAAATTATTAAACAGTTTTTTTGTCATTTTCGTGTTCGATACTTGTTGGAGGCCCACAACTGTAAAAGTACCAAACGGTAGTCGTTTTTTTTCATTATTATTTCAGCACTCTATGGGGAACTGACAGGTCACAAATTTTTTTTTCGTACGGGGTACGACAGACCCCCCCCACATTTTTTAGGCGACTACCCCCTCGGGGGGGGGGGGGAACAACGCGAAATTTTCGCGCAACAAATAACCTACGTTATGGCTAGTTTATTTGTGCTAGAATAACTTTTTTCATTCACCTTCAAATGACTGTCAGTTTGCAGTAGTTTTGTTTTGGAACATCAACGGCCTTACCATGGAGGCCTGAGGTTGTTTTGCTCACTAGCGGCGAGAAGTCTAAAGAGCAAAGTGCTGAACAATAGCTGATTTTTGATTATCGCGACACCTGTTTGTTTTCTTTTTTGCATGTTTCGCATTGTAGTCGATAGCCCGAAGTACTCGTAGGAACCGAACATCCCGAATATAGATTGCCTTTTTCTTCTTATGATATATGAATTTCTGAAGTTTTTAGCCAAGATTTGCTGTTAAACAGAAAATGTTGATGGAAGACCATTAACCAGCAAATCAAAGGCAGTGTTGGGTTTTGCACTTTACGCGAGGAAAATGTGGCTCTGTGTTGGAAGAGAAAATTACTCCTCTCAAGAGCTATTGCTCCCTATAATATTCATCAGTTGGAAAGATTCCTTTGTTACGAAAATAGTAGGGAGCTTGAGCAACGACGACAACGACGGCAATGAAAACATAGCAAAAAATTAATTTGCATCCCTTCAAACTTTATCGCGTCTATTTGGACCCTTCAGTTTTTCAAATAAAGGCGATTTCTCCTAAACTTGAATTCTTAAGTACTTTCTCCAGGTTCAAAAAGGCTGAAAGAGAAATTCGTCGTCGTATCTTCTCGTCCCCCATGAAACGTTGCATTTAGGAAGTTTCACGTCGTAGTCGTGTAGTGGACGTCAAAGAAATGTACTAAAAATCGTGGTGCATGTGCAGAACTGTTGTTGTGCTCATAAAACCAATTGTTTTTTGACGTTTTCGTTGTCGTCGTGGTCGTGGTCCTCTCTCACTCTGTCCTCTTTACCGAGCACACCAATAATGACGCAACAGCATTTTCTGCGGATTACCGGTAGGTTGCCTAACCTGCGTACCAGAGGTTTTTTCTCGCGTGCGACGAGGAGCTTCGTCGGCCATAGGCCGAAGACACGAGCGGCGACCTGAAACCGCGCATGAAAAGCCTCTGGAACCCAGGGTATAGGTTCCCGTACCTTTAAAGCAAGCCGTACGGGATGGTGCCAAAAAGTGTAACAAATTGACCGTATGCGGAAAAAAAACTCGGGCTTACAGAAGAAACCTTGTCAGAAAACCACTTTAAGCGCTCCAAAAATACGTACCCAAAGTTTGAGTACAGAACATAGTAAAGCTACTTCAATTTAATTCTGAAAAATAAAAGAGTGATTTTTACACAGAGTCCAGCCTGGCTACTGTTTCCATTTGTTCACTCAACACCGTGCTGAGGCTCTTGAAGATTATCAGCTGCCAGAGATGATGAGGACACCCCTCGAAGAATTGTGTCTTCAGATAAAGGTAATCCGTTTAGACCTCTTCGAGTCCTTCTTTCCTTCGTTGAAAACGGAGAATTTTTTCTCCGTTTTCAAAAAAATACGCATGCACACTAGCGTTAGCCTGCGTAGCAGGCGCTTGAAAGTAGTGGGCACAAGAAAAAAAGGGCGCGCGAGAAGGAGACGAGCGTGTCTCCCTCGCGCGCGCCCCTTCTGTCTTTCGCCCACTACTTCCAAGTGCCTGCTACGCGGGCTAACGTAGCGTATTCGAATCGTTTTCGCCCGTCCACACGAAAACGCTAAAACGCTAGAAATATAGCATCTCTTATGGAGCATGCATCATGCTAGTAGTATATGATGTATGACATCGTCGCATTCGAAAACCTCCGTTTTCGTCCGTCCACACAGAAACGGAAAGCCGGCGTTTTCAAAAATCTCCACTCTTGGGAGCGTTCTTGAAAAGATGAGTTTTCGGTGACCGTTTTTACCGGATACGTGTAGACGGTAAGCCAAATCGGGGAAAAAACTGTCCGTTTTCAAACAAAAACAGATACGTGTGGACTGGGCCTTAGGGTCAGTTCAAGTTGACAAAATTAGGAAATGAGCAGATAAAACCTGGTCCAAATAACAGACCAATTTTGTAAATTTCATTTACGGATTAGACCAATTTCAGTATATATTAAAATTCATACTTGGCTCCGAGGCTTGAGGGAACAAAACAAAAGAAATGTATTATTCATTACTGAGCATCAAGATGATTTCTTTTGTTTTATTCCCTCAAACCTCAGCACCAAGTATCAGTTTTAATATATTGAAATTGGTCTAATCCGTAAATGAAATTTACATGAAACTATTTATAATGAAAAGTAACCGAAAAGGGAAAAGGAATACCAGGCGACTTTAATTGCATTTCTATTGATGTACGCAATCCGGTGGGATTTTTAGCTCTTTCCTTCTAAAGAGTGACTAATAGTCAAGATTCAACAATATTTTCTAATTTGACTCTGTAAAATGCTGAAAAATAAGAAGCACTATGTAAAAGTACAGCTAAAATCGTTTCATTTGAGTGGTCACAGCACTGGATTTTTTTCACAGACTCAAAAGTTAGATGAGCCGCGTTGCACTCGCACACTCTATATCTCACTCTGCGTGAGTGAAAGGAAGGGTTGTTGAGGCATGGGATGCTTATCATTTACATAAACCACCCGGGTGTTAATCTTGTGTATAAATATAAAACTACAAAATTTGACGTGGTAGGAGGACGATCCGCTACAAGGTATATCCAACTCGGCTAAAGACTAAAACCAGTAGAAAAATTGCATCATCTCTAATCACAGCCCATGTTTTCTGAAACTTCTAAATGGAATGGCGCGAACCACTTGATTTTCCATCCGGAATTTCCAGCTTCCCCATGTAACTGGTAAGAACCCTCAGGGCCGAGCCTCCCTCAGTAGGCTACCCCCGATGGCCATGTGTGAATATGAACTTTGTTTACGTTCTGTAGTAATGAAAAAGTATTTTCGCGTCAAAGCGACTTCGCATTTACTTCCGATTTGAAAAGCGCCCACTTTGCTAATTTACAAAACCAAGCGTTGATAGTTTTGTTGTTTTGCCTTTGTCAGATTCTTAAACTGGGCATGATCAGACCCTTCCTGTCCAAGGCCCTGCAGCCTCCTGAGGAACAGGCCGTCATCAATGCACTGGAAGTACTTCGGCAATTGGTAGGAGTGTGAGCACATCTCACATCTTCTTACTGATTTTTTTACTACAACTTCATGGACTAATTAGACTGTAAACACTTGCACTCACACGGGTACCTAGCCTCCCACACAGACATTCTTAGGGCTTCCCCACGAAGCCCCGGGGGAGGGGTGGGGGATTCTCGACCAATATTTGGGTATAGTTGAGTCGCTGAGGGTTTGAAACTCCGACCCTGTGTAGTACAACAAATCCTAACATACGTATCCTAATTAGGACAGCACTCTCAATTTTATTACCCTGTTCAGGAAAAAGGATAAAATGCGCGCCGTTTTGGTTTTAAGTCCTTTATTGGCAATTGCAACAGAGTAAATTTACGTTATAGTCATTTCTTCGGTATACTTGAAGTACAAGCGAATTTCATCAAGCAAATCAAATCAATCGTGCAAGCAATACCCTGTTTACAGTAAGGCAGACTCGTGCGAAATTATATACCCTGTCTAGCACAGAGAGGACAAAAAGCATACTCTGTCCAGCGGCCCATCCTCGTATAGGCCATATAAGGGAGTACAACCGCCGGTCACAGTGTCTAAGAACGTCTGCGAGGGAGTTAACGGGTTTTAAAGTTTACGGCTTATTACTCCCGACTGAGCAGTTAAAGACTTAAAAAAAAAGTGCAGCGTAATTGAAAAATACCTAAACTGGTACAAAACCTCGAAGCGTAGGCTTGTAATTTGTATTTTATTTTCATTAAACAGAACATGTCGTGTTTCTGCTTCGTTTTAAATCACCAAAAGCCGTCAGTTACCGGCATGCATTTGTGACACGCTAGCCTGCACCTCGTATTTTCCTGTTCATACCACAGTCCACATTTTGACGTAATCTATCATCTGTTACTGAACACATGCAAAGCAATATGGTACCTGTTTGTTAAATGTTGTGTTGATGATATTGCAGAATGCACTGGACGGCAACGAAGAACTGACTCCTCTTGGTTATCACTTAGCGGCCTTACCTGTCAGTCCACGAATCGGCAAAATGATCTTATTTGGTGCAATCTTCTCTTGTTTGGATCCTGTGCTCACTGTTGCGTCCGTTTTAGGATTCAAGGATCCTTTTGTCTTCCCACTGGTAAGCTCAAACCGACCTAATAGTCTTCCTACTCAGTTTCTGACAAAAATAGCTTTCACTCCTCTGGAAATCCATACCTGGTAGGCGTATTGTTCACGCATTAAACACCAGATTAAGCACGATTTTTGTGCTCCCATGTGAACGGGTGTTTCGTACCGGAAGTAAATAATCTGACCTACGCATCCTTACGCATGCTTTTAGCGCATACTCATCTGGTTTACTACAGAATGCCGTAGTAATCCTCATAACCTAAATTTCACCTCGTTTAGTGTGGTGGGTCTTCACACAATAGTGGGTTGATTTCTCTGTGGGCACAAAAATCAACCTCGTATAAAGGGATGGCTCTTTCATGTCTGAAATGAGTAGTAAACGAAAAGTAGAGGGAACACCTAGTCACGGGGTGCAGATTGCCTGTTCAACATGATGCTAATTTTCTCCAATAAGTCGCTTTTAATTTTTGTGTGAGACTACAATGAGTTGCTTTTTGGGACTGATTATGTGATCTCTATAACGTTGTTGAGTATATTTTACGTCAAGATTTTAATCCATAGGGTAAACAGAAAGAAGCTGAACAAGCGCGCTCTAAGTTCGCTGGCGACACGCGGAGTGATCATCTAGCCCTTCTAAATGCTTTCCAGGTGAATGTTTTATCATCAGATTTACAAGTGACTGGATACTGCTTGCTCCAGCTGTCCAAAATGTGGGCAACAACTACTTATCAGGGTTGGCAATGATAAGTAAACTTTGAGTGAAATGCAACGTAGACTGTTCTTACTCTCACATCAGCCTTAGATTTCGTTTCAGATTTTTTAGTGGCTACCTAACTGTCAAAATGGCTGTAAAATTTACTTTGTTGTAGAATGTCAAAAAATAAGCTGCCTTTTAAACCCTTTTAAATTTTTTAAATTTAGATTAAAGGTGAAAACCTTTTTTTTTTTTTAAAGAAATCACTGTTTCTGTGGATTTTCTCGCCAGAACATGTAGAATCTGGAACTGTTTAGCTAACGTACTTGATTTCAGCTCAGTGTCCTCATTAATGGATGTTCCTCAGACGTTTCCTGAAAGTGTTCTAGTGTTCGTTCCCTAGATTGCCTGATCCTTTGTTGTATGAGGCCATTTGCTTTGTATCTGTTACTTCTTACTCTCTTACGCTTTAATTGACCTTATTAAGCTGTTACAGTCTCCCCGACAATCCCCCTCTTAATTTAGTAGTGGTGCATGGTGTGTGCTTTATTTTTCTTGTTCAAACTGCTTTTACTATCTTTTAATTTATACTTGTGCAAACGAAACTTGTATTACAGTTAACTCTCTCTAAGACAGACGCCATTGGAACAAGGACTTAGTGTCCGTCTTACAAAGGGAGTCAAGAAAGGCAGGGACCAACTCTAGGTGTCCGTTTCACAGAGGTGTACATTTTATAGAGTCAAATAAAGGGAGTCAAGAAAGGCAGGGACCAACTCTAGGTGTCCGTTTTACAGAGGTGTCCGTCTTACAGGGTTGTCCCTTAAAAGGCAGTTGACTGTAGTATTATTATTGATGTTTTTGTTTGTATTGAGCTATTAGAGCGGTTTTCACTTGACTGTCGAAAGGGATTGGTTTTGGTTTTGGTTTTGGTTTTACTACGCCCTTTGGTTGGCTAGTGTATTTACTTTGGTTTTGGTTTTACGACAGTCAAGTGAAAACCGCTCTAATTTTGTTTTTTATTTGTTTTTGGTATCAGGGCTGGGAACAGTCTGTGAGAAATAGACGTGAAAGGGACTTCTGCTGGCGAAACTTCCTTTCTATGAATACTATGAAGGTAAAATTACTGCAAAATCCACACAGCTAAATTGGTCTTCCAAGGACTTCATGTTAGCTTTTGCAAAAATGGGGTTTTACTTGTAATCGACGTTTTTTATCAAACATTGTTGTTCTGTTGTTGTTGTTGTTTTGAACGCGGTGTTGTTTCAGACCGCTTTAAGATGAGTGGCCGGGAAAATGCCCACCCTCCCGTCCCGTGACCCATAATTTTGCTCTAATTAAGAAATCAGTCTCTTAACGTTGGGTTAGGAAAGGGCTGTGTGGACAGTTTCCCATAATTTTTATACCGGTCCACTTCATTAATGGGCTGTGCTGTTGCCAGTAGTAACCGTTTTTAACGTTTTTAAAGCCTCGGTTTAGACCCCCACTGAAACAACAGTCGTTTTCAAACGCGTTAAAAGGGGGGCATTTTGTACGGTTGTACCAATCTTATAGGCATCAAAACTACGCTGTGTTCTTATTCGTTTGGATGAAAATGATGAATTCAGTTCTATGAGAAGGTCGTATCGTTTTCTAGCAAGCTTGTTTCTTGGGATGCGGGTCTTTTCGCACGTTGTTTTCTCGGTCCTTTTCGGTGCGTTTAAAGTAGACTTCGCTTATATTTCTTTTGTTAAGGTTGTCCTAATACAAAGGTCTGTTTTATACTTTAAAAGCAGGACCGGGTTGTTCGAAGCTGGGTTAAGATAACCCACGGTTAGTGCGAAATTTGAACTTGGATATGAGAGCTTAAAAAGAAAATTCAGTGTAATTCTCTTTGCCTACAATTTGATGACTGGAGAAAGAATAGAAAAAATTATCTGATAGGTTGCTTTTGATAAAAAGAAAAAGAAACCTGGGTTAAAATTTAATCCAGGGTTAGCGCTAACCGGCGTTCGAACAACTGGGCCCAGGACTCAACATATTTGAGGTAACCAAACATTTTTGAATGAAACATTAAGCGAAGTTATATTCATTTTTTTCTATTTAATTTCAGATGATAAAAGATATGAAGAAGCAATTTTCTGGATTACTTCATGAGATTGGATTTCTCGATTCAGCTGATCCTAAGGCGCCTGCCGCCAATCGCAATTCAGGTACTTTAGTTTTTCCTTTTCTTTAAGTTTCTCTTCTTCTTCCTTATATTTGTTCTTTGTTTGACAATTTGCAGAAAATTTAAAGCTTGTAAAAGCCGTTTTATGCGCGGGTTTGTATCCAAATGTTGCCAGTATACAGCATCATCCATCGTTTAAGAGGTAGGCAATAACATTCATTTTGTTCTCAGCCCCTTGAGGGGGCAGTATGCAGAGAATGGAAGTGTTCACCTAATAACAACAAAGATCCACTTTATGAATAGCACACTTTTATTTGTAAAATTTGTTACATAAAATCAGTTACAGAGTGTTTTTGGAAGGATGTAGACTGAGACTGTAAAAGTGCCTGGGCGGGTCAAGGTTTTATTACTTGGCCCGGGGGTTTTTGGGAGAAATCATTGGAACGTCCATTGATGTCCCTTCACTGACCAGTTACGGTATCGGCGAGTATACTTTGATGATGTGAGCGTAGTTTGCTTAAAAAGTCCAAGAATTTTCAAGATTCTACTCTTAAACCGTGATTTTTGTTTAGCGGGAGGGGAGGGCATTATCAGAGACTATGGGGACGTCAAATTCAAACGCCGGTTTTCATGGCACAGCTTTGTCGCATGCAACGTTCTTATGATAAGCCGACGACACAAATCTTAAACCGGTAAAACCTATAACCCTTTTCAACGTACGCAAAAATTACAAATAAAAATACTTTCATCTTTGCCATCGTCGCAAAATGGAAGTCACAAAAAGTTGTTTGTTTGTTTTCCACCTGCAGGCCTCCTAAACTTCGAACACAGGAAGATGGCTTGGTGTATCTTCACCCCAAGTCAGTGAATGTTGACGTCAAAGTGTTTGAGGACAACTGGTTAATTTATCACGAAAAAATGAAGTCATCCTCGGTATTATAACAAACCTATAATTTCATTTTTAAAACTAAGGAAAACAGCTCTTCCGCTGTTTGTTTTGTGTTAATTCTAACACAGTGAAATAGGCCATTTCCGAGTTTCCCCGGGCCTCTGTATCAAAACGAGGTTAAGTGTTCAGCCTTTGACATGGAAATGGTTTTTCATTCTCATGTAAATAAATCTCATTTTCACAAGAAAGGTTGTGCACTTGGCCTCATTTTGAAAGTGATTGTCTTTGGTACTCGGAAGTGACCTATTGGAGTTTGGTACCCTTGTCACGTGTCAGCTTGAAGATCTTTCCGAGTTCTAATTGGTCCAGACGATTTCACTCGCTTGGTCCAGGCTACATGTATTTGTTCTGTGTCTTAACACCCGTTTTCTTGTACCCTGCGAGCGGTGGTTTCTTCTGGCCGGAGAAACCACTGCTCGCAGGGTAATTTTCTGGTGACTTAAATCCTAAAACTTGTTTGTATCATAAAAGGTGGTTTTGTGCTCGTTTAATCTACTCTAAGGGAGTAGTTCACAGTATTTTGTAAGATTCTGTTGGGCTTTGTATATTTTACATCACACTTACGAGAAACAGCTAACCGATATTCTGAAAAGTTTTCTAATATGCAATCCATTGTAATCTTATCTTCTTTTACCAACCATTACCATGCACTTTTTAGTCTTCCTTGCATTTCTTCTTTGATTTTCTTTAACTCTGAGTGTTTGGTTTGTTATTTAGTTCTATGAACAATTTATATTGAGTAAATCTAAAAATGGCTTGAGTAAATGATATATTTTTGCCCGCGTGAAAATAAACGGTCTGTTTATTTGTTGCAGTTATTCCTGTACGACAGCACCATGATCGCTCCCTTTCCTTTGTTATTCTTTGGTGGTGATATTTCTGTGTTTATGGAAGAAGGCTATGAAACTGTGGCCGTCGACGACTTCATTAAGTTCAAATCTCCCACAAGAATCGCTAATTTGGTTAAGGTTTGTGTGGTTTTTAGGATATCGCCAAACAAAGTTAACTGTTCAATGATGACCTACGGACTATTTCATACATGCCAAAAAGAACGTATTAATTATCGACATTATTGTGAGTAAAAGTTGGTAGACTCGGGGGTTATGTCGCAGGGAAACTGTCTGCGTACGCTTTTATCTTTTAATTCATGCGACACAAATTTTTGTCGCCACGACAAGTCGCGCGAAATTTCATGAGGAAATTTCATGAGTCAGTGACTCAGGCGGCTTGGAAGAAAAAAATCCCGGGAATAGTTCAGGTGAATATCATTGAAAGTGCGCCATGAACCTTCGTGTGCCCGTTTGGGCAACATGTCCCATCACCAAAATCAAAACTGAGTTAGCTAATCACGTCTCTTGTTCGTGCATTGAGGAAAGCAACCATCAGCGACATTTTTTTTTGTTTGTGCGGACCCAGCTACTGTGTGTCTTCGCTACACTTCCTTGTTACACGTCCCTGAGGGAGTACTGCTTATGATTTTGCCCCCGCTACACCTCTCTGTAAGATGTCCCTTCTTGTGTCCGGGCTCGTATATCCCGTATTTCTCGTTGGAACTAACGGCCATCAAGAGAAATTCTTCTCCTCTAACCATCTTGGTATTCCCGAATTTCCGGCTTCTGGTCTTATATTTCACAATCGTGATTAGCTTTGTATGAAATATGCATTTACCCTGCATAAGACGCGAATGAGAAATTCGAGGCACAAATACATGTATTGAACCGGGTACCAGCGAGGGATAAGACGCGCGTGAGTGGCCGAACTACCTCTCTCCTCGCGCGTTTCCTCCTTCCTCTCGTGCATCGCTTATCTCATACCCCGTGTCTCTTAGTATAGTGACTACTACGCAGGTTACGATACATAATGCACAAATGGATGGCTAACACACCGAGCCTGAATAGTCTAGCGGCCGAAAGGACGTGTATAAACAGTATGAAATGAACTTTCTTCATAGGAGCTGAGAGTTGAACTTGACAAACTGCTGAGACAAAAGATAGCCCAGCCCAAAATGAAGCTGAGCGCAGGTCCTGGGACTGGTGACAAGGAAAGTGCTCTTCTGCGTGCCATCATCGATCTGATTACCAGCGAGGAGAATACAAACTGGGTGAGCCTCTCTAGGCCTCTTTTTCACAGTTCTATAATATATTTATGAAAAACGACGCTTTTTACTGATCCCATTAACCTGTGCTAATAGCTAAAAGAGTGTAAAGATTCAATCCACATGTGACTGTTTTTCCGTTGCTTACCACCCTGATTTGCTCAACCTCATCCCCATGGCTTTTTTCAAAGGAAAAGCCCTGGGAACCAGGTTGTGATGGGCCAGATGTTTGTTGGCCTCACACTACAAGATAAGTTGGTTTCAAGTAAGCATTTTATTCCAGTGCATTTGAAAATCCTAAGTCGCTCTATAGAAAACATGTCTTTACACTTGTTGACAAAGTTTATTACTTGAAGTACAATCTGCCAACATCTTTCAAGGTAAAAAATCTTTTTAAGGGTTTTCACCCCACAAGAAAATGCTTACGTACTTCGTTTTTTATGAGTACTTTGCAGCGGCGTAAAAAAACATCAACAACAACCAACTTTCTCTAGAATGACTCAACAATGCCCTTCTCGGCAAATAAATCGCCGTTGGTTTTGGGCTTGGCCTCGTCAGTAAATTTGGTTTAGATTACTCTTGGCTAACCGACGCATCCACTATAGAATATTTGTCTGTTCGTTCATTAGAATCTTGGAACCTCTGCATGTCCAGCACGTCGCTTTTCTATGGCTTTCATTACCAATTATGTTCGATTCTTTAGTGTGGTGATGAACATACTTTCCATGGTCACCAATTAGAGTTGAAGTAAGAACATTTTACCTCTTCACACTCAAAGTAGGTTCTCCGAGTACAAGTAGATTATACCTGCAAGGTCTAGCGTTGAGCCAGCAGTTCATAAGTGTTACTATGGTTCTCGTTTCATAATTTCGTAACTGTGAACGTTGAAACTCATTCTTACTTTGCTTATAAGGGGCTCTTAACTTATTTAATAGTATTTGTGATCATTTCTTTCTTTCCATAGAAAAAACAAAAGCAACTTGCCAGTGACACACGGTTAAGACATTATTAAGAGCTACAGCTGTCTTGGAAACCTAGCGGTCACCATGGAAGATTCGGAGAGAGTCCTGTTGGCTTTTAGGATCAAATAATCGCTCATTACACTCGTTGGCTCAGCAGATGTGATAAGCCATCACAATCACGTTATTTGACGGGTCTTTTGCATCCCCCATCCTCGTTACCGGCGTCAACCAACGGACTTTCATTTTTGTGGTCAGTCATCGTTATACGCTAGCACCTTGTTTACATTCCGGCTCCAGTCGTCGTCAATGACCTCGCCTCGAATTCGAATGATTTTCAGTTGTTTCAAGCGGAATAAAAGAAGAAGGTTATTTGGATGCCTCCAAGAAGTCACAAAGCTCGTTTCAAATTCGTAATCCAGTTGGTAATGGCATGTCGTTAAGGATTCTCTGTGTCTTATTTGTTTCCCAGCTGTTGTTACTACGGACGAATGCTAAATCGATGTAACTAAAACGACTTGAAAGAAAACGGGGAACGGGCAAGTAAAAAAGGGGAACAAAACCCAACTTGAACTCCAGCCCTTTCAGTAACGTCATTGCCAATTTTCTGTTTTGTTCCTATTTTTCATTTTTGTATTTCCCCTTTTCCGTTCCCCGTTCGTTTGTAAAATCCTCGTTAAATCTTTATCTTTGAAACTTTGCAGTCGAACCCGCAAGAGATGAAAGCTATGAATTCGGACAATCACTACTTTAATACATTAGCATTAGGACATCCGTCGGACCAAAACAGTTTCTTTGAATTTAGTATTATAGGAGAACGACCTTTCTCTAGAATAAAAACTTATTTATTTGCAAAGTCGTTTGGTCTTGTAGGAGCAGATAGTTATTACTTTTTCCTAGGAATAAAAACATTCTCTTATAAATCAGAGCTTTCCTCGAGTTTTATTTCACCGCCATTAGAGCTTTTAAGATCGTAACGTTAGATAGGTCATTCATGAGTTAAAACCCAAATCTCTTCTTATTACCTAATGGGGAAGAATTTCTTCAAAAACAGCTTCTCTTTCCCAAAACCCAGGCATCCTTAAGTACAAAGGTACTCAAATGTACTAAAACTAGAATTTCATCAGCTAGAATTAAAGACCACCTTGGCCGAGTTTTCATGGTGCTGGGCTTGCCTTGTAACCTGGACGTCCATCACTCTTCATTCCCAACGCGTAACCGGTCCCACGCGCGGAAAGCGATAGGAGTGGGGCTGTATTTGCAGGCTACGCGAACCATTATTTTAAGGACCACTTGGACAAACAGCAACTACTGAAAGCAGGATCTTGTTGTAGATCAGGATCAGCAATATAAAATAACACTTAGATTTGAAGGCAAGGCTGATCGTACAGCTAAGGGTTGGCAATTTTAAATGTATTTGTCCATGAAGACTAGTTTTGTCTAGTCGAAATATTGGGCAAATAAATTTGTAAATTACCAACCCTTAGCTATACGATCCTTCAGTTTTAGGAGTCATTGCAAGAAAAAACATGCAGTGCACAGGTGAAACCAATTTCAGCAACCACACACCACCAACTCCGCGATTTAGTATGGGCTATACCTTGCGCATACACACAGCCATTTTACCCAGTCAGTGGCATGGCAACCATGGACAACTGTTTCGTCCTCAGTCCTCATTAGGATTCATCAGCATGGCATAGCCCCAGGAAGTGTGTACTTCTTTGCTGAAATTGGTAGTATATAGTACATAGGTGTCATTTTGTGGAGTTAGTGCTTTTGTTGATTGCACTTGAAAAAATTGTTGTTAACCTTATACCGATTTTGCTGTCCCCCAACCTGAGATCAGGCGTTATTTTATTTTATTATTATTATTATTATTTTTTTTTTTTGCTTCTTTGGCTCAAGAGGGAAAAAAATAACGCCCTCTTCCCGTGAGAGACATAAAGGGATAATAGGGAGAGGGCATGATCTCAGGCTAGTCCCCTTGCTGCACAATCCCATAGATTTTATTTGGGCAACCTGTGGCAGAACGACAAGGGACTGAGCTCTACACATGGTTGCGAGGCAACGGACGGTTGGAATACTTAAGCCAAAATGGCGGAAAAGGTAGCGTCGTTGAGTGAGTTTACAAAACAGCATGAAATTAACAACAGATTTTGATTCAAAACGAACGATGATGTTATGGAGGAAAGAATAGGTCTTTTGACTTTTATTTCGAACTTTGACGCGGGAAATCTGGCCCGTGTTGAAAAAGTAAAGCAAGAGGAAGGCAGCTCTTGTACTGAAGATGCGGACGGGACGGTCACTATTGTTCCTGATTATGACTATAATGTTTGGACCGCTCCTGATTGTGCAGGAACAGACTATGAAAATGGTAACAGAACTTGGTTTTATTTTGGCGTCAAAGGAGGCCAGCCAGGCAAACTTTTGCGAATAAATATTATGAACTTGAACCGCCAAGGAAAGCTGTATGGTCAAGGAATGACTCCTCTCGTGAAAGTGGTCCCGTCAAGGAATAAGTGGGAAAGGATACGGGATAAGCCAAAATATGAGGTAAGGGTTGTTTTTGTAAAGGCGTTATGAAAAATAAACATCAGTTGTGTCAGTTTTGATTTAAGCCAAAATTAAAACTGTGCAGAATCGCTTAGTTTTAATTGCATTGAATGGCTTTAATCAAATCTGTCACCTGTTAAACAAAGAATGTTTGTCACGGTTGTTAGCGTGCAGTTTTGTAGTCGTTGTGTTTTATCTCGTTTTATGCGTGGACTGTCTTGACAATCGTATTAAGCTCACATACATGAGGTATTAAAGTACAGTAGTTTCAAATTGCTGCAAATAATATGGGAAACAATCTATTTTCTGCAACATCTACTGTAGCTGAAAATTCGGAGTTTTGATTCTGGTGGAGAAAATTTGGCTTTCAATAAGGATTGTGGTTTCATGAGACATTTTGTATGCCCACATCCAGGCATGTCAGTAAGAGTAGGTTGCTGGCTAATTTCACGGCTGAAAAAGACCAATTCCTCTGGAGAACAGAGGGAAAATTTTGAAGGTACAGTTGAGTGAATTAGCCATCTTGACTGTTCAAACTCATCAGTAATGATGAGCTTGGGAGCAGGTGCCTCAAAGGTTAGTGGGCAGCCAAAGCCTAATCAGCTTTTCCTTAGCTACATCACTGGTTACCAATATTTGACGGAGTACCAGTAGTATGCTTTAAGCAAGGGCATATTTAAACCCCAGGCTGCAATTCATCTTTTTCTTTTTCTTTTTTAGACAGAGGATGGTCAGTTCAAACTGTCATTCACATATCGTTTTCCTGATCAGCGGAATGGTGTATGTTACTTTGCTTTTTGCTATCCATACTCTTACTCAGAGAGCCAGGCAAAGCTAGAAGAATTAGATCATAATTTCAGCAGCTGTCAGCAAATGTCATCATCATCTCCAAAGGATGACATTTACTACCATCGGGAACTTCTTTGTTACTCACTGGACAACCTTAGGGTTGATCTGTTAACAATAACATCAGCTAAAGGTATTTTGGAGAGCAGAGAGGATTGGCTGCCGAGCCTCTTTCCTGAAAAAACAGTTCCAAGAGCACACCGGTTTCAAGGGAAAAAGGTCAGTATGTGAAGGTTTCTTGCACTTTAATAAACAGCTAACACATGGAGTATGTGCATCTCAATAAATTATTTTTATTTTGCACAAACTGCATTATTTTTTGGCAATATTATCTTCAAAGTGTCAGATTCATGAAAAATGTCTTTTCTAGAACTATAATTAATATTTAGCAGGGCTTGAGTCATCTGGGACAACTAGATTTTCAGGATGGACAGGTTATCTTTCATCCTTTACTTGCTCAATGGGCAATGGTCGGGCAAGTCTAAGTAACTAAATCATAAACTAAGACATTAGTGCTCAAGCCCTGTATTAGAAGGCTCACTCTTGAATTTAATCAGGTTTGAAGGTTAACTACAGGCAACAAAAGAGTTAAGTTTGCCTTACAAATAATAATAATTATTATTGTTGTAAACTTTAATGTAAATTCTGTAGAAGTTGTATTTTTCTGGGTCATGTCACTTTATTACGTTTACCTATACAGATTTGCTTTGATTTTATAAACCACTATCTTAATTTGTACATGTTAAGTTACCAACCAGAACTGCTACATTTGTGACTCTTGCAGGTGTTTTTCTTGAGTGCAAGAGTACATCCTGGTGAAACGCCATCAAGTTTTGTCTTTAATGGTTTCCTGGATTTCATTTTACGTAGAGATGATCCAAGGGCTGCAGCACTGCGAAACCAATATGTTTTTAAAATGATACCAATGTTAAATCCAGATGGTGTCAAGCGTGGTCACTACCGTACTGACACTCGAGGTGTAAATTTGAACCGTGTTTACCTTGATCCTGATCCTTCACTTCATCCTTCAATATTTGCCGCCAAGAGTGTTATTGTATACCATCATAATAATGGCAACTTGCATCAAAACTCTGATGTTGAGAAAGTTTGCACTTGCAATGCTGGAAGTGAGGAAGAGTCTGTTCTCCTGCAGAATACCTCCAAATCTTTAGTCAACAATACCATTTTGGATGTTACAACAATTCCAGTGGCATTAAAGCCAGGTTCGCCAGATTCTGAGTCTCTTAAGTTGGAGTTACAAAGTGTAACTGTAGACAAGGATGATTTCAATAACAACAGTGATACCATGGAAACTGCACTGCTATCTAAAAATGTAGACTCATTGGCTTTGGAGGATGGTGTTTTGTCTAGTCAAGAAAAGGAAATTTCATCAAACACTGATGCTCAAAAGGAGACTTCAATTGTCGATCAGCTTTCAAATGAGAGCACCAGCAGTATGTCAAGTGATATGTCAAACAATGGTCTTCCGAGACAGTTCGCTCAAAGAAAAGTTGAGCAAACACAAGAGTTGCAAAACTGTTGCATAAACTGTTTGTCCAAGACTTGTGGTGAAAGCAGCAGTGGTGTCGCATACTATGTTGATCTTCATGGTCATGCTTCTAAGAGGGGATGCTTTGTTTATGCAAACTACCTGGACAATGAGGATGACTATGTGAGATCTATTTTGTTTCCAAAACTCATTTCCTTGAATTCAGCCAACTTTGACTTTGCAGCTTGCAATTTCACGGAAAAGAATATGTATAGCAAGGATAAGCGGGATGGCATGTCCAAAGAAGGAAGTGGTAGGGTGGCTATTTATAAGGCCACTGGAATTGTACATAGGTATGGCAACTTACAAAAATATTGAGGCAATGAAATTTTGACACCTTGACAGTTTCCATGCTCTCCACTGAGATTCTTAGTGTGACGGTACCTGGTGGTTGCCACTCACAGAACGGTCATGGTTACCTTCTGCGCCTGCTTGCAGCTCCCTTTAATTCAGTTTGTCCATGCGCCTTCCCCACACCCATCTCATACAGAAAACTAGTGGCAATGGGTTTAAGTCCACTTAACTACCTAATTTTTATTTAAATATTAATAGGGCTCTTCGAGCTCCCATATCATGTCTTTTCCCAGAAAAGTCCCTCCCCTTAATGTTAGTTTGCACATTCAAGAAATACAAGAAAATAGACAGTGGCTTAATCTATCCTCACTTTCAATTTTTAGGAAAACAATTCTCCTCCACTAAGTCTGAGCTCTCTATAATACTCTGTGTATAATCCCATATTTTGCAGTTTCTGAAGATCAATGTAGCCAATTTTATAGTTTTTTGAACGAAAAACTGTTCTTTGAACTCATGATCACCGTCCCTATGGCTCTTGGCTGAAACTTTTAAAAAGTGATCAGGTCATTAGTTGCAACAGAAATCTCTTACATAAGTTCAGTATAACGAGTTTTTGAACTCAATCAGAAAGATGATATATATTTTTTTATTTATACTCTTCTAGCTATACGCTGGAATGTAATTACAACTGTGGAAGGACGGTGAATTGTTTACCACCAGCCACTTGTGATAGTGGGCGTGCCACACCACCCCCATCTCCAGGCTTTCCACCCAAGTATACACCTGATATTTATGAAGAGGTACAGTCATGTAAATAAAATACAAAAATCTTAAAAACATTAAGAGAACTAAGGGTCGGAGGAGGAGGCAGGCTAAAAAATGTCAAATCCAGTAGTCCAGGACTGGTAGCTTTTCTTGCGAGGCAAGTAAATTTTTTAAAGCTCACTTGCCCAATGGCCAAGGGTCTAGGAAAGTCATCCCTTCATTAATTCATAAACTAAGACAAGACATGGCCCCAGGCAGTCAAATTGTGAGGGTTGCTTGCCCAAAGGCTGGAATTGAAGTTTTTTTCTTTAGCCCTGCTGAAATACTTTAACTTGATGATAGCACTAAATAAGGGCAACTGAACTGCAGTAAACTTGATCAGTACATTGCATTTTTTTATACCTGTAATTCTCTCACATCTCACTGTTAAAACAATACTGACCTGAAAGATTTGCAAATGTAGGTTGGACGAGCATTAGCAGTTGCTGTGCTAGACATGAACAATTCAAATCCTTGGTCACGTCTTCCCCTTAGTGAGTTCTCGTCTTTGGAAGGTGTAAGAAACTGGATCAAAAGATTTGTTAAGAGCTCCAAGAATGCACCTTCAGTTCCAAAGAAACTTTCTCGAGTAATCACTAAAACCTCCAGGTTTGTTTTTTTATTCACTGAATGCTGTTTAAGTCTTGCAGTGTATTTAGATAGCATGCTACAACTGTACCTCAGATAGTGTGTCTCCTATACAAATTTAACCTGTTTATGATTATTTAGGGAAGGCATAAAAGCTAACTACAAAGGCAAATATTTTGTGTTGTTAGAGATTGCCTTTCAAGCTTTAAAACATGTGTAAGTATATCACACCTGGTAACCTGAATAAGGCATTTTTCTCAAGGGGGAGCATAAACAAACGAGAGAAAAAGTTATAAAAATAGAACACCTGATCAGAGGCAAAATAATTAATATGAGGTACTGTTAATGAAATCCTCGGCTTTTTTGTTCATTTGTAACAACCACAAGTTTGCAACACTTATATGTATAATAAATTATCATTACAGAAACTTGAATGAGATATAATAATTTAAAAATACCATAGTTAATAATAATAATTTCACCTGTGACAATTTGCCTTACTTGCAGCATGGTTGCAGGAGCAACAGCAGGTACTCGGCAGAAATTATCAGCCTTGACAAGTTCATCAAGTGACATGTCATCAGATAACAATGTTGCTGCCAAGGTATCTGAGCCATTCCCATCTCAGAATGGAAAAGGTGCTTTCAAGGAAGCTGGTACGTGTACTTTGTTTTAATCATTATTATCAATAATAATTATTAAAGTCGAACCTCTCTACAACGGCCACCTTGGGGACAGAAGAGAGTGGCCGTTGTGGAGAGGTAGCCATTGGAGAGATTGGGGTGTAATTTGACAAATTCTTTTTAGCGAGTACAACAATGATATTGTGCTAAGTTAATGCTTACTGTTGTATATCCCATAATGTTTATAATCTAATCATAAATATTATTATACATTGTAGTCACTATCTGTCTTCTCACTGGCTAAGAGCCAACAGCTAATTTTGGAAATCAGCACAACCTACAGATTAGTTTATCTGCTAGCAGATAACTACTAATCTGTAGGTTGGTTGCAGATGCAATGCATGATTTCCAATAACAATACCAATTCAGGTTCCTTGTGATGGTGTGTTTGACGTTATTTTCGTCAAAACAAGTTACAATAAAACAATTATTAGATTCGGTTTTTGTGATATCCTAAATATTCAAGGTCTTGTTAACTGTTATCAGCCTCGGCCTGCGACTCGGCTGATAACACTTACCTCGACCTTGATAATTCCTGATATCACAAAAACTTCACCCAATAACTGTTTAATATATGGAGAAAATAGTAATACACAAAAAGAACATGAAACTTGAATGATGTCTTGAATCAAAATGAACAAGTTACTTACTTTAGCATTTAAATTCAGTTGCCGCAATTAATCATCAACACACCTTATGGATCAAATTTCATGATCGTTCTTGACTTTTCCATCAGTTGATGAAAAAACTGGCCAATGTTGAGAGGTTAATTTTTTGGCAGTTGGAGAAATGCTTTAGTGGTCGTTGCCGTGGTAGAAAGGTGGCGGTTAGTGGAGGTTCTACTGTTAAAAGTATTTAATTTCAATTAATTTCATCCTTTCAGAGCACTAATGTTAATTACTTATATTACTATAGTAATAATAAGGCTTTACAAGAAGCCTTTACAGTTTATGTTCTTTAAATTATTGGTTTTGAAAGTGAATAACTGGAAATTACAGACTGGGGATTGGAAGGAAGTTTTTAATCCAAAGGCCTTGCACTGGATGTGTTGGCTTGGATAATCTAATCTAATCTAATCTTGTCTAGAGTGTATTGTTTTCATGCATTTTATAAATCTGTATTATGTTGCACATACTTGTACATGTGTAGCTTGCTAACAGGTTAATTTTGAGCACTGTTAATTTTGCATTGATGTGTTGGCTTGGATAATATTGTATGAAGTGGTTGCCTAGCTTGTATAGTTTTTGTGTATTTTACAAAGATTTAACCTGTATTATGTGGCACATTCTTGTGTACAGCTTAACAGCTTCATTTTGAGCATAACACTTAAGGTATATTACTAATCATTAATAAATTAATCTTGCACTGTTTAAAATTGTTTATTTGTTCAATCAGGCTACTCTTTGTAGATACTATTTTTTAAAACAGAAATAATGTAAACTTTTAGGTAAGAAGGTAGCTGGAGACACTAGTCTGGCAAGGCGACCCCTAAACCTCGCAGCTACACGTCATTCAAGCTTGCAAACAACAGGGAACATGGGTTGCAAAAACCAAGAAAGCTCTTCTCTGTGCAGAACTACTGTGATTTCTGGAGGGACAGTTAATAAGGATCATTTACCAGAGGCTGGTGCACAAAAATCACAGGTACCCTCACTAGCTTCCCCTTTCAGACAGTAATTTACATTTATTATGAACCCAAACAGGATATTTTCTCTTCCCCTTCTCTTATAATAAGTACACCGTTTCAAGAACATCTTTCCCTCCCCTTCCCCACCCCTGCTGGAACAAATTAGTTTATAGTAAACAATATTTTTCTAGTTTGTATTTTTGTCCTCAAAGCCTTAACATTCTACATACTTTTCTTTATAATCATTATTTTTATATGCCACTGTACAGTGACTGTGCATGATTAAACACAGTAAATTTGTTTTTGCTTTGGCTAATAATTATTTTAATTCTCACTACCTTGAAATTTATTTTGATTATGTAGTGGTATCACATATATATAAAGTAAAACTGTTCTAGATTGTTTTCTAAGCATAAAATACAAAAGCGTCTGTCAGAGTGTGTTCAGGAAAACATGATGTTTGTTGGTGTTATTTGAGCAAATACCAGGTACCATCAATGATTTCACCCTTTTGTCTTCTCTATAACCAACTGTAGGTGTATAAACCAAAGGAACAACCAAGAGTTTCTCTGGAACTTCCAAAAACAGTGAGTCCTTTAAATTCATTTCAACTGATCTTTCATTTCTGAATTGGTTAGCAAATATTTGGTGCAAATTAATTATTACATGTTAAGGGTTCACCTCTTTTTTTCTGCTTAGGGTCCAACATTAAGGCTTGTCCATAACTTTCGGCATTCGTCACAAGTCCATGTACAGCATGTACCACCTAGCAGTAAGACCTTATCACCACCTATTGAGGTTAAAATGAGGTATGGTGTCAGTAATAATAATAATAATAATAATAATAATAATAATAATTGTAGTGTGTTCTCATATTTTGAACCTGTTACCTGCAACACCTGTGATGGGTGTCACTGAAAAGACAGTAATACAGTAGCCTGAGAGCAAGCTGTCCAGGTACTCTGGCAGTGGGGCTGGAAAAGGAAGGAGAGCTTGCACTACGTGTCTGGAATTTAAATTCCACTGACCTCCAATTTCCCTGTGGCTCCCTGTCGACTGAGCTGTCAGATTTCCACGAATCAGCAAAAAGCAGAAAACAATGAGCAAGGATGTAAATGAACATTGAAAAACACGTGCCAAGGGCAATGACATCATTACTAATGTCATCTCGTCCAATCAGCATTTCAAATAGACTTTTTCGATGCAGATACCGTTAAATTCCGAAAATAAGCCCCTCCATGTATAAGCCCCTCCAAATATAAGCCCCCCAAACGGGTAACGCAAAAAATCCTCCGTTAAATCGCCCCTCCAAATATAAGCCCCCCGCAGGCTTTTACTTGGAAAATTACCCTCAAATACAAAGTAAAACAAAGCAAAAATGGTAAATTTACTTTCAACTATAAGGCTAGCCCAATCAATTTAGAAATGCAAATTTCCCTCCATAAATAAGCCCCTCCGAATACAAGCCCCTCCAAATATAAGTCCCTCAAAAAGGGCCTTTGAAAAATATAAGCCCTGGGGCTTATTTTCGGAATTATACGGTATTCAAATTCAAGAGACGCAGTAAAAGCAAGCTTAGCTCTCTTTCCTTTTCCTGCCCTGCTGCCATAGCACCCCTGACAGCTTGCTCACAGGCTAGTGATACAGCTGTGAAATGAGCTTTCCAACACAATGAGTGCTTGGCCTGCTGTTCATGTGCTGCTGCAGGGGCGGATCTAGGGGGAGGGTACAGGGGGTGCGTACCCCCCTCCCCCCCGGTGTGTGCTACCAAAAAGGTGTCTTATGAATGGAAGGCTTCAGCTCAAGACTCAAATGAATTTCATTTCTTTGTAACTATAAAAAAATCAAGTAACAAAGTCTGAGAAGTAAATGGTTACTGCATGAAAAAAATGATTGCAAATCAATATTAGACTTAGAAGTACTGCAGGTCGGAATACAGTGTAAATACGTCACTAGGGTATAAGTTTTAGGAGACCTGACTGTCAGCTTATTTAGTGCTTTTATTTTCAGCACTGTGGATGTCCACAAGCAATTTATTGGTTTCCAAAGAGGCAAAGCAAGCACAGTGACAAAATGTCAGAGTGATGAAGAGAAGAAAAAGAAAATTATACGACAGCGGAGAAAAAATGGGCGGAAAAAAGGTGACTATGTGTAGTAGCTATTGATGTACAGAAGAGTCCCCACTTTTATGTTGGGCAACTAAGGATTACCATTAACGTTTACATTCATCAGTCAAATCACCAAAAGACCCAAACTATTGGGGTAAATAAAAAGCACAAAAAATAAGAAAATGTACTCATTCAGATCACACAAAATTTATTTGCTTTGAGTTACACTGTCCATCACTGAAGTGTATGGAAGGTGGGAACCATATCAGTCATCTAAAGGAGTCTGAAACCTTTGTGAAAAGTTTCTGTTTAAAGAGTCGACTGAGAGTGTGCAAATTATTTTTAGTATAATGTCATACTGCTAAAGGAAATTGAATTATGTAAGTAAAATAATGCTCATTCCATGTCTATAGGTGTCTGTTTTAGGAAAGTTTGTCTGTTGTTAAAAAGAAAGAGTTGACCGTGGTTAATATACAGTACTTGCCATACTGAAAGTTATAATAATAAAATAAAATGTTAATCATGCCATGCAGATCCAGTACCTAGTGCACTCACAAGGTGACTCATTTCCTTCCTTAGAAATCTGTAGTTTATTGCATGATAGATTGTAGGTATTGGTGAAGAAAATTTGCATTTTAGGTTTGATTTTTATCACTTCATTCCACTCACACTGTAGCTGTAAATTGTTCTTCAGGTTAACTTGGATAATTGTGAAAGTTTTGGCTGTTGTTAATAATAACATAAAATTTCACTTGAAATACATTGTTTCGGTTTCAGAAAAGACTGAAGAATCGTCAACTGTATACAATGAGTCACAACCTGTGCAAATCACTTTACCAGGAAGGTACTGGATTAATAATTATTAATTAATTAATTATTCATTTATGTTATACTCTAGTCGTTAAAAATGCAAATTTTTATATATTTGTGTTCATTTTACCATCAATGAATCCCAGAAAAAGGTGAGCACCAGAGGTATTTTGGGAATGTTATTGTCTTGCAAGGAAAAATCCAATTATGTGTGAGAAAACTTAGCTGCAAGCAACAAGATTGTAGATTTTTAGATTGCTTGCATATACTGATCTTTGCTGTCTTTGACATACCACAATAAACATTCCTGAAATTTATGTGTTCACAGTTTTCTGCATTTGACAGTGAGTATGTTATTTTATTTTTTTACCAGAAGGCCACAAGTACCTCTGATTTCACATCTATATGTTTTTAGCACTGTTGTGTTCTTTGATCGCACTTTTTGTGTTTTGTTTCTAAGGCCAGTTGAAGAGGAGGTTACAAATGTTAAGTCATCAAAAGATGAAGAAGGTTTCAAGGGCAAGGGCCCCCAGTTATTACGGAAAAATAGTTCCAAGAACTTGGTAAGTAACTTTTAGATCTATACATTAGTTAAATGCTGTGATAAACACACTTTCCTGAATGTATGAAAATATGTCCATCCCACAAGTTCTACATGTAGCAGACAAGTGCCCCTCCTTCTCTCATACTGTCTTAAATAGGGAACTCTTTTTTTTTGTCACTTCAACACTATATATTACAATTTGTACAGTTTTAATGTTGATTACACTGGCACGCTAGTATACTCTTTTGAATAACACCTCCCCTTTTGGCCGAAAGTGAAAACACAGTTAAGTGCTAACATGTTTAACATGCTTTATCTTAGTTTGTACCTTTCTCAGAAAAGTCATTGTCACTTAATTGGTATAAATTAAAATAACGCAGTACGTTGCGTTGAGTATTTTCATTGCCAAAATATATTTTGTCATATTGTAATATGTAAAGAAACTGTTCATAACAATCAATTAGTCCTTTTGTGTCATTTTATAGATAAGTTGCAGCATGATGTCCTGTGAAGTAGTTGACATTAAAGAGCTGCCACACACACCACCTCAGTCGAGCAGTAGCACAGCTCCTTTGCAACTCTGGAACAACATGTCTGTTAGCTAATGTAGCATCACCATCTTTATTTATTATAACTGCATTTTCATCTCAGAATTCCAAACATTAACATTCACGAACAGATCACAGAATTTTAAATAATCATTTTTTAGTGTATTGTGGGTGTGTTGACTCATTAATTTAACTTCTGAAACTAAAGAGGTTCTTAAATTTACATTCTCATAAAAGTAGATATCATTATTTGTTTTAAGGAAAAGACAGATACGTTAAACGTGATTTTATATATATATCATTAACATATTATTTATTCATTTTTAAAAGAAACTATGGAAAAACTAAAGAGTTCTTTTAAGACTGTAGTGGCTTTAAAAAATGCATTTATGCCCTATTTGTACAAGTATGGTGACTACCAGTAATTAATATATTTATCATCTGGTTATTTTTTGTGGTGTTTGTGTTTTAAATGAATTTTTTATTTAGTAACTTAATAAAATTTCCTTTTATTACAAGACATTTGTTTCTGTATCTTTGTGTGATGTGTACATAACTCTCTGAACAATGTTTTTTTTTTTCAGTTTTGTGATCTTTTGATAAGAGCAATAAAATTTATAATGTGTGCTAGATGTCCTTTCTCTTTTTGAAATTATTAGTACTCTTGACGAATAGTTCAAGGGCAATGACCAATCAAAGGGCGGTGTACATATAGCATTCACTGCATTGTATACACAGGGTTAAAAAAATCCATTACATTAAAATTTGGTAAGGATTTGTCTGAAATTAGAACTCCAGCTGAAAAATTAACAGCAAGAGAGTAAATCAAACCGACAGAAATAATGCTATAAAAAAAGACTTCAAAAAAGGCTGAGAATGAGAGGAAAATTATTAACATACTCCCAAGTACTCTTTTTGTAAGGAAGCAATATTTTACAGTGCAACCCTCCACCCTCACCCCGCCCTGCTAAGAATGTAAGAATTTGGTGGTTAAATCAAACCTCCTCTATTCCCGTCCAGGTAAACAGCAGCTAGCATATATTCACTATAATTCCAATCTTGAATATTTAATGCTTCTTCTCCAGACTTGTACAGACAGTGCTCTAATGGTTAATGTGCAGGTCTTTGGATCTGGGCATCAAGTTCTTTTATTAGACAAGAAATCTCCCATCTCAAAGCATCCTGTACAAAGGAAACATTCACAGCGCTACTTTTCTTTAAAACCAGATATTAATAGTTTCTACCTCTTTGACCACTCTTAAAATGCACAGCATAAACATTGCAACACAAAAGAGGAAATTCAAGGACAGATTTCTTTGCATCAGTTATAGAATTTCATGTTTCATTGCAAATCCAACATCTTGATTTCAAAATCTAAATCCAGATTTCCCAATCAATCATACGAATTATTAACCATCCTAATTGTAACACATGATTACTCTGACAAAACCACTCTTTTCTGTTGTATTTATGGTTAGTAGCCTGTTTTGATGTCAAATTATAATGCCATAGCAACATGTACACACTCTAAGTAAGATTTTAAATGTCTAGGTCTAATGAGTTGCTTATATATTAAGAAATCTGAAGTTTGTGTACACATAAAAAAAGCTATCGAATAATAATATTATATTATGACTATAACAATTTATTAGCATTATTAATGATATAGAGTTTACTGATTAGACTTATATAACAAGAATTAACTGCCGCTTACAATTAAAACGGTACTGTGGAAGCCTGTTACTCGACTAAATGAGTTTAGCTACAGGGATGCTTGTCTCGCTTAGGAGTAGAAATAGCAGAATAGCTCTCACTAAGGGTGGTTAGGGTGGTAAGGCAACAGTTTTAACAAAAAAGGTCGGTACAGTCTGTGACAAGTTGCAGCAACAAATTGCTTCGTGTGTACTGGAGAAATTTTGTGAAAATATTTGTCTCTGCAACAGGATTTTGTCGCCGCAACAAGTCTCACAAATTCTGTCTGATTTGATTTTTGGCAACATATTGCTGCGACAAAATTCTGTTGCAGTGACAAAGATTTTCACAAAAATCCTCCAGTACACATGAAGCAATTTTGCTGTGACGTGTCATCATGACATGTTGCTGCAACTTGTTGCCTGGTGTGTACCAGCCTTAAAGGTGTTGCTTAGGGTTTTGCATGTAGAAATATCTACATGTATACCTGGGCCATGTTCCAGACTGGTCTTCTTGGGGGATTTGATTGTTATTTTTGGACGAGCATCCCCGTTTCTTTCATATCCAGGAAAGACCCTTGGTCAGTTGAAGGGAGAGATCATCAGAAAAGTGAAGGCGAGTGGAGGGGCCAAAAGAAATTCCATTATGAAAAATCAATGTGAAAAGATGCATACAGCCAGAAATGGCAGAAATAATAAGTAGAAGTCCCCCCCTCCAACTTTCCATTCATATCAGAATCACAAATGCAGGATTACATGGGTTTCAAAGAAACTACCCCCGCCAGATTATACCCCTTTTTCCAGTACGGTATATTGCAGCTTAAATACGGGTATTCCATTCATTTCAGTAGTAAACACATGGGTATAAGGATTATTTGGATGAATTTTGTATTTTACAATTTTTTTTCGGGTATTGGTATACCAAACACCTTTATCTTCAACACATGTACAAGCACCACATCCTCATAAAAGTGATAAACACAAGAACCAACACTGCAACAATCAAGTGCAATTACAGCTGACCATGGCCGTTTGGTTGCGTGACAAAAGTTTGAGGAATCTTTTCATCTTCTGGAACACCCTTCTTTCTCAGTTCTGCGCTATGCCGCTCCTTACGTCGTCTCATTTGAACTTGCAGCTGTAGCTTATTCGTGAAAAATACTTTTCTCCAACCAACTTCTTGGGCTAATGCTCGAGTTTCGTCCGAGACCGTATCGCAGTGAGTTGTAAAAATCTTTTCCCACAATTCATCGCTTGAGCACACTTTGTGAAGCGACCTACAAACCGAGCTTAGCCTTGCAATATCAACAAGATCAAGGAAAGTGGCTATGCGGATGACGACCGGCTTAGGCAGACGAGCTAGCCAGTCCTTACATACGATGCCATACACGATGCGCAATATGTTTTCACCAAATATTCGACTGATCTCCGTTTGCATCATGGTGTCTTCATGGAATTCTTCGTTAGGAACTTTACGCTGGCTAGGCGGAATGTAGCGCTGATCTTTTCGAACCGTAATCTTCCATGTTCTTAAAATTACTTGAGTCTCTGTGACTAGTAACTGATGAAAGTCTTTGCTGGGCGATGGAGCCTGCCCTGTCTTTTCAAACAAAATCGTGCCCAAATTCATGTTGCCCAAATTCGTGCACCGAAGCCAAAGCCAGTGCAAAAGTCAACCCAAAGCAAAAGCGCTGGGAACTGGGTAACACGGCTTGGGGTGTTTCCATGGTTACATGCTATTGTAAAATCACGAGGGGCCCACACAATTCAAATTTCAATTTAGTTTATTGGCGTCCACAATAGATGTCATTGACGATTACAATGTTGGTTACATAAAGTAAAAGAGAATATAATTATGTGCCCGAATAAATGTTTAATCACAGGAGCCCACATTAAATCTTTAGCTTTCTCTTCCCATTCCCCCAGCCCTCCCCCAAAATGGAGAAAAAACCAGGTGTATTGTGTTTGCAAGATTGCAAGTCATCTTTTCACGAGGTGTCCCCGGCCCTAGACCTAATCCTCACCTAAACGAAACTGGTAATTCTGTCTACATGAATTAACGTCACATGGAAATTAACCTGGGAACAGGCTCCGCAGCCTTAGCAGGGGAAAAAGGGGGGGGATAAAAGGAAAAGGGGGGGATACCCTTCCCTTTTCCTTTCTCCTCCCCCCCCCCTCCCCTCCCTTTTTGTCACGCAGGGGGGGAAAGGGGACTAAAATGTCAGCAGGGGGGGGGAGGGGGATTCGGCCAGCGAAGTTCCCAGTTTTCATGAGTGCATTCTTTGGGGAAAGAGATATGTAAAACTGGCATACACAAAGGAGCGTGCCCATTCAGCCAAACATCGAATAGCAAGGGAGGGCCTCATAAACTAGGACACCAGAAGAAGCACCAACTTTGGCCAGCAAATTCTCATGAAAATCTTGTTTCAGTACGCGCGGAGTCAGATTGCGTAAGCACTGGGGTCGAGATGGGGCCAGATTGTGACCGCTCGACTGGGTTCAAACGGCGCTGTTTTTTACCAACTCCCATGGGCGAATTGGTCAATTGTACTGACGCATCTTCCACGGCATGCATGTACTTTTCAATGTCTTGCCAGTGTCTTGCTACTGCCTGCCATCAGGCGATTTTTTTTTTCAGATTTTTGTTATTAATGTTGTCAGGTATAGTAGGGAGAGGCCATGGTCTCAGGCTAGTTTCTTGCCTGCCAATCCCATTACCGATTACCAGTCTATCATGGACCACTAATATTCTCAACTTTCATTGGTGATCAGTTCCTTAAATCTGATGACCTTAATGTTTAATAAAGAAGTAACAATACATGGAGGATTTAGCCGGATGCTGGAGACTTCAAAGGACTGAGTTAAGAGAGGAAAGAAATCTGCGGCTCAATTTCGAGAAATATTGCGTACTTGAACAGATCAAATAGTAATACATCATTCAGTTGTAATTCATTTCGGCGGAAAGTGGACATTTTATATGTACATCATTCGAGAGAATTGTCGATGGTGATTGATTACCCCAAAAGTTATAAACCGGAACTGAATCGCAGTCCGGGTTGTGCCGTTTAATTAACTTACATACATAACATATGCAAGATAAAGACGGTAATCTCCTCGCCTTGTCCAAATAAGAGGCTAGAGTTTCCGTCAAAAACTATGGAGAAAATGGAAAGCTCATCATCTGTTCTCCTAGCCCCGTCTGGTTAGCCGACGCTTTGAAGACTCTCCTTTCCAGTTTACAGGGGAAAAGTCCAGTAAATAACAATAGTAAATCAAAACATATTAAAAGATCGAAAAAAAGCATCTGCGAAAATGTTTTTAAGAAGCGTAGCTTTCAAAGCACGTAAAATAGGAATCACAGATCGAGTAATAACTGGGTTACGACAAAAAATCAACACTTGTCGTCCTTAATCAAACAAAATTATTTCAAGGGATGCGTCGTTGCTTGGGCCTAAAGAACTTATTTGCACCTATCAGAGGCTGTTAAAACCTGTATTTTTATTAGCAAGAAGAATAAAGGTCATTGTGTATGTCTCACTGGAAGCAGGCATCAGCAGATCGGGGTCAATCTTATTGAAAACAGAAAATAGATCAATTCTAAAAAGGTTCAATGTGGATAATCATTAAGAGACGTTAGTGACGCTTGAAATTTTGGTCATCCTTTCTTCAGGGAAGAAATTTCTTGTCCCTTAAAGTTCTGATGATGAATATGTATCTTGTCCAGTCTGATTCACAACTGAGGTAAGGAAATCAAATAATGTAAATCATATTGCAAAACCCTTAAGCCACAAGAACATTGCTAGCTTAGCAATTCTTGATCTGGCGCGGCAGAACAGTAAAATGCAGAACCAACTCGCGCCAAAAAACTATTTTTACGCTATCATTGAGTTTATAAGGTCAATTGAAGATCGTGAAGCGTATGCGTTTCAAGGGCTAGTTCTCAAAATCAATTTTTTGTGTGTTTTGCGTTCATCGCAGTTTTTTCCATAGCCATCCCCAATCACATAATTTGTATTTGCTCTGGTTATCGAACGAAAAACTGCAAAGATAAGTCAACGTCAATAACAAAGAGAGGATAAAAACCGAAACGGCTGTCTTAAGTGTTGGAAAGTTTAAGTTTTGGAGTTTTGTCTTTGTTTGGCCTTGCTTAATTTCTAAACTAACGCTTCATTTTTTTTTTAGAATCATTCTGATCGGAGCGCTAGTTGTCTTTACGACTTGCACCACTCCTGTCAGGATGTTACTGATTAGGACAGACACGTACCGTTCAACAACTGTAAGCTCCACAGATGATCACGTACTCAATGGATACACCATTCACAAACAGCGCACTTATGACTTCCTGTCATGCGCACAATCATGTTTGGCACGCCCAAACTGTATGTCTTTTAATTACGAAAACCTCGAAAATGGAGTTTGTGAGTTGAACAGAGATGCAACGGATGGCAGCGTTCTAGTGGCTCTCACTACTCGAACAGGATATACCTTTGGACAGTTTTTGAACATAAGTGTAAGTATTGATTATTATTATGTCATTCAAATTGCAATCATCGTGCTAATGGCTTCTTTCCTTTGACAATAGGACAATTTTGTACGATGACGTCATCTTACTACAACTACCAGAATCCTTGAGTTTGTTGTTATCTTGTGCAAATTAAGGCTATTGTTCTTTATGGCGGGATTGACAAATTTTCCCTGGTCGTTTTCAAAACAATTAAACGATAGAATGAGCTCCTCCGGGAACTTCTTTGAAATAGAGGACAATTTTAAATTGAAACCGCTTTATAAAACACCTTATTGAAATGGGACAGTGGTTTTAACTAATTGTACTATATCTATTGTTATTATTTTATTTAAATAAGAAAATACATTGAAATTTGTGAATCTTTCCTTTTTATAAAATTTAAAAATTTTTGTACGGACGTTGATGCGTTGTAAGCTTTATCAGTTAATAGGGAATTAGACCTAGTAGACAGTTTGACAGAATGCTATAAAACAAGTAAATTAATTAACCGGTAAATAGAAAAAACGTTATGAAGAGATGCCAAACTTCAAGCTAGATCCAAGGCTATATCTTACTCTTGCTTCTACAGCAGGTTGGACAAATTTTCCGATTTCCTATCGGAGCGAGGAAACCTTATTTCCTGCCTTTCTAAGACAGTCAGATATGTCCCCTCAGGTCGTCTTTAAGACGCACTAGCTATTAAAACAATAATAACAAAAAGTAAGATTCAATCCGCGTGGGTGAGGGGGAGGGGAAAGGTGGATTTTAGTCTCTTGTCGCTCGTAATATACAGCTATTTCGAGAAAGGTTGTTGGAAAAATGTGCACGCGACAATCCCGAAAGGTAACATGGGATATGATCTATACACTGTTTCTGACGACTTTAGCTGTCGAACCTACTTTTGTTGCTTTCTTTTAGCACTCGCAAACACATTTTCATGGCCTCTCGTGCCAATTCTTTCAAATTTCTTTGAAGAACAGTGAACTCAAAACCACCCACAATGCCTTTCGGGATTGTCGCGTGCACTTTTTCGACAACTTTCTCGAATAGCTGTCTGCTGATGCATCATCCTTTTTGTTCAGTCATTATAGAGTGTTTTCACTCACGTGGCAGTGACGTGGCCAGCACATATGCAAATTTATTGGAACAAAAGAAAGCGTTTGCAAAAGAAAAGAGTTCAACTCCCAGAGGATTGGTTTGGGACACCAACATGGCTGCCGTTTCATTGTTTCGGGACACCAATATGGCCTCCGTGACGTCATGTGAAAACACTGCATGAATAGTCTATTTTTGTTAATTTTACTTGAGTTCGTCGTCAGTAATTGCTGCTAAAGCTTCTTTTGTTACATAGAATTAAGACAAGAGAATAGTACGGCGAATATGCTAACCTGCGATCCGTCACTTAGGATAGCAACTTATTTGTTCTGTAAATTGAACTTTCTTTCAAATTTATTTTAGGAACCAGTTTTTTCAGCTGAAGGAGGACAAACAGGTAAGATAAGAACACTGAACGTGAAACGTTACTGAGTTAACACAAGTGAGAATAACCTTTGGTTAACAATACCTTTAAGATGAATTTATAGTTGCCGCTTGTAATAAGCTATTTTTGTTGTTTTTCGAGTTGATTAGTTATTTACTCTGTTCACCTCTTTTTGATTTTTTTCAGACCATAAATATGTCTTTACGACACTGGGTGCCAGAGGAGAAACTGGACCGACTGATATAGCTGAATATGCAGGAACGTCCCTGGAAGGAAAAGTTACTTTAAACAACGGAATCCAAATTTGGACTGTGCCCGTGACTGGAACTTACGTTATTGAAGCATCAGGTGCTTCTGGCGGAAATGGTACCGACGGAACACAATCTTATCCACTTTCTTGGACGCTTGGTGGCTTAGGCGCGAAGTTAATAGGATCCTTCAAACTTTCACTAGGAAGTCAACTGAAAATCTTGGTTGGACAGAAGGGTAGTACATCTTCAAGCTTCCTTGATAGGCCAGGGGGAGGGGGTGGTGGAACTTTTGTAACCCTGTCTGATAACACTCCACTTATAATTGCCGGTGGGGGAGGGGGAGGAGGGACAGCAAATGGCCAAATTACGGACGGTGACCCAGGTCAGGCGACAGGGAATGGGACCCAATGTGGGGGAAAAGGGGGTAATGGGGGACAAGTCTGCAATGCTGACACAGGGAACAGTGATTCTAGTCTAATGTCTGGAGGGGGAGCAGGGCTTTACGGAGATGGGGCAGCCGGAAACTTTTCAATTTTAAGAGCAGCTTTGAGTTTTGCAAAAGGAGGAAATGGGGGAGATTGTCCGGTGTCAAATGGTGGCTTTGGAGGGGGTAGTTTTGCTATGAAACTTGGAGGGGGAGGGGGCGGATATTCCGGTGGAGGAGTTATGGGAACCCAAAATAAGGGTACCGCTGGAGGAGGGGGGTCATATAATAACGGTGCAAATCAGCAAAACATGGCGGGTGTTAATAAAGGTGATGGTAAAGTTATAATAAGCTTGAAACCTTACGTATAAAGTGTTTAACTAAACCAAGAGAGAATGATAGCTCATTCCGTCTCTCTTGACTAAACTGAATAAGCGGTGAATTTGAAAGAGACTAAAGTAAAGAATTTTTTCTTGAAACTATAGCCGGACGTTGTTACAACTATTACCTGATTAATAATCCCCTCAGTTGCTTTGCATCGCCCCACAGTCCGTGAGCGCTTACCATATATTTGTACGGAAATTTCGGTGAAAAATTTCCGTCAAATGGTACTGGTATTTTTTTTGGACCGAAAACAGGAACGGGATTCCATTTACAAAATAACGGTAAACTTTTCACTTTCTTTCGACATGAAGCCTGGCACTGGTAATCCAAACAATGGTAGGAAAATTTCGGTCGTTTCGGTAGGAACGGGTAAAAGGTAATACCGCGAAAGGTATGAACCGTTCCATTTGAATTCTCCCCGGAATTTCCGGGTTTTCCATACACATGGTAAGTGCTCCGTATATAAGGATTCTTGATTCCACGTTGTGGAGGCCGGATCCCAGGTGGTACGGCTAGGAAGAACAATTGCCTTCCATCAAGTATTTTTTCAGCAGGGTAGGCTAGCTTTGGGCAAATGATGTATCGGTGCCCAGAAAGGTCACCTCAGGGCTCCCGGAATTGATTTTTTTTGTACAGTGCCCAGGCCTCATTTTCCTGGCAGCGCGTTGATCTGGCCCGGCTACTTCGGCGAGCATATTCTCGGTCTGTTTGGATTATATCCTTCGAGTTTGTCAAAGTCTGTGGGATTCGTTTCTCCATCTGGGAAAGCTTCATTGGTTTCTATATCTGCTGCTATCCTATTTCTACGATCCTGGCATGTTCATTTTCCGTTGGAGTTCGAATTTCGTGGAAAAAGTTGTGTTGAATGAGAGCATGTCGGCGAAAATGGCATCTCGTGTTTCCTACCTTGTATATTATTATTGTATACAGAGTGAATTTGAACAAATTACTGCAAATTATCACGGAACTTCGTTGGAGCAATAAGGACAACAACAATTAACTGCAGAGTAAGTTTCATTGATCTTTATTTAGTATTTCCTAGAAATTTTAGGATGGTATTTTTACCCTATACAAACACTGTAATTTTACTGGAACCGTACTGTGGTACTATCACAGAGCCTGGGTTAACTGTGGCCAATCAATAATGTTTACTGCAATTTATAACAAATAGAAGGAAATGTAAGTGAGTTGAAGTAATCGCGATGAAGGTTGATGAACAATACCACACGGAATAGAAGAATTGCACTTTCTTGGTATGTTCGTGAAGAGAGCTCTCCAGGTAACAGCTGATAACATGGAAGATAGCCTGCGTAACAAGCGTTTCCAAACGAAATAAGAAGGCACCTATAGCTGGCAATTTGTATCAGAAGACACATTCCATGCTTGTTGGGATTTAAAAAGCTGTCATAAAACACACAAATAAGTCAACAACGTGCTTGACTCACAAAGTCAAAGATTAAACTACAATTTTAACTAGAGCATTAAAAAACCGCATCTTTAAAAACTGATCCTTAGAGCAACAGTGTTACGATTTGTCGATTTTCAGAGAAAGAAATAAAAAGGAAGGCGATGCGCGAGGGAAAATGTCTGATGTGAGGGGGAAGGGGATCTTATAACCGAGTGGGTTGGGCTGGGTCTGTAACCGGAATTATATAATATATACATTCAGTCATGTTTTAAATTTTAAAATTTTACTTAAACCGGTAAATAAATGCAGTGAAACAAATACGATGGGATAGCTTTGCTTTGCTTTATCACTCCCTGATTCCGGCACAAGCTGGCGTAGTAAATGCAACTATTGAACACGGCAGCGAATATAATTTAGCCACGTGGCCTTTTGAGTGAGTGGCAAGCTGAACCTGTCTAGTCCTGTTTTGTTTTCTTTCTTCCTTCTTTAAATTTTGGAGTATAGACTTTTGCGTTATTACGAGCAGAGTAATTTCATCAAGGAATGTTTTTCTATTGCTTTAGCGTAAGGTAAATTGAATTTAGTTCTGAGGAACAGCCAAAAAAATATTTAGTAGGAGTACAGATCCACAGATCAATTTTGACAGCTTTTTAACATCCAACAGGGTACTTCTAAGTTTTAATTCCGAAGCAACACGTTTATTTTTTGCTTCTTTCATGAACAGATGACTATGAACAAATATACCTTGTTAACGTTAGTAATTACAACAACTGATAATAGTCCGCCTTAAGTTGAAAAACTTGGTAAAAGCATATGAGATGCCATTATTGCTGCTATTGAAATACAACAATACGTAATTAGCTGACTGTATAAAAGACATGAGGTGTTAAATTTAACTGACATTTTGTGCAATCGTTTGTTAATGGGCTATTGCATTTAATATCCGCAGCCCCCCCCCCCCCTCCCCCGGTTGAGGAACCACGGAATTCTCCAGGGGTAAGTTATAAAAATTGAGGATTTCTTCAGGGGTAGAGAAAAAAAATATGGAATTCATTGGGGGTGAGGTTTCAATTTTTACGAAATTCTTCAGGGCTAAAGCCATATTCTTCAGGGGTAAGCCCATATTTTATGGAAGTCTTCGGGGGTAAATGCAATTTTAGCCAATCTTCAGGGGTAAGAAGAAAGGGCAAGTCCTCAACCGGGGGGGGGAGGTACGGATATTAAATGCAATAGCCCAATATCAATCAGTTATTTTCACTGACATCTGATAAGAAAAATGTTTTCTCGGCTCGTATAAATTTAAAAGCAGTAGTCATTATTCGCCTCGCATGAGCCAAATGCGTGCACTTACTATTTCTTATTAGATCAAGACACAAGTCCCACGGGATTATAGCATAGCCAGAATATTTGCCTAATCAAATTCAGTATTGCGAGCGTGCTTCATAGCCATTGAGCACGCTGATGACGTCAATAGGCGAATCTTTGTTTACATTTTCTGCCTCATTAACATATGCTCTTCATTATCTGATGAAGCTAATAAAAAAAACCCTTAATATTGAAAGAGCATAACAATTTCAGTAATCTCTGAAAATTTGAGCCCAATATACTTGGGAAGTTTGGAGAGCACTCAAGAGGCTAGACTTACTCTCGGCTGCGACTTGAGCAACTCTTACGCCTCTTTCGTGCTCTCCAAACTTCCCGCGTGCCCAATATCTCGACATACGCACGTTGACACATGCACAAATTGTTAAATAATGCACACAGCCAAAATTTGCTTCACATTCAATTTGCTTTGCAAGCAACACTTTCAGTTTTAAACGGCAGCAATTATCAGCAGCTGCTAGACGTTTAGGAAAAAAAAGTTCCCGTATACGTATTGTAGCGAAAGTTTTGCTTTCCTATCAGGACAGCTTCTATTGAACGAAGGATCTTAGGAAGATCAGCATTCTAAATGTCTTCTTTCCGGTAAGTCATAATATAACCCTTTTTTGTTATCAAAATATAGTTTCAGTTACAAATATATTCTTAAGTCTTACATGAAGTTGTTGTAAAAGTGAAAAGAACACATATTTCACCCAACGGTGCCGCAAAGTCAGTGTTTCGTTTCCTATCGCCATCTCTTTCGTCCAGCAATAAACAGATCGGTCGTTGGCTCGGAACTGAAAATAAGGTCATAACTATAGGCCCGAGATCGTGCTGTTCAAACTGTTAAACTAATTCGTCCCTATCTGGCCCTTTGTGAAAAGCCATTGTTGCAAACACGCTAGTGGCTAGAGGGTTGAAAACTCGATGGATTTTACATGTAAGAGAAAAGGCGAGGTGCAGAGTCCCATGTGAGAACCGTTTTATCCGAAAAAATGTCCAAGGTTTATTTAGGGAAAAGTTAACATTAAATGCTGTAAATCATCATTGAAAGGGAAAACCGTCGTAGCAAACTTAGCTCTATTTGTCAGTTCGATGATGGGATATTGTCCCCCCTTTTGAATTTATTAAAGGATGAAATTTTTATCTTTTTTTTTTCATTTTCCAAAAATATAGGTCTGTAAGGCGATATGAATTCGAAGTAAGCGAAACGTATGAGCATGGTCAAATGATATGCGACAATCTCGAAAGAACCCTTTAGATTCGAGGACAAGGACGAGCATGACTAAGAGTAAAAGATTTGACTTAAAGTTATTTTCGCGCTTATTCTCAAAAAATAGACACCCCGAAAGCTTCAATTTACTTTGTCACCAGAAAGGTTATCGTGGTTATTTTTATTGTGGGAGGTTAAGCCCTCTCCCGATTGCAAATTGATAAAACGTCTTACATTTCTTTTCTTGTTTCTGTTAGTAAAACGACGGCTATTGCGTTTTCCAGACAAAATGACGCTAGTTTATGCGCCCGCATCGCGCACCACTCCGATTGTTTTCGGTTTTTTTCCTACTTGTTTTTGAAAATTGAAATCAACACTTAATATATTTTTATAGGGAATTCTTGATCGGAGTGCTGCTCTTTGCTTTAACAACTTTCATCGCCCCTGTTGGGTTGCTACTGATAAGGACGGACATGCGTCGCTCGTCTACTGTAAGCACAACAGAGGATCACGTGCTGAAAGGGCACACCATTCACAAACAACATACTTATGACTTCCTGTCATGCGCACAGCTATGTTTGGCACATCAAAGCTGCATGTCGTTTAATTACCAAAGCGTCGAAAATGGAGTTTGCGAGTTGAACAGAGAAGTTTCACCTGCAAGCATTTCAGTGGCAATCACCTCTAAAAGGGGGTATACTTTTGGACACTTTGTTAACATAAGTGTGAGTATAATATATTCATTCACTGTACTGTTTACTTAACGTTCTTTGGGCCATCCCCCCTTTTTTTCGTTTAGTGTCGAATGCGTTTTCTGATATTGGGTCGGTCGGTCGGATTAAAAAAAAAAAAAACCTAAAAAAAACCCAAGAAGTCTCGGAATAGAAGGCCCTGGTACCCCAGGACGTCATTAAAAGTTAACATTCATATATTTGGATTAACAAAATGCACAATATACTGTAAGAAATGTTCCTGATTTTGTTCCTGTTGTTCTCTGTGCTGTTAGTATGCCCATTTTTCAGATTAAAAGAATTATTTCAAGAGAAAAATGGTTTAACTATGTCGTTACTTTTTTTTTCTTGAAAATGCCAAAAATTTGGGTCGGTCCGACGACGCCAAACGGAGAAAAAAGAGAGAATGGCCTTAGTCAGCCAGACTCAGTTAAAATAAGCTTTATTAGTATAGGCAATAGCATGATTTGTAGTAATACTTGGCATAAGTACCACGAGTGATGTTGCAAAATTGTTATTCGTAATTTCACGAGCCGTAAGGCGAATGAAATTTGAGACAATTTTGAAATATCACTCCTGGTATTTATGCTAAATATCAGGTACAAATCATGCTATCAATTTGTTTACACTACTACCCGCAAAAGGTTTGTAATTTTCACCAGTAGGTATTTAACAATTAATGAATTCGGCTTTCGCATCTTATGAAGAATTATGGAGATCGAGGAGGGTGTTATCTGCCGAGGCCGTAGGATAACACCCTCCGAAATAATTCCTAGTTTAAAAACATAGCTAAAACGTGCTTACCTCCATCGATGTTAAGTTCATCTTCTATAGTGCACGTTTTGGGTTGTTCAGCTCCGCAAATATTCTCCAATAGCAGATGTCACCCTTCGAGTTGTCTTCTTGCTGTTCTTTCCATGTTTTTATCTATTATTTCGCCTAGCTCTTACTCTTGACACGAGTGACATGTCCGCCATTTTTGTTTTCACAACCAACACAACTCAACCTCGTCCCCAGGTCTTCTCGGTTAACGGTACATTGACCTGCAAGGAAGCTGCACTTTTAACGTCATCGGTTGATTAATCGCAAAAATCTTCCAAATTTGGTCATCAGTAGGCGGTTATGGTGAATTATGCGTGTGCTTTTAGCCATTCAGAAAGGGAGAAATATTTTGAATGAATAATAATTCTAATTAAGCTGAAATACCACTGCTCTAAGCCAATCAAATTGCTGAAATTTCTCATGTAGTAGTATAAACAAAGAAATAAATAAAGAACTCTATTAAAACACATCAAACTGTTCATCATATCTTTCATATGTCAAACCTGACTGTGCAGCATCTCATTTATATGTCACTTTGCTAGTCAGCAATATAACTTAAAATAGGCACACCCAATTAACTAAATCGCCCTACCTTACAACTTAACCTCAACATCTTGGTGGTGTTTAACGAAAGAAATGAATAAGAAAAATGATCTTAATGCCTCGATTTTATTCAGAACGTATGCAAACGTTTCGCTTTTTGGACTTATTGGTTTATGCCCCATATCCTCCCTCTCCCCTCCCAGCTCAACACCCACCTGAAAAAAAGAAACCTAAATTGCTCTTCCACGCAAGTAAAGAAAAGATAGTACATTGCAAGCCTGCCTTTTTAAAAGGATATTACTGTAATATATCATCCTATCTATATCTACATTCTTTCACAAGCAAATCAAGTCGAAATTTATATTCATAGCTGAGGCACATGCATGCAGATCGGGTGTGGAGCTTGAGCTAGGAGCCCTGGGATTTATTCCAAGAAAACCAAGAGAGAAAAATTCCTCAGGAGTATCAATTTTTGTGCGAAAAGTTAAAAGGGTGGCAACGAAAAATACGTGCAAAAAATGATAAAGCACAAGGGCCTAGCTTAGGCAAATTCACAAATCAAAGCATAAATCCTCTATAAATGCTACAAGGTCTCGTCGCGTAGGCTATCTGAAAACTTTTAAAGGAATAGAGCAGTATACAAGTGAGAAAATAACAACTACAGATTTAGCAGTTTACTTCTAACGCTGGACATTTCTTTAGTCTACAAATTGACCTGAACTACCTTATTCATTTTAGGGGCCTGATATTTCAGCCGGCGGAGGACGAAATGGTGAGTTGACAGACAGGCAGATGATGGTTTACTTGGTCCCGGTTAGGTAGGGGGGAAGGGGGAAGGGGGCTGGTCCCGGTTGTTTAGTAGTAATAGATTGACCACTTTTAACTCTTCCTTTGTCCTAGACGTTTGAGAGGGTGCGACAAACGGCGAAAAATATAACTGACTACCGACAAAACGAAAAAAAATTACCGACTACCGACAGAAAAAAATATTAACCGACAACCGACAACCGACATGGTCCGACATTGTAGGAACGTTTTTACTCAGAAATAAATCGTATGTTTTATTTTCCCTTTTTTTATCAAAAGTATGCGTGAAGGTAAATCACTTTAAATCCCTATTTCGTTACTTGCAGAATTTCCTGTCATCAACTTACTTGTGTAAAATAGTTATAAAATCGCCTAGGTTCGATTTTGGCTTGTTTCCTGGCCTGTACAGAGCTCTGCCTATTTCGTGCCAGCAGCTCAAGCTCATTTGAGACCGTTCATAGGGTGCGCCTTTGTTTCTCTTCATTTTCGCATTTTCGGAGAAAATCCAGGAAAGTGCGCGCTTATTTCCCGGGAACAGAATTCAGTGACTAAAAATAACTTAACAAAAATCCGACTCATCTCAAAGATTAGACTAGGCGTTTCCTCTTCGACCACTTATTTCTCTTGATTACTTCGCTGGTCTGTGAAGCGGGAAGAACTGGTTAAAGACTGCTCAAAGTGGTGCAAACGATCGCACAGCTTAAGCAAACCAGACTTTAGATAAGCTTCTTTTAAAATCAAATGATTAATCTACGCGAAATGAAGAAGTTTTACTCTTATACAGAGTTTAAAGTGTGTGAATTAAGTAACGATTATTAATAATTAACTTGTTTTTTAATCATTAACCGAGATTTACCGACACCCGTCAAAGGTCGAAAATTTTAACCGACAACCGATATGTGGTCCCCCATTCAGATCCTCGTTTTAGTGATTGTTCACCTTTTCTCTAACTACTTCAGACCATAAATATGCCTTTACGACACTGGGTGCAAGAGGAGAAACTGGACCGAGTCATATATCTGGATATGCAGGAACGTCCCTGGAAGGAAAAGTTACTTTAAACAACGGAATCCAAATTTGGACTGTGCCCGTGACTGGAACTTACGTTATTGAAGCATCAGGTGGTTCTGGCGGAAATGGTACCGACGGAACACAATCTTATCCGCTTCCTTGGAGGCTTGGTGGCTTAGGCGCAAAGATATCAGGATCCTTCAAACTTTCACGAGGAACTCAAATCAAAATCTTAGTCGGACAGGAGGGTGGTACATCTATAAACTTCGCAGATAGACCAGGGGGAGGGGGTGGTGGAACGTTTGTAACCCTGTCTGATAGCACTCCACTTATAATTGCCGGTGGGGGAGGAGGTGGAGGGGCAACACGTAACCAATTTACCGACGGTGACCCCGGTCAGGCGACAGCGAATGGGACCCGGTGTGGAGGAACAGGGGGCCACGGAGGACAAGTCTGCAATGCTGACACGGGGAAAAGTGATTCTACATTAACATCTGGAGCAGGAGCAGGACTAAGAGGGGATGGGAAAGGCGGTTTAACCATATGCGCAAACAGGGCGTTGAGTTTTACCAAAGGGGGAACTGGGGGAACATGTATAGCTTCCTCTGGCGGTTTTGGCGGCGGTGGGTTTGCTGTGGTTAATGGAGGGGGAGGGGGAGGTTATTCCGGTGGGGGAGTAATGGGAACTTCAATTAAAGGTACCGCTGGGGGAGGGGGATCATATAATGCTGGTACAAATCAGCAGAACATAGCGGGTGTCAATAAAGGCGATGGTAAAGTTATGATAACTTTGAGGCGTTAATATTATTTACGTTCCTCGTCAGAGTTCCAACCCAAAGAAAATGGGGCTAGCTTATTGTTCAAGTAGATCAAAGAACTTATGTTAGGAAGGTAAGACAGGAATTAGAGTTGGAAAACTTCAATAATTCTCATAAGTGTCACTTAATCTTCCTGTACTTTAATGAAGAAAAATATATGTTACTTTCAACCTATTCTTCGTCTAAAACTATTAATTGTAATTTTATCAACCCTTTGGTGAAATATAGTCTAACAACTTGCGCATCATGTTTCACAATACGATGAGTTCTATGGTCATTAACGCCTGTATTATTACTGTCCGTTACGTCACGCATTTCATTCCCGGGATTTCACTATTCATAGTTTGCCTAGACAAAAAAATTGACGATGGCTTCACATTTCTCCTGTTTGCCAGATATAAGCTCTGGTTCCTCGTGTTCCAAGATCCGCAAGATGTAAACCTAGAGGAGCAGGATTAAGAGGAGATGGGAAAGCGATAGTGGAATTGTAACAAGATCGTTGAGTTTCCAACGGGGGAACTGGGGGAACATGTCCGGCTTCCCCTGGCTGTTTTGGCGGGGGTGTGGCTACCATGGTACTTGGAGGGGGGGGGGGGGCGGTTTTTCCGGGGGGGGGGGCAGAACATAGCGTGTGTTGATAAAGGCGGTGGTAAAGTTACAATGAAACATTAAACTTAAAAAAAGACTCTTCCTCAGTAGCAAGGTAGTCTCTCATTGATGTAAATATACGTAGCCCTTTTTTAGCATCATATCCATTGTATCTCTATGCACCAGTAGACTGTATCTGCAAAACCGAAACAAAAACTGCTTTACCCTTCATGTTCGTAGCTTTAGCAAGGCTTAATTTAAATAAACAAACCAAAAATGCCATTCTGGACTCATTACCTAGAAGGCATGCTTTTACCCTTTCCCCCCTAACGTTAATCAAGGTGGTGCGATTTCAAGTACATTCATGAATCTCATTAAATCTGGTTTTGTAGATCAGTTTTAAGCACACGTAGTGACTAAATGTAAAACAAATCTCAGAGAAATGAATAAAGTAGTAAGTTTCTAAAGAAAGTCTGTGAGGCATTTTCTGAACATAATGAATCATAATAGCGGAAATTTGTTGGCGGGAAAAGATAAAACAGATGGAAAAACCAGTGCTTCTCTACTCTTAGTAGTCTATTACTGTGGAATTGTATGATGAGTTTTTCGGTACAAAATCAAAGTAAATTTATTTATCTCATCACAATTCTTATTATCAAAAGTAACAGACGAAGCGAGGCGGTAATGGTTAAAAAAAAGATGAGAATCCTGCATGGTTAGAATTCTAAAGCGTGGTATCCCTATCTGCTCCGAAAAGTCAATATTCCGCTGAACAAAATTCTTTCGAATACGGTCTTGTCGTACTTGTAACCCAAATTAGCCCGTGCACAGCCGCCCCCTCCTCTAGAAACTCCCCGACTTTTTTTAGCGAAGGAGGCGTCTGTACACAGGCTGAACACACTGAAATAAACTAGGCGCAAATAAAACTTAAATATCATGAGAAAGGAAAGGTGATAGCTTTTATCAGCCCATGTTTTAACCTTAACAAAATTCTTTTGAAAAATCTGCTGTCTCTAAGGCTCATAGAGAGGTTGAACTCCCCAAACCCGTTCTCTTGCCAGACACAACAAAAACATGTCTGTCGATTTTTGAGTAGAAATCAAATCTGTTGACATCAGAAAATTAGAGAGGATGTTGCAAAGTTCAGTGGAGGTTCGGAGGAGAACGGAGTGTCGAAAGAAATTGACGGTGGCTTCAAATTGTTCCTGTGTGAAAGATAAAAGCTCTATTTCCCTCATGACTGAAGTTTATAAACCTTGCAAAGGCGCGCGCGGAATTGTTCGTTGGAGAGACTTCCACATGAAAGATGCTCTTCGCTTAGGACCTGCGTAAATTGCAGACTTTGCTACTTATTAGGGTGTTAAGGACAGAAAAATAATTTTGTTTTACTAGACTGGTCTCCTTCAGGGTTAGAATTTTAATTTCCTAACCAGCATTCCTGTTGCTTTCATACGGGTGTCACCTTCGCGGGAATTGTTTTGATTCTAACAGATCCTACATTGTTTTGTAGTTTAGCGTGTTCGATTTTCAATTTCAGTCAGGGATTTGTCACTCTAAAAGAGGCTGAAATGAATCTATAAATCAATCGATTTGGAACCATCAAATGTTGTACACACTAGTCGAGGGAGAGGGGGTAGAAAAAACAATAGAAATGCAATCCCCTCCCCCCCCCGCAAGTTTTTATTGTAATTCTTAATTTTTCCTTTGGCTTTGTTTATTGCTCTGTTCACGGTTGCCGGGGAAATTTGGAAAATCTCCCAATTAACTAAAGTTAAAAAATTCTGACTCAATATAGCAAAGCTAACTGTTGACTCTCTTGTTTTGTTGTCGTCGTGGTTCTTTCTTTGTAAGGTGGGGTTTTCGGTACGAAAAGATTGACATGCACCAGTGAAAACGTAACTTGCCCATCCGAGAGGATAATACCAAAAATATCAAACGAAACAGATATGTAACGTTCATCGCCGGAGTAAAAAAAAAAAATAAAAAAATAAAAGAACAAGTCATTTCGAGAATACGTGCCCTAAACTAGAGTCTTCAAATCCTTTCATGACCAAACAAAATTCTTTCATGAAAGGTTTCGTTCCTTAGCTTCGTGAAGGATGTAAAGCCCTTGTAACCACAAAAAGCTAAGCGCAAATACAGCACAACTAAAATTTTATACAAAAATACAGAATCTCAGTAATTCTTATCTATACTTGTTCTGCTCTGAAAAAAATTATTTTAAGGAAAATGTTGTCTCTTAGCCTCATAAACTTCTTGCAGCTCCAGTAAGATAGATAAAGCTTATCTTCCTCCATCCCGGCAAAAACAATGAATGTCAGCTTGATATGCAAACAGAAATCAATCTGTTGATATTAGAAAATGAGCCGAGAGGGTTGCCGAGAGGGTCGAAAGAGAGCTTCAGCGTCATTATTTCTCATTCAGGGCTGTTAGGGAGCACAAGTCCTTTGCTTCGTATCATCAGAATCCGCGTAAACAAATGAACCACCCCAAATCACAACTAAGGTAAGGTAATCTACATACTGCATACTTGTTTAATGTGGACATCTAAGGTACAGCACCAAGTGATATAATAATAAGGCGACACGTTAAATAGAAGATTGCGTGATGTTGTTAAATTTGATTTCGATCCAATGCAACGTCTTCAAAAGAGGGGGCTATATTGAGCCCCTTATTATTTTTTGGCACATTCATCACTGTGATATCGATGGAATGCAAGACACAGCATTTCCTGAGTCTTTCCTGGGTTTTAAGTCATACGCCAGTCATGGTAGCAGCAACTATTCATTCATTATGATCACATTGCGCTGATCTCAGAGAAAAGAGCACGAACCCACTGATCTGGTCTTTGGAAGGTCACAAGTTTGAATTTTGTCAGGGACTTGAGATTTTGTGCAACGCTATTGACAAGAGTAAAATTTTCCATTTCCTTCATTTACTACTAACCTGTACGCTCTTGACAATGCTGATCCTAGAAGCATACAGAACGCTTGTTAAACATATGAAATGAGTTTGCTCTTCACGAGTCTGGCTTCAGTCTCTCCGTAGCTCGTAAGAATGAGCCGCGGAAAGAGAGCCAGCCGGTACTTGGAAGATATTAGGTTTGAATCCTGTTGGAGACTCCCAAGACTTCTTCTTTGTCCTTCACTCATGACATGAGGAAAACTACATGACTCCCACAGACTTTCTTCAAAATGTTCACAGTACATTATGTTGTTACTGGCTCGTAGAAACTTGTTAAAGTGCTTATGTGCTCTGGATTTTGCCCCTGATTCGCTCAGATAAAACCGACTTGATATTGTGGCTTAATTTGCAACAACTTTGATGTCTTCTACAAAAATACAATTATAAAGGAAATTTATCTTTATTCTGCAGTTTACAATAGCTTTAGAATTGTTTCTTTGTTGTCTTGACTTAAATTTGAAATCTGACTTACTTTTCGAATATCTTTTTTGACAGGGTATACACGATGGAAGTACTTTTCATCTTGATTTGCATTACCCTTCCTGTTAGTCTTTTACTGATAAGGGAAGACATGCGCCGTTCATCTACTGTAAGTACCAAGGATAATCACGTGCTCAGAGGATACACCATTCACAAACAGCGGACTTATGACCTCCTGTCATGCGCACAATTATGTTTGGCACGGTCAAACTGCATGTCTTTTAATTACGAAAACATCGAAAGTGGAGATTGTGAACTAAATAAAGAAGCAACTGATGCGAGTATCCACGGAGCTCTCACCACTCAAAGGGGGTATACCTTTGCACAGTTTGTCAACTTAAGCGTGAGTAGTACTTAAAGCTATTATTAAATTCAACCCTCGTTTGGGGATTTCTGTTATGATTCCCTCCAACCCCCACCCCCCCCCCCCAAATAACTTAAATTAAATAAATGATCCCTTACGTAAAACACATAGACTGATTGAATGCGTTTTGCTTGTTTTCCGGCTTTCCTGGGCAGAGACCTGTCTGGTGGGGATGAGCAAGAATACAGCCTGCTAGCAAGCTATGCTCCTTCCTACGCAGCGTTCTTTCAATCTTTATCTCCATTAGTCCAACAAACTTACTTTGACAAATGTAGGCAAACTCTCCTGGAGTTGAATTCCTAAGAACAATATTCATGTTAAGAAGGGGAAAGAAAATTTGGTCGCCGTTTGTTTAATACGTCCTCCATAAAACGTGAAATTTGGCCCATTTTAACGTCGTAATCGTGCGATGGCGGCAAAGAAATGAAAAGCGTGATGCACGTGCAGAGTTGTCAGGGGCGGATCCAGGATTTTTTTTAGGAGGGGGTGCACTCGTCTCTTGCTCTACTTCAACACCAATAAACCACATAGTTTTTTTTTTTTTTTGCAGAATACCAGTTGTATTAGAAAACTGCAGGTCATCTCAGGGGGGGTGCGCACCCCCTGCACCCTCCCCCTAGATCCGCCCCTGGTTGTTGGTTTGCTTATTAAACCTATTCCTTAACGGTCGTTTCCGTTCTCGTTGCCGTCACCGTCGTCAGATCTTAAGTCCCCAAGGGAAGTAATGTTCAGAAGAGAAATAACACAAAATTGAGCTGCATTTCATATCCTTTTTAGGAGCCAGTATTTTCAGCCGGAGGAAAACATGATGGTAAGATAAGAGCAACGCAGGTGTTAATTTACTGAGTTTGCTTCAGGTCTGAGAAGATTTGACCACCAGCCTAGTTATTTAATTTATAACATTTTTCTTTTCAGACCATAAATATGTCTTTACGACACTGGGCGCCAAAAAAGAAACTGGACCGAGTGATATATCTGGATATGTAGGAACGTCCCTGGAAGGAAAAGTTACTTTAAACAACGGAATCCAAATTTGGACTGTGCCCATGACTGGAACTTACGTTATTGAAGCATCAGGTGGTTCTGGCGGAAATGGTTCGGACGGAACACAATCTTATCCGCTTCCTTGGACGCTTGGTGGCTTAGGCGCAAAGATAATAGGATCTTTCAAGCTTTCCCGAGGAACTCAAATCAAAATCCTAGTCGGACAGGAGGGTGGTGCAACTGTAAGCTTCCCTGATAGACCAGGGGGAGGGGGTGGTGGAACGTTTGTAACCCTGTCTGATAACACTCCACTTATAATTGCCGGAGGGGGAGGGGGAGGAGCAACAGCACGTAACCAATATACCGACGGTGACCCAGGTCAGGCGACAGCGAGTGGGACTCAATGTGGAGGAACACGGGGCAGTGGGGGACAAGTCTGCAATGCTGACACAGGGAACAGTGATTCTAATTTAAGGTCTGGAGCAGGAGCAGGACTAAGTGGGGATGGGAAAGGCGGTGTTGCATTTGCAACAAAGGCGTTGAGTTTTACCAACGGGGGAACTGGGGGAACATGTCCAGTTTCCCATGGTGGTTTTGGCGGAGGTGGGTTTGCTATGGTTAATGGAGGGGGAGGGGGAGGTTATTCTGGTGGGGGAGTGGTGGGAACTCAAACTAAAGGAACCGCTGGGGGAGGCGGATCATATAATAACGGTACAGATCAGAAGAACATGGAGGGGGTCAACAAAGGCGATGGTGAAGTTATAATAACTTTGATGCGTTAGTGCCATTTACGTTCCTCGTCAGAGTTCCATCCAATAGAAAGTGGGCTAGCTTAATGTTTAAGTAAATAAAAGAACTAATGTTAAGGGGGCAAGACACAGGAATTTTTTTTATAAAGCCGAAAAAGTTCAATACCGCACATAAGTGTCACTTAATCGTCCTCTACTTTAATTGCAAAATATATTACTTAAAACCATTCGTCTAAAAATGTGGTACTTTTTATCAACCCTTGCAGGTTAAAAAAAATGAGATATACTTTAACATCTAGAGCATCATGTTGCACAAAACGACGAGTTTTATGGTAATTAATGTCTGTATTATTACTGACCGCGAGTTACGCATTTCATTCCCGGGATTTCATTATTCATAGTTTGTCTACACAAAGAAATTGATGATGGCTTCGCATTTCTCCTGTTTGCCAGATATAAGCTCTGGTTCCCCGTGTTCCAAGATGTAAGCCTAGCAAAGAAAAATCCATATAGACTATTAGGATCACCAACAGCCAAACCTCCCGTAAGCGACCATCCAAAATGCGAACATCTAGTGGTCGCTTGCGAGAATCGAACCACAAGGAATTCCTTCCTAGAAAAGGACCGAACACATTTACATTTTTGGAAATAATTCACTGCATGTAATCACTAAGTTATGGTATGTGTAGTTTCATGATGTCACCAAAAGCACTCATTTCGCGCACTGTTTCGCCCATATCGCGTCACTTCTCTGTGACGGCCTTTCAAATTTGCCGCCGGCTTTAGGACAAAGTTCCTGTATATGTCGCATCAATCTGGGCGATGCATCGCATTTTCTTAGTAGTGAGGTACATACAACGAACATAGAGATCAAGCTATGCCTTACGTGGTCGCTCTTACTCGCCTGCTTTATGCTCGTACGGAAACGCTTCTTGTGCATTCTAGACCAAGTAAGTCGCTTACGAGAATCGAACTTCAGGGTTTCCCCTCATAGACGAGGTTCGAATACGTAAGAGAATTCGTTGTATGCGACTTCTAAGTAACGATATGTGTAGTTTCATGTTGTCACAACAAGTTCTTCGCACACCCTGAGTATTGTACTGCATACAGCAAACATAGACATCAAACCATGGCTCAAGTGGTCGTTTACAGGTGGATAAAAACAATGAAATATTTTTAGGTCGTCATCCAAAAAGGCTGGAGCGATCGCTTACGAGAGGTGGTAGTTTACGAGAGGCTGCAACGGTAGTGATTTCACTGGAAAAAGTTTGGTGTTTTGGATCTAAGAGGTCGCTATGGGAGGTGGTCGCTGAGAATAACCTTAGGTTAACAACACCTTTAAGATGAATTTATGGTTACCGCCTGTAATTAGCTATTTCTGTTGTTTGGCGAATTGATAGGTTATTTACTCTGTTCACGTCTTTTTGATTTTTTTCAGACCATAAATATGTCTTTACGACACTGGGCGCCAGACGAGAAACTGGACCGACTGATATATCTGAATATGCAGGAACGTCACTGGAATCCAAATTTGGACTGTGCCCGTGACTGGAACTTACGTTATTGAAGCATCAGGTGCTTCTGGCGGAAATGGTACCGACGGAACACAATCTTATCCGCTTTCTTGGACGCTTGGTGGCTTAGGCGCGAAGATAATTCAAACTTTCACTAGGAACTGAACTGAAAATCTTGGTTGGACAGGAGGGTAGTACATCTTCAAGCTTTCCTGATAGGCCAGGGGGAGGGGGTGGTGGAACTTTTGTAACCCTGTCTGATAACACTCCGCTTATAATTGCCGGTGGGGGAGGGGGAGGAGGGGCAGCAAAAGGCCAAATTACAGACGGTGACCCAGGTCAGGCGACAGGGAATGGGACCCAATGTGGGGGACAAGTCTGCAATGCTGACACAGGGAACAGTGATTCTAGTCTAATGTCTGGAGGGGGAGCAGGGCTTTACGGAGATGGGGCAGCCGGAAACTTTTCAATTTTAAGAGCAGCTTTGAGGTTTGCAAAAGGGGGAAATGGAGGAGTTTGTCCAGTGTCAAATGGTGGCTTTGGAGGGGGTGGGTTTGCTATGGCACTTGGAGCACTTGGAGGGGGAGGGGGCGGATATTCCGGTGGAGGAGTTATGGGAACCCAAAATAAGGGTACCGCTGGGGGAGGGGGGTCATATAATAACGGTGCAAATCAGCAAAACATGGCGGGTGTTAATAAAGGTGATGGTAAAGTTATAATAAGGTTGAAACCTTACGTATAAAGTGTTTAACTAAACCAAGAGAGAATGATAGCTCATTCCGTCTCTCTTGACTAAACTGAATAAGCGGTGAATTTGAAAGAGACTAAAGTAAAGAATCTTTTCTTGAAACTATAGCCGGAAGTTGTTACAACTATTACCTGATTAATAGTCCCCTTAGTTGCTTTGCATCGCCCCACAGTCCGTGAGCGCTTACCATATATTTGTACGGAAATTTCGGTGAAAAATTTCCGTCAAATGGTACTGGTATTTTTTTTGGATCGAAAACAGGAACGGGATTCCATTTACAAAATACCGGTAAACTTTTCACTTTCTTTCGACATGAAGCCCGGCACAGGTAATCCAAACAATGGTAGGAAAATTTCGGTCGTTTCGGTAGGAACGGGTAAAAGGTAATACCGCGAAAGGTATGAACCGTTCCATTTGAATTCTCCCCGGAATTTCCGGGTTTTCCATACACATGGTAAGTGCTCCGTATATAAGGATTCTTGATTCCACGTTGTGGAGGCCGGATCCCAGGTGGTACGGCTAGGAAGAACAATTGCCTTCCATCAAGTATTTTTCAGCAGGGTAGGCTGGCTTTGGGCAAATGATGTATCGGTGCCCAGAAAGGTCACCTCCGGACTCCCGGAATTGATTTTTTTTGTACAGTGCTCAGGCCCCATTTTCCTGGCAGCGCGTTGATCTGGCCCGGCTACTTCGGCGAGCATATTCTCGGTCTGTTTGGATTATATCCTTCGAGTTTGTCAAAGTCTGTGGGATTCGTTTCTCTATCTGAGAAAGCTTCATTGGTTTCTATATCTGCTGCTATCCTATTTCTACGATCCTGGCATGTTTATTTTCCGTTGGAGTTCGAATTTCGTGGAAAAAGTTGTGTTGAATGAGAGCGTGTCGGCGAAAATGGCATCTCGTGTTTCCTACCTTGTATATTATTATTGTATACAGAGTGAATTTGAACAAATTACTGCAAATTATCACGAAACTTCGTTGGAGCAATAAGGACAACAACAATTAACTGCAGAGTAAGTTTCATTGATCTTTATTTAGTATTTCCTAGAAATTTTAGGATGGTATTTTTACCCCATACAAACACTGTAATTTTACTGGGACCGTACTGTGGTACTATCACAGAGCCTGGGTTACCTGTGGCCAATCAATAATGTTTACTGCAATTTATAATAAATAGAAGGAAATGTAAGTGAGTTGAAGTAATCGCGATGAAGGTTGATGAACAATACCACACGGAATAGAAGAATTGCACTTTCTTGGTATGTTCGTGATGAGAGCTCTCCAGGTAACAGCTGATAACATGGAAGATAGCCTGCGTAACAAGCGTTTCCAATCAAGTTATTGCGCGAAAGTTGGAGCGAGAGCAAAATTTGAAAAATAAAAAAAAAACGAAATAAGAAGGCACCTATAGCTGGCAATTTGTATCAGAAGACACATTCCATGCTTGTTGGGATTTAAAAAGCTGCCATAAAACACACAAATAAGTCAACAACGTGCTTGACTCACAAAGTCAAAGATTAAACTACAATTTTAACTAGAGCATTAAAAAACCGCATCTTTAAAAACTGATCCTTAGAGCAACAGTGTTACGATTTGTCGATTTTCAGAGAAAGAAATAAAAAGGAAGGCGATGCACGAGGGAAAATGTCTGATGTGAGGGGGAAGGGGGTCTTATAACCGAGTGGGTTGGGCTGGGTATGTAACCGGAATTATATAATATATACATTCAGTCATGTTTTAAATTTTAAAATTTTACTTTAACCGGTAATTATAAATAAATGCAGTGAAACAAATACGATGGGATAGCTTTGCTTTGCTTTATCACTCCCTGATTCCGGCACAAGCTGGCGTAGTAAATGCAACTATTGAACACGGCAGCGAATTTAATTTAGCCACGTGGCCTTTTGAAAGAGTGGCAAGCTGAACCTGTCTAGTCCTGTTTTGTTTTCTTTCTTTCTTTCTTCCTTCTTTAAATTTTGGAGTATAGACTTTTGCGTTATTACAAGCAGATTAATTTCATCAAGGTATGATTTTCTATTTCTTTAGCGTAAGGTAAATTGAATCATTTCCGAGGAACAGCCCAAAAAAATATTTAGTAGGAGTACAGATCAGTACAGATCAATTTTGACAGCTTTTTAACATCTAACAGAGTACTTCTACGTTTTAATTCCGAAGCAACACGTTTATTTCTTGCTTTATTCATGAACAGATGACTATGAACAAATATACTGAACCTTGTTAACGTTAGTAATTACAACAGCTGATAATAGTCCGCCTTAAGTTGAAAAACTTGGTAAAAGCATATGAGATGCCATTATTGCTGCTATTGAAATACAACAATACGTAATTAGCTGACTGTATAACAGACATGAGGTTTTAAATTCAACTGACATTTTGTGCAATCGTTTGTTAATGGGCTATTGCATTTAACATCCGCACCGCCCCGCCCCCGGTTGAGGAACCACGGAATTCTCCAGGGGTAAGTTATAAAAAACTGAGGATTTCTTTAGGGGTAGAGTAAAAAAATATGAAATTCATCGGGGGTGAGGCTTCAATTTTTACGAAATTCTTCAGGGCTAAAGCCATATTCTTCAGGGGTAAGCCCATATTTTATGGAAGTCTTCGGGGATAAATGCAATTTTAGCCAATCTTCATGGGTAAGAAGAAAGGGCAAGTCCTCAACCGGGGGGGGGGGGGCGAAGGTACGGATACTAAATGCAATAGCCCAATATCAATCAGTTATTTTCACTGACATCTGATAAGAAAAATGTTTTCTCGGCTCTTATAAATTAAAAAGCAGTAGTCATTATTCGCCTCGCATGAGCCAAATGCGTGCACTTACTATTTCTTATTAGATCAAGACACAAGTCCCACGGGATTATAGCATAGCCAGAATATTTGCCTAATCAAATTCAGTATTGCGAGCGTGCTTCATAGCCATTAAGCACGCTGATGACGTCAATAGGCGAATCTTTGTTTACATTTTCTGCCTCATTAACATATGCTCTTCATTATCTGATGAAGCTAACAAAAAAAAACCCTGAATATTGAAAGAGCATAACAATTTCAGTAATCTCTGAAAATTTGAGCCCAATATACTTGGGAAGTTTGGAGAGCACTCAAGAGGCTAGACTTGCTCTCGGCTGCGACTTGAGCAACTCTTACGCCTCTTTCGTGCTCTCCAAACTTCCCGCGTGCTCAATATCTCGACATACGCACGTTGACACATGAACAAATTGTTAAATAATGCACACAGCCAAAATTTGCTTCACATTCAATTTGCTTTGCAAGCAACACTTTCAGTTTTAAACGGCAGCAATTATCAGCAGCTGCTAGACGTTTAGGAAAAAAGTTCCCGTATACGTATTGTAGCGAAAGTTTTGCTTTCCTATCAGGACAGCTTCTATTGAACGGAGGATTTTAGGAAGATCAGCATTCTAAATGTCTTCTTTCTGGTAAGTCATAATATAACCCTTTTTTGTTATCAAAATATAGTTTCAGTTACAACTATATTCTTAAGTCTTACATGAAGTTGTTGTAAAAGTGGAAAGAACACATATTTCACCCAACGGTGCCGTAAAGTCAGTGTTTCTTTTTCTATCGCCATCTCTTTCGTCCAGCAATAAACAGATCGGTCGTTGGCTCGGAACTGAAAATAAGGTCATAACTATAGGCCCGAGATCGTGCTGTTCAAACTGTTAAACTAATTCGTCCCTATCCGGCCCTTTGTGAAAAGCCATTTTTGCAAACGCGCTAGTGGCTAGAGGGTTGAAAACTCGATGGATTTTACATGTAAGAGAAAAGGCGAGGTGCAGAGTCCCATGTGAGAACCGTTTTATCCGAAAAAATGTCCAAGGTTTATTTGGGGAAAGGTTAACATTAAATACTGTAAATCATCATTGAAAGGGAAAACCGTCGTAGCAAACTTAGCTCTATTTGTCAGTTCGATGATGGGATATTGTCCCCCCTTTTGAATTTATTAAAGGATGAAATTTTTACCTTTTTTTTTTCATTTTCCAAAAATATAGGTCAGTTAGGCGATATGAAGTAAGCGAAACGTATGAGCATGGTCAAATGATATGCGACAATCTCGAAAGAACCCTTTAGATTCGAGGACAAGGACGAGCATGACTAAGAGTAAAAGATTTGACTTAAAGTTATTTTCGCGCTTATTCTCAAAAAATAGAAACCCCGGAAAGCTTCAATTTACTTTGTCACCAGAAAGGTTATCGTGGTTATTTTTATTGTGGGAGGTTAAGCCCTCTCCCGATTGCAAATTGATAAAACGTCTTACATTTCTTTTCTTGTTTCTGTTAGTAAAACGACGGCTATTGCGTTTTCCAGACAAAATGACGCTAGTTTATGCGCGCGCACCACTCCGATTGTTTTCGGTTTTTTTCCTACTTTTTTTTGAAAATTGAAATCAACACTTAATATATTTTTATAGGGAATTCTTGATCGGAGTGCTACTCTTTGCTTTAACAACTTTCATCGCCCCTGTTGGGTTGCTACTGATAAGGACGGACATGCGTCGCTCGTCTACTGTAAGCACAACAGAGGATCACGTGCTGAAAGGGCACACCATTCGCAAACAACATACTTATGACTTCCTGTCATGCGCACAGCTATGTTTGGCACACCAAAGCTGCATGTCGTTTAATTACCAAAGCATCGAAAATGGAGTTTGCGAGTTGAACAGAGAAGTTTCACCTGCAAGCATTTCAGTGACACTCACCTCTAAAAGGGGGTATACTTTTGGACACTTTGTTGACACAAGTGTGAGTATAATATATTCATTCATTGTACTGTTTACTTAACGTTCTTTGGGCTATCCCACCTTTTTTTCGTTTAGTGTCGAATGCGTTTTCTGATATTGGGTCGGTCGGTCGGATTGAAAAAAAAACACCTAAAAAAAACCCAAGAAGTCTCGGAATAGAAGGCCCTGGTACCCCAGGACGTCATTAAAAGTTAACATTCATATATTTGGATTAACAAAATGCACAATATACTGTAAGAAATGTTCATGTTTTTGTTCCTGTTGTTCTCTGTGCTGTTAGTATGCCCATTTTTCAGATTAAAAGAATTATTTCAAGAGAAAAATGGTTTAACTATGTCGTTACTTTTTTTTCCTTGAAAATGCCAAAAATTTGGGTCGGTCCGACGACGCCAAACGGAGAAAAAAGAGAGAATGGCCTTAGTCAGCCAGACTCAGTTAAAATAAGCTTTATTAGTATAGGCAATAGCATGATTTGTAGTAATACTTGGCATAAGTACCACGAGTGATGTTGCAAAATTGTTATTCGTAATTTCACGAGCCGTTAGGCGAATGAAATTTGAGACAATTTTGAAATATCACTCGTGGTATTTACGCTAAATATCAGGTACAAATCATGCTATCAATTTGTTTACACTACTACCCGCAAAAGGTTTGTAATTTTCACCAGTAGGTATTTAACAATTAATGAATTCGGCTTTCGCATCTTATGAAGAATTATGGAGATCGAGGAGGGTGTTATCTGCCGAGGCCGTAGGATAACACCCTCCGAAATAATTCCTAGTTTAAAAACATAGCTAAAACGTGCTTACCTCCATCAATGTTAAGTTCATCTTCTATAGTGCACGTTTTGGGTTGTTCAGCTCCGCTAATATTCTCCAATAGCAGATGTCACCCTTCGAGTTGTCTTCTTGCTGTTCTTTCCATGTTTTTATCTATTATTTCGCCTAGCTCTTACTCTTGACACGAGTGAAATGTCCGGCATTTTTGTTTTCACAACCAACACAACTCAACCTCGTCCCCAGGTCTTCTCGGTTAACGGTACATTAACCTGCAAGGAAGCTGCACTTTTAACGTCATCGGTTGATTAATCGCAAAATTATTCCAAATTTAGTCATCAGTAGGCGGTTTATGGTGAATTATGCGTGTGCTTTTAGCCAATCAGAAAGGGAGAAATATTTTGAATGAATAATAATTCTCTAAGCCCATCAAATTGCAGAAATTTCTCATGTAGTAGTATAAACAAAGAAATAAGTGAAGAACTCTATTAAATAACACATCAAACTGTTCATCATATCTTTCATATGTCAAGCCTGACTGTGCAGCATATCATTTACTGCATTTATATGTCACTTTGCTAGTCGGCAATGTAACTTAAAATAGGCACACCCAATTAACTAAATCGCCCTACCTTACAACTTAGCCTCAACACCTTGATGGTGTTTAACAAAAGAAATGAATAAGAAACATGATCTTAATGCCTCTATTTTATTCAGAACGTACCACCTTTTCGCTTTTTGGGCTTATTGGTTTATGCCCTATCCTCCCTCTCCCCTCCCAGCTCCCCACCCCCCTCAAGAAAAGAAACCTAAATTGCTCTTCCACGCAAGTAAAGAAAAGATAGTACATTGCAAGCCTGCCTTTTCAAAAGGATATTACTGTAATATATCATCCTATCTATATCTACATTCTTTCACAAGAAAGTAGAAATTTATATTCATAGCTGAGGCACATGCAGATAGGGTGTGGAGCTTGAGCTAGGAGCCGTGGGATTTATTCCCAAAAAACCAAGAGAGAAAAATTCCTCAGGAGTATCAATTTTTGTGAGCAAAGTTAAAAGGGTGGCAACGAAAAATACGTACAAAAAATGATAAAGTACAAGGGCCTAGCTTAGGCAAATTCACAAATTAGAGCATAAATCCTCTATAAATGCTACACGGTCTCGTCGCGTAGGCTATCTGAAAACTTTTAAAGGAATAGAGCAGTATACAAGTAAGAAAATAACAACTACAGATTTAGCAGTGTACTTCTAGCACTGGACATTTCTTTAGTCTACAAATTGACCTGAACTACCTTATTCATTTTAGGGGCCTGATATTTCAGCCGGCGGAGGACGAAATGGTGAGTTAACAGACAGGCAGATGATGGTCTACTTGGTCCCGGTTACGTAGGGGGGAAGGGGGAAGGGGGCTGGTCCCGGTTGTTTAGTAGTAATAGATTGACCTCTTTTAACTCTTCCTTTGTCTTAGACGTTTTAGGCGTTTTAGTGATTATTCACCTTTTCTCTAATTACTTCAGACCATAAATATGTCTTTACGACACTGGGTGCCAGAGAAGAAACTGGGCCAAGTGATATATCTGGATATGCAGGAACGTCACTGGAAGGAAAGGTTACTTTAAACAACGGAATCCAAATTTGGACTGTGCCCGTGACTGGAACTTATGTTATTGAAGCATCAGGTGGCTCTGGGGGAAACGGTACCCACGGAACACAATCTATTCCGATTTCTTGGAGGCTTGGTGGCTTAGGAGCAAAGATAATTGGATCCTTCAAACTTTCACGAGGAACTCAAATCAAAATCTTAGTCGGACAGGAGGGTGGTACATCTATAAGCTTCCCTGAGAGACCAGGGGGAGGGGGTGGTGGAACGTTTGTAACCCTGTTTGATAACACTCCACCTATAATTGCCGGAGGGGGAGGGGGAGGAGGGGCAGCACGTAACCAATATACCGACGGTGACCCAGGTCAGGCGACAGCGAATGGGACTAAATGTGGAGGAACAGGGGGCAATGGGGGACAAGTCTGCAATGCTGACACAGGGAACATTGATTATAGATTAGTTTCTGGAGCAGGAGCAGGACTAAGAGGGGATGGGAAAGGCGGTTTTGCAATTGCAACCGGGGCGTTGAGTTTTACCAAAGGGGGAACTGGGGGAACATGTCCAGCTTCCTCTGGTGGTTTTGGCGGAGGTGGGTTTGCTATGAGAAGTGGAGGGGGAGGGGGTGGTTATTCCGGTGGGGGAGTTATGGGGACCCGAAAAAAGGGTACCGCTGGGGGAGGGGGATCATATAATGCCGGTACATATCAGCAGAACATAGCGGGTCTTAATAAAGGTGATGGTAAAGTTATAATAACTTTGAGGCGTTAATGCTATCAGTACGTTCGTCGTCAGAGTTCCAACCCAAAGAAAATGGGGCTAGCTTAATGTTCAAGTAGATTAAAGAACTTATGCTAGGAAGGTAAGACAGAAATTAGAGTTGCAAAAGTTCAATAATGCTCATAAGTGTCACTTAATCTTCCTGTACTTTAATGAGGAAAAATATATGTTACTTTAAACCTATTCTTCGTCTAAAACAATTGTAATTTTATCAACCCTTTGGTGAAATATAGTCTAACAACTTGCGCATCATGTTTCACAATATGACGAGTTCTATGGTCATTAACGCGTGTATTATTACCGTCCGTTATGTTACGCATTTCATACCCAGGATTTCACAACTCATAGTTTGCCTCCTCGTGTTCCAAGATCTGCAAGATGTAAACCTAGAGGAGCAGGATTAAGAGGAGATGGGAAAGCGATAGTGGAATTGTAACAAGATCGTTGAGTTTCCAACGGGGGGACTGGAGGAACATGTCCGGCTTCCCCTGGCTGTTTTGGCGGGGTTGTGGCTACCATGGTACTTGGAGAGGGGGGGGGGCGGTTTTTCCGGTGGGGGAGTATGGGGCGCCGTTTGTAAAAAAAATGATTTAGCTTAATTTTGTCATTTTTTCGTTATTTATTAAATAAAGTTTTCTGATATGATATCATACGTCAATGATTTGATATAATAAATGTTGATTTCAAATCATGCGTTTATGATTTGATATAATAAATTATTATTTAAAATCATGCGTTTATGATTTGATATAATAAATTCTGATTTCAAATCCTGCCTTTATGATTTGATATAATAAATATTGATTTCAAATCATAAGTTTATGATTTGATATAATAAATCCTGATTTCAAATCATTCGTTTATGATTTGATATAATAAATCCTGATTTCAAATCATAAGTTTATGATTTCATATAATAAGTTCTGATTTTAAATCATAAGTTTATGATTTGATATAATAAATCCTGATTTCAAATCATAAGTATTATGATTTCATATAATAAAAATCATTATTTGATATCAGTAAAACCATGATTTAATTTAATAAGTAATAAGTAACCGCGTGACTTGGCACGTGGGTTACTAGCGCGGGAATAATCGCAAAGATGGCGACACAACCAGATCAGCTATCGAGGTCAATCGCTTCTAGGGTCTCTAGAGCCGTAGAAAGGGCGGTTGACCAAGCTTTGGCATCCCTTCCGAGCCTTCCTGGCAATTCAGGTTTTGCTGCTGCGACACAAGAGGTATGTAACATTGATGTATCGGGGTGGGGGTGGGGGTACTCTCATACATTACCTGTACGGGTATATGTGCCGCCCAACGGGGTCGTGATTTTGAAACTCCTGATTTAGAACGGGGTATCCATTTCAGAGGCGTTTTCTAGAACGGGGTATTAAAAAATTGTGGATCATGGCTTTATCTTCTGCTTAAAATTGTTGCTGATTATGAAGAAGCATCTATTTGATGTATAAGTCGAACAAATAAAGAAATATCTTTTAAAAAAACAGGGCTATTTCAATTTACGAACTTTCTAGAACGGAGTATAGAAAATCGGCCCATTTCTAGAACGGGGTATCAGTTTTAAGGCGAATTCTAGAACGGGATATAAAAAAATTGGCCCATATCTAGAACGGGGTATCAATTTTAGGGGATATTTTTTTTAGAACGGGGTGCCTATTTGGAGTCCCGGGCGGCACATACCCCTCCCCCCCCGAGGATGTATCACTGCTGAAAGCTATGACCATATTTACGAGGAAAGAGGACTTTTGGACCTTTCGCTTGTCTGGCGCATTGCGTGACACGCGCGGCTTACTTTTAGATGTGTTTGCTTCCTTTGTTATGTCCTTTTAGTAGCCATACTAAAATAACATACAGCTAATGATTCTTTCTATTTCACAAAGTGAGGCGACAAGACAGTTCGTCATAGAACAAGAGATCGAGACAAACAAAGGGCTATTTACACCTCAACACCGGGAGGAGAAATTATTAGTTAGTGACATCGGTCCAAGCGTCCTTGGCGAACAAAAATCATTGTACAGGCGTAACATTGAGACTCTGGTTTGGCGACAAATCGCAGTAGCATATATATGTTCGGAAGGGATGCCAAAGCTTGGTCAACCGCCCTTTCTACGGCTCTAGAGACCCTAGAAGCGATTGACCTCGATAGCTGATTTGGTTGTGTCGCCCTTTTTTGCGATTATTCCCGCGGTAGTAACCCACGTGCCAAGTCACGCGGTTACTTATTACTTATTAAATTAAATCATGGTTTTACTGATATCAAATAATGATTTTTATTATATGAAATCATAATACTTATGATTTGAAATCAGGATTTATTATATCAAATCATAAACTTATGATTTAAAATGAGAACTTATTATATGAAATCATAAACTTATGATTTGAAATCAGGATTTATTATATCAAATCATAAACGAATGATTTGAAATCAGGATTTATTATATCAAATCATAAACTTATGATTTGAAATCAATATTTATTATATCAAATCATAAAGGCAGGATTTGAAAAAATAATTTATTATATCAAATCATAAACGTATGATTTTAAATAATAATTTATTATATCAAATCATAAACGCATGATTTGAAATCAACATTTATTATATCAAATCATTGACGTATGATATCATATCAGAAAACTTTATTTAATAAATAACGAAAAAAATGACAAAATTAAGCTATATCATTTTTTTTACAAACGGCGCCCCATAGGGGAGCAGAACATAGTGGGTGTTAATAAAGGCGATGGTAAAGTTACAGTGACTTTGAAACATTAAACTTGAAAAAGACTCTTCCTCAGTAGCAAGGTAGTCTCTCATTGATGTAAATATACGTAGCCCTTTTTAGCAGTATATCCATTGTATCTCTATGCACTAGTAGACTGTATCTGCAAAACCGAAACAAAAACTGCTTTACGCTTCATTTTCGTAGCTTTAGCAAGGCTTATTTTAAATAAACAAACCAAAAATGCCATTTTGGACTTATTACCTAGATGGCATACTTTTACCCCTCCCCCTACCCCCTAACGTTAATCAAGGTGGTGTGATTTTAAGTACATTCATGAATCTCATTTAATCAGGTTTTGTAGATCAGTTTTAAGCACACGTAATGACTAAATGTAAAACAAATCTCAGAGAAATGAATAAAGTAGTAAGTTTCTAAAGAAAGTCTGTGAGGCATTTTCTGAACATAATGGATCATAATAGCGGAAATTTGTTGGTGGGAAAAGATAAAACAGATGGAAAAACCAGTGCTTCTCTACTCCTAGTAGTCTATTACTGTGGGATTGAATGATGAGTTTTTCGGTACAAAATCAGAGTAAATTTATTTATCTCATCACAATTCTTATTATCAAAAGTACCAGACGAAGCGAGGCGGTAATGGTTTACAAAAAGATTAGAATCCTGCATGGTTAGAATTCTAAAGCGTGGTATCCCTATCTGCTCCGAAAAGTCAATATTCCGCTAAACAAAATTCTTTTGAATACGGTTTTGTCGTACTTGTAACCCAAATTAGTTCGTGTAGAGCCGCCCACTCCTCTAAAAACTCCCCGACATTTTTTTAGCGAAGGCCGGGGCGTCTGTACACAGGCTAAACACACTGAAATAAACTAGGCGCAAATAAAATTTAAATATTATAAGAAAGGAAAGGTGATAGCTTTTATCAGCTCATGTTTTAACCCAAACAAAATTCTTTTGAAAAATCTGCTGTCTCTGAGGCTCATAGAGAGGTTGAACTCCCCAAACCCGTTCTCTTGCCAGACACAACAATAACATGTCTGTCGATTTTTGAGTAGAAATCAAATCTGTTGACATCAGAAAATTAGAGAGGATGTTGCCAAAGTTCAGTGGAGTTTTGGAGGAGAACAGAGTGTCGAAAGAAATTGACAGTGGCTTCAAATTGTTCCTGTGTGAAAGATAAAAGCTCTATTTCTCTCATGACTGAAGATTGTAGTCATTGCAAAGGCGCGCTCGGAATTGTTCCTTGGAGAGAATTCCACATGAAAGATTCTCTTCGCTTAGGGCCTGCGTAAATTGCAGACTTTGTTACTTGTTAGGGTGTTCAGGACAGAAAAATAATTTTGTTTTACTAGACTGGTCTCCTTCAGGGTTAGAATTTTAATTTTCTAACCAGCATTCCTGTTGCTTTCATACGGGAGTCATGCACCCTCGCGGGAATTGTTTTGATTCTAATAGATCCTACATTGTTTTTTAGTTTAGCGTGTTCGATTTTCCATTTCAGACAGGGATGTGTCACTCGAAAAGAGGCCGAAATGAATCTATAACTCAGTCGATTTAGAACCATCAAATGTTGTACACACTAGTCGAGGGGGAGGGGTAAAAAAAAACAATAGAAATGCACTCCCCTTCCCCCAGTTTCTATTGTAATTCTTAATTTTTCCTTTGGCTTTGTTTATTGCTTTGTTCACAGTTGCCGGGGAAATTTGGAAAATCGCTCAATTAACTAAGTTAAAAAATTCTGACTCAATATAGCAAAGCTAACTGTTGACTCTCTTGTTTTGTTGTCGTCGTGGTTCTTTCTTTGTAAGGTGGGATTTTCGGTACGAAAAGATTGACATGCACCAGTGCAAATCTAACTTACCCATCCGAGAGAATAATACCAAAAATATCAAAACAGATATGTGACGTTCATCGCCGGAGTAAAAAAAATAAATAATAAAAGATCAAGTCATTCCGAGAATACGTGCCCTAAGAAAGTCTTCAACTCCTTTCATGACCAAACAAAATTCTTTCAAGAAAGGTTTCGTTCCCAAGCTTCGTCAAGGTTGTAAAGCACTCGTAACCAGAAAAGGCTAGTATAAGCGCAAATACAGCACAACTAAAATTTTGTACAAAAATACAGGATCTTAGTAATTTTTATCTACACTTGTTCTGCCCTGAAAAAATTTATTTCAAGGAAAATGTTGTCTCTTAGCCTCATAAACGTTTTGCAGCACCAGTAGGTTAGATAAAGCTCATCTTTCTCCATCGCGGCATAAACAATGAATGTCAGCTTAATATGTAAACAGAAATCAATCTGTTGATATTAGAAAATGAGAAGGTTGCCGAGAGGGTCGAAAGAGAGCTCCAGAGTCATTATTTCTCATTCAGGGCTTTTAGGAAGCACAAGTCCTTTGCTTTGTAACATCAGAATCCGCGTAAACAAATGAACCACCCCAAATCACAACTAAGGTAAGGTAATCTACATACTGCATAGTCTAATATGGACATCCAAGGTACAGCACCAAGTGATATAATAATAAGGCGACACGTTAAATAGAAGATTGCATGATATTGTTAAATTTGATTTCGATCCAACGCAACGTCTTCAAAAGAGGGGGCTATATTGAGCCCCTTCTTTTTTTTTTTGGCACATTCATCATTGTGACGTCGGTGGAATGCAAGACACAGTATTTCCTGAGTCTTTCCTGGGTTTTAAGTCATGCGCCAGTCATGGTAGCAGCAACTATTCACTCATTATGTTCACATTGCTGGTCTCAGAGAATAGAGCACGATCCCACTGATCCGGTTTTTGGAAGGTCACAAGTTTTGAATTTTCTCAGGGACTTGAGATTTTGTGCAACGCTATTGACAAGAGTAAAATTTTCCATTTCCTTCATTTACTACCAACCTGTACGCTCTTGACAATGCTGATCCTAGTAGCATACAGAACGCTTGTAACATATGAAATGAGTTTGCTCTTCACGAGTCTGGCTTCTGTCTCTCCGTAGCTCGTAAGAATGTGCCGGATAAAGAGAGCCAACCCGGTACTTGGAAGATATTAGGTTCGAATCCTGTTGGAGACTCTTAAGGACTTTTTCTTTGTCCTTCACTCATGACATGACGAAAACTACATGACTCCCACAGACTTTCTTCAAAATGTTCACAGTACATTATGTTGTTACTGGCTCGTAGAAACTTGTTAAAGTGCTTATGTGCTCTGGATTTTGTCCCTGATTCGCTCGGATAAAACCGACTTGTTACTGTGGCTTAATTTGCAACAGCTTTGATGTCTTCTACAAAAATACAATTATAAAGGAAATTTATCTTATTCTGCAGTGTACAATAGCTTTAGAATTGTTTCTTTGTTGTCTTGACTTAAATTCGAAATCTGACTTACTTTTCGAATATCTTTTTTGATAGGGTATACATGATGAAAGTATTTTTCATCTTAATTTGCATTACCCCTCCCATTAGTCTTTTACTGATAAGGGAAGACATGCGCCGTTCATCTACTGTAAGTACCAAGGATAATCACGTGCTCAGAGGATACACCATTCACAAACAGCGGACTTATGACCTCCTGTCATGCGCACAATTATGTTTGGCACGGTCAAACTGCATGTCTTTTAATTACGAAAACATTGAAAATGGAGATTGTGAACTAAATAAAGAAGCAACTGATGCGAGTATCCACGGAGCTCTCACCACTCAAAGGGGGTATACCTTTGGACAGTTTGTCAACTTAAGCGTGAGTAGTACTTAATGCTATTATTAAATTCAACCCTCGTTTTGGGATTTCTGTTTTTGATTCCGACTCCAACCCCACCCCGCCCCCCCAAATAACTTAAATTGAATAAATGACCCCTCACGTAAAACACATACACTGATTGAATGCGTTTTGCTTGTTTTCCGCCTTTCCTGGGCAGAGACCTGACCAGTGGGGATGAGCAAGAATACAGCCTGCTAGCAAGCTATGCTCCACCCTACGCAGCAATCTTTCAATCTTTATCTCGATTAGTCCAACTCACCTAGATTGACAAATGTAGGCAAACTCTCCTACGTCCTCCATGAAACGTGAAATTTGGCCCATTTTAACGCCGTAACCGTGCGGTGTCGGCAAAGAAATGTACCAAAAAGCATGATGCATGTGCAGAGTTGTTGGTTTGTTATTAAACCTATTGCTTAATGGTCGTCGCCGTTCTCGTTGCCGTCACCGTCGTCAGATCTTAAGTCCCCAAGGGAAGTAATGTTCAGAAGAGAAATAACACAAAATTGAGCTGCATTTCATATCCTTTTTAGGAGCCAGTATTTTCAGCCGGAGGAAAACACGATGGTAAGATAAGAGCAACGTAGGTGTTAATTTACTGAGTTTGCTTCAGGACTGAGAAGATTTGACCACCAGCCGAGTTATTTAATTTATAACATTTTTTTTCCAGACCATAAATATGTCTTTACGACACTTGACGCCAAAAAAGAAACTGGACCGAGTGATATATCTGGATATGTAGGAACGTCCCTGGAAGGAAAAGTTACTTTAAACAACGGAATCCAAATTTGGACTGTGCCCATGACTGGAACTTACGTTATTGAAGCATCAGGTGGTTCTGGGGGAAATGGTACCTACGGAACACAATCTTATCCGCTTCCTTGGAGGCTTGGTGGCTTAGGTGCAAAGATAATGGGATCTTTCAAGCTTTCCCGAGGAACTCAAATCAAAATCCTAGTCGGACAGGAGGGTGGTGCAACTGTAAGCTTCCCTGATAGACCAGGGGGAGGGGGTGGTGGAACGTTTGTAACCCTGTCTGATAACACTCCACTTATAATTGCCGGAGGGGGAGGGGGAGGAGCAACAGCACGTAACCAATATACCGACGGTGACCCAGGTCAGGCGACAGCGAATGGGACTCAATGTGGAGGAACACGGGGCAGTGGGGGACACGTCTGCAATGCTGACACAGGGAACAGTGATTCTAATTTAAGGTCTGGAGCAGGAGCAGGACTAAGTGGGGATGGGAAAGGCGGTGTTGCATTTGCAACAAAGGCGTTGAGTTTTACCAACGGGGGAACTGGGGGAACATGTCCAGTTTTCCATGGTGGTTTTGGCGGAGGTGGGTTTGCTATGGTTAATGGAGGGGGGGGGGGAGGTTATTCTGGTGGGGGAGTAGTGGGAACTCAAACTAAAGGTACCGCTGGGGGAGGGGGATCAGATAATAACGGTACAGATCAGAAGAACATGGAGGGGGTCAACAAAGGCGATGGTGAAGTTATAATAACTTTGATGCGTTAATGCCATTTACGTTCCTGGTCAGATTTCCATCCAATAGAAAGTGGGCTAGCTTAATGTTTAAGTAAATAAAAGAACTAATGTTAAGGGGGCAAGACACAGGAATTTTTTTTATAAAGCCGAAAAAGTTCAATAACGCACATAAGTACATCACTTAATCGTCCTCTACTTTAATTGCAAAATATATTACTTAAAACCATTCGTCTAAAAATGTGGTACTTTTTATCAACCTTGCAGGTTAAAAAAAATGAGATATACTTTAACATCTAGAGCATCATGTTGCACAAGACGACGAGTTTTATGGTAATTAATGTCTATATTATTACTGACCGCGAGTTACGCATTTCATTCCCGGGATTTCATTATTCATAGTTTGTCTACACAAAGAAATTGATGATGGCTTCGCATTTCTCCTGTTTGCCAGATATAAGCTCTGGTTCCCCATGTTCCAAGACGTAAGCCTAGCAAAGAAAAATCCATATAGACTATTAGGATCACCAACAGCCAAGCCTCCCGTAAGCGACCATCCAAGCAAAATGCGACGATCTAGTGGTCGCTTACGAGAATCGAACCACAAGGGATTCCTTTCTACCAGAGGACCGAACACATCTACATTTTGGGAGAGAATTCACTGCATGTAAACACTAAGTTATGGTATGTGTCGTTTCATGATGTCATATCGCGCACTTTGTTACCATTTTCTTTATTGTTTCGCGCACTTCTCTGTGACGGCCTTTCAAATTTGCCGCCGGCTTTAGGACAAAGTTCCTGTATATGTCGCATCAATCTGGGCGATGCATCGCATTCTCTTAGTAGTGAGGTACATACAACGAACATAGAGATCAAGCTACGCCTTACGTGGTCGCTCTTACTCGCCTGCTTTATGCTCGTACGGAAACGCTTCTTGTGCATTCTAGACCAAGTAAGTCGCTTACGAGAATCGAACTTTAGGGTTTCCCCTCATAGACGAGGTTCGAGGCTGCAACGGTAGTGATTTCACTGGAAAAAGTTTGGTGTTTTGGATCTAAGAGGTCGCTATGGGAGGTGGTCGCTGAGAATAACCTTTGGTTAACAACACCTTTAAGATGAATTTATGGTTACCGCCTGTAATTAGCTATTTCTGTTGTTTGGCGAATTGATAGGTTATTTACTCTGTTCACGTCTTTTTTATTTTTTTCAGACCATAAATATGTCTTTACGACACTGGGTGCCAGACGAGAAACTGGACCGACTGATATATCTGAATATGCAGGAACGTCACTGGAAGAAAAAGTTACTTTAAACAACGGAATCCAAATTTGGACTGTACCCGTGACTGGAACTTACGTTATTGAAGCATCAGGTGCTTCTGGCGGAAATGGTACCGACGGAACACAATCTTATCCGCTTTCTTGGACGCTTGGTGGCTTAGGCGGGAAGATAATAGGATCCTTCAAACTTTCACTAGGAACTCAACTGAAAATCTTGGTTGGACAGGAGGGTAGTACATCTTCAAGCTTTCCTGATAGGCCGGGGGAGGGGGTGGTGGAACGTTTGTAACCCTGTCTGATAACACTCCACTTATAATTGCCGGTGGGGGAGGGGGAGGAGGGGCAGCAAAAGGCCAAATTACAGACGGTGACCCAGGTCAGGCGACAGGGAATGGGACCCAATGTGGGGGACAAGTCTGCAATGCTGACACAGGGAACAGTGATTCTAGTCTAATGTCTGGAGGGGGAGCAGGGCTTTACGGAGATGGGGCAGCCGGAAACTTTTCAAGTTTAAGAGCAGCTTTGAGGTTTGCAAAAGGGGGAAATGGGGGAGTTTGTCCAGTGTCAAATGGTGGCTTTGGAGGGGGTGGGTTTGCTATGGCACTTGGAGGGGGAGGGGCGGATATTCCGGTGGAGGAGTTATGGGAACCCAAAATAAGGGTACCGCTGGGGGAGGGGGGTCATATAATAACGGTGCAAATCAGCAAAACATGGCGGGTCTTAATAAAGGTGATGGTAAAGTTATAATAAGGTTGAAACCTTACGTATAAAGTGTTTAACTAAACCAAGAGAGAATGATAGCTCATTCCGTCTCTCTTGACTAAACTGAATAAGCGGTGAATTTGAAAGAGTCTAAAGTAAAGAATCTTTTCTTGAAACTATAGCCGGACGTTGTTACAACTATTACCTTAACCTGCGATCAGGCGATTTTTTTTTTTTTTTGGCGGAGCAAAAAACCCGCCAAAAAAAAAAAAACAAAAAAAAATCGCCTGATCGCAGGTTACTATTACCTGATTAATAGTCCCCTCAGTTGCTTTGCATCGCCCCACAGTCCGCGAGCGCTTACCATATATTTGTACGGAAATTTCGGTGAAAAATTTCCGTCAAATGGTACTGGTATTTTTTTGGGCACCGAAAACAGGAACGGGATTGAGTTTTACCATTTACAAAATACCGGTAAACTTTTCACTTTCTTTCGACATGAATCCTGGCACTGGTAATCCAAACAAATGGTAGGAAAATTTTGGTCGTTTCGGTAAGAACGGGTAAAAGGTAATACCGAGAAAGGTGTGAACCGTTCCATTTGAATTTTCCGCAGAATTTCCGGCTTTTCCATACAAACGGTAAGCGCTCCGCATATAAGGATTCTTGATTCCACGTTTTGAATTCCGGATTCCTTAAGCTAAATTCCGGATTTCAGGATTTCAAAGTCCAGGATTGCCGATTCCATAAGTAAAAAATTTTTCGGATTCCGAGCGGATTACCTTAAGGTGATGTTACACGAGACGAGTCGCAATGACGATTTTTAGCGCAAAGCGGCGTTGCAATGTTGGAACAATGTAGTACCCATTCGAAACAATGTCGTAACAATGTTGCAACGCTGTGTTGCGCTAAAAATCGTCCTTGCGAATCGTCTCGTGTAACATCACCTTTATATACATGGGGCGACTTGCAGGATCATGTGTCATTTGTATGGCCCTCTCTCTTTATATACTCACTTGTAAAGACGACTCATTAAATTACATATGACCTGTGCCACTATTCCGGTATAAGAAGAGCTTTTGTATGGACAGAAATGACTGAGGACGTCTATCGTCATTGGAAAATTTTACCAATGTCCAGGTCTTCGTATTAGGTCCCTCATAAACAAATACAGCGCAGCTGAAAAAATGTATCTACTTTTAGATGAAGAAATAAAGAAGTTAATTTTTAAAGAAAGTCAGATTGTTCCGTGTCACAAGCTTACACCAAGGCAAGAGAGAATATGCAATGAACAATGTGTATTGCAATTTATAATGAATAGAAGGGAAGGTAAGTGAGTTGGAGTAATCGCGATGAAGGTTGATGAACACTACCATACGGAATAGAAGAATTGCACTTTCTGGATATGTTTTTCGTGACGAGAGCTCTCCAGGCAACAGCTGATAACGTGGAAGATAGCCTGCGTGACAAGCGTTCCCAATCAAGTTATTGCGCGAAAGTTGGAGCGAGAGCAAACGATATGGGTATGATCCTCGTTTTCGCTCTCGTACCTGCCAACTGCCAACTAGGAGAGGTGACTGTTTTCACAGGCATGATTTCTCGTTTTTTTTTTCATATTTGAGAAAATAAAAATAGTCCGCGTAAGTAGATTAGACAAAACAAGACAATACTTTTATTTGGAGTCTGGTAACTAGTACATAAACGTTGAAATTATTTAAAATTACAACTTACTGTTATATCAATATCAATTACACTATAACGAGTTATAATATTTTATTTCATACATATTTTTAACCCGTCACCCGCCACCCGCCACCCGCCACCCACGGAAAAGTCCTGTCGCTCTAGTTCGGTCTCGAAGGTTTTCCGTTTCTTTAAAACATCATTTTTCTCTTCAGCGCTTTTATCTGGGCCATGGACGGTTTCAAACGATTTCGGTACCAAAAAGTGGAAAAAATATCACGATCCAACTTACCTCCTCGAACGCACGCAACAACCTTCTACATACGAATGTTACATACATAAACACAATTCTTAGGGATACTGGTCTTTAGTCCGTTGGAGAAAGTTGTATGAGAGATTGAGCGTTACGGAGTCAGTTTTTATCTCGTCGTATTTTAGGCGTCGACTGGGACTAAGAAGTAATCATTAACAAAGTTAATTGGCCATAGTAGAAAGGTTACCTGACCATGCTTACAGCTCACATTTCAAATGTTCGCTACTTGTTGGAGCAGGTCCAGTATTTTCCCTCTAGGAATGACTAACAATGAAAAGTAAACTTTTTACGATCTGTTTGTGTCGCGGTCAAAAGCAATTTCGATACTCAAGTAATGGGGGGATCTTCGCCCTCGGATGTACCAAGAAGAGGGTGGATGCCACCCCCCTGCGAGGTTTTTCTAAGTTTTTCCTAGACGATCAAACATGAGCACCTGACGTTTTCAGTAGCTGTTCGTTTATCCTTTGCACGCGTTTTGAGGCACATTTTTTGATGATCAGTTACTATGGTTAAGAGATATTGCGTCATCATTACTTCCGTAGGTTGTTAAGCCATTTTTTAGTAAAAATGCACGTTTTTTTAACTTGTTTCAACAATAACAGCATAGCTTGAGGATGCGATGGTGCAAAGTATTTGTTTATGTGTTCCTTTACATGTCAAGCACAAAAAATTACCAATTCTCTCCCTTTTAAACTGATTTCTAATTCTGGGTAAAATCCAAGATGGCGACCATGCTTGGTGACGTCCAGGCTTAGTGCCAACACCCATAAAATATACACTCGACTCCCAATAACCCGAGGCTTCAATGGAAATCGAAAAAGGTTCGAGTTATGGGGAACTCGAAAAAAATAGCCGGGAGTAAGGAAAAAAAAAAGTTTTTACTGCATAGCTATCATAGGAAATAAAAGAGAAAAGCAACAAACAACTCAAACCAAACCCCAAACCAAAAACACTTACTAGAGGACGGAGTTAACTTTAGAGGGGCGAAGGAGAAGTGTTCCCTTTATGTACCATTCCGTCTAGCAAGGAAGAATATTCAACAGCTTTATTCTGGTGTTTTTCTATTTCTTAGGTTATTTTAAGTAGATTTCTTCATATCAGGCGTCTAACCGAGCCGGTCTGGTCTAGTGCTCATATAAGCTTGATGAAAGTTTTGTAGAAACTCGAAAAATACTGAGACCCGACGTAATGCTGCTGAACTCGGTTTTTTTTTCCAGCGGAGGCCCATGTGTAGTTTTAAAAGTCCTGCAAGTGGCCCCTTTAATCGAGATCAGTGATAAACCTAAAAACTTCGCCAAAACTCCTTGAAAATCCTAGTTCGGTTCAATGTTGAGATGTCATTTCGGCGTTTACTGGACAAAAACAACATTGAAAACAGGAGGGGGAAATAAAAGGGAACGAAAATTTCAAAGTGTTTCAAGGTTTTTCGCTGAGACGGAAGCCTCAGTTTCTAGCCGTGGGTGTCTCGATGCGCCTATCATAAACCGAGCTGATCTCAATCGGGGCCGGGTTAAATTAAGATATGAGTTTGTCACGCGTGGCGCATGCGCGCGATGTGGCGTAACATCTTGTTGGGCCAACTCGTACGCCGGGAGACCTGTCCTCTCGCGTTATATTTCAATCATCCTTCCTTGTGATTTTCACTCATTAATGAATATTTACGCACAATATTTCCACATGGTTCACATAACCATTGGCCTAGGACTGGCAAAACAAAAAATCCATTGTATTCAAAATTCTTGTAAATCAATGTTTCATTTCCTAGTTGAGTTGTATTTACGATCTGTTTGTTGATATTCTACACCTCTGACTAACACACAACATCTCGGTGACCTATAAGTCGATCTTACCGCACAATTCCGGCTATAGGCCCTGGGTTATGCCAGTTCGTGAGGGTTTTGAGCAAGCTTATTAAAAATGCACTTTATTTGAGTGTCAATGTATTTAGCCACGAAAGTACTAACTGGGGAAACTATTTTTTAAGTCACCTACTGGAGACGGGACCGCTATTTTACGTGGTCATCCGAGCCACGCAAAGGTCTAGCCGCTTGCAATGCAAAGGGAGTACCTTCATTTCCCAGTTATTTTAAGACCCTGAGTAATGGACCGGCCCCGGGAATCGGGCCCGCGACCTTCCTCTCTGCAGTAATTAAGCGCTCTACCGAGCTAATACTGCCGCGGGAAGGAAGTGGCTTACACCCAACTGGGCTTCAACTGAACGGTAAAAAAAACTGAAATAAGAAAGGCACCATTAGCTGGAAAGTTGTATCAGAAGACACATTCCATGCTTGTTGGGATCTAAAAAATAAGCTGCCATCAAGCACACAAATAAGTCAACAACATGCTTGACTTACAAAGTCAAAAACTGAACCACAATTTTAACTAGAGCATTAAAAAACCGCATGCATCTTTAACAGGGGCGGATCAAGAAAATTCAGAAAGGGGTGACCGGACCACTTAACAACTCTATTCTAAATACCTTTTATTTTTCTGAGACGGAATTCTATAAAAATATTACAAAATTTCAAAGAAACTCAGGGGCGGCCGGAGCCCCCTCGGCCCACCCCTAAATCCTCCCATGTTTAAAACTGATCATAAGACCAACGGTATTGCGATATGTCGATTTTCAGAGAATGAAATAAAATGGAAGGTGATGCATGAGGGAAAATGTCTGATGTGAGGGCGAAGGGGGTCTTAACCGGTAAATAAAAGAAATGAAAGAAATACAATGAGTGGCTGTGAGAAATCACAGACTTGCCAGCTTTAGTCATGTTTTTTTACGGAGCGTCTCGTTGAATTCCTTGCTTTATTGAGTCCAGCACAGGCTGCATGCGTAAATACAACTATTGAACACGGCCGCGGATATAATTTAGCCACGTTGCCTTTTGAGGAAGTTGCACGGCAACCGGTCTGGTCCTTCTTTGCTTTCTTCCTCGACAAAGCCTTTCTTCCTTTTTTCAATTTTTAGAGTAATTTCATCAAGGGATGTTTTTCTACTTATTTAGCGTAACGTCAGTTCTGAGAAACAACCAAAAAATATTCAGTAGGAGTACAGGTCAATTTTGACAGCTTTTTAGCAACAGAGTGCTCATAAGTTTTAATTCCCGAAGGAACACGTTTACATTTTGCTTTTTTCATGAACAGATGGCTTTGAACAAACATTGAACGTTGTTAACGTTCGTAATTACACCAACTGATAATCATCCACCAAGATCTACCCTTTGTTTTATGAAATAACTTGGTAAAAGCATATAAGATGCCTTTATTGCTGCCACTGAAATACAACCATTCATAATTAGCTGACTATAACAGACATGAGGTTTTATATTTGACTAACATTTTGTGCAATCGTTTGTTAATATCAATCAATTATTTTCATCACATCTGATACGGAAAATGTTTCCTCGGCTCGTATAAATTAAAAAGCAGTAGTCATTATTCGCCTCACCTGAACCAAATGCTTGCACTTACTATTCGGCTTAATAGATTAAACAAGTCCCACGCGTGAATATCACATGATTTTCAAAGTACATTTTTGTTATTTCTATCTTTAAATTGTTATAATAATTTTAAAAGATACGGAAGAACTTTTTAAAAATTGGGTGAGAAACATCATTTCAATAATCACCCTTGAATAATGCACACAGCCAAAATTTACTTCACATTTAATTTACTTTGCAAGCAACGCTTTCAGTTCAGTAAATGGCAGCAATCGTATCAGCAGCTGCCAGACGCCAGGAAAAAGAACTTCCCGTGTTGTAGCGAAAATTTTGCTTTCAATTAGAACAGCTCGTATTGAACGGAGTCTTAAAGAGATCAGCATTCAATATGTCGTCAATCTCATGGTAAGTCATAAAATAACCTTTTTTTGTAATCAAAATATAGTTTAGTCACAACTATATTGTTAAGTCAGTACGGGCTGTGGCAATAAAAGTGGAGCCGAAGAACACATATTTCACCTGACGGAGGAGGCCATGCAGATGCACATAACGTGTTTTTCTTTTGCTATCGCAATCTCTTTCGTTCGGCAATAAATAGACCAGTTGTTAGCTCCGAACTGAGAAAAGGTCATAACTGGGCCCGAGTTGGTGCTGTTCAGACTGGTTAAACCGATTCGTCCCAATCCAGCCCTTAGTGTAGCGTCATTTTTGCAAACTGCGCGCTAGCTGGGATGAAAACTCGACGGATTTTAAGAGAAAAAGCAGGTTGCAAGCACCACTGAGCTCCGGCAGTCCCACGTGAGAACCGTTTTATCCAATAAAAGTTCATTTTGGGGAAAAGTTAACATTGAATACTGTAAATCATCATTGAAAGAGAAAAACGTCGTAGCAAACTTAGTTCTATTTCTCAGTTCGATGAAGAATATTGTCCCTGCTCTTCAATTTATTTAAAAAAAAATAAGTTCTTATTTTTTTTGTTTTATTTTCCAAAAATATAGCTCTGTAGGGCGATAGGAAGTAAGCGAAATATATGAGCATGGTCAAATGATATGCAATAGACACAACAGAAACCTTTAGATTCGAGCATGACTACGAAAAGCAGATTGGACTTAATTATTTTCGCGTATTTTCAAAAAATAAGCATCCCTGAAAGCTTTCAGAAAAGGAAAGGTAGAAAAGTTATCGTGGTTTTATTTTGTTTTTAACTTCAATTTGTTTTTCTATTCTTTTTGAATTTTAAATTCAACAGTTGCTATATTTTTTTCGTAGGAAATTCCTGATCTTAGGGCTACTTTTTGCTTTAACGACTTTCATCACCCCTGTTGGGTTGCTACTGATACGGACTGACATGCGTCGCTCGTCTACTGTGAACACAACAGAAGATCACGTGCTGAGAGGTCACACCATTCACAAACAACAGACTTATGACTTCCTGTCATGCGCACAGCTATGCTTGGCACGCATAATATGCATGTCGTTTAATTACCAAAACATCGAAAATGGAGATTGTGAACTAAATAAAGAAGCAACTGATGCGAGTATCCAAGGAGCTCTCACCACTCAAAGAGGGTATACCTTTGGACAGTTTGTCAACTTAAGCGTGAGTAGTACTTAACGCTATTATTAAATTCAACCCTCGTTTTGGGATTTCTGTTTTTGATTCCCTCCAACCCCACCCCAACCCCCAAAAAAAAACAAAATTACCAAAACATCGAAAATGGAGTTTGCGAGTTGGACAGAGAAGTTTCACATGCAAGCATTGTAGTCGCACTCACCGCTCGAAGAGGGTATACTTTTGGACAGTTCGTGGACACAACTTAAAAAAAAATTCATTAACTTCACTGTTTAATACATTCTTTTGTCAGCCAGACTCGGTTGAAATAAGTTTTCTTAACAAAGAAATGAATACGGAACTCTATTAAAACACATCAAACTGTTCATCATATCTTTCATATGTCAAACCTGACTGTGCAGCATCTTCTTTATATGACACTTTGCTAGTCAGCAATATAACTTAAAATGGGCACGCCCGATTAAGTACATCACCCTCCCTTAAAACTTAGCCTCAACACCTTGATGGTGTTTAGCAAAAGAAATGAATAAGAAACATGATCTTAATGCCTCGATTTTTTTCAGAACGTACAAACGTTTCGCTCTTTGGGCTTATTGGTTTTATGCCACATCGACCCTCTCCCCCTCCCCTTCAAAAAAACCTAAGTTGCTCTTCCACGCAAGTAGAGAAAAGAAAGTACATTGCAAGCCTAACGTTTCAAAAAGATATTACAAATATACATGGTCCTTTCTATATCTACATTCTTTCACAAGCAAGTTGAAATTTATATTCACAGTTGATGCACATGCAGATAGGGTGTGGAGCTTGAGCGAGGAGCTCTGGGACTTATTCCCCCCCAAAAAGGGAGTAAAAGTTCTCAGGAGTAGCAATTTTTGTGAGCAAAGTTAATTTGAACAATACGTTCAAAAAATGAGAAAGTACAAGAGCCTAGCTTAGGCAAATTCACAAATTATAGCACACGTCCTCTATAAATGGTATACGGTCTCGTCGCATATGCTATCTGAAAACTTTAAAAGGAATAGCTGTATAGAAGTAAGAAAATAACAAGTACAGATTTAGCATTGTACTCCTAGCGTTGGACATTTCTTTAGTCTACAAATTGACCTGGACTTCCTTGTTCATTTTAGGGGCCTGATATTTCAGCCGGCGGAGAACGAAATGGTGAGTTAACAGACAAGCAGATGATGGTTTACTTGGTCCCAGTTGTTTAGTAGTAATTAGATTGACCTCCTTTAACTCTTCCTTTGTCCTAGACACGTTAGTGATTATTCACCTTTTCTCTAATTACTTCAGACCATAAATACGTCTTTACGACACTGGGTGCCAGAGGAGAAACTGGACCGACTGATATATATGGATATGCTGGAACGTCCCTGGAAGGAAAAGTTACTTTAAACAACGGAATCCAAATTTGGACAGTACCTGTGACTGGAACTTACCTTATTGAAGCAACAGGTGGTTCTGGAGGAAATGGTACAGATGGAACACAATCTTATCCGCTTTCTTGGACGCTTGGTGGCTTAGGCGCAAAGATAATAGGATCCTTCAAACTTTCCCGGGGAAGTCAAATTAAAATCCTAATCGGACAGGAGGGTGGTGCAACTATGGACTACACAGATAGACCAGGGGGAGGGGGTGGTGGAACGTTTGTAACCCTGTCCGATGACACTCCACTTATAATTGCCGGTGGAGGAGGAGGAGGAGGAACAGCACGTAACCAATTTACCGACGGTGACCCAGGTCAGGCGACAGCGAATGGGACTCAGTGTGGAGGAGCAGGGGGCAGTGGGGGACAAGTCTGCAATGCTGACACGGGGAACAGCGATTCTAGTTTAATGGCCAGCGGAGGATCAGGATTAACAGGGGATGGGAAAAGCGGTATTGGAATTGTAACAGGATCGTTGAGTTTCTCTAACGGGGGAACTGGGGGAACATGTCCGACTTCCCGTGGTGGTTTTGGCGGGGGTGGGGCTTCCATGGTACTTGGAGGGGGAGGGGGTGGTTATTCTGGTGGGGGAGTAGTGGGAACTCTAACTAAAGGTACCGCTGGGGGAGGGGGATCATATAATGCTGGTACAGATCAGAAGAACATGGCGGGGGTCAACAAAGGCGATGGTGAAGTTATAATAACTTTGATACGTTAATGTTATTTACGTTCCTCGTCAGAGTTCCAACCCAAAGAAAATGGGGCTAGCTTAATGTTCAAGTAGATCAAAGAACTTATGTTAGGACGGTAAGACAGGAATTAGAGTTGGAAAAATTCAATAATGCTCGTAAGTGTCACTTAATCTTCCTGTACTTTAATGAAGAAAAATACATGTTACTTTCAACCTATTCTTCGTCTAAAACAACTGTAATTTTATCAACCCTTTGGTGAAATATAGTCTTTCAACTTGCGCATCATGTTTCACAATACGACGAGTTCTATGGTCATTAACGCCTGTATTATTGCTGTCCGTTATGTTACGTATTTTATTCCCAAGATTTCAGTACTCATAGTTTGCCTAGACAAAGAAATTGACGATGGCTTCACATTTCTCCTGTTTGCCAGATATAAGCTCTGGTTCCTCGTGTTCCAAGATGCGCAAGATGTAAGCCTAGAGGAACAGGATTAAGAGGAGATGGGAAAGCGATAGTGGAATTGTAACAAGATCGTTGAGTTTCCAACGGGGGGACTGGGGGAACATGTCCGGCTTCCCCTGGGTGTTTTGGCGGGGTTGTGGCTACCATTGTACTTCGGGGGCGGGGGCGGTTTTTCCGGTGGGGGAGCAGAACATAGCGGGTGTTAATAAAGGCGATGGTAAAGTTACAGTAACTTTGAAACATTAAACTTAAAAAAGACTCTTCCTCAGTAGCAAGGTAGTCTCTCATTGATGTAAATATACGTAGCCCTTTTCTAGCAGCATATCCATTGTCTCTCTATTCACCAGTAGACTGTACCTGCGAAACCGAAACAAAAACTGCTTTACGCTTCATGTTTGTAGCTTTAGCAAGGCGTAATTTAAATAATCAAACCAAAAATGCCATTTTGGACTCATTACCTAGACGGCATACTTTTATCCCTCCCCCCTAACGATAATCAAGGTGGTGCGATTTCAAGTACATTCATGAGTTTTAAAAGTAATCTCATTTAATCAGGTTTTGTAGATTAGTTTTAAGCACACATAATGACTAAACGTAAAACAAATCTCAGAGAAATGAATAAAGTAGTAAGTTTCTAAAGAAAGTCTCTGAGGCATTTTCTGAACATATATAATGAATCATACGCGGCATAGTAAATCGAACCCAATCGAACTAAATTTCAATCGAACTAAATCGAACTCAATCGAACTCAATCGGTGGATTGAGTTCGATTGAGTTCGGCAATCGAACGAAATCGAACTCACCGAAAAGAAAAAAAATCAATCGAACCCAATCGAACGTTCGATTTTCGAACTCGTGGTTTATGTAAAACAGACGTTGAAAATCCATTACCAGATCTTAGAAGCTCGAGCTACTTCAGCCCTGAGTGTAGCGCACGTGTTTTTCGTAAACGAAGAAATTCCGCAGAAATGGCTTCAGATGTGTTGTGGATCGTAAGCTTCAAATGTATAGTCAAAGGCTACTAGGAATGCCGCTTTGATGTCAAGGATGGCGAAGTTTTCAGGGTTTTAAAGAAAATAGGCGAGAAAGGCCGTGCCTTAATTCCGAATTGCAAACGAGCGCGGACAATTAGGTCACCTTCAACGTGAACTGGTTGCTTCCCTGTGGCCTGTAAATGCTTCGATAACTTGGTAAGTGAAGATGTTTGTAAGGGATTCGCGAATATATTAATTTGCCTCAAGCAACCCTTATGAAAAACAGGGGAAGCAAAACTTATGTATACTTTTCACCTTTAGTAGGGTCTGTAGGCCACCATTTGATGATCCTAAAGGTCGCTGCCAAAGAGGAGGTGGTATCAATGTCCCAATTATCCTAAAGTTTTCAACAAGGCGAGCCGAAGCATTGAATGTATGCTGTCAAGGAACTCGTGAATAAATAGTAAAAAAAGCGCAAGAAAAACTTGCTTTGACGGGCTTGTTTTGGGCTTGCTTTGTATAGGTTCACCAGAGCCAATCGAACTCAATCCATTTAATTGTGTTCGATTGAGTTCGGTTTCCGAACTCAATCGAACACAATCAGATGGATTGAGTTCGATTAAGTTCGATTTGTTCGATTGAATTCGATTTGTTCGGAAATCGAACTCACTGAAAGTGTGGTGTTCGATTTCGTTCGATTGCCGAACTCCATCGAACTCAATCCACGGATTGAGTTCGATTGAGTTCGATTGAGTTCGATTTTCGAACGTTCGATTTACTATGCCGGGATCATAATAGCGGAAATTTGTCGGCGGGAGAAGATAAAATAGATGGAAAAACCATAGTAGTCTATTACTGTGGAATTGCATGATGAGTTTTCGGTACAAAATCAAAGTAAATTTATTTATCTCATCACAATTCTTATTATCAAAAGTACTAGACGAAGCGAGGCGGTAATGGTTAAAAAAAGGATTAGAATCCTGCATAGTTAGAATTCTAACACGTCGTATCCCTATCTGCTCCGAAAAGTCTTGTCATACTTGTAACCCAAATTAGTCCGTGTACAGCCGCCCCCTCCTCTAGAAACTCCCCGACATTTTTTTAGCGAAAGAGGCGTCTGTACACAGGCTAAACACACTGAAATAAACTAGGCGCAATAAAACTTAAATATTATAAGAAAGGAAAGGTGATAGCTTTTATCAGCACCTGTTTTAACCTAAACAAAATTCTTTTGAAAAATCTGCTATCTCTGAGGCTCATAGAGAGGTTGAAATCCCTAAACCCGTTCTCTTGCCAGACACAACAATAAAATGTCTGTGGAGTTTTAATAGAAATCAAATCTGTTGACATCAGAAAATTAGAGAAGATGTTGCAAAGTTCAGTGTAGGTTCGGAGGAGAACGGAGTGTCGAAAGAAATTGACGGTGGCTTCAAATTTTTTCCTGTGTGAAAGATAAAAGCTCTATTTCGCTCATGACTGAAGTTTATAGTCCTTGCAAAGGCGCGCGCGGAATTGTTCCTTGGAGAGACTTCCTCATGAAAGATGCTCTTCGCCTAGGGCCGGCGTAAATTGCAGACTTTGTTACTTATTAGGTAAATCAGAACAGAAAAATAATTTTGTTTTACTAGACTGGTCTCCTTCAGGGTTAAAATTTCATTTTCTACCGATCATTCCTGTTGCTTTCATACGGGAGTCACCCACGCAGGAATTGTTTTGATTCTAATAGATCCTACATTGTTTTGTAGTTTAGCGTGTTCGATTTTCCATTTCAGACAGGGATGTGTCACTCTAAAAGAGGCCGAAATGAATCTATAAATCAATCGATTTGGAGCCATCAAATGTTGTACACACTAGTCGAGGGGGAGGGGTAGAAAAAACAATAGAAATGCGCCCCTCCCCCAGTTTCTATTGTAATTCTTAATTTTTCCATTGGCTTTGTTTATTGCTTTGTTCACAGTTGCCGGGGAAATTTGGAAAATCACCCAATTAACTACAGTTAAAAAATTCTGACTCAATATAGCAAAGCTAACTGTTGACTCTCTTCTTGTTCTGTTGTCGTCGTGGTTCTTTCTTTGTACAGGTGGGGTTTTCGGTACGAACAGATTGAATTGCACCAGTGAAAATGTAAGTTACCCATCCGAGAGAATAATACCAAAAATATCAAAACAGATATGTAACGTTCATCGCCGGAGTAAAAAAAATAAAAAAATAAAAGATTAAGTCATTCCGAGAATACGTGCCCTAAACTAGAGTCTACAAATCATTTCATGACCCCAAAAAATTCTTTCAAGAAAGGTTTCGTTCCTAAGCTTCGTGAAGGTTGTAAAGCACTCATAACCAGAAAAAGCTAAGAGCAAATACAGCACAACTAAAATTTTGTACAAAAATACAGGATCTCAGTAATTTTTATCTACACTTGTTCTTCCCTGAAAAAAGTTTTTGAAGGAAAATGTTGTCTCTTAGCCTCATAAACGTTTTGCAGCTCCAGTAGGTTAGATAAAGCTTATCTTTCTCCATCCCGGCATAAACAATGAATGTCAGCTTGATATGTAAACAGAAATCAATCTGTTGATATTAGAAAATGAGAAGGTTGCCGAGAGGGTCAAACGAGAGCTCCAGAGTCATTATTTCTCATTCAGGGCTGTTAGGAAGCACAAGTCTTTTGCTTCGTATCATCAGAATCCGCGTAAACAAATGAACCACCACAAATCACAAGTAAGGTAAGGTAATCTATATACTGGATAGTCTAATATGGACATCCAAGGTACAGCACCAAGTCATATGATAATAAGGCGACACGTTAAATAGAAGATTGCATGATATATATTGTTAAATTTGATTTCGATCCAATGCAACGTCTTCAAAAGAGGGGGCTATATTGAGCCCCTTCTTATTTTTTGGCACATTCATCACTGTGACATCGGTGGAATGCAAGACACAGCATTTCCTGAGTCTTTCCTGGGTTTTAAGTCATGCGCCAGTCATGGTAGCAGCAACTATTCATTCATTATGTTCACATTGCTGTTCTCAGAGAATAGAGCACGAACCTACTGATCTGGTCTTTGGAAGGTCACAAGTTTAAATTTTGTCAGGGACTTGAGATTTTGCCCAACGCTATTGACAAGAGTTCAATTTTCCATTTCCTTCATTTATTACCAAACTTTACGCTCTTGACAATGCTGATCCTAGTAGTGTGCTCTTCACGAGTCTGGCTTCAGTCTATCCGTAGCTCGTAAGAATGCGCCGGGGAAAGAGAGCCAGCCGGTAATTGGAAGATATTAGGTTCGAATCCAGTTGGAGACTCAAGAAATTTTCTTTGTCCTTCACTCATGACATGACGAAAACTACATGACTTCCACAGACTTTCTTCACAGTAAATTATGTTGTTACTGGCTCGTAGAAACTTGTTAAAGTGCTTATGTGCTGTGGATTTTGCCCCTGATTCGCTCGGCTAAAACCGACTTGATACTGTGGCTTAATTTGCAACAGCTTTGATGTCTTCTACAAAAATACAACCATAAGGGAAATTTATCTTTATCAGTGCAGTTCACAATAGCTCTAGAATTGTTTCTTTGTTGTTTTTCCTTAAATTTGAAATCTAACTTACTTTTCGAATATCTTTTTCGATAGGGTATACACGATGGAAGTACTTTTCATCTTGATTTACATTACCCCTCCAGTTAGTTTTTTACTGATAAGGGAAGACATGCGCAGATCATCTACTGTAAGTACCAAGGATAATCACGTGCTCAGAGGATACACCATTCACAAACAGCGGACTTATGACCTCCTGTCATGCGCACAATTATGTCTGGCACGGTCAAACTGCATGTCTTTTAACTATGAAAACATCGAAAATGGAGATTGTGAACTAAATAAAGAAGCAACTGATGTGAGTATCCACGGAGCTCTCACCACTCGAAGGGGGTATACCTTTGGACAGTTTGTCAACTTAAGCGTGAGTAGTACTTAATGCTATTATTAAATTCAACCCTAGTTTTGGGATTTCTGTTTTGGATTCCCTCCAACCCCACCCCCAAGCCCCCCCACCCCACCCCCAAAAACTTAAATTACATAAATGATCCCTTATGTAAAACACATACACTGATTGAAGAGGTTTTGCTTGTTTTCCGACTTTCCTGGGCACAGACCTGTCTGGTGGGGATGAGCAAGAATACAGCCTGGTAGCAAGCTATGCTCCATCTCGATTAGTCCAACTCACTTACTTTCTCAAATGTAGGCAAACTCTCCTGGAGTTGAAGTCCTGAGAACAATATCCATGTTAAGAAGGGGAAAGAAAATTTGGTCGTCGTTTGTTTAATACGTCCTCCATGAAACGTGAAATTTGGCCCATTTTAACGTCGTAATCGTGCGGTGGTGGCAAAGAAATGTACAAAAAAGCATGATGCATGTGCAGAGTTGTTGGTTTGCTTATTAAACCTATTGCTTAATGGTCGTCGCCGTTCTCGTTGCCGTCACCGTCGTCAGATCTTAAGTCTCCCAGGGAAGTAACGTTCAGAAGAGAAATAACACAAAATTGAGCTGCATTTTATATCCTTTTTAGGAGCCAATATTTTCAGCCGGAGGAAAACATGATGGTAAGATAAGAGCAACGTAGGTGTTAATTTACTGAGTTTGCTTCAAGACTGAGAAGATTTGACCACCAGCCGAGTTATTTAATTTATAACATTTTTCTTTTCAGACCATAAATGTGTCTTTACGACACTTGGCGCCAAAAAAGAAACTGGACCGAGTGATATATCTGGATATGTAGGAACGTCCCTGGAAGGAAAAGTTACTGTAAACAACGAAATCCAAATTTGGACTGTGCCCATGACTGGAACTTACGTTATTGAAGCATCAGGTGGTTCTGGCGGAAATGGTACCGACGGAACACAATCTTATCCGCTTCCTTGGAGACTTGGTGGCTTAGGTGCAAAGATAATAGGACCTTTCAAGCTTTCCCGAGGAACTCAAATCAAAATCCTAGTCGGACAGGAGGGTGGTGCAACTGTAAGCGTCCCTGATAGACCAGGGGGAGGGGGTGGTGGAACGTTTGTAACCCTGTCTGATAACACTCCACTTATAATTGCCGGAGGGGGAGGGGGAGGAGCAACAGCACGTAACCAATATACCGACGGTGACCCAATGGGACTCAATGTGGAGGAACAGGGGGCAGTGGGGGACAACTCTGCAATGCTGACACGGGGAACAGTGATTCTAGTTTAAGGTCTGGAGCAGGAGCAGGACTAAGTGGGGATGGGAAAGGCGGTGTTGCATTTGCAACAAGGGCGTTGAGTTTTACCAACGGGGGAACTGGGGGAACATGTCCAGTTTCCCATGGTGGTTTTGGCGGAGGTGGGTTTGCTATGGTTAATGGAGGGGGAGGGGGAGGTTATTCTGGTGGGGGAGTGGTGGGAACTCAAACTAAAGGTACCGCTGGGGGAGGCGGATCATATAATAACGGTACAGATCAGAAGAACATGGAGGGGGTCAACAAAGGCGATGGTGAAGTTATAATAACTTTGATGCATTAATGACATTTACGTTCCTCGTCAGAGTTCCATCCAATAGAAAGTGGGCTAGCTTAATGTTTAAGTAAATAAAAGAACTAATGTTAAGGGGGCAAGACACAGGAATTTTTTTTATAAAGCCGAAAAAGTTCAATAACGCACATAAGTCCATCACTTAATCGTCCTCTACTTTAATTGCAAAATATATTACTTAAAACCATTCGTCTAAAAATGTAGTACTTTTTATCAACCCTTGCAGGTTAAAAAAAATGAGATATACTTTAACATCTAGAGCATCATGTTGCACAAGACGACGAGTTTTATGGTAATTAATGTCTGTATTATTACTGACCGCGAGTTACGCATTTCATTCCCGGGATTTCATTATTCATAGTTTGTCTACACAAAGAAATTGATGATGGCTTCGCATTTCTCCTGTTTGCCAGATATAAGCTCTGGTTCCCCGTGTTCCAAGATGTAAGCCTAGCAAAGAAAAATCCATATAGACTATTAGGATCACCAACAGCCAAACCTCCCGTAAGCGACCATCCAAAATGCGAACATCTAGTGGTCGCTTGCGAGAATCGAACCACAAGGAATTCCTTCCTAGAAAAGGACCGAACACATTTACATTTTTGGAAAGAATTCACTGCATGTAATCACTAAGTTATGGTATGTATAGTTTCATGATGTCACCAAAAGCACTCATTTCGCGCACTGTTTCGCCCATATCGCGTCACTTCTCTGTGACGGCCTTTCAAATTTGCCGCCGGCTTTAGGACAAAGTTCCTGTATATGTCGCATCAATCTGGGCGATGCATCGCATTCTCTTAGTAGTGAGGTACATACAACGAACATAGAGATCAAGCTACGCCTTACGTGGTCGCTCTTACTCGCCTGCTTTATGCTCGTACGGAAACGCTTCTTGTGCATTCTAGACCAAGTAAGTCGCTTACGAGAATCGAACTTCAGGGTTTCCCCTCATAGACGAGGTTCGAATACGTAAGAGAATTCGTTGTATGCGACTTCCAAGTAACGATATGTGTAGTTTCATGTTGTCACAACAAGTTCTTCGCACACCCTGAGTATTGTACTGCATACAGCAAACATAGACATCAAACCATGGCTCAAGTGGTCGTTTACAGGTGGATAAAAACAATGAAATATTTTTAGGTCGTCATCCAAAAAGGCTGGAGCGATCGCTTACGAGAGGTGGTAGTTTACGAGAGGCTGCAACGGTAGTGATTTCACTGGAAAAAGTTTGGTGTTTTGGATCTAAGAGGTCGCTATGGGAGGTGGTCGCTGAGAATAACCTTTGGTTAACAACACCTTTAAGATGAATTTATGGTTACCGCCTGTGATTAGCTATTTCTGTTGTTTGGCGAATTGATAGGTTATTTACTCTGTTCACGTCTTTTTGATTTTTTTCAGACCATAAATATGTCTTTACGACACTGGGCGCCAGACGAGAAACTGGACCGACTAATATATCTGAATATGCAGGAACGTCACTGGAATCCAAATTTGGACTGTGCCCGTGACTGGAACTTACGTTATTGAAGCATCAGGTGCTTCTGGCGGAAATGGTACCGACGGAACACAATCTTATCCGCTTTCTTGGACGCTTGGTGGCTTAGGCGCGAAGATAATTCAAACTTTCACTAGGAACTGAACTGAAAATCTTGGTTGGACAGGAGGGTAGTACATCTTCAAGCTTTCCTGATAGGCCAGGGGGAGGGGGTGGTGGAACTTTTGTAACCCTGTCTGATAACACTCCGCTTATAATTGCCGGTGGGGAGGGGAGGAGGGGCAGCAAAAGGCCAAATTACAGACGGTGACCCAGGTCAGGCGACAGGAATGGGACCCAATGTGGGGGACAAGTCTGCAATGCTGACACAGGGAACAGTGATTCTAGTCTAATGTCTGGAGGGGGAGCAGGGCTTTACGGAGATGGGGCAGCCGGAAACTTTTCAATTTTAAGAGCAGCTTTGAGGTTTGCAAAAGGGGGAAATGGAGGAGTTTGTCCAGTGTCAAATGGTGGCTTTGGAGGGGGTGGGTTTGCTATGGCACTTGGAGCACTTGGAGGGGAGGGGCGGATATTCCGGTGGAGGAGTTATGGGAACCCAAAATAAGGGTACCGCTGGGGGAGGGGGGTCATATAATAACGGTGCAAATCAGCAAAACATGGCGGGTGTTAATAAAGGTGATGGTAAAGTTATAATAAGGTTGAAACCTTACGTATAAAGTGTTTAACTAAACCAAGAGAGAATGATAGCTCATTCCGTCTCTCTTGACTAAACTGAATAAGCGGTGAATTTGAAAGAGACTAAAGTAAAGAATCTTTTCTTGAAACTATAGCCGGAAGTTGTTACAACTATTTCCTGATTAATAGTCCCCTTAGTTGCTTTGCATCGCCCCACAGTCCGTGAGCGCTTACCATATATTTGTACGGAAATTTCGGTGAAAAATTTCCGTCAAATGGTACTGGTATTTTTTTTGGACCGAAAACAGGAACGGGATTCCATTTACAAAATACCGGTAAACTTTTCACTTTCTTTCGACATGAAGCCCGGCACTGGTAATCCAAACAATGGTAGGAAAATTTCGGTCGTTTCGGTAGGAACGGGTAAAAGGTAATACCGCGAAAGGTATGAACCGTTCCATTTGAATTCTCCCCGGAATTTCCGGGTTTTCCATACACATGGTAAGTGCTCCGTATATAAGGATTCTTGATTCCACGTTGTGGAGGCCGGATCCCAGGTGGTACGGCTAGGAAGAACAATTGCCTTCCATCAAGTATTTTTCAGCAGGGTAGGCTGGCTTTGGGCAAATGATGTATCGGTGCCCAGAAAGGTCACCTCCGGACTCCCGGAATTGATTTTTTTTGTACAGTGCTCAGGCCCCATTTTCCTGGCAGCGCGTTGATCTGGCCCGGCTACTTCGGCGAGCATATTCTCGGTCTGTTTGGATTATATCCTTCGAGTTTGTCAAAGTCTGTGGGATTCGTTTCTCTATCTGGGAAAGCTTCATTGGTTTCTATATCTGCTGCTATCCTATTTCTACGATCCTGGCATGTTTATTTTCCGTTGGAGTTCGAATTTCGTGGAAAAAGTTGTGTTGAATGAGAGCGTGTCGGCGAAAATGGCATCTCGTGTTTCCTACCTTGTATATTATTATTGTATACAGAGTGAATTTGAACAAATTACTGCAAATTATCACGAAACTTCGTTGGAGCAATAAGGACAACAACAATTAACTGCAGAGTAAGTTTCATTGATCTTTATTTAGTATTTCCTAGAAATTTTAGGATGGTATTTTTACCCCATACAAACACTGTAATTTTACTGGGACCGTACTGTGGTACTATCACAGAGCCTGGGTTACCTGTGGCCAATCAATAATGTTTACTGCAATTTATAATAAATAGAAGGAAATGTAAGTGAGTTGAAGTAATCGCGATGAAGGTTGATGAACAATACCACACGGAATAGAAGAATTGCACTTTCTTGGTATGTTCGTGATGAGAGCTCTCCAGGTAACAGCTGATAACATGGAAGATAGCCTGCGTAACAAGCGTTTCCAATCAAGTTATTGCGCGAAAGTTGGAGCGAGAGCAAAATTTGAAAAATAAAAAAAAAACGAAATAAGAAGGCACCTATAGCTGAGAATTTGTATCAGAAGACACATTCCATGCTTGTTGGGATTTAAAAAGCTGCCATAAAACACACAAATAAGTCAACAACGTGCTTGACTCACAAAGTCAAAGATTAAACTACAATTTTAACTAGAGCATTAAAAAACCGCATCTTTAAAAACTGATCCTTAGAGCAACAGTGTTACGATTTGTCGATTTTCAGAGAAAGAAATAAAAAGGAAGGCGATGCGCGAGGGAAAATGTCTGATGTGAGGGGGAAGGGGATCTTATAACCGAGTGGGTTGGGCTGGGTCTGTAACCGGAATTATATAATATATACATTCAGTCATGTTTTAAATTTTAAAATTTTACTTAAACCGGTAAATAAATGCAGTGAAACAAATACGATGGGATAGCTTTGCTTTGCTTTATCACTCCCTGATTCCGGCACAAGCTGGCGTAGTAAATGCAACTATTGAACACGGCAGCGAATATAATTTAGCCACGTGGCCTTTTGAGTGAGTGGTAAGCTGAACCTGTCTAGTCCTGTTTTGTTTTCTTTCTTTCTTTCTTCCTTCTTTAAATTTTGGAGTATAGACTTTTGCGTTATTACAAGCAGATTAATTTCATCAAGGTATGATTTTCTATTTCTTTAGCGTAAGGTAAATTGAATTCATTTCCGAGGAACAGCCCAAAAAAATATTCAGTAGGAGTACAGATCAGTACAGATCAATTTTGACAGCTTTTTAGCATCCAACACAGTACTTCTACATTTTAATTCCGAAGCAACACGTTTATTTTTTGCTTTTCTCATGAACAGATGACTATGAACAAATATACTGAACCTTGTTAACGTTAGTAATTACAACAGCTGATAATAGTTCGCCTTAAGTTGAAAAACTTGGTAAAAGCATATGAGATGCCATTATTGCTGCATTGAAATACAACAATACGTAATTAGCTGACTGTATAACAGACATGAGGTTTTAAATTTAACTGACATTTTGTGCAATCGTTTGTTAATGGGCTATTGCATTTAATATCCGCCCCCCCCCCACCCGGTTGAGGAACCACGGAATTCTCCAGGGGTAAGTTATAAAAATTGAGGATTTCTTCAGGGGTAGAGAAAAAAAATATGGAATTCATTAGGGGTGAGGCTTCAATTTTTACGAAATTCTTCAGGGCTAAAGCCATATTCTTCAGGGGTAAGCCCATATTTTATGGACGTCTTTCGGGGGCAAATGCAATTTTGGCCAATCTTCAGGGGTAAGAAGAAAGGGCAAGTCCTCAACCGGGGGGAAGGTACGGATACTAAATGCAATAGCCCAATATCAATCAGTTATTTTCACTGACATCTGATAAGAAAAATGTTTTCTCGGCTCTTATAAATTAAAAAGCAGTAGTCATTATTCGCCTCGCATGAGCCAAATGCGTGCACTTACTATTTCTTATTAGATCGAGACACAAGTCCCACGGGATTATAGCATAGCCAGAATATTTGCCTAATCAAATTCAGTATTGCGAGCGTGCTTCATAGCCATTAAGCACGCTGATGACGTCAATAGGCGGATCTTTGTTTACATTTTCTGCCTCATTAACATATGCTCTTCATTATCTGATGAAGCTAACAAAAAAAAACCCTGAATATTGAAAGAGCATAACAATTTCAGTAATCTCTGAAAATTTGAGCTCAATATACTTGGGAAGTTTGGAGAGCACTCAAGAGGCTAGACTTGCTCTCGGCTGCGACTTGAGCAACTCTTACGCCTCTTTCGTGCTCTCCAAACTTCCCGCGTGCTCAATATCTCGACATACGCACGTTGACACATGAACAAATTGTTAAATAATGCACACAGCCAAAATTTGCTTCACATTCAATTTACTTTGCAAGCAACACTTTCAGTTTTAAACGGCAGCAATTATCAGCAGCTGCTAGACGTTTAGGAAAAAAAGTTCCCGTATACGTATTGTAGCGAAAATTTTGCTTTCCTATCAGGACAGCTTGTATTGAACGGAGGATCTTTGGATGATCAGCCTTCTAAATGTCTTCTTTCTGGTAAGTCATAATATAACCCTTTTTTGTTATCAAAATATAGTTTCAGTTACAACTATATTGTTAAGTCTTACATGAAATGGTCGTAAAAGTGGAAAGAACACATATTTCACCCAACGGTGGCGTAAAGTCAGTGGTTTCGTTTCCTATCGCCATCTCTTTCGTCCAGCAATAAACAGATCGGTCGTTGGCTCGAAACTGAAAATAAAGAGTGAAGAAAAGGTCATAACTAGGCCCAAGATGGTGCTGTTCAAGCTGTTAAACTAATTCGTCCCTATCCGACCCTTTGTCACAAATGTGAAACGTCGTCTTTGCAAACGCACTAGTGGCTAGTGGGTTGAAAACTCGGTGGATTTTACATGTAAGAGAAAAGGCGGGGTGCAGAGTCCCATGTGAGAACCGTTTTATCCGAAAAAACGTCCAAGGTTTATTTGGGGAAAAGTTATCATTAATAACTGTAAATCATCATTGAAAGGGAAAACCGTCGTAGCAAACTTAGCTCTATTTCTCAGTTCGATGATAAGATATTGTCCCCTCTTTTGAATTTCTTAAAGGATGAAATTCTTATCTTTTTTTTTTTTTCGTTTTCCAAAAATATAGGTCTGTAGGGCGATAGGAAGTAAGCGAAACGTATGAGCATGGTCAAATGATATGCGATAATCTCAAAAGAAACCTTTAGATTCGAGGACGAGGACGAGCACCACTACGAGTAAAAGATTTGACTTAAAGTTTATATTTTCGCGCGTATTCTCAAAAAATAGACACCCCGGAAAGCTTCAATTTACTTTGTCACCAGAAAGGTTATCGTGGTTATTTTTATTGTGGGAGGTTAAGCCCTCTCCCGATTGCAAATTGATAAAACGTCTTACATTTCTTTTCTTGTTTCTGTTAGTAAAACGACGGCTATTGCATTTTCCAGACAAAATGACGCTAGTTTATGTGCGCGCACCACGCCGATTGTTTTCGGTTTTCTTCCTACTTGTTTTTGAAAATTGAAATCAACACTTAATATATTTTTATAGGGAATTCTTGATCGGAGTGCTACTCTTTGCTTTAACAACTTTCATCGCCCCTGTTGGGTTGCTACTGATAAGGACGGACATGCGTCGCTCGTCTACTGTAAGCACAACAGAGGATCACGTGCTGAAAGGGCACACCATTCACAAACAACATACTTATGACTTCCTGTCATGCGCACAGCTATGTTTGGCACACCAAAGCTGCATGTCGTTTAATTACCAAAGCGTCGAAAATGGAGTTTGCGAGTTGAACAGAGAAGTTTCACCTGTAAGCATTTCAGTGGCACTCACCTCTAAAAGGGGGTATACTTTTGGACACTTTGTTCAGCATAAGTGTGAGTATAATATATTCATTCACTGTACTGTTTACTTAACGTTCTTTGGGCCATCCCCCCCTTTTTTTCGTTTAGCGTCGAATGCGTTTTCTGATATTGGGTCGGTCGGTCGGATTGAAAAAAAAACCTAAAAAAAACCTAAGAAGTCTCGGAATAGAAGGCCCTGGTACCCCAGGACGTCATTAAAAGTTAACATTCACATATTTGGATTAACAAACTGCACAATATACTGTAAGAAATTTTCATGTTTTTGTTCCTGTTGTTCTCTGTCATGTTAGTATGCCCATTTTTCAGATTAAAAGAATATTTCAAGAGAAAATGGTTTAACTATGTCGTTACTTTTTTTTTCTTGAAAATGCCAAAAATTTGGGTCGGTCGGACGACGCCAAACGGAGAAAAAAGAGAGAATGGCCTTAGTTAGCCAGACTCAGTTAAAATAAGTTTTATTAATATAGGTAATAGCATGATTTGCAGTAATATTTGGCATAAGTACCACGAGTGATGTTGCAAAATTGTTATACGTAATTTCACGAGCCGTTAGGCGAATGAAATTTGAGACAATTTTGAAATATCACTCCTGGTATTTATGCTAAATATCAGGTACAAATCATGCTATCAATTTGTTTACACTACTACCCGCAAAAGGTTTGTAATTTTCACCAGTAGGTATTTAACAATTAATGAATTCGGCTTTCGCATCTTATGAAGAATTATGGAGATCGAGGAGGGTGTTATCTGCCGAGGCCGTAGGATAACACCCTCCGAAATAATTCCTAGTTTAAAAACATAGCTAAAACGTGCTTACCTCCATCGATGTTAAGTTCATCTTCTTTTGTGCACGTTTTGGGTTGTTCAGCTCCGCAAATATTCTCCAATAGCAGATGTCACCCTTCGAGTTGTCATCTTGCTGTTCTTTCCATGTTTTTATCTATTATTTCGCCTAGCTCTTACTCTTGACACGAGTGACATGTCCGCCATTTTTGTTTTCACAACCAACACAACTCAACCTCGTCCCCAGGTCTTCTCGGTTAACGGTACATTGACCTGCAAGGAAGCTGCACTTTTAACGTCATCGGTTGATTAATCGCAAAAATCTTCCAAATTTGGTCATCAGTAGGCGGTTATGGTGAATTATGCGTGTGCTTTTAGCCATTCAGAAAGGGAGAAATATTTTGAATGAATAATAATTCTAATTAAGCTGAAATACCACTGCTCTAAGCCAATCAAATTGCTGAAATTTCTCATGTAGTAGTATAAACAAAGAAATAAATAAAGAACTCTATTAAAACACATCAAACTGTTCATCATATCTTTCATATGTCAAACCTGACTGGGCAGCATCTCATTTATATGTCACTTTGCTAGTCAGCAATATAACTTAAAATAGGCACACCCAATTAACTAAATCGCCCTACCTTACAACTTAACCTCAACATCTTGGTGGTGTTTAACGAAAGAAATGAATAAGAAAAATGATCTTAATGCCTCGATTTTATTCAGAACGTATGCAAACGTTTCGCTTTTTGGGCTTATTGGTTTATGCCCCATATCCTCCCTCTCCCCTCCCAGCTCAACACCCACCTGAAAAAAAGAAACCTAAATTGCCCTTCCACGCAAGTAAAGAAAAGATAGTACATTGCAAGTCTGCCTTTCAAAAGGATATTACTGTAATATATCATCCTATCTATATCTAAATTCTTTCACAAGCAAATCAAGTCGAAATTTATTTTCATAGCTGAGGCACATGCATGCAGATAGGATGTGGAGCTTGAGCTAGGAGCCCTGGGATTTATTCCAAGAAAACCAAGAGAGAAAAATTCCTCAGGAGTATCAATTTTTGTGAGAAAAGTTAAAAGGGTGGCAACGAAAAATACGCACAAAAAATGATAAAGTACAAGGGCCTAGCTTAGGCAAATTCACAAATTAGAGCATAAATCCTCTATAAATGCTACACGGTCTCGTCGCGTAGGCTATCTGAAAACGTTTAAAGGAATAGAGCAGTATACAAGTAAGAAAATAACAACTACAGATTTAGCAGTGTACTTCTAGCACTGGACATTTCTTTAGTCTACAAATTGACCTGAACTACCTTATTCATTTTAGGGACCTGATATTTCAGCCGGCGGAGGACGAAATGGTGAGTTAACAGACAGGCAGATGATGGTCTACTTGGTCCGGGTTACGTAGGGGGGCAGGGGGAAGGGGGCTGGTCCCGGTTGTTTAGTAGTAATAGATTGACCTCTTTTAACTCTTCCTTTGTCTTAGACGTTTTAGGCGTTTTAGTGATTATTCACCTTTTCTCTAATTACTTCAGACCATAAATATGTCTTTACGACACTGGGTGCCAGAGAAGAAACTGGACCGAGTGATATATCTGGATATGCAGGAACGTCACTGGAAGGAAAAGTTACTTTAAACAACGGAATCCAAATTTGGACTGTGCCCGTGACTGGAACTTACGTTATTGAAGCATCAGGTGGTTCTGGAGGAAATGGTACGGATGGAACACAATCTTATCCGCTTCCTTGGACGCTTGGTGGCTTGGGCGCAAAGATAATAGGATCCTTCAAACTTTCCCGAGGAACTCAACTGAAAATCCTAGTCGGACAGGAGGGTGTTACATCTCTAATCTTCCCTGATAGACCAGGGGGAGGGGCTGGTGGAACGTTTGTAACCCTGTCTGATGACACGCCACTTATAATTGCCGGTGGGGGAGGGGGAGGAGGGACAGCACGTAACCAATATACCGACGGTGACCCAGGTCAGGCGACAGGGAATGGGACCCAGTGTGGGGGAACAGGGGGCAGCGGGGGACAACTCTGCAATGCTGACACAGGGAACAGTGATTCTAGTTTAAGGTCTGGAGCAGGAGCAGGACTAAGTGGGGATGGGAAAAGCGGTGTTGCATTTGCAACCAAGGCGTTGAGTTTTACCAAAGGGGGAACTGGGGGAACATGTCCAAGTTCCAATGGTGGTTTTGGCGGAGGTGGGTTTGCCATGATTATTGGAGGGGGAGGGGGAGGTTATTCCGGTGGGGGAGTGGTGGGAACTAAAACTAAAGGTACCGCTGGGGGAGGGGGATCATATAATGCTGGTACAGATCAGAAGAACATGGCGGGGGTCAACAAAGGCGATGGTGAAGTTATAATAACTTTGATACGTTAATGTTATCTACGTTCCTCGTCAGAGTTCCAACCCAAAGAAAATGGGGCTAGCTTAATGTTCAAGTAGATCAAAGAACTTATGTTAGGAAGGTAAGACAGGAATTAGAGTTGGAAAAGTTCAATAATGCTCATAAGTGCCACTTAACATGACTTAATCTTCCTGTACTTTAATGAACAAAAATACATGTTACTTTCAACCTATTCTTCGTTTAAAACAATTGTAATTTCATCAACCCTATGGCGCATCATGTTTCACAGTACGACGAGTTCTATGGTCATTAACGCCTGTATTATTATTGTCCGTTACGTTACGCATTTTTTTCCCAGGATTTCAGTACTCATAGTTTGCCTAGACAAAGAAATTGACGATGGCTTCACATTTCTCCTGTTTGCCAGATATAAGCTCTGGTTCCTCGTGTTCCAAGATCCGCAAGATGTAAGCCTAGAGGAGCAGGATTAAGAGGAGATGGGAAAGCGATAGTGGAATTGTAACAAGATCGTTGAGTTTCGAACGTGGGGACTGGGGAACATGTCCGGCTTTCCCTGGCTGTTTTGGCGGGGTTGTGGCTACCATGGTACTTGGGGGGGGGCGGTTTTTCCGGTGGGGGAGCAGAACATAGCGGGTGTTAATAAAGGCGATGGTAAAGTTACAGTAACTTTGAAACATTAAACTTAAAAAAGACTCTTCCTCAGTGGCAAGGTAGTCTCTCATTGATGTAAATATACGTAGCCCTTTTTTAGCAGCATATCCATTGTATCTCTTTTCACCAGTAGACCGTATCTGCAAAACCGAAACAAAAACTGCTTTACGCTTCATGTTCGTAGCTTTAGCAAGGCTTAATTTAAATAAACAAACCAAAAATGCCATTTTGGACTCATTACCTAGATGGCATACTTTTACCCCTCCCCACTCCTAACGTTAATCAAGGTGGTGCGATTTCAAGTACATTCATGAATCTCATTTAATCAGGTTTTGTAGATCAGTTTTAAGCACACGTAATGACTAAATGTAAAACAAATCTCAGAGAAATGAATAAAGTAGTAAATTTCTAAAGAAAGTCTGTGAGGCATTTTCTGAACATAATGAATTATAATAGCGGAAATTTGTCGGCGGGAAAAGATAAAACAGATGGAAAAACCAGTGCTTCTCTACTCCTAGTAGTCTATTACTGTGGAATTGTATGATGAGTTTTTCGGTACAAAATCAAAGTAAATTTATTTATCTCATCACAATTCTTATTATCAAAAGTACCAGATGAAGCGAGGCGGTAATGGTTAAAAAAAAGCTAAGAATCCTGCATGGTTAGAATTCTAAAGCATGGTATCCCTATCTGCTCCGAAAAGTCAATATTCCGCTAAACAAAATTCTTTCGAATACGGTCTTGTCGTACTTGTAACCCAAATTAGCCCGTGTACAGCCGCCCCCTCCTCTAGAAACTCCCCGACATTTTTTTAGCGAAGGAGGCGTCTGTACACATGCTAAACACACTGAAATAAACTAGGCGCAAATAAAACTTAAATATCATGAGAAAGGAAATGTGATAGCTTTTATCAGCACATGTTTTAACCTAAACAAAATTCTTTTGAAAAATCTGCTGTCTCTATGGCTCATAGAGAGGTTGAAATCCCTAAACCCGTTCTCTTGCCAGACACAACAATAAAATGTCTGTAGAGTTTTAAATAGAAATCAAATCTGTTGGCATCAGAAAATTAGAGAGGATGTTGCAAAGTTCAGTAGAGGTTCGGAGGAGAACGGACTGTTGAAAGAAATTGACGGTGGCTTCAAATTGTTCCTGTGTGAAAGATAAAAGCTCTATTTCCCTCATGACTGAAGTTCATAAACCTTGCAAAGGCGCGCGCGGAATTGTTCCTTGGAGAGACTTCCACATGAAAGATGTTCTTCGCTTAGGGCCTGCGTAAATTGCAGACTTTGTTACTTATTAGGGTGTTCAGAACAGAAAAAAAAATTTTGTTTTACCAGACTAGTCTCCTTCAGGGTTAAAATTTTAATTTTCTAACCAGCATTCCCGTTGCTTTCATACGGGAGTCACCCTCGCGGGAATTGTTTTGATTCTAATAGATCCTACGTTGTTTTGTAGTTTAGCGTGGTCGATTTTTCATTTCAGACAGGGATGTGTCACTCTAAAAGAGGCCGAAATGAATCTATAAATCAATCGATTTGGAACCATCAAATGTTGTACACACTAGTCGAGGGGGCGGGGTAGAAAAACAATAGAATGCACCCCCCTGCCCCCCCCGTTTCTATTGTAATTCTTAATTTTTCCTTTAGGTTTGTTTATTGCTCTGTTCACAGTTGCCGGGGAAATTTGGAAAATCGCTCAATTAACTAACGTTAAAAAATTCTGACTCAATATAGCAAAGCTAACTGTTGACTCTCTTGTTTTGTTGTCGTCATGGTTGTTTCTTTAATTTGTAAGGTTGGGTTTTCGGTACGAAAAGATTGACATGCACCAGTGAAAACGTAACTTGCCCGTCCCAGAGGATCATACCAAAAATATCAAAACAGATATGTAACGTTCATCGCCGGAGTAAAAAAAATAAAAAAATAAAAGATCAAGTCATTCCGAGAATACGTGCCCTAAACTAGAGTCTACAAATCATTTCATGACCCCAAAAAATTCTTTCAAGAAAAGTTTCGTCACTAAGCTTCGTGAAGGTTGTAAAGCACTCGTAACCAGAAAAAGCTAAGCGCAAATACAGCACAACTAAAATTTTGTTCAAAAATACAGGATCTCAGTAATTTTTATCTACTCTTGTTCTGCCCTGAAAAAATTTTTTCAAGGAAAATGTTGTCTCTTAGCCTCATAAACTTTTTGCAGCTCCAGTAGGTTAGATAAAGCTTATCTTTCTCCATCCCGGCATAAACAATGAATGTCAGCTTGATATGTAAACAGAAATCAATCTGTTGATATTAGAAAATGAGAAAATTGCCGAGAGGGTCGAAAGAGAGCTCCAGAGTCATTATTTCTCATTCAGGGCTGTTAGGAAGCACAAGTCCTTTGCTTCGTATCACCAGAATCCGCGTAAACAAATGAACCACCCTAAATCACAACTAAGGTAAGGTAATCTATATACTGCACAGTCTAATATGGACATCCAAGGTACAGCACCAAGTGATATAATAATAAGGCGACACGTTAAATAGAAGATTGCATGATATTGTTAAATTTGATTTCGATCCAATGCAACGTCTTCAAAAGAGGGGGCTATATTGAGCCCCTTCTTATTTTTTGGCACATTCATCACTGTGACGTCGGTGGAATGCAAGACACAGCATTTCCTGAGTCTTTCCTGGGTTTTAAGTCATCTGCCAGTCATGGTAGCAGCAACTATTCATTCATTATGTTCACATTGCTGATCTCAGAGAATAGAGCACGAACCTACTGATCTGGTCTTTGGAAGGTCACAAGTTTAAATTTTGTCAGGGACTTGAGATTTTGCCCAACGCTATTGACAAGAGTAAAATTTTCCATTTCCTTCATTTATTACCAAACTTTACGCTCTTGACAATGCTGATCCTAGTAGCATACAGAACGCTTGTAACATATAGAATGAGTGTGCTCTTCACGAGTCTGGCTTCAGTCTCTCCGTGGCTCGTAAGAATGCGCCGGGGAAAGAGAGCCAGCCGGTAATTGGAAGATATTAGGTTCGAATCCAGTTGGAGACTCAAGAAATTTTCTTTGTCCTTCACTCATGACATGACGTAAACTACATGACTTCCACAGACTTTCTTCACAGTAAATTATGTTGTTACTGGCTCGTAGAAACTTGTTAAAGTGCTTATGTGCTCTGGATTTTGCCCCTGATTCGCTCGGATAAAACCGGCTTGATATTGTGGCTTAATTTGCAACAGCTGTGATGTCTTCTACAAAAATACAATTATAAAGGAAATTTATCTTTATTCTGCAGTTTACAATAGCTCTAGAAATGTTTTTTTGTTGTTTTGCCTTAAATTCGAAATCTAACTTACTTTTCGAATATCTTTTTTGATAGGGTATACACGATGAAAGTATTTTTCATCTTAGTTTGCATTACCCCTCCTGTTAGTCTTTTACTGATAAGGGAAGACATGCGCCGTTCATCTACTGTAAGTACCAAGGATAATCACGTGCTCAGAGGATACACCATTCACAAACAGCGGACTTATGACCTCCTGTCATGCGCACAATTATGTTTGGCACGGTCAAACTGCATGTCTTTTAACTATGAAAACATCGAAAATGGAGATTGTGAACTAAATGAAGAAGCAACTGACGCGAGTATCCACGGAGCTCTCACCACTCAAAGGGGGTATACCTTTGGACAGTTCGTCAACTTAAGCGTGAGTAGTACTTAATGCTATTATTAAATTCAACCCTCATTTTGGGATTTCTGTTTTTGATTCCGACTCCAACCCCACCCCGCCCCCCCAAATAACTTAAATTGAATAAATGACCCCTCACGTAAAACACATACACTGATTGAATGCGTTTTGCTTGTTTTCCGCCTTTCCTGGACAGAGACCTGACCAGTGGGGATGAGCAAGAATACAGCCTGCTAGCAAGCTATGCTCCACCCTACGCAGCAATCTTTCAATCTTTATCTCGATTAGTCCAACTCACCTAGATTGACAAATGTAGGCAAACTCTCCTACGTCCTCCACGAAGCGTGAAATTTGGCCCATTTTAACGTCGTAATCGTGCGGTGTCAGCAAAGAAATGTACAAAAAAGCATGATGCATGTGCAGAGTTGTTGGTTTGCTTATTAAACCTATTGCTTAACGGTCGTCGCCGTTCTCGTTGCCGTCACCGTCGTCAGATCTTAAGTCCCCAAGAGAAGTAATGTTCAGAAGAGAAATAACACAAAATTGAGCTGCATTTCATATCCTTTTTAGGAGCCAGTATTTTCAGCCGGAGGAAAACATCATGGTAAGATAAGAGCAATGTAGGTGTTAATTTACTGAGTTTGCTTCAGGACTGAGACGATTTGACCACCAGCCGAGTTATTTAAGTCATAACGTTTTTTTTTTTTCAGACCAGAAATACGTCTTTACGACACTGGGTGCCAGAGGAGAAACTGGGCCAAGTGATTTATCTGGATATGCAGGAACGTCACTGGAAGGAAAAGTTACTTTAAACAACGGAATCCAAATTTGGACTGTGCCCGTGACTGGAACTTACGTTATTGAAGCATCAGGTGCTTCTGGCGGAAATGGTACCGACGGAACACAACCTTATCCGCTTCCTTGGAGGCTTGGTGGCTTAGGCGCAAAGATAATAGGATCCTTCAAACTTTCACGAGGAAGTCAAATCAAAATCCTAGTCGGACAGGAGGGTGGTACATCTATAACCTTCGCAGATAGACCAGGGGGAGGGGGTGGTGGAACGTTTGTAACCCTATCTGATAACACTCCACTTATAATTGCCGGTGGGGGAGGAGGTGGAGGGCCAACACGTAACCAATTTACCGACGGTGACCCCGGTCAGGCGACAGCGAATGGGACCCAGTGTGGAGGAACAGGGGGCCACGGGGGACAAGTCTGCAGTGTTGACACGGGAAAAAATGATTCTACATTAACATCTGGAGCAGGAGCAGGACTAAGAGGGGATGGGAAAGGCGGTGTTGCAATTGCAACCGGGGCGTTGAGTTTTACCAAAGGGGGAACTGGGGGAACATGTCCAGCTTCCCCTGGTGGTTTTGGCGGAGGTGGGTTTGCTATGGTTAATGGAGGGGGAGGGGGTGGTTATTCCGGTGGGGGAGTAGTGGGAACTAAAACTAAAGGAACCGCTGGGGGAGGCGGATCATATAATAACGGTACAGATCAGAAGAACATGGCGGGGGTCAACAAAGGCGATGGTGAAGTTATAATAACTTTGATACGTTAATGCTATTCACGTTCCGCGTCAGAGTTCCATCCAAGAGAAAGTGGGCTAGCTTAATGTTCAAGTAGATAAAAGAACTAATGTTAAGGAGGCAAGACACAGGAACTTTTTTTATAAAGCCGAAAAAGTTCAATAATGGACATGTGTAACTTAATCGTCCTCTACTTTAATTGCAAAATATATTACTTAAAACCATTCGTCTAAAAATGTGGTACTTTTTATCAACCCTTGCAGGTTAAAAAAAATGAGATATACTTTAACAGCTAGAGCATCATGTTGCACAGGACGACGAGTTTTATGGTAATTAATGTCTGTATTATTACTGACTGCGAGTTACGCATTTCATTCCAGGGATTTCATTACTCATAGTTTGTCTACACAAAGAAATTGACGATGGCTTCGCATTTCTCCTGTTTGCCAGATATAAGCTCTGGTTCCCCGTGTTCCAAGATGTAAGCCTATCAAAGAAAAATCCATATAGACTATTAGGATCACCAACAGCCAAACCTCACGTAAGCGACCATCCAAAATGCGAAGATCTAGTGGTCGCTTGCGAGAATCGAACCACAAGGGATTCCTTCCTAGAAAAGGACCGAACACATCTACATTTTTGGAGAGAATTCAGTGCATGTAATCACTAAGTTACGATATGTGTAGTTTCATGATGTCACCAAAAGCACATCGCATTCTCTTAGTAGTGAAGTACATACAACGAACATAGAGATCAAGCCATGCCTTACGTGGTCGCCCTTACTCGCACAGAAACGCTTCTTGTGCATTCTAGACCAAGTAAGTCGCTTACGAGAATCGAACCTCAGGGTTTCCCCTCATAGAAGAGGTCCGAATCAGTAAGAGAATTCGTTGTATGCGACTTCTAAGTAACGATATGTTCAGTTTCATGTTGTCACAATAAGTTCTTTGCATATTCTGAGTAGTGTACTACACACAGCAAACATAGACATCAAACAATGGCTATGCGGTCGTTTACGGGTGGATAAAAACAATGGAATATCTTTAGGCCAACATCCTAAAAGGTTGAAGCGATCGCTTACGAGAGGCTGCAACTGTAGTGATTTCACTCGAAAAAGTTTGGTGTTTTGGATCTAGGAGGACGCTATGGGAGGTGGTCGCTCACGAGAGGTGGTCTCACTTCGACTGTATTTACTTTAAAATGGACCGCGGTGCTTGTTAAAACTCGCGTCACTTCCACCCTCACATTCTTTTTTGTGTTTGTTTAGAAGAGATTCTTATTTTTACATAAAAGAACCCGCCAGTAAAGAACCCCTGCCCCGGACTAACCTCAAGTTCCTCTAAAGAAGTCGTTCCTTTCTCTACTTTTGCTCCGATGCCTTTATCAAAACTACTGTAACGATCCTGGAATCAAAACCAGAACATGAACGTTGTCATCCGATTATTCTGATCAAGGTTTCATTAAAGTTAAATCAATTCTTAAAAATAGAACAGGCTTTTTGTAAAGGCATACACAGCATTTCGATTTTGGTAACTTCTTCTTGGTGATTATTACAATTGGTCATGGTTTTTCAATGCAAAAGCAAGGTTTATATCAGCGGGCAGACCTTTCACTGCAGCTTAATCTTGATGCTGCAAAGTGTTGACAGTGGCTTCAATAAGGAACGAATAAATATAAGTTTGCCGATAAGCACCTCTCTTAACTATTCATGACGCAGTGGCAACGAGAAAATAGTTTGTCAAAAATTCCCGAAGGCTGACCTTTACTTGGAATGGAATACGTTTTCTAACCAACCTTGACTAAAGAATCTAAGGTCCCGTCTTCAATGAGCTTGGCAGCATTTTTAAGTCCTCGAGCAAACGAGTCCATTGCACCTAAAACAGAAAGGAGCCCAATGAATATTCTAACCCGAGGCCTATTTTTTCGAAAGTCCCCGGTAGCTCTTCTGAACCGAAGCCAAATTTTAAAATAGAAACCTAAAGAATGGGACTGCAGCTTCTAAACACCCTAAGACGTCGGACTGGTTTGTTTTATTAACTGATTGTTTTTTGCCTTACTATCGAAACTACTAAAACTTCCATCTTGAATGGAAACATGGTAACGTAAAACAACTACAAAGTCAGGCCCCAGTAATTACCGAGACTTCGAGAAACTGGCCCCAGAAAGAATCGGGGTCTTTTTATGGAGGAGGGGTGGGTTCCCTTCAGATTAAAGGGGCTATGCCAGGACAGTTGTCAGGAGGACATTGCTGTTTAAGGTCAGGCTGGTCAATTCTGTGCTGAAGTCATTACCCGCACACAAAAAATGTTCCTATAGAGGTTAGGTATGAAGAAATAATCAAAGAAATTTCATCAGGGAGCACTAACCAATACTTCCTATTGATGATTTTTGCAAGCGAAGCATTAAAACGTAAAAAAGTGTTCCCAACTTTTACAACTTTCAGTCCATGTCCATCCCTGCCATCTGTAGCAATGGACGACAGGAAACAGTTTTAATGCCTGAATATAGTCTAAAATAACAAAATTGGAGCATTACTATTGGGATTCAATTGATGCGAAGACGCATTTTAGCTCGTCAAAAACATACGCGTGATAGCAAATGACGTGACATAGCGTCTTTAAGATGGGGCCGGGAGAAGGGGTAACCGAGAAAAGAAAGGAGGGGATTGTAACCACAAGAGTAAAGTTGAAGGATTACCCCCTGTATCCACCCTGACTCTTCGTTGTTTCACGCGAAGGAAATAAGGTCAGGCCACATAGTCATCTCAGCTCTGTGGCCCAAATACCCTGGTACGTTCACATACAAAGATCTTTCACTCTTTGGCGAAAAATACTTAAAGTAACTTCCTTAGCTTTATTTTGTAAATTTTGCACCATTTTAAAAGCATTAACAGGATAGTATGTGTATCTTTTCACACTGATTTCACTCTTTCTATTGCACTTATACATAACAGACTTACCGATGTGAGCTATAAACATGTCCTCTAGGTCTGTAGATTCACGGCGAATTTTACAGTCAAAGTTAAGTCCACCAGGTGTCAGTCCTCCCTGTTCGATAATGGCCTACAATAGAGTTTTACATGCACGTTAATGACAATTGCCTCATATTTTTGCTACGTTGTGTAACGGTTTTTAGTCAAGTATCATATTTGAAAAAAGACTATAATGCAGTCCATTTGTTTTGCGGAGAATGGTAAATAATACACCAAATACTCATTGCCTTTTACAGTGTAAGTGTTCATTATTCATATAGAATGTTTACGTGCCATTAAGGTTCTCTCTGTCGCCCCTGTTTTTGGTGATTTGAATAGATTCAGTAGAATCACGTTTACGGCAAAAGGCAAACGTCAAATGCAATGAGACAATTTCTCAAAATAGAAAATGGTCGGATAAACACTATCCAAAGTAGTTCTTTTGAATGAAACTGAGCAAAGGGAATACTCTACGTGGTTCTAATTAACGTTTACAGTTTGCAAACGTGATAATAAATTTCGTCATTGTCAGTGTCGTTGCCGTTGTGGCCTCCCAAATCTGAACTTTCTACCAACTCAATACAACGCGACTGGTTGCTCGGTGCATATTTCACGGCTTTAAGCAGACGAACCTTCATAACAAGCGTGCAGTTCTTAATATCCATGGGGAACTGATCTGTGTCCCAACCAAGATCGGGTGATCCAGTGTTGGAGTCAATTGAACCAAGAAAACCAAACCTGTTCACGACAAAGAAAAGACGATTTAGACTTTGTTTAACTTTGCAACTCCTGAAAGTCATACAAATGACAAAACTGTAACTCTCAGAGTGCAAAAATAATTGATTCCGTGCAAACATATAGCTTTACTCTAATGTGAGGTTAAGATTGCAGTCGGTCTTCCTGTAATTGTAAAGTGAGTGAGCAAATCAGAAGAGCGAAATAAAAATAATAATAACATGAGCTAGGCGGAAACTCTAATTCCTCTCAGCAAGTTCCTAACTTCAAAACAGGTAAGGGTGTCTGTTCAAAAATTTAGAGGCGACGTGGGTGGTCTAGGCTGAAGAAGATGATAGAAAAGAAAAAGCTAGGGTGGAAACCAGAAAAAAATAACGTACTTTGAGGCCATTACAACATCGTGTTCATAGGAGTGCCCAGCCAGGGTGGTGTGATTAGGCTCAATATTCAGCTGTGAAAAACAATGCGGAAAAAAAATAAATAAATGAAACAATGAATTACGTGTGGAGATGGGACATCAGATAAAATTGAGCTGTGTCACGAAATTTATCCAAATTCAAACAATAGGGACCACCACCAAACTGAGTGAAATAACTGCTTAGAAAATGAAGGGAAGGTATAAATAATACAGCAAATACAAAAAGGAGGCACGGATGGAAAAACTTAAAGAAGATTGAAATGGATTGCAATTGTGGTTCGTGAAAACTTGTTAGACTAACAGGTATTCAAAGTTTATTTATGTTGTGTATGATTGTTGTGAAAATGAATTAATCAGCATGTCAGGAGCGTGGGACAAAGAAAAATCTGAGTCCCTGACAGGATTCGAACCTATGTCCTCCCAATTTAACACCAGGTGGGTGGGCGCTCTATCCACTTGAGCTACAGAGAACTCATGAAGAGTGAGGCCCTATACTAGGTTCATTTGACACTCATCCTGCCTACTGCAATTTATGTTGTTTGAAACCTTTGATATACTGCGTTTAGGAGACAATTTATTTGTTTGACATAACACTGTAATTTTTCCATTTACATGTATTCTGTTAAGTTCCGTTGCAAATAATAAAAACATGTCGCAGTTGGCATTATTAACCAATGAACTAGACTGAATGAGCTGAATGGACTGAATGAACTATGACACAGTCCCCTTAAACTCTACACTTTCCAATCTGTATACCACTAGTCAGATGCTCTAACCACTGAGAGATCTGAAATGTAAGTAACATGGTTTGCCATGTTGTTGTAAGCAGGCTAACCTTAAAATCATCCTCTAGTCCATATGTTTTCAGGAACGCAATCACAGTCTGAGCATCTGAAACAAATTAAAGCAAGTCTTAGAAGTTAAACAAGTCTTTATCAGAGATTAAGAAAATGGATGAAAACAAAGGAGACATCAAACAAACTAAGAACTGATTAAAAATAAATTAAAAGGGAAAGGATTTGCGGGAAAAAAGAAATGAAAGGGAAAAAATTAAAGAAAGAAAAGAACTGAAGGAGAGGGAAATGAAGAAAAACCTAAGACAAGTTAGAACTGAAGGAAAGGAATGTGGAAATGTATGAATGTATGAAAGCAATATTAATTTTAAACTAAACTGAGGGAGAATGAATGGAAAGAAATAAAAGAAAAAGGAAAAGGAACCAAAAGACTTTGTCACGGTAAAAAGGAATGACATAATTGATAAAAGAAATTAAGTGTTGGATTATGATAAAAATAAAGGTCAGGTTGTAGCATTCAGAATAATCTACTAATACCAACCATAGTCATACTGATGCTTAGTTGGTTCCTTTGGTTTGGGCTCAATTAGCAACTGGCCTGTAAATCCTATCTTCTCTTTATAATCTGAAAAGTTATAATCATTTTAACATAAGTCATTACAAGGTCAAAAAAGACATCATTTTACTACTACTTTACTAGCTGAATCCTACAGGGTTTTGCTTTCTTGTGAAAATCAGGCCTTTTTGGTGCAAGTCAGGCCTCAATGGTATTACTATATTTATATAATAATTATAAAAGGGAAAATGAAATTGATTCTGGTAGAAGTTTTAGATTATGCCACAATGCAAATGGCCTACAAGTTAAGCCACCATTTTAGCTAATGATTATAGGGAAATGTTCACAAGATCTGAAAAAGGCCTTTTTGCCTCTTAAAGCTGGGAACAAGTTCTACAAACTATGAAAGTGTTTTCTTGACTACCTCTTGAATAAGTCAACGAACAGTGAATGATAACTGGTACATGTACAAGGAAACAACTGATCAGTGATCAGTGCTAAATGTGGATAGATGTGTCAGCTGGTAAAGAAATGAATCATATTCATAGGTGTGGGAAGTTAAGAAAATTATCTTAGTCTCTCAGTTACTACCCAACAACTCTAGGAACTAGAGGAAACTTCAAAATAGGAAACTTCAAAATAGGAATGTCAAATGAGACAATATAATGTAAAAAAATTACCTACGACCATTTGAAAAAACCTGCCCATGTGATCAAGTTCTCTCTTGACATCTGTGTTGAGCAATGTGTGGTAACCTTCGCGTCCACCCCAGAAAACTGTCATTACAAGTTAATGAACGTATCAGGAAACAGCTATATCACTCTCAATTTCAGTTATTGTACAAACATTACTGATTTAAACAAAGTCATTGTATAATATTATTGTCATTTAAAATATCATTAAATTATTAAATTTATTATTCATTAAATTAATAAATTTGATAAAATAATCTATTTAATAATAATAATTGATAAAATAATGTGATTATGTATTGTGATATTACTAGATCCTCACTATTAAACATAATAAATTATTGCTTTCAGGTTAAAAGAATAAACTAATTCTGAGCCTGTATGTTATTGTTAACTTACTTTTAATTGATGAGATAAATAAAACAATTGCCAGATGTCTGCATGTTTGATTAAACCTACCAAAGTTTTCTGCTCTAAGTTTTTTGGCAATCTCTAGACCTTTCTTCACTTGTGCTGCTGCATGAGCGAATGCATGAGCATCTGGATTAGAAGCTGCACCATTCATGTACCTGTTAAAAAAGATACAAAGCAAAATAACAAAGGGTTTTTCAATGTAAAGTTGTGATTGAGCAGCCGGCACAATTTAATATGTAAATTGTCAAATTCTGTTGGGGATGAACAATATTACAATGAAGAGTTCTATTTTCAAATTACCGAAAATTACCCTCTAGTCTGGTTTTCACTCGGAAATAAAATTATGTATTTACCTTCTCAGAGGAGTCTAGACACATTCATGTAGACAAACTAGAGCACAATGTTGATATTCATAATGCATGGACTTTGATTAGAGACTGAGACTTGCTGACCAGGGGAGTAGCTCAGGATCATTTCAGTATCAGAGCACAATAATCAATCCCTGAATAGAAATTGGGGAGACACAACCCAGTGCAAGATCCAGACCTTGAGATAAGGGGGGGGAGGGGGGGATGCCGATCTGCCAACAAAATTTTTTCGGTCCTTCGGGCCTCAGTTTGGTCCAAAAATAAGAGGGCGGGCTGGCCCCCCTTGGATTCGCCACTGCAACCTTCCAGCAAACTGGACCAGACTGATCAGGTCACAGATCATAAATTATGATATGTTCAGTCCACTGTGAACAAGGCCCAGTCTTATGGAGCTTATAAATGCTCAGACCTTTTTCTCTCAGTAATAAATATTTACAATGTTTCAAGTTCAAATTACCTTGGGTTGGCAAAAAGGTTGCAAGTGGCCCAAAGAAGCTTGACTCCAGTTTTTTCCTGCAGCTCTAAAGCGAGATCAGTCAACTCATCAAGATTAGAATTTGTTTCCTTTAAATTTTCTCCTTCAGGGGCAATGTCCCTAGCAAAATAAAACAGTTCATTTACTTAAACTACATTTACTTCTAAAAGAGAATTTAGATATTAAACTGTTTGGAACAATGATTCAAGTTTAAAGCACAGTTGTTTACAGCAACATACAATCCCTAAGACAACCTGGTGGGATAGAATATTTACGTACAAGTTTACACTCCATGGGCAGTTTATCTTACAAAAACAGTTCCAGAGACACTTGGGCATTTAAATTCCTTGTTTGCGATAGGCTAAGAAATAACCAGAATTTAAAAAAAGAAGTTCTTCTACAACTGCCCAGTGGTTCTCTTTTCCCCTTATAGACTTTTCTGACATTTGTAAATTCCAAAGTGCGACTGGGAAAACCATGAACACTTGAAATATCTCAGGAATGTTTATTGTGTCATGACCAATCGCGGCAAAGATCAGGACACGTGAACTAGCCACAAAACCACAAACTAATTAACAGTCTTGCTTGCAGTTTAGTTTTCTCATACCTGATTGGCTTTTTTCTTGCAACACAATAACAATCCAGAAATATTTCTGGTATTTCACGGTTTTTCTGGTTTGACTGTAACTGCCTCCTAGATCTTCAGGGATGGCTATATACAGAGATTTCAAAGTTACTCATCTTTTCAGTGATTTGGAAGTAATGTTCAAGGAGTAAATAGAAAAAGTAAGGATGAGTTAATGAGTTGTGTCGACTGGGAAAAAAGGCCAATATCAGGGAGCAAAGAAAGACAGTTTTACAGCCTGCCATTTATCGGGCACGCTGTAGCTAGTATGTACTAGCCCACAAGTCATTTCAACTAGCCCCCAAACCCTTTTTGATTAGCAGGATTGATTACAATCCTTCTGTAATTTGAATTTCCCCAAAAAACAGCACTTGCCCGTTGCGCAAGTTAAGAACAAAAATTACTAGCCCAATAGCAAAATCCACTAGCCCTGGGCTATCGAACACAACTTTCTGTGCATGCTGAATATAGAAAAAAGACTGATCTGAGCATTATTAATTACATGGGGTGCACACTTTTAAAATGTGCTAGAAAAGAATGTGATATTTACCTGTCATGGAAAGTATAATATTTGACACCAAGTTTCACAAAAAATTCAAATGCTGCTCTCAGCCTTCTTTTTGCATTTTCTAAGCTGTTGCTTCCATCGTCCCAGTGCCGTGATATTGTAGGAAAACCAAATGGATCAGCTCCTGTGGAAAGATAGAGATGTTAGTCAAAATGTCAAGCATAAGGAGTATCATTTTGTGTCCATAAATATTCCCTATGGTATCTTCTCGGACTGGTATATCCTTTCCACAGTATTTGACTATTTTTAGTTGCTTTACAAGTTGGAAGATTATGTAGAAATTGAAAGAACTGAAGGCGGGTATTCTGTAAGTTCCTTTGTACTGTGGGAAATTTGCTTGGACACAATCCCACAAATAGTCAATCTGTAGGAAACTGCTATAACACAGTGAATACTTATATGCATTATTTTATTAATTTTGTTGGGTAATTGCAGTAAGTTGCATTTTATTTTGTCTTATTGATGCATCACGAAAATTCCAGCAAAGCCTTTCAATAATCACTCTTGGAAAATAAGAATTATAGGACATTTTTATGATTGTAGTTCACTAAGATCAAGCTATGTCTTGTTGTCCGTCTTTGACAATGCTCCTTAGCAGTTAAACCACTGAAATAACATCAGAAGCTTAGCATCTACACCTGTTATTTTTTTCACCACATACCTGTGCCTCTGAATGTATGCCAAAAGCAAACAGAAAATCGACACCAATCTTCCATTGTCTTTCCCATGACCACCTTATGTTGAAAAAAAAAAATACATGTATGTTAAATGATCAATACATCCCCATTTTTCAGGAACATTTTGTATCGAACATACAGGTACGTTTTTGTCCAATACTAAACCAGCATCCTCGAAGTTCGCATTAACATCGCCATCATTTTCAGATATAATTTCATCTCTAGCACAATTAAATCTATTTCACACTATGACAAGGTCCAACTTTTGAACAACATGTTCACCTCTTGTGGGTTGTAGTGTTTGAAGCACAGGTTATCGCCTGGTCCTCCATCAGGCTTGTACTCAATTTTGCTTATTCCTAAAAGAAGAAAATACACATTCAGAGAAGGACAATACCACACCCCTTTTTAACGAAAAACCGCTACGGGAAAATCAACGCGCGCATTAAATTTGCACGCAACCTGGAAAAAAATCCTCCTCGGTGTCAGCTGATGAGCCATTACTGCGTGATCTTCTTGCTTTTTTAGTCGGAGGTGCAAAGGACGACATGTTACAAAACGAAGGCCTAGGGAAGACGAACGATGTGCTGCAAAAAGAAAACTTAGGTTGTGATGTGAGCTTACGACACTTTTTGCCAGGCGTCATCTCCCTCAACTCCGCGGGGACTGGGCTCTTTAGATGCACCACTCGAGTCCGCAAGCTAATGCGGTTTCCGCCTAAGATCAAAATGGAGGACGATTCTCCAGTAATTTACGGTTTAGAGTTAAATGTAAGTTATTGACTTTCTCTTTCATTTTTATCAAGTTTCCCCTCCAGTGTTTTAAAATTTAAACCAGACAGCCTTCTTTTATTACTTCATACCACACATTCAGATGCCTAAGCGCATGACTGTCACTGTGTCAGGATCGAATTAGCCTCCCACCGAGGCGTTTTTAGGGGGGCTCGTTTTTCATCCCTCCCTCACCTGTGGGGAGGGACGAAAAACAAGCTCCCCTAAAAACGCCTGCGTGGGAGGCTAGGATCGAATTCCAGTTTGCTAAAATTGATATTGTAGTGATATTTGGCATAAATACCACCAGTAATATTTCGAGAAATTGTTATACGTAATTTCACGAGCTGTTAGGCGAGTGAAATTTGAGACAATTTTGAAATATCACGAGTGGTATTTATGCCAAATATCACGTACAGATCATGCTATTATTTGTTTGTACTACTACCCACAAAGGTTTTGTAATTTTCACATGTAGGTACAGTATTTCAAATTAAGCTGAAATACCTCTGCTCTAAGCCAATCAAATCACAGAAATTTCTCATGTAGTAGTATAACGACAAAAATTAAATATGCTTATAAGCTTAAGAGTTTCGTTTAACATTAAAAAATCAAATTGGATAAAAAAATACCATAAAAGACTTAAAAAGTCACCCTTATGGCCTGCAGTGCAGGCGTTTTCTTCAGGCGCATGAATGTTTTGCTTGCGAAAGTGCATGTTGAAACTCAAAAAGGGGGGAGAAAATGGGGCGAGTCAAAAGAAGCGGGCCTCCCCTCTTTCCTTCTTTCACCCTAGCACCTACCCTTAGGGTTACGGTTTTTACTCTCCCTAGTCTTCATCCATCATAACAAAGATGGCAGTTACAACAGTACAAACATAAACAAGCAGTTTTCGCCCTCCAAAAATACGCTTGCACTGTAGGCACCCTTATAAATTCAACTCAAGTACCCTTGTAATAATGATGCACTATTATGTGTTGACTTATAGGCTCGAGCTCTAGTCCCCCAGCATGCAGAGACAGATGTGATTAGGTTTATTGTTGGCACACAATCTCTTAAATTTGATAACCAGGTGAGAAATGAAAAAAAAATGGTTGCTGTTATCTTTCACTAACCTGAGCTACACATTGATCTTTGTAATGACATGATTTTTTTTATTTGAATATTTTCAGATTCACTTGATAGACTTTGATGATGAAAGCAATGTTATAAATAAAAATGTTTTCATGCATTCTGCAGGAGAAATATGGTGAGGACTCACTTTAGTTTGGTATGATCGTAGGGAGTCAAAGCTCACAATTATAGCCGCCTTGAAGCGAAATTATAAGGATTTGTATGTGAATTTATCATATGTTTCATAAAAGGGTTAAAATGCTCATAAAGGGTCATGAAAATGTATATGTTACTGGTCAAAAACAAATTCAAGCTGAAATTGTTTAACCTGGATTGTTTCTCAATTTCTTTTGTCCTCTAACCCTAATTCATGAATGATTATGGCTAGGACACAAAGGAAATTGAGAATCCACTTAGGTTAAAAAATTTCAAGCTGAGTTCATTTTTGACCTGTAATATGTACCTCATAAAGAGATGTCTCTGATCTGTGTTGTTTTCTTTGTGTGCATTAGATCATATATTTGAATGCTATTTTGCGCCTAATAAATAAATTATTATTATTATTATTATTATTATTATTATAATACTGTTTCCTGCCCTAAAAGCCAGAACATCAAAACACACACACATTAGTGCACTATGACTTCTATTTACTGTACATAATTTACAACAATCTTGATAGTCCACAATTTGTAATCAGCTCATGTCTCATATAAAGCTAAATTTTTATGCATTTATCACTTCATTATAATAATGTGAAAACATGTTGAAGTTGACAGTAAAAGAGTAGACAGTGCTAAGGTTTTTTATTCTGTCACTATATATGTAGGTCCATGAACACAAGTCCAATTGACAAAAGTATCCTGGCAACTTGTTATAACAGAGGTAGGCCCTTGATTAGCTTTTCCCCAAAGAAATTGAAGGTATATGAAATCTCCTTGGGAAAGAAAGTTTGGGTAGTTGTATGCCATTGAAGCTTTCAAACCCTGACACTGTTCAAGACAAAAATTCTTCATTTTGCCATCCTGTTGAAGACAAGAGGCCTTATTTTATGACCCTAACTTGTTTCATACATACAAAATTAGGAAATTATTCAAACTAACATCACAGAATTGAAAAATTAAAAATTGGTGGTATCACAAAATGTAGACCAATAATCAATTGCTGGTTTTCAGTGTCACGTCATTCAAAATAGATCAAAATAAAAGTCAAAACCATTCAATAGATAAATTCCGGAATCTGGGAAATAAAGGGAGGTAACTGAATATACAAAGCCCCTCGCCAAGATTCAGGCCAGAAGAATATTAATTTTCGTATATGAGATATCCAAAAAAATGTTTTACCCAAATTTATGGAGATTTGTATGGAGACGCCATGCTGGTGTCCACCTGGATGAGCACCAACATGGCGGACGGAAACCAACAAAAACATCTGTTACTGAGTTTTGGCACAAAAGCATGAATTTATTCCTCAAGGAACTCATAAACATGAAAGTAATACTTTTTCTAATTACATGAACTGTTTAGATAGCAAAATTCCCCAAAATACGTCACTTTTTTAACCTACAAGACAGCTCTCTCAGCCTTCATGTAAATGTCACGTCATGCAGTAGCTTGGAAATTCAAGCGTACTCTATCACAAAACCAAGAACCCTTTTGAAACAAACATTGGTATGAAAATTGGTCTTCAGCTGCTCAAACACTTCATGAAAGTAAAATCTCAGTAAAACTGATGGTTTTGTAGTTTGAACTTTAGTGATGTCATGTGAAAACCAACAATGAGGGAATCACATAAACACAAGTAATAATGGGGAAATTAGACATCCACCCTTTTTTATATCCCCACCTGGACGATTCACTAGGAGCATTTCACATTTTCTTAGTGGTCTTCTTGTCTATTGCTTGACCCAGTGTCTGATTCTAAGGCTGAAATACAAGGAGCTCTTTGGAGAATTCCCCCTGTTGATGACACTGAGCCCCCTGGTCTGGATTCCCCTGGGATTGTACCTGGTAGCTCAGGGCATTCAAGATCTCTTCAACTCATTTGTACATTTGATAACAAGCAGGAAAACATGAGAAGGTCAGAGTGTGTTCATTACTTTGTAATAAAGCCTATAGTATGAACACTACTTCAGGGCTCAAAATAATTCTTAGAAGGTGGCCTGACACATTGACTGGCCAAAGATAATCTATGCTAAACAAGTTCACTAATAACAGTCTGTAATCTCAAAACTGTCATTTACTTGCTCTATTTAACAAGTGGCTTAATGAAAGGATAATCATGTTATAAAGGAAATAAAGGGAGATGTAAAGAATCAACCATAAGAGGACACAGAAAAAATCTGAGCCCCAGATGGGATTCGAACCCATGACCCTCCGTGTTCTAGATCAGATGCTCAGTGGCATAGGTTGGTTGGTTGGAGGCTCCTTCATGGGTGAGATTTCTTGCTATTAATGTGACTGTGTGATACAGTTAAGCCTTAACAATGTGTTGCTCGTGACGGACTGTGTGACTGTGTGATGCGGTTCAAAAGTCCAACCCACAAAAATGACCCTTGCTCGCCAATGAGTCCCCAGTAGCCCAGAGGTTAGAGCATCCGATCTAGAACATCTGGAGGGTCTTGTTACTCTTGGGTGATCCAATAAGATGTCAAATCCCATCTGGGGCTCACCTGGGACTTTTTTCTGTGTCCTCAATTTATGGTTGATTCTGTCAAACATCTCCCTTTATTTCCTTTATAATGTTAATATCAAAGTGGCATAAAATGGGGTTGATAATCATATTGCTGTGATATCAATTGCCATCATTACTTTGATAGTATTGGAATAACTCGAACTAAATAGCAACCGAGGCCCAGGAATGGTATTTAGCAAAACAAGATCACTGCATTGACTGCCAAAGTAACATGCTTCCCAACCATGACTCACTTAGTGTTTCCTCCATAGTGTCAACATGATCAGCAAATGAATTTTTGGGCCGGCCAATCTGACATTGTCCATTGAACAGCGTTTATTTTGAGCCCTGCTACTTAGTAAACCCCTTTCACCACTGATAGGCAGCTTCACTGTGTTTACTGTAAGTACAACAGATATTCATGAGTTAAATATAGGCCACTTCATGAGCACGTTTGCAAATCAATGTAAATTCTTGTATTACTCAAACATACAGGCTCAGCCTTAGCATATTTGGTCCAAGCAGCACTTTGATGATTTGCTCAACCGTCCCAAATTTTAACCTACTAGTTAATCAAAATGCTGTTTGTCATTATGGTCAAGTTAAAAAAAAATCCAAATGTTTCTCGTCTCTATTTCTATAGAAAAGAAAGTATGCAGGAGCTTTTTTATTAGTAGCAATTGAAAGTTTTCTTTACAAATTATAACCCTCCTCCAGGGATAGCTAGGGGTTCTTCAGTTTAATACTGATAAATGAAACATCAGATATTGATTAAACACAAATTTGTTTTTTATATACATGATGTGATGCATCATACGATATATCTCAAAAGGAAGGGTGCATTTAAAGGTCACATAAAAAACGGTTTATCTTTTAATGTCTTTGTATTTTTCTTGCACCTTTGGTGCTACATACGTTTGCAGAAGCACCATCCAACTTTGAGGAAAAATGAACACTGCACACTACATCCCTGTTTCTTGAGCGTTTACTCTTTTGAAAGCATTGGTCTTGCAAAAAAGGAAATTAGTGGTGAATAGGCCAGCCTCCTTATGCTCATTCAAGACCTGTATGTATTTTCAGTGTGTTGTGGAACCCATCTGGGGATGGCAGTCAAGTTGTGACGGTTTGTGAGCAGCATCTGGAATTATGGGACCTTGATAGAACTGCATCAACAGCAGAGGTGTGTCTTCATTTAACTTAAGAACTGCCTTTGTTCACTGTTCAGTGTGACTATTTTTATCATTCCTTAAACGTCTCTCGTTCATTGGCTGTATTCCATTTATCGTATTTGCAATCCAGGACCGCGCAAAGAATTTTAAGGTTAAAATTAACCTAAAACAAATTTATTTACAACAATTACATCACTTCACAATTCTGACACACTATTGTCATATGGTTTGCAATGCATTCCTCTGGAAAGCAGCGGTATATTCAGCCGTAACCGCAGACGCAAGAAACAAGCACAAACATGTGCAAACAAGCTTGTTTAATTCTTACCTTCCCTTATTGATAAATTGATAACGTAATGCGATAGTAAATCAAACAGCCGGTATCATCACATACTCTTGAGTGCGGTCACTTGATTAACGAAAAAGTTTGTCATTTAGACAATCTAACAGACTTTTAATGCCCCATACACACCAACTAAACATGTTTAAATGAACAAAGTTTAAAAAAACCGAAAAGCAGACTGACAGACCAAAACTGGAACACAGGTTTTTTCACCGGATTCAAATGAAATTCAGCTTGTTTTGTAATTTGCATTAAATTTGCGATCAACTTAAGTCAGTAAGCAACTTTTATGAAGGAAACAATTTGAAACCATGTTCAACTAAAGTTTTAAACCTGTTAAGCTTTAGTGTGAGTGGGGCTTACAATTAAGTGAAGAAATAGAAAATTGTTTTGTCAAAGTCAGTAAAGTCAAAAGGAAAGTTTGTTGACAAAACTATAGTATCGAAAACCATAAAGAGAAGCACGTCGCTCATTTTTTTCCAAATATACCCTTCCGCGTGTGAGCGCAACTCTCTTTCGCGTGTCGCGTCACCTTGAGCCGCGAGAGGAAATCTCCACGCTCGCTCACTCAGCCTTCTCTCAGAAAAGCAAGTGACTTATCTTAGTGTATTGTTTTCACTGCAAAGTCTATTGACTCAGCTCGACTAGAAGGAAAAGGACAACCGAAGTTCACCACAGGTCGATGGAACCCACATCATAGCGGATCACAGATCGCCACAGCTAATGACATGACAATCCGCGGGTGGGATGTCAGAACTATGAGGTCAGTGATTTCTGGAAATTTAACGCTTGCTTTCCCGGTTTTTTTTGTCTGTGTTGTTTGTTTTAAATTGCCTTCTTTTTTCGTTTGTTTTGTTTCTTGTTTATTTTGCCACGCAAAAGGGATAAAAGCTTTGGAATAGAGTACTTAACTAAAGAGGCAATAGTCTAAAAAATGAGTTAAACAGCTTGAATTTCTTGATTTAAATGCACCCAGGAGCACACTCTTAGTTTACCCCGTGGTATGCCACACCCGAGAAGAGGAAAAAATGGATATACATTTAGGCATGATAGGGTGGAAGGGGGGCAAAAAACGCGAACTTCCTCTCTCCCTTTGTCCCTATACGTTTTTTGAGCAGCGCTTTTTGATCTAAGAATCAATCCCACCATTTGATTTTAGCGCTATCGAACGCTTTAGCCCTTACTCTTTATTAACCGGCTCTTGCCCTTTCACCGTATACTCGCACAGAAACGCTTCTTGTGTAGTCTTGACCGAATATAGGAGATGAAGATCAAGGGTTCTTTTAAAAAGAACAATAATAATTGTTATACTACTGCCTCAGATCTGTATACACCATTGAGAATGCACACAATCAGCTGGTGCGGGATTTAGACTTTAACCCAAACAAGCAGTACATACTGGTCAGCTGTGGTGATGACTGTAAAGTACGTTTCTGGGACACAAGAAACTCTACCTCTCCCCTGATGGTACTACAAGATCACTCACACTGGTAAACCAGCTTTTCTCTTTAGCTAGTCAAACTAATTCGTCAAGTATAGGGCTGTCAGTGGTCGTTTGCTGCTGAAAATGCTGATGTTTTGGTATCAGATGATTCAGATTATTGTATCGCACAATATTTTATGGATCTTCCAAAGGCCCATAAACACAGCCCAATAGGCCCTTTGCAGTTGGGGTCACGTGATCGAATCTTTCCTTAAAAAATCTATATTATGGACTATAACTTAAAGAATGCCAGAGATGGAAAGAGCATATCGAAAATACCAAAATGGCCAAGTTTGGGCCCCTGGGATTACAGAGTACTGTTTATGCAGCAGTTTGAACTTTCGGAAAATTAAGAGGATTTGTATGGAAAATGTTGCTGGAGAGCAAGGCTTTGCTCTCCAAATTTTTTTTCCATACAAATCTTTTTATTTTTTTAAAAATTTAGACTGTCATGCATAAAATCTCTTTCTTGAATGATGGGGGCCTCAAACTTGGCCATTTTGATATTTTCGACATGCTTTTTCCATTTCTGAAATTTGCTGAGTTATGGCCCATAATTTTAAGAAAAGTAGGTCACATGATGGCTTAGCTGCAAAGGGCCTATAATTGCTGCGTGCGACACTGTATTCAAACACGTACGGTAAATAATCTAACCAAACGCCCTCTCTCAAATAAAGCCTCTTGGCTAATAAACGCCCTCCCTACACTTAAAAGTTTGCACACGTTACACACCTCCTGTTTAACAGAAGTTTCTCATAACATAGTTATTGCTCAAAAGAAAATTCAATTTGTTCTGCTTCTTGCTTGATTAATTAGAAATCTCGCATTACAAAGTAAGGATTCTGACATCGAAGTTGAGCTTTAAAAAGCCATATGGATCTCTCAAACGCCCAAGAGGTATCAATGGATGGACTGGATTGTCTGCTGTTTATAAACTGTGGGGATATATTCACCGAAAGCATATTAGTTTTCTGGAGTTTGTTGCAGTTTTGGGAATAAACGTCTCGTATGGCATCTTACGCCTCCCATCTATTAAACGCACCGGGCGTCAGTTAGATCATTTACGGTAGGCAGTAGTAAAATTTTCCTCTTCTACCACAATAATGCACACCTAAACATTTCGCATCATTTTCATTTCAGGGTGTGGAGTGTGCGGTATAATCATTTCCATGATCAGCTGGTTTTGACATCGAGTAGCGACAGTCGAGTGATTCTCAATAACATTGTGTCTCTGTCTTCAGAACCTTTTGGTCATCTGGATGATGAAGATGAAGAAGACGGTGCACAAGACAAAGGGTCAGTTGAAAAATCCCGCTATCATGGGTAGTAGATTTAGGGGCTGTTTACATGGAGGTGGGGGACTCCAGGTGGGTGGGGTAAACCGCCTGTCCATAAAATCTCTCATTTTAATATGATCACTTTTACCTAATAGGTGGGGTCACCCGCCGCGTGTTACCTCACCTATCTGAGGTCCCACACCTCCGTGTAAACAGGCCCTTAGAAATAATCCTGGGGTGTCGGGATTCATTCGTCGGTGGTCCGACCAAAGAAGAGGTAATCCATTAAAAACGTTTGACCTCAAGCTCCCTAACTTTGTTTGCATTGTGCATGGATCGCTAGAATGATGCTGACCATGTATTTTCAAAAATGAGAGGGAGAAAGGCCATTTGAAGGATGGCGTCTTTTTACTACTAAGACCAGAATTCATTTCGTTTTCTGTTCTTTCATATTTGAATTTGGTAATCGCAGTGAGGATAAAATAACAAAAGCCCTAATTTGCACGAAAAAAGCAAAACCCTGAAGGATTCTCACTGGTAATAATAGTAGTATGACGTCATCTTCCTGTAAACCGCGCCATAAGAAAATAATCGATACGAGACTTAATTAAGCGTTTTTCTGTATTTTCTCCTTCAGGTCCCGCGAGCCCACAAAAGACGGAGTCATAGCAACGTTTGATGAACACGAGGACAGCGTGTATGCTGTGGAATGGTCTACCGCTGACCCCTGGGTGTTCGCCTCGCTGTCATATGATGGTCGACTGGTTATAAATAGAGTGCCCAGAGCGGAGAAGTATAAGATACTTCTTTAGCTAAAATCATGGGCAACAATGTTATCATATGAACTTTCTGTGACACAAAACAAGTTTTGTAGAATGAAACTCCCTTCATAAAGAGATGAAGAAAGAGAGGGGGGTGAGAGACAGCCAAACAGGGGGCGGAAAAGATGCTCGTAAGTTTTTCCCTTTCCAGGCCCCACACATCTCGTTTAAAAGCTTTCCGAGGAGGTCACAGGCAGGATTTGTTTGGTTATCAGTGGTTCTTTTGTTTTCTTTGAAAACGAGAGGAGATGTAGTGGCAAACATCAGGCTGAGTTTGAGAGTGTTGACTTGAACATCTATCTACTGAACTAACAAGAGCGGTGGCCTAAGTTCAAGACAGGCAAGAAAGACTTCGTTGATGATCAACTTTTATAAGAGGAAAAATCAGCTATACGCGAAATGGTAGTCACCGGTCAGCAAACTCAGAAAAATAGATTAACTGCTGAACTTGCATTTGAGGGTTTCGATGAGATTAAACCCGAAATGAAAAAGAAAACCTATGATAAACGTTTCTATCGACAAACGAGTCTTGTAAGAGTGAAGTAAGTTAAATTGAAACCAAAATAAGTTACGAAATCCCCTTAAGAGCTCTTCATTTTCAGGCGACACCCAGAACACGACGCTACCTCTACACAAACTAAACTATAAAAAATCTGAAAAAGTAAAAGAACTTTCAAATAACGAGTGCAGTCGAATCTTTTCTAAGGGCAACTTCACAGGAAGGACACTTCAGTCTACAGTTTATTTGGTGCTACTAGTAAGTGATGAAAGTTATGCGTAGAATTTAAAGAAACAACTTTACCTTTACTTTAGTCAATTAGACAAACACTTTGCTCAGAAACAATTATTTATTGCAGAGCTGGGCAGATATCATTATGTTATCATTTCACGGTGTAGATCGAGTCAATTATATGGTTTTTCTCTGTGGTTATCTTTGAACTATTTTCTTTTTCTTCCCTTCTTTCCTGTTGGTGCTTCCTGCTGCTTCGCCTTCTTGTTTCTATTCTTATTTTTGACGTTCACTGTCTGGTAGTAATGAACACCAATTTTCTGTTTATTTGTCGTTAAGCGTCGCTGCTGAAAGAGTAAAACCAAAACAAGAACTAATTTACTAATTACCAATCACCAATACTAAATTATTAATAATCAGTTGTCTCGCTGTACTGCCAACGAAGAGTACAATATTATGTACAGGATAAACTGAGAAGACAAAGTAAAAAAGACACCTTAGATCGAATTAAAGTAAAACTTGAAGACCAGGAAACAAATATATCGGAAGGTGGGTGTAACAACTGGGCCTGGGGGTGCAAGGGAAAACCTGGCCGGGGGGGGGGGAGGGAGGGAAGGGAATCGCAAAGCCACTTCCTTACTCCCTTGCTTGCCATTGGCGCTCTTACTCGCTCCACTTCCCCCTCCCGTTCGAACATCTACTACGCATGTGAAAGGGAGTCTTTAAAGAAGACCTACTGTTAGAGAGGATTAAGGATAAGAATTGCTGGTTTGCACGTGACGTCACGGCGGCCATGTTCGTGCCGGGTCAACAACAAAGCATTTCTCTCTGAACACCATTTTGATATAAATTCTTGGGAAAAAAGTTTTATTCTTGACCACCAACATCACCGCCTTGTCACGTGATTGCAAACTAAGAACTGGTAGCTTAGGTGTTTTACTGAAACAGCTATATGAAGTCTGATGGCCTTTCAGCTGTTGCTTATAGCTTCCAGTCCATCGTTTGCGTCCTATCAATAAATCAAGACACGGTGTTGCTTCAATACTGCAGGCCATAAGAGCAGTCTTAACCAGTTATGCTCATATAACATCAGGGAAAGACCCACATAGGTTACCTTTGATTTTGGCGTTCCATCACCTTCATCTTCACTGTCACTTTTTCGTTTACCGCGTCTTCTACCAGGATGTCCTGCATCTGCAGATAAGGATTAATGGTGTAAAAATGACTATATAATCTTGTTCCCTGAAACTACATGTTGACGTAATTTACAATTTAACAAAATCAGTCTATCCCGGAACTGACAATAAAAAGATTCATAAAGCTAACGTTTTGAGGGCCAGTTTTTGTCAGAGCTAAACAGGGGATTGCGCGTCGTATGTAGCTTATCAAATCGCTGTAAGCGGGAGCTTACGGCGAGGTCACGGAGATTGAGAGTTCCACATCACTTTAAAGTATTTCTCGAATTAATAGCAGTAAAAAACGATCATTAGAACGGTCTGTACTTGTACTAAAAGTAGAAATAAACTACTCTACTGCTGGCGTCTCTTCCGCCCTTCAGCCAATAGGCAAGCCCTTCACAAAAACAAGAAAACGATTCACGTGGGAATCTGGTTCGTTTTTAAAATTATGTTCAGGACTTGAGCGGAAAAGTAAGATGATAATTCTAAGTATCAAATGTACAAGCTATTATTAATCTTATTGAAACATACTTCCTTTAGAATTTCTCCTTAGGTCTGACATTTCTTTCTTCGCTGTTTTTAATCCCGATAGACGCGCACGCGGCGTGTGACTCTCTTCTGGGTTTTCACGATGCCTATGGCTGTCGTCATCATCACTTCCCAGTGCTTCTACGCATGCGATATAGGGACTGACTGAAACTGAGAAGCGCTTCTTAGAGGGTGTAGTCCATTCTTTGGCTTGGCGGGAAGGTAACGTTTGGGCACCTGAATAATAACGCCAAACAAGAGATGGTTATCACTCAATCCACCAGATGGCTATTTATGATTCACAAAAGCGTAAGGGCCAAAAAACTTTTGTAGAAAAACGATTTACCTGGCGAGTTGTTGTATTTACAAAGTAATCGCTGTTTTATCTCGTCAGCTTCCATGCTCCGCGCGATTGACAAATCCGTTTTATTTTCTTCATTTTCTAGCTCTTCGTCTTCATCATCTTTTTCTTCATCTGACAGTTGGTTATTATCTTGTTTGTTAGAATCCCTCTCCTTCAACTCCGTGGTATTTTGTTTCTCTACCGCTCTCTCTTCTTCATCTTCTTCATCTGTTAAATCGTCATCTTCACTCTCGATTTCCTCGCTCCTGAAATAGAAATCTAAATTAAATATTTACCTATTACACAGTATTAATTCATAACCAGACATTCTCCAAAGCCAATGACAGTAACCTCAGTTATGTTAACCAAGATTTTACCAGAATATTTAAAGCACATAGTTAGGTATAATAAACGGATGTTAAGTCGTGATTTTTGAAGCATTGCACATGGCTAACGCGATAGCTAAGTGAATGTAAAAATTCATTTCAACTTTGCCCTGGTTTCATCTTACTGCAGTTTGCGTTGGCGTTTCGTCTCCCTTGCGCGCGCGTAAAACCAAAACTGTGAGTTGATACGCGTTTGACCGGACTTGTATTTCAAACTACCTGCTTCTATTGTCATTGGTCAGAATAATTACAAGCCCAGTGCGTTAGAAGTAATGACTTACTCAGTATGATCAGGCTTGCCATAAGCTGCCCTGATATCATCCTGTTCATCATTCTTTTCATCTCTACCCATTTCCACATCGTCATTCTCTGATTCATCATCAGATTCACTTTCACTGACAGATATCTCTTCCTCGCCTTCGCTGTTCTCTTCTAATGGTTGCACATCATCGCCAGTGTATTCTGGACCCACGTTAATTTCACTAAAGTTCTGTTTTACATGCGGAGTGTTTGTCTTCTTTTCAGTGTTTTTATTATTAACGGTATCTTCGCTGCAGCCATTTTCTGTCGTCGTTTCTGTAGCTGAGATAGAGTCTTCCTTTGCGTCAGTTGGTTGGCTTAGAATTTCAGCGGGTTTTGGCTTAGGAGTTAAATCTAAAGTCCTATTTTCTTCCCCGCCCGCGTCATTTTCGTGGCTTGGTAATTCAGTGGGTTTTGCTTCAGCAGTTGAATCACTCAATGTCTTATTTTCTTCCCCACCCAAAAGGTTCCCTTCTTTGACCGTTAATTCGTCGACAGTAGCTTGTTCTTTAGCCGCTTTGTCTGTTTCAGAATGTCGATCGTTTGATTCTGTAGCTGTTTCTTTCACGAAGCTTATAAGAGACGTCTTTTGGTCACTTCTGTCATTCTTGTCTTTTTCCTGGGTTTCTTCGTCGCCTTCCTGAAAAAATAAAGATAAAACGAAATTAATTCCATCTCTGGAATGAAGTTCACTCAGAGTCTCTGTAGCTTAACAAACGTGCTTTATCTTGTCAACCCGCCGTGTTTGGAGTTTCAATCGTGGCAGCAAGTTTCTTCTCCTGTTTGTTGAAAAAATTCTGCATTGCTTCCCTTTGAAAATGGTCGAAAAAGGATCAACAATACAATACTTGCGAGATCAATTTAGGTTTCTGGGAAACTGCCTACCTACCGCTCCCATAAGTCAACATTAACACTAAGTTCTCACTTAGGGCAAAATGTTGGGTTAGGGGAGGGGTAGGTGGGCAGTTTCCCAGTGACCTAAATTGAAACTTTTGCAAACACTAAACGACTTATCAGCCACACTGAACAAAACCTGACTCGTGTGAGTTCTTTTTCACTTGAGTTTACTTTTGTGATTTTTGATTTGCATATTCATGTCTGTTGTTCTCCGACTAAAATAGTTTTCGCTTGAGGACAATCAAATCAGTGAAACCAGCAGGTTCTCGTCAAGGTTGTCTTGCGGCAGGCGACTACTGAGACTCCCGTTGATTTTGTCCCATTCTTGTCAATTGGCAATTTTACCTTGGGTGGTGGTGGCACAAAATATGGCAGCTTTCCTCGCTGAAAGTCGTTCAAAATCATTTTGCCAACCGTGTTCACATCCGCTTCACCACCCTGCAAAGGTAAAGAAAGTACATATGGTTGGCTATGTTTATTTCACAGTGCCATCCAATTCTTACGCGAAGCAAGTTTTATTAATTTGATGTTGCAAGGGACGATTCACGACGACGATTTTTAGCGCAACACAGCGTTGCAATGTTGGAACAATGTTGCAAGCATTCAAAACAATGTCGCTGCAATGTTGTAACACTGCGTTGCGCCAAAATTCGTCGTTGCGAATCGTCCCGTGTAACATCACCTTTAGAGACCTTACGATCCGACAACAGCGACGTCCATGAAAACGTCCCTGAAAAATAGACTCCGCATCCTTTCAAACCATTTCGCGGTCATCCAAAGTCGCCCGGTTACTTAAAAGAGGGGAGTTTACACAGAGGGTAGAATTAATCGCCTTGCCGTTCCCGTCCTCAAAACAAATTAAAATTTGGTCATTTCACGTCGTAGTCGTGCAGGGACGGCCAAGAAATGTACAGAAGAGCGTGATGCACGTGCAAAGTTGTTATTTTGCAAACTAAACCTGTTGCTTTTTGACGCTGCCGTTACCGTCGCCGTCGTTGTTTCGTACGGTCCTCATTAGGGAGTTTACGCAACGACGACGGCGACGGCTACGAAAACGTCACTTAAAAAGGGAATTTGCGCTGCCTCAAACTTTATCGCGCTTATTCTATATTCCAGCTCGTTTAATTCGTCAAATGTTGGAATATTTTTTTGGAGTTGAATTCTAAAGGACTGCATCAAAGTTCAGAATAACAAAAAGAAAGTTGTTGTCTTTTGTTCCCGTCCTCGACAAAACGTGAAATTAGGCAGTTTCACGCTGTAGTCGTGTAACGACGGCAGAGAAATGAACAAAAAAGCGTGATGCACGTGCAAAGTTGTCGTTGCCGTCGTCGTCGTTGTTGCGTAAACTCCCTATTGTCTCCCACAGATTACGAGTTGTGCCTTTGAATTAGAGCAAGTGAGGGAAATACCGTCCCCCCTTTCCGCGCGTCCCCGGGGTCATCGGTTTCGTCCATAAGCGATCTAGGCACAAGACTGGCGCGTCCCGCACTGGCTATATTCCGCTCCGCTTCTCGCATGCCTTACTCTATTTTACCTCAGAAAATTAACTTGAGGGAAGATATCATGTCGATGTGACTATACTTTGTTAGCTTGGACAAGCCAAAATTTTTAGCCAACAAAGTAATAGCCTCCCACGCAGACGTTCTTAGGGCTTCGTCACGCAATCATTCCTCCCCCACGAACGTGGGGTAAGGAACGCGTGACGAACCCCTGAGAACGTTTGCGTGGGAGGCTAACGAAGTAACGAATGCAACACCAAGGAATGAACGTTTTATTAAGATCATTAGAATTCAGTTCAAATTGAAATCACCGTCCAAAACACACGGAGGATCATTGCAGAAATACTTTACAAGGAAAACGACGTCTTTAGTAAATATACCGCTTGTCCCCAATTCCTAAAGACAAGGACACAGTTTAAGCATTCATACCTTAAGCAGCTTTCCGGTTCTTTGGGCGACTTGTTCTAAGAAGTCAGTAGAGTCTGTCCATGATGACACCTTGTACGTCTTCGCTATATACTCACGCTTTACTCGTTCCAGTACCACAGGAATATGACACGCCGCATCCTTTACATTCTCAACACGAACCTGGCAAACATAAGAGAAATACACATTTTGAAAGCCAGTGGACCTTTCCATTTTGCCTAAATTTCCGTAGGGACGTAAGTCAAACACTTCAGCTCCACCTCCACGGTGGATACGCTTGTTTTTGGCTGGTTTTGATCCTGTCTGACCAAAGCCAGCTTGCACGTACAGAACATCTATATTGCAGCACGCTGCAAAAGACCGGACGTCGTTTGTCAGCGTGAAGTAAAGGAAACCAGGGGGCGAGGGAAGGATACCTCTGCGCTCGAGCTAACAGCAAATTACTATTCTATTATCCAAAATTATTTCTTCCCGTCCCACTCAGTTTTCCTGGGGAAGAAGTCAAGGTTCATTTGCCTACAAAAAGTTTCAGGAAAATCCGGTAGAAGAGTGAATGGGACACTGCTTTTCGTGTCGTTCCGGTGAAAAATTTACGGCAGCAACAGACCATTTGGAAAGGTAGTCCTGTCTTTTCCGGATGGAATGTTCTGAATCCATTTGATCTGTTAAACCACTTTTTAAAATACCAGTATCAGGCTTTCGCGCGCATAACTGATTTGTGCAACCTGCTAGAAGAGCTTGTCTTTAAAGATGGACTTCATTCCAATAGCAAAGATTTTTCCTGAGATTTAATATTCTGAGACAAAGTAAAGACACGCTGTTATATATTACCATTCCACTCTTTATTGTTAATACTATTTTCTAAATGCAACCACACAAAAACGTTTATCCCAATAAATGTTCATTCTGAAAAAGACACTTTTTTAAGTACGATTCATACACAACAAAACAATAATTTTAAATCTCGTATTTGTCCCTTCTTTGCATTGAAAACTTCCAAACTAACATTACATGGAAGTATATTGTCTTTAAAAATTAAAAATCATCGTATACAACCTGTACTGATGTTACAAAAATAGTCACATAAATTTATCCCTTCGTTCGCAAAGACGACGAAATAAAAATTTATACATCTCAGCAAATCTTAATTAAAATGTATTTTGGCAGAATTATATTGATCCCTCTCTAACACTGAATATCACTAATTAACGCTACAGATAAGATTTCAAAAGAAATTATTAGAAAGCTTATAATCCCTCTCTTTCGTGGAATACCACAAAATGTTACTGCCTACGAGTTTTTTCGACTAAATTAAAATGAAAGTTGCATCTATCCCTTTCTTGCATCAGAACAGTATATTCAAATTATCAGTTCTATATAAATTGACTGTATTTACCTTATAACGTGAATTAGAAAACAAAGTAAATTCAAATTTTCGAAGAAAATATTGTACTAAAAGTTGCATTATTGAAAAAAAAAAGTTTTTCATTTATCCCCCTTTTTTAACGACATAGTTTTAAAAAAAATATATCCCTCTCTAAATCAAAATATCGCAAAAAAAAAAAAGAGTGCGTAAAATTCTTTCGGAACTAATCGAAATAGGAGCTGTATTAACTGTAATAAGGATTGTAGAGATAAACGGCAATTAAAAGTTAGCTTTGAGAAAATTATAAGAAAAAAGACAGAAGTTAAACCGAAACCAACACTTGATTGGCTACTTCCGAACTTCGAGTTCTGTTTGCAGTGTCGGCGTCTTTCATGGTTGGTCGTGGTTTTTGACCGTCAAATACTCAAATACCCAACAGCTTTATATTTGAAGTTATAAGCTGGATTCTATATAGTCATCATGCAGGGATTGTCTTGATTGCTTTGATTTTTGGAGGTCCATCGAGACAAACCCGACCCGTTATATGAAAACCAGCCTATAATTATATACTGTATACATACTTCAGTTTTGATTAAGCCAGGCTGACTGAGATGGCCCCAATCGTCCGGATCCAACGTTCCGCGTCGCATCAGAAGTGTTCTGTCGCATATGACATATGGCCCATCTCGACTGTCTGAACATATTCTGACATAATGCGGGCGATCGAGACCATCCAGACGATTATGTGGAAGCCAGGCTTAACCAAGTATAAGTCAATCTCAATGGTTTTCATTTCCACATTTCAAATTTACTTTTATGAAACGCGCTCCAGTGCTCAATCACTTAGAATGCAGTTCTTTAGAAGCGACCCGTTAGATGTCTTTAATCTTGTTGACGAAGACAGAAGTTTCTCATTCCAAACGTTTCTCTTTTACATAACTGATTTGCGGTAGAACCAAATAAATGGTACAATGGACAGTTTTGTTTCGTGTAATGAAATGGAACAACATGGCACGATCATCGCAATACGGGGAGAGGGGGGCGAAACCTTGTGGGGAGGGCGGAACCAGACAGGCCAACTTTTTTTCTTATTTTGCAATGTAACAATGTTGGAAGACAACACTTCGACTCTGAATATAGCGAGTAAAATGGTGAGATTATTCCACAGGGCACCCACGTAGCCGGGTTTTAACCTGTTCCTTAAGTCAGCAGATAAAACCGAGAATCCCAAGAAGTTGATTGAAGAAAAGCTTAATCGAAAGTGACTGAAATAAAAGAAGCAAGGGAATATTTCAAGATTCCCGCAGGCTCGTTTCATGATTCGCTTTCTACTCTCCAAGTCTTTTTTCGCTCACCAGCCTTTCATAAACTTCCCCATGCCTGCACATTTGAACGAATCAAAAATTTTTCGCACCTCGCAAGTAGGAATCGGTGCTTTTTGTCTGGCCGCAACTCTTATGATCAAGGAGTACATCATCGGAGGCTTGTGTTGTAAACCATCAAATGATCAAATTATGTGTCCTCCGCGAAAAACATCACTCAACACGTGAGGCAAAACCGACCGAGTAAACCCAGGCGCGATACATTCAGTCAAATTTTTTGGATGGAATTTCCTTGGTCCTATGGGGCGAATGGAAGGCCACGTCGGTCCGAATCGATCCACTTCTCTCTAAGGACCGACCACAACAGTTTCGGACCGAAATTTTTAAAGACATTGGCTGAATGGATCGCGCCGGTTGTAACCAGTCAAACCCCTCTGGCCCCTTAACTTTCTGAGATGATGACGATGATGATGATGATGAAGACAACGATGATGATGATGATAATGATGATGACAATGATAATGGTGTTGACGGTGGTGGTGGTGGTGGTGGTATTATATGTAGTGGTGATGACGTCGATATATTATTTCACTGAGTGTGTTCATACTAGACATCTAAGTCTGTCTTAGCAATTTCTTAAGTCGACTTAGTAAAAATCATACGTGTGAACTGCCAAGTCTAATAAGCGAAATTTCCGACTTAGAAGCGGCAAACTCAAACTGCTTGGGTAACATCATAAGTCAATAATAAGCAAACCCTGTCCAAATAAAAAAAAATTAAAAAAAAAGGAAAATTGTCGGGGTCAAGAACCCGCGTTTTGGCGACAGAAAAGCAAGCATTTTTTGGCGCCATTGGAGGGCGACTTCGATTTCGAATTTTCACCGCATTCCTCCGGAATGTTCCTCGTCCTTGTCGTCGGCGAATCCTTATCCGCAGAGGGGAATTCACAAATAGGCGGTTTTCACTCTCTTGTGCCAAATCTCCACTCACTATTTCACAGAGAAATATGAGGTTTCGCAGTGTTACCTTTACAAATTAAGCAAGAACACCACTGGGGCAGTTGTAGCGATCTGACGGCCTCTCGGTCTCATTTTCGACTAGGTTTCTGTAGGTAACTTTCTTGAGGCAAACCGACGAAAAAAGTCTCTATCACTTCTAATAACACGACTTGAAAGGTTGGCATGAAAATAATCTTTTCCATCTGAACGACTAAGCATACTTAGACTGGCTTAGGTTGACTTGAGCTTAGTCTGCTTAGGACCGACTTACTGTCTAGTGTGAACATAAGAACTGTGATCACTCTTGGGAGTGAAAGTGCGGAACGGACTCCAAAGGGGCCTACAGAAATGTTTGATGTTTTGAAGTGTCCGTCTGTAGAGATGTCATTTCACCATGGAAGGGTTTGACCGTACCCGGAGACAAATGAAGTGGATTTATAATCTTGAAGCAATGAGATGTTACAGTGGAAGCATTTTTGTTTGACCACAGTCAAGCAGTCAACATCCCCTCGCGGAGTCTGACTGCAAAGGCAGAGTTCGAAGATAGCTTCCAGGAGTCCAGTCCAAGTCCACTTGTGGCATGACGTTGGTTTCCTTAAAGCCGTCGATACCTCTCCATCAGCGGATACCGATCGCTATCCAACTGTCTGTGATGCCTGGCGATAACGTTCTCTACACAATGATATCCATACAGATATCTTCCTTCAGTTAAGATGAATGACAACTCATTTCAACAACTGCACTTTTGACGATCAATGCTACCACTCTGTATCTACCGCGAGTTAAAAGAATTCACTCTATAACCCTGGCAAAAAAATGATTCCCAAACGTTTTGAGAATGCATGGTGATTAAAACTTGGCCTGGCGTGATTGGTTAAATCGTGCACGTTTTGCAGACTGATTGACAGGCAGGCACCATTTAACCAGTCACAGCCATACTATATGGTCTTAATCCTTGCGCATGCTCAGTAAGTTTGGGAATCGTTACTTGGAAAGGATTTCTTTCTTTTGCCTGCGAAATTAGCGACCGACCAAGAAACCCTTTCGCAAAGTGATCGGTATCAGCTTATGCCACAGTCAAGGTATCAAGAAAATGCATGTGAACCTAAGTTATATGTACCTAAATTCGTTTAGGAAAAACGGCGCATTTGCTTAATACAACAAGTAAGGCATCAGCTGTTGATAAGTAGGAGTATAGAATGGTAACTTCGAGGGTTTGCAGGACTGCGAGATCCTGGTTTCCAAATTTCAAGACCGAGACTTAAGCTTTTTTAACAATTCCGAACCCGAGACTCTAAGCGCCGAAATTCCGAGGTAATGGCCTTGTTTCAGACTTTCTTAATCTATTAGTTGGATAACCTATATACCTATTAACTCTGAAAAAATTCGACTTCTGAAGACCAAGCGGACAGACAAAAACAACAAATCCGAGATTGAGACAAGTCGGCAAAAAAAATGGAGACTTTGAGACGCATAAATCAGCCGAAAGCGAGACTTCGAGACGCCGAGACCCATAAAAAACGCTCCGATATCGAGACAGGACCCACGTTTTTCGAAGTACCATTCTGTACCTCTACTAGTGGTAGCATTCACCAGGAAGTGTTGGGAAGCGTTGAAATTTTGGTTGCCAGTCATCGTAAACATCGATGCACATCTATCAATGTCAGTTTCTCTATCCGTGTCTCAGTGTACTCATGGCCACCGACGGCCGCTGTTTTGGCTCGTCATGTAATCCTTGAGGAGGACCGTTGCGTGACGTGCCAAAAATGTCTGGTATCAAGAGATCATTATGATCTCTTGCTGGTGTACTCACCGATATCTGTTATAAGGTATCAATGAATAAGTAATGATATGCTTCTATCGCTGGCAAATCTATTGACTTGGACACTTATCAATGACGGCCAAGATATCAATAGAGCTCCAGTGGTAGAAAAATGAAGATATATGTTTATTAATTAATTGACACCGATAGATATGATACGGGTCAAACTTACATTCAGGTTAAAAATGTTTCAACCTAGGTTGACTCTCAATTTTCATTGGTTCTTACCCTAACTGTCCACGAATTAGGGCTAGGAGACAATGGAAATTAAGAATCAACCTAGCTAGGTTAAAAAAATTTAACCTAAATATAATTTTGACCTGCAACAGATAAACCGAAAGTACATAAGTTACTATTGGCAGACACCGATAGTAATCCGTACTTAAAATATATCGATGGATGTCCGTTGATGGCAATATATCAATGGATATCCACAGATGGCATAAAGAATCGTTGTAGTACGAATTTCAACTTGGTCCAATCTTTCTTCTACTTAAAGGTAAGACAAAGGGAAAATTAAACCAAGCACTGAATTGAACCACAACATATACACTTAATGACGCAGGTGAATTGAAGTTATCTCAAAAGATATAAATTTCAGAAAAGAATATCGATGTACATCTATAAATAAATGGCTAAAGAAAGCTTTCAAGAGTTATTCGTTCAAAAAGAGTTTTCGATAGAAATTTGTTGATATAGGGAAATCATAAGATATAAATAAACAGATGGATACCTCTGATATCGAGTGAGGGAAAGATATTCTTCAAAGGAAGGAGTAGGAACACATCTTAAGTGAGACAGATATCAGTGGTGAAAGCTGTGAACAGAGGGATATCGGGAGATATTCACTTAAAGAAACGTACATGACTGGATGACTATAGGATAGGATAGGAAATAATAGAATACCTGCTTTAAAAAACGATAAGCACAGAATAACGACCACAGGCGTTTGAAAAAGGTACAGCTACAACGACAATGACGCATTCTCTATAAGACCATTTGTACACACAGGCGGTTTAGAGTGCTTTCGACGCAGGCTAAGAAGAGTAGATTGACAATAAGACCGTAAGAAAGGGTAGGACTCTTTAGAAAAACGTTTACCTATATACAAAAAGAGTTGCAGTGGCCTATACATCATCAATCAGAAGAAGGCTGTTAAGGAGATAAATATCGTACGATGGAAATCAATTGAAGATCAATGAGAGGTTTTAATTGACATTAAAAAGGATGTTGATGTATATAGTTGCTAGATCAGAGGAAGAAAAAAAGATGAACATATCGTCAAAAAATAGCAGCTGGCTTATGGAGCGATTTCTAGAAAAGCTGTAAGTGTTAATTTGTTAGAAATCCGGGAAGACAAGTTGTGGTCAGAGTTAAAAATCTGAACTATCTTAAGCTTTCTGTGGTACTTGAAAAAGTAAAAGTTTACTGTTGAACAGAGGCATAAGGATAGAGAGAGAGATTCCTTTTAGCATAATAGAAATAGATTTCAGAATTAGAGGGGTGTCCAGAACAGCAAAGGGTGTCTACCATCCTAAGTGTACCACGTGACTATATTCGTCCAATGAAAGCTCTAAAACATGATCCGTCGTTAATAACGACATAGAGATCCCTGAAGAGACAGAGAAATATTTAGTAGAAAACATATCTCTAGGATAGGTCCCTTTCCTTTCCGTGGATGCGAAAATATCGACCAAAAATGTAATCGAGACACCTAGAAGTATGATTATCTGCAGATAGCTACTGATGTCAACATACCTACAAATATCAAATAGGTAAAAATGAAATCAACAGATATCTAAAGATATCCACGGATATCTATTGATATTCACATATCTATAGATGATTATAGATATCTCTTAATAAAATTATACACAAATATCCATGAAAAGGAAAATCACTCATGGTTATTGCTGTAAATATCAAATATCAGTGGATAGCTTTTTTCTTACTCTGCTCGGCTAGTGAGCAAAGGTGGACAGCATTTCCATTCACCTCGCAACGAGCACTCCTGGAAGATTTTTTTCTGTTTAAAGGAAAAAATCTCGGTTCGGCTACAAGCTGGCTATTCACTGGTTTTGTATATAGGTAAGCAACTATTCACCATAGCGTTGGCGATGACGCCTCAGTGAATAACTGTTACATGTCTAGGTTGGATATCATTGAATATCCACCATCGGAACGGCAGGGGTATTTTGCAGAACGCCGAATGACTCCGAATTTACTGATTGGGGTTAGGAACTTGAGTGAATCAGGTTCCATTTAGGGCCATTAAACTGAGAAAGCAGACCTGAAACTAAATTCACTCAGTTTCCTTACCCTATTCACCAAACTTTAGAGTCATTCGACGCTCTGCATTCGGTGCTCTGCAAAAGACCCCTGCCGTGTACGAAAGATATCTATATTTTGATATACGTATGTATAAAATATTATCGTTAGGTATCCACAAACAGATTAGAGTAGCAATAGATACCCGTAGATAGAAAGGTATCAACAGCTTCAAGAAGACCGGCGCCGTGCTACAAGTGAACTTGGATTGGCCTCCTGGAAGCTGTCTTCGGGTTCTGCCCGAACAATCGAACGCCGTGAAAGGATGCCGACTGTTTGAAAGTGGTCGCCGTTAGCTGCCTCCACTGTGACATCTCATTGCTTCAAATTATAAATCCCTGCCGTTCAAATACATTTGTCTCCGAGTATTTAAGATGACTTTCAGTCGGTTTTGCTCCACGTGGAGAGATTTACGGTGTCGTTACAGCCGCATCCAGGGTTAAAGTAAGTAATTAGAAACAAACGTGGGTGCCCTGTGGCTAAAGAAAACCTTCTCGCTCAACCAGTTTTTAAAAGGGACCTTGTGATTCCGACAAGGAAGGCCACGAGGATCAAATTTTCAGATGTGTTTTAAGCACGCATTACTTAGATTAGTAGTACTAATCTGAGTAATGCGTGCTTAGAAACACATGTCATTTTGGCGGGGAAACGTGGTAGCCGCCGTTAACCTACTTCCGGTTTTAGCGAGAATGTCGTACTGACACAAAGAAGTTATCAAGTGTTAGAATTCGCAGTTTTATAATTTTGCAATCAGAAGAGGACTTAGCCTCCTTCAATTAATATAACTGTGCTTCCTTTTCAGGGGAAAAAAAATGTACAGTGAAGCTTCCTGGGCTGTAAATTTTTTGAGAATACGCGAAAAAACGTAAAATGAAATCGCGTCCTCGCAGTCGTCTTCGAATCTAAAGGTTTCTTACGGTTTCGTGTCCATTTTCAGATTCGTTAAATGCTGCGAACAGATTAATTAGTAAAGGGGGTCTACAAAACAAAAGAAAACGAAAACCCACTGGTTGTCTTCACCAAGGTCACAGTTGGTCCACTATTTTCACGGCTCCGACCCCACCCCAACCTTCTGCAGGCCAAGGTGCTTAAGCCCCTCCCAGCCCCTCAACTGAAGCACAACGATATCGATTGAAATGCGATCTTTTGAATACTTTGGATTCGAAACCCGTAAATCAAAAAAGTAAAAAGAAAATTTAAAAAAACTGCAACAAACATTCAATATTGAAGATGCAAGCAAGATCAGTTTTAAGTTAAGAAACGGGTCGTTTCGTTAGAATTTCATTCTAAGCGATTGAACACTTAAGTGAAATTCCCAGTGATAGAAGTTTGGGTATTTTAAAGAATAAGTATATATCACGATGTATCTGAACGCATTGATAAGGGCAAAAAAAGGATGGAACCTGAGTTTACAAACAATCTTAAGGGGCCGACCATTTGACTTCTGTGAAGGGGGGCTAAGGGTGATTTTCGAAAAAATGGAAAATGCCAAGGGAAATGCCATGGAAATGCCAAGGGAAAAAATATCCTGCACTGAAAAAAATGTCTCTGATGGCCTATAATGCATGGAAAAAAAAATCATACACCGGTAATATGATGAGGAAGAAAATTCTATATCCAGAGGTTTGGGAAAAAAAAATCGTTACCCAAACCAAATCACCCATAACCCTGCCTCCTCAATAGTCAAATTCAAATGGTCAACCCCTAAATAATACGTCTAAAAGGTTTGTATTCTAAGAAAAAAAGGAAAGGGATATATTCACGATAAAAAACATATAACGGATACTACAAGTAATATTCCGTAAGAACCACATGTGTTATCAAATAAAAGGGGGTAAATTCAAAGTATCAAAAACAATTTAAAAAGACCGCCGGATTTTAGGATTAAATATGGATGAAAGAGAGGGATTCTTGAAATGGAAAGTTAAGGATAAATAGAACAGATCTAGAATTGATTATTATAAAATAAAAAAAAAACTTGTCTATCACAAATCCATCAAAAAAAAAAAGCGATTTTCCCACAGATGCTTAAGGATGATTAAGAGATCGATAATAACTAGTTAGAGAGGGATATTTCAAAGCAAAATAAAGAAGGATAAATTCAACAAAACTATAGAACTACAAAAGCACTTTGCTTTTGACAAAAACTTTGAGAATCTTTGAACATACCCATCCCATGAGAATGTTCTTTCTCTTTTTCGTCTTCTTGATGGGTCGGTGTTCGACCACGTGCTCGCTGCAGTGTTGTTGTTGTTGCTGGTTTAGTTTGGGAGGTCCTTGTGCCTCTACTTCATTGAACTGATCTTTGTTGCTTTCATCTTTCTCTACCTTTTCCACCACCGAACTTAAGCTACCCACTTTCTCTAAATCCAAATTGTGGTCATGATCTTCCGCACCGAACAGAATACCCAAATCCAATTCTTCTGGATCACATTTTTCACTGACCTCTTCTCTACAATGAAGCAACTGCAAGTTAGGAACATCCTCTGAATCAACTTTCTTATCATCAACTTCCTCTTTCGCAAAGCACATTTCCTCTTCGTCCTCGGTGATCTCATCGGAATGATGGTCTTGTTCTTCTCTTTCACTCTGCTCATCTTCGCCATCTGATCCACTATAAGATACACTTTCTTCATCGTCACTTTCGCTCAATGGGGTGATGATCATCGGGAGATCATCATCACACTGTTCATGTTCTTCTTCCTCATCAGGCTCATCCTCGTGACCAAATTTCGCACAAGATGTACTTTGATCACTACAATCTGATTTCGAATCGGATTCTTTTTCTTCATAATCATTTTCACTGAACGAAGAGATCTCATCGCTAGAATGGTCTTGTTTTCCTCCCTCACTCTGCTCATCTTCGTCATCTGATTCATTGTAAGATTCACTTTCTTCATCGTCATCTTCGCTGAATTGGGAGATACTGGACACGCAGGTGTCGTAGTCAGAAGATTTGCTATCCTCATCGTCACTTTCGCTGAATGAGGTGATCAAAATCGGTAAATCATCATCAGACTGGTCATGTGCTTCTTCCTCATCGGGCTCATCCTCCTGATCCAATTGAGCTTTCGATGTGCTTTCATCACTGCAATCTGATTTCGAATCGGATTCGCTTTCCTCATAATCACTTTCACTCAATGAAGAGATCTCATCGATAGAATGGTCTTGTTTTCCTTCCTCACTGTCCTCATCTTCGTCATCTGATTCATCGTCACTTTCGCTGATTAAGGTGATCAACCTCGGTAGTTCATCATCAGACTGGTCATGTTCTTCTTCCTCATCAGTCTCAACCTCCTGATGTAATGCAGCATTAAAGTTACGTTCATCACTGCAATCTGATTTCGAATCGGACTCGCTTTCTTCATCACCACTGAAACTGAATGGGAAGATCTTATTGATAGAATGGTCATGTTCTCCTCTCTCACTGCGATCGTCTTCGTCAGGGGATTCGCTTTCTTCATCACCACTGAAACTGAATGGGAAGATCTTATTGATAGAATGGTCTTGTTCTTCTCCCTCACCGCGATCATCTTCGTCATCGGATTCGTTTTCTTCATCACCACTGAAACTGAATGGGAAGATCTTATTGATAGAATGGTCTTGTTCTTCTCCCTCACTACGATCATCTTCGTCATCTGCCTCGCTTTCTTCATCACTTTCGCTGAATGGCGAAATACTGGACACGCAGGTGTCATAGTCGTACTGTATTTTCGCCGCTGTGGGTTCGCCGATTGTCTCAAGCGCTCTGACAAATTTCTCAAAGTTGTACCTCACAAGAATCTTCAGCTGCTTCTTGTTGGAAAGAATGGCATTGTGATGCCAGCACTCTACCGCATTCTCATAGAATTTAAACTTGTACCCCTCAGGGAGACGAAAGGGAGTGCCTGTGTATGTGGTATAAAACTTTGCATCTCGCAGATAGAATTGAAAAGGTGGCACCAACTCTGCCAGGATAGATTCCTTGTAAGCGACGTAAGGTCCATAATAGAAGATATAGAGCGTCTTTGTGACTCGAACGCCCCATGTCATTTCTTGACGAATTTTTCTGATTTTGACATATTTTTCTGCTGTGCGCCTTCGCTCTGCGATCTGTACAATTTCTCCGTATTTCTCATTTTCTGTTTCGATAAGATTACCAAATTCACTCAATTCCCACTCGGACCTGTCGTACGCCATGTTTTGGATCTCTGTCTGAAATGGATGAAATTGTTTTCCTTTGTTTCGTCATTTCATTCGAAATGGCGTCAGAAAGACTCCACGATTGCTTTGAATGGAAGCACGCGCATAAATCCTTCCCAGTGTGTGTGCAAACAAATTCACCTTCTTCTTATACTACAACCTTTGACATTACTCTGGTATCATATGAAAAGTAAAATCCTGAATAAAATCTCGCAAAAAGCACCAATTATGAAAAACATACTGTTCCGGAAAGTAAGGAATAGCGCGTGCCGCATAGCTACCATGCGCGTGCTTCACTGACAGTTGGAGGTTTTTTAGTGCTGTCATCTGCGAGATGACGTGCACTTCGCTTTCGTGGCATTTAAACAGAGAAAAGTACAATGTTAGTCATTTTGAATAAGTTTCTTTTTGGTTGATCTGACAAATTCAGGTAACAGAATTTGAGGCAAATTCTCGTCTTCATTTCCGAATCAATTTTCAACGAATCAGATAGGTACAAGAACAAAACCAAGACAAGGTCCATTCGATATAAGTTGAGACTTACTGCAGAGTTTTTTTAAGTTAATGCTGCTCGTTAAGATAGAAAAATATGTTACCCTAGTAAGAAACTCTCATGCAGCAACGATAAGTTTCAAAGGGAAAAAACGCCATGAGTAAATAGGGGGGGTTGAGCTACTACGAAGGTGACGGCAGCAAAAATGCGGCCTTCAGTGTTAAAAACTTTTTAGCAATTATTCCGCTCCCTCTTACCTCGATTTATTAGGGAGCTTAAGCAACAAAGACGCCGAGGCTACGAAAACGTCTCTTAAAAAATGAAGTCGCGCTGTCTCAAACTTTATGCCCTTATTCCATCTCGAAGTTAATTTGTCAAATGTTGGCAAATTTCTTTGGAGTTAAATTCTAAAGGATTGTACCTAAGTTCAAGAAAAGAAAAAGAAAATTGTTGCTTTGTGTTCCTGTCGTCGACAAAACGTGAAATTAGGCACTTTCACGTTGTAGTCGTGCAACGACGACAAAGAAATGTAAACAAAAGCGTGATCACGTGCAAAGTAGTTATTTTGCCAATCTAAACCTAATGTTTTTTTTTTTTGGCCTTTCTCGTTGCCGTCACCGTCGTCGTATGCTTAAGCTCTCTATGAAATACAGGGAAGAGAATACTTACGAAACGCATTTACGTTTAAAAATTGGCACTGTGTGGTAACGAACTCCATAAAATACCAAGGAGAAAACTTCACCTCGTAGTCGTGTTGTGACGGAAGAGTCGAAAAGAGTTTGATATGCATTGTTGTTGTACTTATTAAATCTTATTTTTGCTTCCTTTACCGTTGACGTCGTGGTTGCTTAAGCGCTGCTAAGACAAAGCAATTATAAGAAAGACTCACCACGCCTTTGAGTATGATATCGGTCTCCGAATCTCCACTCGGATAAACAACTCCAGGACAATCAATTAAATATATTCGTCTCATTAAAGTAACATACTGCCACACCTGAATTGAGCATAAAATACCGAGAAAAAGGTCACTGAGGCAATTCAACTACAGTCAAAACTTAAGCTATGACGTGATACCTAAACTGGGATCTGCTTCGACAGACAGAATTTGGCTCGATCACCAGGCGCTGTTCGCGAAATGAGCCCGCGCTCGTTCCAAGTCCCCGTTTTGATCAGAAGTAAACAAGAATTAGAATTTTAGGAATGAGCAAAAAATGTACCCCTAAAATGATCATTCAACTGAAAATTCTTTGACAGCCCTATCACTTGTTACCATTTGCTTTTCAGCATTTTACAAAATGTAATTCAGAAAATTTTGTTCAATTTCGACTTTCGCCATCTTTGGCAGTGAAAGGTCTAAATCAAAATATTTGATAGCTTTTGTATTAGTTCAGAAGTCTTCTATTTTCGCTTTATCTGCTCAGCGCCTCACAGAAGGTCAAGCCGTGTATTTTCGTTGTATTTAAAATCAATTCAGATTCGAGGAAGAGGACAGGATATAACCTTAAGTTTTCTAAAGGACTCTATTAGCGGTTTTAGGGGATATGATATTAATTTTGACTGTGTTTTCTAACTTACCTTTGTTTCTCCAGCGATGGGTGCAACATTGCAGACCTTTTTAGCTCTCAGGGTATTAATAATTGAACTCTTGCCAACATTGGGATAACCAATAACACCAACACTGAAAAGGAAATTAACGAAGGCCAATATTGGGATAACCAATAACACCAACACTGAAAAGGAAATCAACGAAGGCCCATATTGGGATAGCCAATAACACCAACACTGAAAAGGAAATCAACGAAGGCCAATATTGAGGGTGAAAAAGGCATAAAAGGATAGACCGCGAGCGGTCGCCCTTCTTTCCTCAAAGCCACGAGCGGCGGGGAAATGGTAAAATTATATTCAATTCATCACCAATAGATGAGTTTAGGCGCTGGTGCCTATCAAGTTGGTGAAGCTGGTCAATGCTCCCGTGAGCAGCCCCCACCAGGCACCGTCAAATACTTACGAAAGTACCAACCAATACTTACCTTGCCCTGAGTTAAAGAGGAAGGGAGGGTTGGGAAAAAACACAGAACAAAAATGCCAAGCAAGCAACAAGGCTATAGCAAAAAACTTTGCGAAAAACTGCAAACAAGCAACTGTGTATTCAAGTAACGACGTGCTCCTGTTAAAAGCATTAGGGAGCTTTAGCAACGACGACGGCGACGGCAACGAGGACGTCAAAAATGCAATAGGTTTATTACGCAAAACAGCAACTTTGCACGTTCATAACGCTTTTTTGTACATTTCTTTACCGTCCTTGCACGGCTACCACGTGAAAATGCCTAATTGCAAGTTTTATAGAGGACGTAAACAAGCGACGACGAATCTCTTTTTCTCCCCCTAAACTTGAGTGCGGTCCTCAAGAAATCAACTCCAGAGAAATTCGCCTACACTTGCCATTTTCAGCAAATTGGAATAAACGCGACAAAGATTGAAAAAACGGGAATTCATTTTAAAACTGACGTTTTCGCTGCCGTTGCCGTCGTCGATGCTAAAGCTCCCTATTGTGCCACCGCAAGCATCGTTGGGAAAAAATACCGACCAGGATTGGATCAAGGTTAATTTTGCCTCAAATACATTTAGCCACACTGATCAAATTAGTTCGGTCGGGCTTCGCCGCTCGCCCCTCTCCTCCAACAATCGTGCTCGCATCTACCGTGACTCAAAAGAAAAATAACACACTGCTCTCGTCTAATGAAAGGGGTAAGCCTAAGAACACTTAATAAGTTACTGTTTCTTTCAGTGACAATTTCAACAACAGAATTATTAAAAGTAAGAACCAACCTTATTTGTTTCTTGTCGGAATGAAGCTGTGTGAAAAAAAAAGTTTAAAAATGGAATAAGACTTGAAATGACAGGGTGACAATCACTACAGCTGTATGCTGATATTTTATTTAATCATAACTATAACAAAATTGTCAAATCTGATTGGTTCTCAACTGCCCTGATTTCAGCCTTAATAGGACAGTTTAATAGGACAGTACGCGTCATGCCTAAGTAATTGGACAATACGCGCCATCACGCGCGCGCTTAAATGGCTTTTTTGTTTTCATTGCTAGCGAAAAAATCGTGGAATTTCTTGTGTTTTGATTTAAAAAGAGCCCTATATATCACAAATTTTGTTAAAGTTATGATTAATTGGTAACAGAACTTTGTGTCGTCCAATTCGGTCTGTAATCATACTCGTGATTAAACAAATCGGACTCCCGCTACGCGGTCGTCCGATTTTGTTAATCACTCGTATGATTACAGACCGAATTGGACTCCACTCAGTCCTGTTACCATTACTTATACATGTATTAGAATAAGAGCAAACGAGAAAAAAAACTGCACACTAAATACATCACAGTACACTAAGGCCTAGCAAAACGTCGAACTTTTCATGAGACAAGCAAAGCTCTAATTTGGGTCGACCTAAATTCAGTTAAGATCGTCTGTTGGGTCAGACGTCTAACTTAGGACACGTCAAACCAATTAACTTATAAATAATTTTCTCCCGAAGGAGGCTAAATGTACATTTCATACTAGTTTTTAATTTACTAGTTTAATTCGCCGTGTGTATAAAAGATCAACGATTGTCCCAGACGATCTTCAGTCGTTCTATCCATCTGAAGCAGACGGAGAGAACGTGCTGGACGATCCTAACTCATTCAGACGAACTTAACTGAGCCTGAAGTCGAACCTTTAATAAACTTAACTCACTAAGTTTGGTTCGTCTCATGAAAAGTACGACGTATGGCCTTGGCCCAAGATACTTTTTAAGTTTCCTACTTTTCATTATGCGACAATAAAAGTGGCAAACCTTGGCAAATTGCCTGAGAAGGTTTATTAAAGCTCCTTTGCCAAATGGGTTTGTTACACTTGCATGAAAGGCCAGAGTTGGATATTCTGCAGACAAAACTGTCACCCATCTTTGCTATAAAGACAAACGAAAAGAAAGACACCCATTATAACATTAGTCCGCCGCGTGCGGCGGTTAAACGCTTATTTAAGGGCAAAGTTCTTTTGGTGCTGCATTTCTAGGCATTGTGATTGGCTAAAAATCTCAAAGAACGTTCTTTAACATTCAGCCAATCAGAAGTAAAATACGAAGCCTTCATAGACTGTTTTGGCGGCTTTCATACTTTTTTCCCGCCTACGATCAGTGATTTTACTTTCACCTTAATTGTCCCATTAGGATTCTAGTCCAGGAATAGAAAAAATACAAATATCAGATAATCTTATAAAAATCTCTTTCTTACCGTCACCCATGTCGGCACAAGGTCACATTTGTTGAGAACAAATATCAAATGTTTGTGTTGTTTCTCTTTCTTCATAAAAGATTCAATATGACTGGAGCGCGTCCCCATCGGGTCACGTGCGTCCAATACCTGAACAAAAAGAAGCAAATAAATAAAATATTAATAATAAACAAGTGTTAAGGAACTAAAAGGTGTTTTTAAACCGTATTGCAGTAAAAGACAAAAAGACATTCACTGATTGAAAAGATTTCTACTTTGTGTTCACACCGCCTAATATTACTTCGAAAATAATGGTACCTGTAATACAGAACGTGTAGATAAGAGGAAAAAGGTGTGGGAAGAAAAGAAAAAGACAAGTTCCCATGACAAGGTACATGTAATCAGCAATGGCAAAGAAAGTAGTGCCGATAGCCCAAGGCTAATGGATTTGGCTATTTTGCCGGTGTTTTATCTAAACAGTGCTGAAAGTCCATATAAGAAATAACTTATTAACCTCGTCCATTAAGCGAAAGTGAGGTCTGAGGTTTCCCTATAATGACCTCACTTTCGGGTTAATAAGTGGTATTTAACTTGCCTGGTAGGCAAGTGAAGTTTTTCGCGGAATTCAAATTACAGTGAGGAACTGTTATCAATGCTCATCAAAATCTCTTTTATCAGGCTAGTTGAAATGACTTTTGAGCTAGTACATGTGCATTTACAGCTTGCCCAAATGACAAGCTGTAAAACTGACTTCCTTTGCACCGTTGTCACCCACTGCACGACTGTGTCATGAAACCTCCTAATTTGACATTTTATGGAGGACGTGGACATACAACGACGAATTTTCCTTCCTCTTTCTGAACCTGAATAAAATCCTTAAGAATTCACCTCCAAAAAAAGTCACCTGTATTTGACATATTGAGTGGGTCCAAATAGACGCGATTAAAATTGAAGGAACGCAAATTCATTTTTTTTACCGACGTTTTCACTGACGTCGTCGTTGTCGTCCTTGCTTAAGCTCCCCATTAATGTACTGTTGACAACTACCATTTTAAAAACTGCCTCTCCCCTGTTAACAAACCCACTCTAAATTTGATTTTTACCACTGAATGAACAAAAGAACTGAGAGTAAACTACAGTACAATTTTTTTAAAAAGCACAACAAATTAATAGATAGGCCCAAGGGTCCACATTACAGACTGAGGCATGTCTATCCATGTTATATATAAATTAGGTTAGAGGCTATAGGTAGTTGTCTGTCAGGCATCTTAGGAGCCAAGAGAACTGTCTGTAATAGCCTGAATAGTGGGTGCATGAAAGTAATTTGGGCACAAGAAAGAACAATGCACACAAAAGAGACACTTGAGTCTCTATCATGCAGCCTGAAATAGAGACTGGGGTGTCCATAAAATGATTCTTGACTTTTATACACCCTGTACATACTCTATATTTTTAGTATGTGCACATTGCATGAACCTAGAATCCTAATTCAATACCTGAATGACAACATCGGAGGAATCAACGACCTGAAATCAATGAAAAAATGAGAAATTATTAAACCTACATAAAAAGTTTTCAATTTAAGTCATAGAGTCTCTCATATACATGTTTAAGGTACTCCTGAAAACTAAAGAGTGAAAAAATAATGATAATGATCACTGGCAATAAAAATTATTTTCACCTTATACAACTCATTCCAGATTCGTTTTGATTGTCCCTTTGCATAAATTGATTCCATGGCTTCCACCCTGCAAGTGGCAAATTTAATGGTCTCTTGTAAAATTATACCCTTTATACTAAACAAAGTTTTAGTTTGATGAAAATAAAGGATAAACTTGAAAAACAGGGCTGGCCATTGGGAATTGTTATTACTTATAACATGAGTAGCATATTAGGGCCAAAAGAAGTTTAATCGGAATTATTAAACTGATGTCCCTTGAGGGAGAGGAGGAAGGGAAAATTTATAAACAAAGAAGAAAACACGCTGCTTCTTGGAAAGAGACTTGCAGAATGCAACACAACACTCTGGCATACTTACAAAATAATGTTAGTAATATATCATAACAATTATGATTATGATGATGATTATTTATTATTTATTATTATTATTATCATTTGTGCTCCTGAATTCGGTATTACTTTGCTTTAGGGGTTTGCAAGTTTCTAGTGGAGTCAAGTTAGAATTGTCAGACATTGACTTAAATATTGAAAAAGGAAAGGCAAATATTAGTTAAGAAGTCAACGCTATTTTACTTTCTTCTTTCTTTGTAATTTCCTTAGTAAAAATGTGTTTACCCTTGAAAATAGTTTTTTTTTCAAAAAATAAAACAAATTGTTTTAATTGAAATGAAATGATTTTATTTCGAATAATTTTTTTAATTCCACGAACTATTTCTAATCTTTTCCTTTTGGCTTTGTGTTTTCTTCTGACTGTTTTTCTTTTTACAATAATTTGTTAAGCACATTGTAGTTCTCATTTTTTTACCACCATGCAGATCCATCTTAAGTACAATAGCTTGTTTTTAGTTATGTATTGGTCAAACAACAATATTTGAATACTTATTTTAGTCATGTTTGACTTCTTTTTGCAAAGCAGCCTACAGCCTTTATTAATTACTCACATTTCACCATCATTCTCCCTCACAAGATTCGTATCTTTCTCTTCATCGTATAATTCTGCAAGATTTAAAACCACGCACATGCATGTACATTTTAGTGTGATTGAAGTGTAAAAATGTTTCAAACAGTAAATACATGGACATCATACTGATCCTCATTCGACGATGACTATTTTTAAACACTTTCACTATCAATAATGGTACTGACAGCTTTCAGTCATATTAGAGCGGTTTTCACTTGACTGTCGTAAAACCAAAACCAAAGTAAATACACTAGCCAACCAAAGGGCGTAGTAAAACCAAAACCAAACCAATTCCTCAATTACTTTCGACAGTCAAGTGAAAACCGCTCTATCACAAATTGATGCTAAAACGTTTTTTGTTAAAAAAAAAACATTTATACAGTACCTGAAGATAACAGGGCTGCTTCCATAAAACTCTGAAAAGAGGGTTATATCAGTCAGGTGGAGTGGTAAAAAGAAGTCGGTCACACATTGAGCAAGAAGTTATTAAACTAAGTATTTGATTCTTTGAAATAATAAATAATGCTCATCATCAATCAGCGAACTGTCAGCACTTACAAAAGAATCGGATGATATTCCAAGTATGGTTAAATACATTGTATCCAGTTGAGCGACATGAAACTTGACCTGATGTACATGTGGCCATCCAATAGGGCAGGCATGAGGGGAAAATAGCAAGAGAAGGTACCCCCATTGTTTTAATTGTAGTTTTGAATTTCCTATCTATATGGGGGTATCAATATTTTTGTGCCAAGTTGTAAGTTACCTGCACCAGACGTGGATCTAGAATATAAATACTGACTGATTTCCAAAACGAAGGCCAAAGTCGCAAGCTTCTAGTGGGGTTCATGAGCAGGCTCTGCCCAGGAAATTTTTTGCATTTTAACTCCTAACAACAGAAAATTATTCTAAATCTTCTATGCATGGCTTTTCCGATCAAACTTATAGAGATATTGAGCTTCTCTCATAATTTATTCCACCATTGCTGCTTCAGTGATTTTCACAAGACAAGACTTTCTTCTCTCAAGATGAGACACTAGTCTCATGATATTAATGAGACACTTGTCTTTGTCTTGCGAGAAAAGAGAGACTAGTAATTTTGAGTGGTACTGTAATAATGTGCATGGGTACATTACATAATTTTCAAGGGAATTTTCCTCATAATAACAACACTGTAACTTGTAAATTTAATGTGTTAACTTCGCACCTGCATGTCACCAGCCTTGAGATTTGGTCTTTTACGCTGTGCTTTTGGTCCAAATGTTGTTTCAAACCCTTCTGTATCCAATATGTGAACCCTTGCTGACTGGGACCGGTCATTTAGAAGAGACAATGGAAGTTTACTTTGCCTCATTACAACCTGTTACCAAATAAAACACATGTATATGTAAAATTTGGTTATAAAATTCAAGGATGAATTAAGATACGTAAAATTTCAATAATTATGTTCAATTTTTGGATGAGGGAGAGCTACTCAGATTCTTAGAGGCTGTTTATATGGAGGAAGGAAGATCCTAACACCAGGAAGATCCTAGAAGCTAGGTGGATCAACTGTTCATTGGGTATACATGCACAAGTTTTGGTCAGTGTGGTTAACAGTAAAGAAGGAATTAAAGATCAAAGCTTAAACCCACTGAATGATCACAGGAGAAAATAACGGATTCCCATTTCTGGATATTTTAGGGTATTTAAAGAATACCCATAAAAATCCCAAATCTGGCAAAGTGAGAAAAGACCCAACCAGGGAATTCCAACCAAGTTCCCTGATTGGGACTTGTCTCACTCTTCCAAATTTGGGATTTTTGTGGGTATTTTGTGTAGTTTGTCACCAGTACTAGGATCTTCCTCGTGAAAACAGTTTATATGCTGCTTTCCCATTTGATAAGTTTGAATATATTTACTATTTTTCTCTGACTAAAAATAAACTTTATAATTCAATATTCTAGAAATTAATAGTTCATCTAGTTGGGTTGAGAATCAGGCAAAAAAATGATGACCTACTGTGTACCTTGTATGGATCATTAAGCACTTTGCCCATTTCATCTTGAAATGACTGTAATGCATTTTGTGATATCACTCTTGTGTTCCCTGTTGTTCAAATAAAGTGACAACTTTTAATTTTAGAGCTTGAGAATGAAAATAAAATAGAATTATTTAAAAAAATAATATATTAGGCTACACCACCCAACTAATTTTAAGCCACTATTTTAAACCTACAGGGGACATGTTAGAGTATCTGATATGTCATTCCTTCATAATCTGAATATGTATGATGATTCAAAAGCTTTCCCTTCTCATACTGAATATCAGGCCTTCTGATATTTCGCGGAAAAAAAAGCAAAATTTCGCGGGATTTTCGGGGGCAAATTCACGGAAAAATCGACCGATTTCGCGGCATTTTTGCGGGAAAAAAGTCAAAATTCGCGGAAATTTCGGCCGATTTCGGGAGATTTTCGTGGGAGAAAAGTCAAAATTCGCCGAAAAATCGGCCCATTTCGCGGGATTAGTGCGGAAAAAAGTCAATTTTCGAAGGATTTTCGGGGGCAAATTCTTAGGAAAATCGGCCGATTTCACGGGAAATTTCGGGGGGAAACTTCGCCAACAAACAATCAGTAAAAGACAGCCGATTTCGCTGGGTTTTTCATTTTTTTGGCAAATTTCGCTAAAATCGATCAATTTTGCGTCGATATGACCAGCGGTGGTGAACGTTTTTTTAGCAGGGATAATCATTTGCTCTTTCAACAACAGTTCGCTCGAGAAATGAGCGAATGTTAAAACTATTAACATTATGGTTAGTGCCCAGTTTTTCGCAACGTTCATCTAAAAACGCCTGGTAGTTTTGGGACGTTGTTTTTGGGACGTTTGCTAAATTTGGACGTTTGGGTTGAATAAAACCGTGTAATAGCCAAGATAAGTATTAAATAGCCGAAATTTGGAAATATTTCTGGGGCGTTTTTTTGGGAATAAAACTGAATTTGTAATAGCCAAGATCAGAAGTGAAATTAAATCATTTTTTGCCAGGGGGGTACTCCAGATCTCAAGTGATGAGGATGATCGAATCAGGGCAAAAATCAAAACCCAAAATAATCCCTAAGGCTTCCAACAAAACCCAAAGAAATCACTGAAAAATTAACCCCCAAATTTCCAAACTTTAAAATGCCAAATTTCCAAACCTTAAAAATTTCCAGAAAGGGTTAAACAAGTTGTATAAAAAGAAAAGTTTGGTGATACCTTATTTGCAGAACTATGCATCTAGCATAAGCAGCAATACCGTGAATCTTCAGATTGTTTTGGAATAACAAAAAAAATGCCTAATTAAATCCAGCCACCCAAAAACATACTTGCCAAATTTTCCTACCGAAAAAATCCTGCAATCAAAAATTTCAAACCCCCAAAAATCCTTTGGTCATCCCCGTCATCGAAATCCAGAGTACCCCACGCACTGGCCTTGTACATCATTGAGCTCTTTTACAGTTCTTACCATTAATTAAATAATGACTTCAGAAGTGGTATAAGAAAATTAATGATAATTCACACACACAACAGTTCTGGGCTGTTAATTAAGGTTGTTTATGATGTATGGATAATTTAAGGGTGATGAACTTACCAAACCACTTTCTATTTGGAGCAACCCTTGCAACCTCTCCTGAGACGGCTGAGTTCTGGAAAGGCGCTGGTTTCACTATTTTCCCCTGCTTATTTCTAAAAAACAAAATATTAAAAAATTAAATAAGACAATTATTACATATATTTAAACAGGAATTAGTTTGTATTAATCAGAAACTATTGACCAAAACCAACTGGCTGAGTTTCAAGGATATTATGACTGAGTTTCAAGGATATTATGACTGTAATATAGCATCATCTTATTCTTAGTAGTTGGATCACCTTGTTCTTTAATAAAAGAGTGATTGATATTGTCTCCATGCCATCATTTTCAAGCAATTGAATATACACTAAATTTAGTGAAAAGGATCAGTATTAGTAAACTATTATGCTGTCTTGAGGAGTTTTTGAGAACTCAGTTCATGACTGTATTATAAAATGAAACAAAGAATTATACCGTATTAATTTTTATTCGATTAACTGCCTGGGCGCTTATTAAATTTTTGGACCTTGAGAGTGGGCGCTTATTCGAGGTGGGCGCTTATTAAATTTTCACCATTTTCAGCAGTGAAGTATGTTTTTTGCAACAAAACAATAAATGCTAATAACAAAATGCGACAAAGTAAAATATAACAAAGCAAGGTTTCTGTAAAATACTCTGAAGAAAACTTCGTCCTCGGGAAAGTCTCTTATCAGAATTTATTCACTCAAGTGGGTGGGGTGGGGGTGAGCACTTATTTGGGTTTGATTGGGAGGAGGAGGGAGTGGGTGCTTATTCGAGGCTGGGCGCTTATTAACTTTTTCTGCCTTTAGAATGGGCACTTATTCGAGGTGGGCGCTTATTCGAGGTTGGGCGCTTATTCGAATAAATACAGTAAGTAAATTTGAGCTGGTACATGTGAACTTGTTTGTTGTGTCCACTGTTTAGTTCTACATGGCATATTATCGAATACAGTGATCATGACTAACTCTGAACAAGGTTAAGCACTTCAGTTTTTCCACTGAGTTTTGCACTCTTCCAGAAGCCCCACACTAGGGATTTGAATGTATGAGCTGAACCCACCATGGGGTTGCAATTATTAATGAAAAAAAGGAAACCCAAATGTCTGGAAAATTCCTGAGGGGGAGGGTGGGGAAGAGGATGAGTGTTGATGGGTGCTCTCGGAATTGAGGGAGCCATAAACATTTTGTTGCTGGTTTGCACATGCCATCATGATGTCCATGTTAGTGGTTGGGAACTAAACTCAGTTTTCATGTAAGATCTTGGACAAAAGGTTTATGGTACTGACAACCAACAAGGCCTCTTGTCACGAGGTTGCAAACTAAGAATACTAAACCAATGCACAATCAACACCTTAATTATCACACCTTATTGCCTTTCCCCCTGATTTGTACATCTTCAGTCTGTTTATTGTTGCCTTGTCTCGCATGTTCGATCCTCCTGCTGGTTTTGGACGGTCTACAAATTTTCATGACAAGTAGGAAATTAAGCTTAAAAGTTAAAAATGATCGGCGAAGATTTCTCGGTTTAAAACAGCGACTGTCATGTTTATAAAGCGTAACCGAGTAGTTAGGCCCCCATTACGTCTCTGCTTTCTTATCTTGCTTGGCTATTTGCAAGAGTGAGACATTCACTGCCTTAAAATTATTGAAACTATAAATTTTACTTCACTGAAGCGAGGATAGCAACTTATTAACGTGGAGCTTTTATACCTGGATTCATGCTGCTGTTTGACTTCTTGGAGGATTTCTCCTTCTCTGATCTTTTCCTCGTCTTAGCCATGTTTATGAGAGAGATAACTGTAATGTCTATACCTACAATTTAGGTTGTCAAAATGGACAAAACGCTTAATCTGACAAATCACTTTCCTGCGTGATCCTGCGTACAAAATTGAAGAACTCCTTCATCCGCCATATTGACCACGTGCAAACTGGAAACTAGCACCTTCACATACAATCAGTTCCAGGCCCCTCGCCATTATTCACTTACTTACTTCCGGCCTTCCTTCCACGGTGTTCAATTTTTTTTTTTTTTTTTTTTTATCTTTTGATAAAGGGCAATGAGCGAATGCTGGAAAGAGGCTCTTAAAATGAGGTAAGTTACTAAGTTTAAGGTGATACGTCCAAAGAAAGTCACCAAATTTTACAGACGTTGGCATGGTAACTATGGTCAGAGGCACGCGAGTTTGCAGCCCATTTGTTGAGGGAGAGGCACTGGGAACGGAGACTGCATATATTCCTTATATTGACTGTCATTTTCACATCGTTATTGGCCACGAAACCAAAAGAGCACTCTAAAGACAGAAAAGTGACAAACAAAAATAAACCCTTAAAAAAAGCGCAGGACCAGCTATTATTATGCGCAAGTGAAGAGGTTCGAAAGGTGTGTACGCTCAATGTGTACTGTAACACTAGCTTCTTACTGCATAATCAGTTGATGACGTAATATATAGATTTAGGCAAGCCTACTGCCTCATTGGTATATTCACCTTTATCAGAGGTGATTATGTTGCTGTTAATGATGTTTGGTAAGTTGCAGGTTGGCTCAACGTACGTAGTAAGGCCTGTAATATAAGCGTCGCATGGATACTTGTGAATCCAGTCAGCTCATATCATTTTTGTCAAACAAACCCGCCGATAATAAAGCCCAGCTGATTTAAATATTTAGAGCATATCAGATTTCACACGTTTTTGTTCAGATGAAATGTTTTGCTTATATACTGAGTGCACAGTTAAAGCCAGCCGAGGGCGAGAAAGATTTACAAAGGCAATATGACACAACTGCAAACTTTATTGCATCTAAAATACATAAGTGATAAGATATACTGATTAAAGTAGAAACCCTCTTTTTGTTTTTGTTTTTTATTATTTTTTTTATGTCCTGACGGTTCTTCTTTCCTTCCTCTTCGTTGAAAATGTTCCACTAAATGAAATGGCCTCGGTTGTCGTTAAGTGGGTAACATCTGAGCAGTTCTGATGATAAAAAAGATTTTGCTGTGTTACAAAAAAAAAACACTCTACTGCATCAGTTTTAATAACTAGGAAGGCGACTTGAAACATAGCAATCTCAATGTAAAAAATAGGCTTCCCACATGTAGTTACTTTTACTGCGCTTTTCAAAAAAACGCAAATTCTGAAGTTTAAAAGCCAACTGACGTTCTTCACCACCGTCAATTATCTTAGCTGACCGCTTATAGGAAATTAAACAGAACTTTACTTTAATAGATTCAAAAAGTCATGGTTTGTGATTCGTGATTTGGTGGATTGCGATCTATCTTGTATGTTTCTGTATTAAATTCAAGATTCGTTGCTTGTGATCATAATTATTATTAACGGCAGTGAAAAACGCAATTGTGAGGGAGTTCGCGTGTTTGTGAAAAGCCTAGTAAAGGGATGACACATAAACCTATTTGGGAATTTTCTTGTAAAAGGGACGAGCAGAGGTGAAAACTGGATGATAGCGGATTATTCATTATGCTAAAACAAACAACCTTTATTTTTAAATAGTTAGCAAAAAAGTTGCGGCCTAACTAGCCTGTAAAAGAGACACTGTGATAGGTATTGTATTTATTGATTGATGATTGATTGATTGATTGACTGATCTAAACTTACACTGCAAAAAAGTAACTCATATTTAAGGTTTACAAACCTCTCAAAAGTCGCTTAGCATAATGTCATCAGAAAGACCGCTCTCGGAATTTGTGATTTCATTGATCTGCAAAGTCAAAAACAAGTTTGAGGTTAGGTATATTGTGTTGATGTCAATGATTGTTTGTAAAAATCATTAATGTTTGTCTTATTTTATCCTTTTACATAAGGAATATTTGATACATAGTAGTGGAAACGAACCTAACTGGCGGGAAGATGGCTGTTTATGTAAGGTTTCTCATGGGGGACATCATCGAAGCGTAAAGAACGCGGTATTACTGGGACCTGGGTAAAAAAATAAGAAATTCAAAGAAGGAACAGGTGGAAATTTTGATTATTCGCTGCAGTTAATATAACTTTAATCCATAATGAAATGGGCCATTAACAAAGGGGACAATGACAGAACAAAGAAAAAGGGCCTTCCTCATTCCCATTACCCATCGCGAGCATCTCTCTACCGCTTCTCTAAACAACTATTGAATAATTCAGTTACTTGAAATCAAATATCTTACCGACCGATCAATCCATTTGGTTAGGTCCATTTCTGGAAGACTGTCACACTTAACTTTTCTGTTTCTCCGCCAGTTCCTCTTTTTCATTACCTTGGGCTGAACATACGATATACCACTGTTGTCACAAACGATCCTAGCTAAGCTAACTTTTCTTATTTCCGTCAGCTGTGCAAGGGAAAATCCAACTCCCTTTTCGTTTGTTTCGTACCAGAAGCGGTCACCTTTTCTTAAATTTCTGAAATCAGTGAAAATGTCATATGCTTAGTCTATACCACTGAGCCAAAACGTCCGGAAATAAAAATTCCGAACCAAAAGTTCATGCCAAGCTAGATAGATATGATTTCGGAAGTTCTAACCGAAAACTGAGGACCATGTTTGGAGGTATTCCTATTTGTCTAAACATAATGCCGCCTGCTAGTAGCCAATGCTTCTCTCTTGGTTTTAGACTCGCTTTACAAACATTCGCGCCTTTGATTTCTTTAAGCCCAGACAGTCAAAGCTCAGTTAGTTTATCAGCTTTTAAGAACAAACTGAAACAACAGCTCCTTGCTTAACTTGCTCATTTCCCTGGAACCCCTCCCTTTTTGCCCTTTTATTTGCTTTTGTCTTTTTTCTTACCGTTTCTCTTTATAATCTTATTATTACGTATTATTACTCTGCCGCCGCCGTTTAATTAATATTTGGTGTTTTTTTGGCAATTTAGTAGAGCCAGAAAGCCCACAACAGCGTTGCAAAAGCTTCGTGGTTTCATTGGGGTTTCAAGCACAGTTTTCCTCGTAAATCTCTATATTTCTTTTTCTTAGTGTAACATATCGAAGTGGCTAGATAGATAAAAAGAAAACTGATGGTAACTCTGTGGTGAGCTGGTATACTGCTTTCCATTATGCTAAAGACTATTCAAAGCCTCCTAAAGATGGCAAAGAATATTCACGAAAAGGAAATTTGAAACGGCGAGCGGCCGCGGCAAAGCCGCGAGAGATCGGGCGCCAGAGGCCTTTCTTTTTGTACCCCCACTTCTTTTCGCATACGCGACGGTTTTATCCTGACGCATATCACTCGGCGTACTATAAGATGAGCTGTTTCATTAATCAATAACTAAACTTACCTGAATCCTTCAGCTAAAATGTGAGCGAAGGTAGGCCCCACATGTGAGCCATAGGTGGGATTTTCTAAAAGTAGTCCGCCAACATATAAATCAACTTTGCTCAAATCTGAGCCGTATAACTCTTTCAGCATGTTCTTTAAGTCACCTGGGATATTAACATTGTTAACGTCGAAGTGTGCATTGAAATCGCCAAAGGCGGGGAGGCCATGATCCCTCCCTCGCTGTATGTTTATAGCAACAAGATCAGCGATCAGGTTTTGGTCCAGGCTTGAATTTCTGAGTGACTGCCCATGAGAAGAACCTTCGAAATGAAGGCAAGTAATGAAAAGTATAAATTGAATGTGGTCGGCGGCTAATGGATCTGAGTGCTATCCTTTGTGAATAGGACTTTTGTTAGCTTGACGGACATGACTATTAATGATTATTCGTGAATGAAAACAAATTTTTAAGTGAGTGCCACTTTCAATAAGCACCGCACAGAGAAGAAGAAAAATTTAACAAGCGCCACGTTACTTAATCGAGTAAATAATCCGGTACCTCTAACCCATTTAGTGCAAAACCTCATTAAGGGGACAATAACTTTGCACCCGAAAAAAAAAAATCAATAGAGTCATGTTTGTATTAGTATCAAGACACATCTAGCCTGTTCTGGTCAGGAGGGTGTTCCTTGCATGGAAGCTTTCCCCAGTAAACCTTAGAGTATTTTTCATTGCTTTGAATAAATTACGGCTCAGTAAAGAGAGGGTTTCTGTCAAGGGCGCCTGCCTTAAGTGATGAAAGTGATCCGCAAAACACTGATTTATATTCAACTAAGATCTTTTTTCCGCAAGAAGGCATCATTAATGGGACATACTATATAAGGAAATCAATTTATCTTAGCTAGTTCAGTACTATAAATGAATACCTCTCCTCTCTCAACTTTAAGTTCTGTCAGCCTAATCCCTAGGCGTTCTCTGTTGCAGACCGTTGCCCCCGCGAAGATTGGGAAAGAGCGGTCGAGAAAACGCCAAGCAGATATTGTCAAAATACCCCTAATTTTAGCGTTCTCGGCGAGTCTTTCTCGGTGACGTCACAGCTAGGGACTAGGTTAGTTCTGTGTGATATTAAGATAACCTCACTAAAAACAGACTACGGCTAAGAAAATAAACGGTATAATACTTAGCCTGTGCTGAACTTCTAGCAAAATTATCCGAGGCGTGTTGCGCAGTTTTTGGCGGCGGAGCCCAAGAAAGTACCCCAGACATAACAATTCGGCCGGCGCTATACGCTGGCAATACTCTTCCAGCTCCCATTTGGCTTGCTAGCTCAATGGGTTACAACGCTGCACCGGTATCGCAGAAGGCCAGGGTCCGAATCGCGGGGGAAGCCTAAATTTTTAAGGCTCTCTTTTTGCAACTGCATAAGTTGTGTTTTAATTGTGATGATCTTTTTTGTGTTTGTTTTTTCATTCCGCGGTTCCAATGTATGAATTTCATATATTAGTATATATTCATTCACCGCCGCCTGATTAAATCAGTTGGGAGTCAGTGCCGGTCTGCTGAGCGGCAGGTCGGGGTTTGAGTTGTCTGTGAGGAGAGTTCTTAAAATAGGGATAACCTCATGATTCTCCTTCAGGAGTCGCTACCTGTAGTCTACCTGTAGACACTGTATATAAGCATTATATATGCATGCATCATTTCATATACAGTACCTATCCACTTCCCTAGCAGGTTGATAAAGTAGGCCTCGTAATATAGCATCAACACCGTTCTCAGCGTACAGCGGAGCAGGGTTATGAAAATCAGCTGTGGGTATGCAGGGTTTGTAGATGTTTCCAACAGTGCTGTGTCCGTATCTTAAAGCAGCCGTTGCGAAGCTGTTCGCGATGGATGGATCGACAGATGCATCGTAGCCGGTGTAGAAACCTCCTGATTTCAGTACGAGACCATATTGTCTCCGCTAATATAATCGGAGAAAACAACATCACTAATCACAGATATAGCTCATGGCTTACGGGGCAGGCGTCGAAAAGAATGGGCGCATCATCTTGTCGGCTCCATTTCAGCCGCTCTCTTGGGCCTTCCCGAGAAGAGCCAGCGTCTGTTCGGGAGAGGAGCGCGGGCTCATTTCTCAAACAACAGACGACAGGAAACAGTTTCAATGAGTAAATGTAGTCTCTATTCTCAAATAACTGAACTGAGTTATTATTTCCAGTGTCGGATCCAGATCTTCAGATAAGGGGAGGGGGGCCCGGTCATACAGACCCTGAGATAAGGGGGGGCCGGGGGGTCTGAGTAAACTTTTTTCGGCCCTTCGGGCCCCGGTTTGGTCTCAAAATAAGGGGGAGCCGGTCCCCCCGGGCCCCTCCCCTGGCTCCGCCACTGATTTCTGGAAGAAAATTGGCACGAAGGCAAAAAGATAGCATCACACAAATAGTCACAATAGCTTGCTCACGCATTTGAATCGAGCAGGCCTACCCTCTTATATTACCACGTCCTCCCCCAATTTGTAATTACCCACCACGGTCTCCGCTAAATAGGGACTTTAAGATCCAGAAAGGCGGTGGCAGCGAAATGTTGCTTAAAAAATGAATTTGCGTTCTTTCAGTCTTTATCTCGATTATTCCCATTTACCTTATCACGTGCAATGTTTGCGAATCCCCCTGACTGTTGAATTCCTAGGATCTCGCCGTCACATATTTACGTCCTCCATAAAAAATAAAATTAGGGCCTGTTTACATGGAGGTGGGGGACCCAAGGCTGGTGTGGTAACCGCCTTTGGTGGGGTATCCCGCCTGTCCATATAATCTCTCACCTTAATTTGATCACGTTTACATGATAGATGGGGTGACATGCCGCGGGCTACTTCACGTACCTGGGCTCCCCTACCTCCATGTAAACAGGCCCTTAGGCAGCAATTTTGCGTCGTAGTTATGCATAAACGGCCAAGAAATGTACAAATTAAGTGTGATGCACGTGCAAAGTTGTTGTTTTGCCTCATAAACCTATTGTCTTTTAAAAAGCAATACAATAAGCATACTGACCATTCTCCTACTCAGGAGGGCTGGCAGATACTCGTTGTAAGTAATGTGCTGCATCATAGCACCGAGGATTTTTCGCGTTTCTTGGAAGACTTTCTCTCCGTTCCATCCCGTGTTTATTTGCTTTAACTTCCTGGCTATCCTATTATGTTCTCGTACCCAGATAGTATGAAGGACATTCAAGGCTACAAGAGAATGACAATTATACACTGAGATTTGTTTTAAAGAAACCTCGTGCTTGTGACAAATCGACTAAATATAAGCTAACGTAGCTGCTTTGTTTCCCAGTATGTGTATCCTAATGGAGAATGGTCCTTTACTCAAAAGGTCTTCTGTCTGCGAGAATAGGCCTTTGTCAAAAATACCATTATACTCTTTGCTTTTTTCAATTTCTCTTGGGACTTAAAGTCGCTCTAAAAGATGGGCACCATTATGCACAGACTCATGAGAGGATGATCACTCGGCTCTGGGGACTATGTTCTCTGCTTTTTTCGTTCGGTAATGTGTATTTTCTATGTTCCCGACGAGGTGACGAGAAATGAAGGAGAAGAGGCCGGAGACAAATCCCTCGGTTTAAAGAACTTGTGATTTAGGTATTTTCAAGGTTAAGAATTTCCTGTCATATTTTTTGGGAGAAAATGCATATCATTACACGTTTCTGGGAAACTGCCCACCCCGGGGGGGGGGGAGGGGGGCACTTTAGGAATTTCTGGGTGGGGATGTGCCGCTGGGACCCTGGAACCCTTAACCTAAACCAGAGCTAGTTCAGCTGAATTTTGCTACCCTATACTAGAGTAAACTCCCAAAATCCCCCTATCCTAGGGTAGCTGTTTCCCCAGTTTAGACAAAATCTTCAACCAACTGATCAGTTTCCTGAAAAATGATACCCTATTCTAGACCCAAACGCTCTGATTTATATACCCTATCCTAGAGTAAACTGCTTGAAAACCATACCCTTCACAGCGGCACATACCCATATAGCCCATATATGGGCCCCCCCCCCCGAGCTGCCCACCTACTCCCCCCCAAAGCCAACATTAACACTTGCTTCTCACTTAGGGCAAAATGCTGGCTTAGTGGAGGGGTATGGCAGTTTCCTAAAAACGTGTATATGACCAGAGAATTTTCTTGGAAAAGGTTTAGTATACAGATGTGGTATATCTTCAGGCTAAATAAGGCTTGCTGAAAATTAAGACATGCAGCTTATTATGTTTAAACGTTCTATTTTATGACGGCTGGCTGAGGAGTAAGCTTTACCTGGGCTGACATTATTTCGCCGAAAGTCGCCTGTATAAAAGCAAGGCATAGTACCAGGATTTGGTGAGCGACAGAAAGGCTTTTTTTCGCGTGCTGGTGGCAAGAGATCGTTTTCCTGCCAAAGTTTCCCCATCGGGTCTCCGGCGCGAGCTATTCTGACTTCATCATCATTGTTACCGTAAATATGTGAAGCGTCTATGAAGGTCGTGGCTATGTTAACTTGCTCTTGGCCGGCGTTTGCGGTCTGGCATCTTGTAGCACGTTTCATTTGAATGCATTTTCTTGCACTAAAAATAACGTCGCTCGTGACATTGATCCCGAAGCATTCAGTACCAGGGTTAAAGCAGTCGTTGCATTTAGAAGAACTTGGTTTGTGCCACGTCAGTGTGATATCATGAGTTAAGAACTGGCCAAACACACCTGCCATGTCAGTGAGCAAAGTAGATTCTGGGGACTCCTCTGCCGGATTAGATGGTGGTGCATTCTGGGGAAAAAGCTCTCTGCTGACGGATCTTGCGTTTGGGAGCTCATTCATATTAACCTGGAAGGAAAAGACGCAAGAGGTGCTATATAGCCTGTAGAACAGGCTTTTTCGCTATACAAAAGCTCAGAGGAACATTGATTGCGGCCACTATTTTGAAAGCAATTGAAAAACTAATTAGGCAGGGCTCTCTGTCAGTTTCAATGTTCAAGATTGGTGGGAGAACTTTGTTATTATCATTGTTTGCACAGCAAAATGCGCCTGACTTGCAGGCTTGAGAAGCCATGTATTTGAAAATTTATGAAATCAGTTTTAGCCAAAACGTTTACTTTTTGTGGGGTACAAAAGTGTATAAATGAGGGTTTTCCATGATTTTTCGGCTGGTGAATGTGATTTGATTCACTGCAATTGTTTGTTTGTTTGCTTATATTTTTTCCAAGGGGAATGGTTTTGAAGCAAACTTTGAACAAATTTTGAAGGATCTGAAAAGAATTTGGGCTGGGGGGAATGGGATTCAGTGAAACACTTCCCTCAGTCAACGCTTCAAGATCCTCTTTAATAGGCCCAGGCGGACACAAACCTATTACTGTTACATGTGTAACACGGTTTCACATGATGTCTTGGTATGAATACAAGGTAGAAATATCTTCTTTATGGCGAATAGGACACAGCCACAGGAGCTCATAACTCAAAAGTGCTCGTGTTATGGACAGGTTGATCTTTAGACCGATTTTGGCACGAATTTCCAGCCAGCAAACCCTACAGACCTAAAAAAAACTTTTATTGATCTTTTAAATAACTTTTAGTTTCCGTTTTTGATATCTTCTGTCGAGAGAGAATCATTATCTGCTGCTCACACTTCGATGCATTGTGATCGTAGACGAAGTGGAACTTCCATTTTCGCAGGAAAAGTGCTATAAAACGTGTCTAGAAATAAACTGGTTCGTGAAAACACCACTACACAGGCCTAGTATGCGAGCTGCTCTCTCGCTCCGGACCGGATTATGCGCTCCTGACAGCCATTATTTCATTTTTTCTTGATTATCAAACAATTGTATCTTACCTCTCTCTTAGGTATCAGTCTCCTGAATGGAGTCATTGCTGCACCTAATGATGGATAATTTAGATTGTTACAGGCGCCCGTGATGTGTCTATATTCCGATGAAATACTTGAACAATTGACTTGCAATACAATACTTCCACAATCGTCCAAGGGATCAGAATTAGAGATATCGATTCGTGCGGAACATGACCTCGTCAGAGTCGACAGGCCGACTGCTAGCACCAGCAAAACCAACATCATCTGTGACGCAAACACAATATTACGTGATATTTTTTAATCTGTTGAAATTTTGCCGTCGTTGAAGTTTAAAAATGGATGTTACTAAGCCAAAGAACGGGAAAAGGGATCGAGCACGAACGCTGGGAACAAGAATCGAAAAATGAAAACATTTTCGTGAATGTACACCAGTAATTTTTAAAGAAAAATAAGCATAAAACGTGCCTTTTATTTTCTCACGTTTTAAAAGAGTATAGAATTTATTGAACGTTAGGCTTTGTGCATCATGCTAGCATTTTTTCGAGCATTATAGGAGGCAAACTTAAAGACGAAAAATTTTAGTGGCATTGTTTCGGATTTTTTTTTTCTCACAGAAAATAAAAATTGAAAATGACAACTTAACTCCAAAAGTAAAAAAAATATATTTTTTAAAATTCCGACCTAGATACAGCCGCGTTGAGGATCATTCTTAGACTAACAACGTACATACTTCTTATACATGTTTGTTAGAGTAGTACAGTAGTTGGCCTTAATAAGCAGTAGCTTCTTTTGTTTTTAGGGCTAGGGGTATTGTTTGTGTTGAATCATCTATTGTTTTGTTCTCCAATCACAGACCATGTCTGGAGAGCTACTGACCTTCTCTTTTGTTAGCCTTAAACGCTTTTAAAACGTTTAGAATTGATCAAAAAAACTCTATAGCTCTCTATAATGACTGTTTGGGAGCGACACGGTTCCATGCTGACTGGGAGCCTATTTTCTCTGGTATTCGGAGGGCTGGAATACCAGGGAAAACTAGGGAAAATATGCCTCTGTAAACAGGGAAGGGCAACCAAGCATATAAGTGGGGAAAATGGATCATTAAAGTGGAGCATTTTATTTGGGAAACAAAACGTGGCATAATGTTCAAAAGCTTATTGACCCTGTCTGCTAATCTAACTTAATGAAGATGGCACGGAAACCACATATAGATTACTCACTCGAACTGCCGTCAACCGTACAGATTATATTTAGAAACAGGTTGTACAATTTCTGAACCGCAAGCGTTCACGGAACAAGAAGATATGAAATGATAAAGGGCCAGTAGTGACACACCCCTCCCTGAACTTCCTTAGTTAACCTCCCCGGTACTATCAATCAGTTTTATTGAGCTTGCAGCAGATCAATTGACTGCTATTATGATATACAGTATTAAAAGATTAGTATTATCTAGCTCTTAATTTTAATAACTCATTAACTGCTCATTTTTTTCAGTCCGGGATTACAATGCCTTCAGTATATCCTCCCAATCTCGTGCTTGTCAAAAGTCATCATTATAAGTAAAACCCGTGGCACGCAACCCCGTTTTTAGTTCTTGGTCAGTTCGCTACTAAATTAAACCAGATCGCCCTCCACACTACGTGGCATTTGTTGACTAACTTCTGAGCAAGATAAGTTAAAAACTGGTGCCAAAGATAAAACCAAAATAGACGCGTTCGTGCTATTTGCAAATGGCAGACGAAGTTCGAATCACGGAACTGCATTCGCCTATCGCTAATTACGTTTCTTCCATTGGCTCAAGATAATTTTACTGAAAATTGTGATTATGGTAGAATTTTTTGACCAGCTACGTATTTACGTGAATTTACATAACTTTCACTGATAAAACAGACATTAATAGCCTGCTTTTTATTACTTACTTCACGGTTAACAAAATGTGAAACAATAATTGACTTCGCAGTCTAAGAACCGGTAACGAAAACGTGGAGAATTCATTTTCCAGTAAGGTAAGAACTGAATTAAGATGACTGAAGAAAAAAAGTAGACACTAGTGTGGTCTAGTTAGTCCTAAACCATTTACATATTGATAGCTTTTTACCAAAGCAGCCCTGGCTTCACGTGCTGGATGGACTCATTTACGATGGACTTTCATCCTTTAAAGAGCCTTCTTCAAGTGTAAAACAAACAAAATTATGAAACACCCTAATAACGGATTAAGCCAAAACGATTCACATCATAAGAATGTGAACAGAGATAAATTGTTCAAAGGTCGCACCCATCACCATGGGCGAAGCTTGGAAAATACTCTTTAACGATAGAACTTCGAAAGATCCTGATTTCACTATACTATGAGATGGAATTCAGTATTACGATGTTTTACCTTCCTTTTTGTTGGTGGAAGAAACAACTTCATATACATGGTCAGAATCAGCAATTCTGCATGTACTGGCAGCGCTTACTAGCTAAGAGCTAAGAGATGTCTAGCTACAGAATTAGGTAAGAACGCTTGACTCGACACTTTAAAAAGGCATGCAGGCTTAGTGAAAAACCTTTCTTGTGAAAATGAGTTTTTTTTGCATGAGAATGAAAAATCATTTTAATACCAGTGCCTTGCTTTGAAACAGCGGCTTGAGACATTAGCTCGAACATTTGATTGGCTGGTATCTTTATTAAATACTGGATTGACAGCTGTTTGTTTTGATGATTTACACACACGCCTAATCAACCGGCTGTTGACTGATGATTCCCTGACTTTGTAGTGAAAACATAAGAAATAACAAAAAAGAGATCACACGGATCTGCCAACATAAGCTACAATACCGTTGTTTTCATCTTTGAGTTTAACTGATTTCCGTCTTAATCATAACCAGTCTCTTCTACAAAATCTAATTGCTTAGCAAATGAATACTTTCGCTCAGTTAACTTGTCCTTGAGATGATAGACCGTCTAGATAGGCTAAAATAAAGCTTCTTTTCATGATTTGAATGTATTTAGTTCAGTTAATTCTTTTTAGACTTTGGAAAACGAAAAGTGCTTTCAATTTTTAAGGGGAAACAAAAGGAATAGCGGATAGTACTCGATCAATCACGCATTGGTGTATTGGTGTACTGGTGTATGGGGATTAGCGGGTAGCGTTCCTTGTGATAGACCGCTGCGTTAGGCTGATCAGGTTGTGCGGCTTTTTCGTGGTGTTAACTAAAGGGGTTAGAACACACCCGGCCTCCTTTCGAACTCCCTTTAACCTTGCCGGTACTATCGATCAGTTTTATTAAGTTTTCTGCAGATCAATTGATTACTACATAAAGAAAAGATTAAAAAGATTGTTATTATCTAGCTCTTAATCTCGCTGTCTCATTAACTGCTCATTTAATTCAGTCCAGGATTACAATGGCTATGTCCTCCAAGTATTATGTCCGCAAAATAATCATAAGTAGCACCCAACACATTACGTTCTTGACCAGTTCTCCCCTATATTAACTGAACTGGCTCGCCCTCCACACCAGGTGCCAAAGATAAAACCGAAATTAGTTATAATCAAGCCAATCGCGTCTGCGAGATCGAGACTGGAAGACAGACTTCGAATCACGGATCTGCCTTCGCCTAGCACGAATCATGTTTCTTCCATTCGCTCAAGAAAATTTTACTGGAAATTATGATCGTGGAAGTTTTTGACCAGCTACGCATTTACGTGAATTTACATACCTTTTACATAACCGGCGTTATTAACATGCTTTTTATTACTTAGTTCACGGTTCAAAAAATATGAAATATCTCTGACTTTTGCCGTCGGTCTTAATCATAACCAGTCTCTTCTGCGAACTAATTGCCCAGCCAATGAAAACTTTATCTCAGTTGTAAGCTTATGGGTGTGAATGAACTTTGTGATGACAGACACTCTGAACACATTGACTTTTCATGATTTGAATGAATTCAGTTTAGTTAATTCTTTTTATAAAGTTTAAAAAAGGAAGAGCGCTTTCAATTTTTCATTGGGAACAAAAGGCATAGCCGATAGAACTCGTGCACTCACGAAGAAATATATTGATGTATAGATTAGATGTTAGCGTCCCGTGTGATAACAGACTGTCTTTGACCGTTCAGAATTAAGGACTATGCGGCTTTTTTATGCGGTAGATAGTTATTTGGAGAAACGCCGTTTACCGAAATTTATGTATTTATTCCATCCGAGGGGAACCAAGCTAAGGTGTGCTAGTGTGGTTTGCTATGAAATCCTGAAGTCGTCATTCAAGTCAGAGATTTAAGAGTTCAATCCGAACTGAGAGAAACACAATTGTTCTAATACAAAGAGTGTTCAGATAGCTTTTTCAGCCGCCATTTTAGTGTGGTGTGGCACAAAAGCTGGCTTTAACATTCAAAAGTGCTCTATTTAGAAAACAAACCATTAAAACTTAAGACTATGCTCGAACTACACTGGATACCTCAGTTTTCGTACCAACACGAAAATCTATCCGTTATAGCGTGAGCACCTTTCCGATATGTAACTCTGCAGTTTAGAGATAGGCGCGGCGCAGCTTCGCTCCGTTACAGAAATCGCGCCAAAATGACCGTTTTTATGTGCGAACAGATGCCCTATCCTGTATGGTTTTCGTGCAGGCGCAAAATCTATCCGTTATAGCGTGAGCACCTTTCCGATATGTAACTCTGCAGTTTAGAGATAGGCGCGGCGCAGCTTCGCTCCGTTACAGAAATCGCGCCAAAATGACCGTTTTTATGTGCGAACAGATGCCCTATCCTGTATGGTTTTCGTGCAGGCGCAAAACCTATCCCATATAGCGTGAGCACCTTTCCGATATGTAACTCTCCACTTTAGAGATCGGCGCGGCGCAGCTCCGCTCCGTTACAGAAATCGCGCCAAAATGACCGTTATCATGTGTGAACAGACGGCCTATCCTGTATGGTTCTCGTGCCGGCGCAAAATCTATCCAGTATAGTCAGAACAAAGTCCAAGTCTCTGAAGGATCCTCAGTTTAGAATTTTGATTACGTAACTTGCAAGCCAAAAGAATTAATCAAAGATTTTTACCGAGGAAAGTGAACAACCAAGGCATTTAGTAAAATGCATTGGTAGTAGATTTCGTTTATTATTATTTATGTATGTTATTATTATTTTATTTCACAATTTCTTAACCTTTTACCCGCTTGTAAATTTTTATCATAAATCTCTTTACCTGCTTGTAAATTTTTTCATTTTTAGTCTTTTTAGGTTGTTGTAAGGCGCATTTGATCATGGCTGTTCGTGATTGTTCG